CCGTTTTGCCCCGTTTGGGCTTTTCGAAATAATATATCCCTGCCAGCTACCTTGTTTTCTTGACCCCGGACGAAACCTGTTATATCTCCCCCCCCCCCCCCCCCCCCCCCCCCTACTACTACTGCTACTACTGCTTTTAGCGGATGCCTCCTTACCCGGCACGGGCGTTATTACTCTACTTATTCCGCGCCTTTTCGAGCTGTTCTATCCTGGCTTCGAGATCGGAAATAATCGCTGTAATTTGGTTTGTTTATGTTAGCTTCTAAGAAGCGGATTTCACGTAAGGAGAGTGAGGGAGGGGAGCGCTTGCCTCGCATCTCGGCTTTGATCTCGTTGTTCTCCAGGCGCACCCAGAAGTAGTACGCAAGTTGGTAGGTTAAGACGGCGAGGAGGAAGACCTTGGCCATGGGGCGGCCGAAGGTCTTGTAGAATTGCGCCTGGGGGATTGGAGAGGTGAGCTTTTGTCTCTCTCTTTTCTTTTCTTTTTTCATTTTTTTTTTCATGGTAGGTTTTCTAGGGGGATGTTGCTGACATTAGGGGATCGAGGTTCTTCCCGTCTTCCCGGCGAAGGAGAAGACGAGGAGGAGGAGGAAGAGGAGAAACGTGCCCTTAGGGAAGTGGGATACTGCGAAGTGGATGGGGATTGGCGCGCTGCGAAGGTGCGGAGGGGCGCGAGGTGCCTCGTCGTTCGGGAGAGCATCGTGGTGTGATGTGATGATATCGGTTGGTGTTGCTGGTTTCGACGGATCTAATTATAATTAAGGGTAAGTGGTAAATGTAAACGAGAGGTTCGAAGCTTTAAGCTTTAAGTTCTTTTTTTTTTTGGGGTTTTTTTGGAGGGACGGGAGCTCTAATACATGTTGAAGCTTCGTCAGTTACCCCACTAGTAGTGGCTTGAGCCTTAAAATTATGGAATGGAACTTAATTTTATTCTCAGCCCCCTGTCGGAGGGCTGCTGCTTGCTGATCCACCGGGGGAAAAGGTCCCGTTCTAAGCCCGTTGGGGCAAGTAACCGCTCGTATCGGAACGGGCAGGTCCTTTAATTAGCACAAGGTAAGCCTGTATTGTAGGTATGTTAGCGCATACCCGCTATCGATAAAGGAGGTTTAACTTACAGACACCATGTCCATATGGAAAATGGCAGGTGAATTCTAGGTTTAATGTACGATTTAGGTACATACAAATCTCCAACTTGAACAATCTGTTCTCAGATCCTGCTAGAAGAAGATCTTGTTAAGCTTATATACCTACCTAACCTAACCTAAGGTATATATAAACCTGCGCGCGTTAAGACGGCGTCCTGGTTCAAGCCTCTCTGAGTTTATATATTTTATATTAATTGTAGCCTTGATCTTCATATACAATTCCCTCCAATTGACTACCTCTACCTATATAACTATATATCGTACCTTTCCCTCGGTTCCAGTCGACTCTCTCTCCCTCTCCCTCTTTTATCTTCTCTTCTATATACATACCTTACAGGCGCAATGGTACGTTCCCAGCGCTACAAGTTATCCCCCAGACTATCTCGGACGACGCAACCGCTAACGCAAAACCCCATCATCCTCTAGGCCCAGACTCTCGAGCAGCGAAGGCGGAACGCCAAATTCGCCAAGGACCAGGACGCCCGTCGCGGCAAGTCGGAAACCGAGATCAAGAAGCGCACCAAGGACGTGCAAAAGTCGCCCATCTCCCCCTTCTGGCTCGGTAAGCTACCCAGCTACCTACTTAACCTAGCTAGCTAATCCTATCCTCGTTGAGTCCTTCGAGCTGTAAGTAAGCTAACTAACGCGCGTAGGTATCCTCGGCTTCATCGTGTTCGGCGGTCTGATATTCGAACTCATCTCGCGCATCTTCTTCCGATAAATAAATAACTGTTACTGTTACTGTTACTATTTCTACTGCTGGGGATAAGCAGGGATACAATAGCGTCCTTATACCGGTCCGAGGTTCTTAGAGATGGTTCGGTGCGACCCGAATAAGACGGACAAATCCTGTGATTACAAGCTGTTTACCTATGGACGCTTTACAAAAAAAGGGAGGGGGATCTTCAAAGTACATACGTGTATTGTCTAGGAGATCGATATGATTGATACATGAGCGGGTTAGCTCTGCAAGAACAGTGTATCGTGCTTTTAGGGAGGCCGGGTTTGTTTGTTTTTCTAGACGCGTTTGCCAAATTCCATGTACCATTCTTCAATTTCGATGCTTGATGGCCTGACTCATTTGATAGTCTGAATGTGAAGCCTGCTATACCTACCTAGTGCTTACATACCATATAGGTGGACATCGAGATTGAACAACGACCACCTGTAATGAAGTAGTCATGTTTGATACACATCTTAAAAAGTTAACATGTGTTCTGTTCAAATGCGTACAACTAGCATTGGAATATCTTAATTGATATCATGAGAGCAGCTAGACTAATCCAGCGCTCGCGAGTGCGGGTGCCTCGAATCAGATGGTATAAAGCCTTGACCTTTCAAAACGCCCTTTTTCGTATAAATACAGATAAAAAATTACGACCAATCATGCTCCAAGACCCCTCTTCTGACCCTGGCCTTCGTTCTTCATCCTCATCCCCATGTCATACTGTCGCTCTAGGTCGTGCTGGACTCGGTCAATATACGCCTTCGAAGCCGAGGGCGCCGTACGGTTCCCTGCGTCCGATGCGCCGTTGGATTTCTTCGCGCCGAGAAGACGGAGGAATTTCTCCTTCCTCTTGTCGTCGCCGTCTAGGGCTTGGGCGTTCCACTGCTCGCCGCCGTTAGTATTCCCTCCAGCTTCAACGGTGGCGGCTGACACGTACTCCTCGGCCTGTTCCTTGTCCTTGCGCTTCTTCTTCTTCTCCTTCTTTTCCTTGGGCGCCTCGACTTGCTCGGCTTCCTGTTCCTCGGCGGCCTTCTCTAGCTTTCTCTTCTTCTTTTTCTTCTCCTCCTTGGTTAATTCCGCACCACCGTCAGACGAATCGCTAGATTCGCCAGCGTCTTCCTCCTCCTCTGCCTTGCGCTTGCGCTTCTCGGCTTTCTTTTCCTCCTTCTTCTTTTTCTTGTCCTTCTTTTCCTTCTTAGCGGACGCTTTATCTTCGCCATCTACTCCTTCCTTCTTGGCCTTCTTACGAGGCTTGGAGTCATCAAGAGGGATGTAGTCGTCATCTTCGGACTCGACGTCATCTTCGGACTCGACGTCATCTTCGGAATCGACGTCCATCTTCTCAGCCTCGTTAGACGGCTCGTTCTTTCCAGCTTGTTCTTTCTTCTCGGCTTCTTCTTTCTAAATCGCATACACAAAATTAGCAAATGCGCTTTACGCAGCGGCAGACCCGGGTTACGTTACCTCGCGCTGCTCGTCGAGAAGATCGGCGCGGGCCTTTGCCCTCTGCGCCTCAGCCATCAGCTTGATAGCTTGCGCCTCCAGCTTCTGAGCACGCAGGCGCAGGCGCTTACGTCGCTTCTCCTGCTTGTGTGGTCGGTTGGCCAGCTTCTTCAACTTGTCCGCCGCCTTGCGCTCTTCGTTCCACTTAGCCGCACGTCCAACGTTCGCCTTACGCGCCTGCTTCGCTTCGGACTTGGCATGACGCTTTTCTTTGCGGGCTTCGGCTCTTGCGATTCGTTGCTCTTGCTGTCTCTTTAGCTTGGCCTCTGTTAAAAAAAATCATATATATTAGTGATCTATTCTCTAGTTCGTCGGAAGAATGATAATACCCTTGCTTTCAGCTTCGCGACGAAGCTTTTCGGGGTCAAGCTTCTTCCACGGCGAAGGATCGGCAGCTTCCATTTTGCAGAATTAGAATTTAGTGAATAAAGTAGCTAATAAGGTAGAGATGTGAAATTAAGTTAATGTTATGAGATAAGACCGTACGCTTCCGAATAGAACCTCAGAAGTTTTGTTGAATCGAAGATGTATTACAGGTCTGAATAGTTGAAAAATGATCTGCTCGGCTGCAATTGATTTAGGACCCAGAAAAAAAAAGTTGTCGAATTTGGAGGAATTCTGCCGCGGGGAGTTTTACGCCGATAAAAGGGCGGTGTATGGAGGTACCTAAGTATCTAGCTAGTACTAGTAGTATGTACCTAGGTACCTATACTGTATTTATACGCATTGTACATGATGTAGGTACCTGTTAAGGCTGTTTCCTTAGCTGCCTTACCAGCCGCTACCTAATACCTAGCAGTAACTACCTAGACCTAGGTTACCTAGGTTACTACCTTTAACAAGTGTTTAGCGGCCTCAGCATTACCTAAACTAAAGGAAGCTGGGCTCCATCTTTATACATTTACATAATAGGCGTTACCGCCAGGTTAAAGGAGTAGCCTTCGGGATTTCACACATTACTTATATTTCGCCAGAATATCCATGGCAGTCGAACCGCTCTTTTCTCCAATATTATTACTCTTATATTCCTTTAATCCTACAGAAGGGTTACCTCATGTAGCCCTGTGCAACCTTGTTAATTCCCCGTAAACCTCTTGCAACACCCGCCGTAGCTACAATGTCTAGCTTCAAGCGAGCGTCGCAATATGGCGCGTCGCAGTATGGCGCGCCATCCAAGCCAAGCATCCTAAGTGCATTGCGAGCAACCTCGATGATAGAGACGAAAACGGCTCTTCCAGCTGGTATGTATATAAAGTTATCCTACCCGCTAGTCATCTAGGTATTAACTTTGGGTGACAGAAATCATCGTCTCTATACTCGATTACTTGCCGATACCAGATCTTCTTCGGTTTGCAAGGACATCAAGCCGGATGCGTGAGATGGTATATGATGACACGAGATGGGTAGCGAGACTTAAGAGCATGGGATGCTGGAACGAGTTGGAAGCCAGGAAAAGATTCGAGGAAGCTATAAAACGAAAGCGGGAAGCTACAGGACGGCCGAATGCTAATGGCGTTCCAAATTCTGTAGCAGGGAGACAGACAAGTACGACTATTTTCGATGCTACTTTGGAAGAGGAACGCCGAAAGGCCCAAGAGGAAAGAGCTTTACAGCTCCAGGAATCAAGACTCGACGGGTTCGAGACACTGAGTTTAACCCAACCGCAGTCTAAGTCACCTTACGAAGATCCAGATGCATTACTCAATGTGCTCAAGAATGTCAGAAGCATACGGGGCCATGCGAGGCAAGAGTACGGCAAAATCTATGGTGCTCTTGCGCCCTTTTATTTCGACCTAGCGCGAGCGAAGAACCATACCGAACCGATCGTATTCAAGGTATTTCGAGATCCAGAGAGGCAAGCGCAGATGCTATCCAATTTGCAAACGTTTAGCAAAAGCGACTGGACCGAGGGTTATATGCAGCGAGAAGCTAGACTCATTAATATGACAACTCTCTTCGAAAGCGCGGTCCTGAGAGAGTTCGAGCAGGGATACGAATTCTGGGACGTCGATGGCAGGATGAAAAGATATGCTCATGTGCTTCATAGCTTGAACGGTGGCAACGCAGCGATGGATCTCTTTATTCACAAGCATCCGATTCTCAATGACCGCGGAGCCATAGGCAATCCGATGGATTGTATCAATCAAGCCCCTCAAGATAGCATCACCCTCGAGCCTTCCCGCGCCTTCTTCAATTCTCTTGTGAAGAAAGTCAACGAGCAAGGCGATTTAATTGGCCGTATCTTCCCTCAGGCAGCAACTGTCTTCTGGGTCTTTGTGGACAAGGTCCGCGAAGAAATCATCATGGAATATGTTACACCCCTATTAGACGAATGCCACGATCGGTATATGCCGTCCTACTTAAAAGCCGTGTCCGGTTTGTTCGAGCAATGCATGGAATTTGTTCAGTTACTTACCCCGCCTAAGGGCCCTTCTGAAAAAAGCTTGGAAGACCACGCAAAAGAGATAGCCCTAAGGGTGTTTGAACCGCATCTTGATCTCTACTTGCAAGAGGAGCTGGATAGTTTGACAAAGTATGCCGAACGCGAAGTTGGAAACTGGGAACAGAAGCTCTCAGAGCAAGAGGCCACAGTTGAATCATTTTATATGGGAAATTTTAACCGACAGGCTGACAAAAACGACTTTCTGAGCTCTTTCAAGAAAGTAGTGATGATGCCAGTCACAGTCTTGCCTTTCGGGACTACCAAGGCGACGCCAGCAGCGGCTGCTACCAGCAATACGCTACGACTATCAGTGGCTGGTACACCAACGTCGTCCCGCCCTCAATCACCTGGACCTGGTGATACCTTGGAACGGACCGCGAGTCCTCTGCCTTCTGAAGCGCCCACGGATGAACTAAAGGCGAAAGCTGCGCTCATGGCAAACCGACTTGAAGGGATCAGGAGTCTCTTCAGTATCGAGGTTGCTCTTGATTTGGTGCACGCTGCGAAGGAAAGCCTTGGAAGAGCTGCGAAGTTTATGACATTAGGCGGTCAAGCAGGAGAGGAAACCCGAGAGCAATGCGAAGCGATGTTCGTTGTCCTAGTGAAGATTCTGGGTCAGACACATGTTAAAAACGGGTTTGCGAAAGCCGTGGATCACCTTTCCCGGTATAACCCTCGAGAAATAAGCGATCATAGCCAGACCGGAGTGGCACCGCTCGTCATGTTCATCGAATTGGTCAACGTTGGGGATATTATCTCACAAATGATCGACGTATTTTATGAGCAGCAACTTGCGGCGCCCAAAATCGCTGACCGAAACGACTTTCTCGATCCTGCAGGCCTAGCTAAAAAGAAGTTTGAACAAATGTTGGACGAGAATGTTGCAGCAGGTCTCAATAAAGGCATCGACGTACTGATGGACGAAGTCGAATACCTATGCGCGACGACGCAGCTACCTACCGACTTCAATCCATCGCCTACCCCGCAAGACATCGGAGCATCTAAGGATCCCGATATAGGCCCAACCACAACCGCAAAGCGCGTTACCGAACTAGTAGCTTCTCATACGAAGATGCTAGTAGGGAGTACAGAGAAGACTATGCTGGACGTGTTCAACGGCGAAGTTGGACTACGTTTGTTCACAGCCGTGTGCAAACATATCAAACGACAGCGTATCAGCACCCAAGGCGCGATCAAACTCATCGCTGATATGAACATGTATTTCGAATATATTAAGACGCTCAAGAACCCGGATCTACTAGTATACTTCAAAGCCTTACGGGAATTAAGTCAGATATACCTTATCGACGCCAAGCATGCCAAAGAGATGGCGATCATTATCGCCGATGGCGACCGTTTCGGCGGCATATTCCGAGCCGAGGAAGTATATGAGTTTGCTGAAAGAAGAGCCGACTGGTACCAGGTCAAGAAGGATGTAGAGAGAGCCATGTACGGACTCGAGTGTCAAATAATGTAGGGATGTCATCCTTCGTTGTCCAAAGCATCAAAAACCCACCACCCTGGCTTTCCGTTTAGATTTGCCGGCCTGGTCGCACCGGTTACGGGGCTCATCTTTCTGAAAAGCAAGCATCTATTCGGAGAGTCTTCGGAGGATGAGTGTCAGTCGCGGGATCCTTCCAAGATCCTAGACGAGTTTGAGATGGAGATATTTCCATCGACTGTTGTGTGGCCCGATCGCTGATTGAAACCACTTGAAACAATCAAAACCCGGTCTGATCTCAGACTGGATTTTAAGGTTCTAACAGACTCGAGAAGTTACTATTCCGGCCGGCTAGAAGCGAACCATGTCATCGGGATAATGCCTGCATCGAATGGATTGCGTACTACCATTGGCCTAAATGGTAGATCTGCCACCGACATTTCGGGTACTACGAGTAAGATGCCAGGCAATAGTACACCATCCTCCATACTGTCTTTGGTTAATTATATCACGAATCTTACCCCATGACTATACTCAGCCCTACAAGAACAAGTAGCTCTGCAGCAGGTATAGAAGAGAGACACCCCAAGGAATCTTCCTATAAGGTTATTATTATCGGGATTTGCGACAGGATAAGGCGGTGTGGTGCCCAATGGATTAGATAAAAAGGACTCTTGCGGTTGCGTCTCATCACCTGGTTACCGTTGCCAGTAACGCAATGACCTAAAGCTGACAAGCCCTCCATGTACCAAAGCAACCGTATGAAGAATTCGGTGTTATAAGTATCACCTATTATACTAATACGTAGTAGGAACAGGCAGCTAGGTATCATATGTACCCAGGCTCTAACCTAGGAGCATACTAGATCTAACTACCTGATCGTCTGACTCATTAGTACGGGACGCCAGAGGAGAATTTAACAGGCCTATACGCCAAGGAGGAGCTTGACTACATGCATATGATGAACCTATTTGATATATGATTGGCCTTGTAGCTAGCCTAGCATTTGCTTACCTCGCTTGTTTATGTAATGCGTTGATCAACCATTGGCCCCTTTATATTACAGGACGGTCTGAGAAGACGGACAGCATTCGACCCCAGAATTCGAAAAGAACAAAACCAGACCATACACATTGCGAGCTGTGCGGTCGCTTACAAAAGCGATTTTCGCACTTCACCGCCGTATTCGGTGTCCATTTGGGCGACATACATAGTACATACCTAGGTAGTCTCACGAGTTCGAGTTAGCGACTAGGATGATCTAGGATGATGCCGATTGTGTCAGAATTCCAAACAGCTGAATGGACAGAAATCATGGCGTTCGTGTTGCCAGGGCCAAGGGCCAGCGAACAGGGCCAGTGAGCCTAAAAGAAAATCTACCTGGTCATCTCGCAGCATGCAGTGTAGGTACAAGCCTATCGAGTCTCGCGGCTTACGGTTAATACCGTGGAACTCGCGAATCCATATCCTGACTTAAGCAGTAATTACGCATTGCAGAAAATCCCTGTCGGTATAGATTTCACCCCACTGCCCGAACCTGGAACTGGACCTGGCCTGGACCTGGAGACTTGGACGGGGGTCTACGGGTATGCAATTACTACCTAAGGTCGTGGCTTATCCCTTGCAATATCTGGTTTGCATAGTACCTTTTTTTGTGAGACCTAAGAGGATCTTATTGACGTACGAATGCGGTAGTTGATCTACCTTTTCAGACAAGGCTCACTGCCCTTTTAAAGCGGACAAGAAATCAACAGTTTGGCTCGAAGGATCTCAGCCGCATGACAGTTTAAGTCCTAAGGCGCACGTATATCCATGGTAGAAACATGGAAGACCTAACATCCAAACATCTTCTTCATCACACCCCACCGGTCCGAACCGTAATGAGCATAGACAGTACCTATCCATGGCTTGGTCGGTGGAGTCCGAAACATGGCTTGAAAGTGAGATAAGCTTTGGGTAATTTACGTCGGGGTCTTTTTCTTATTCAAACTTCACTTACAAGTTACAACGACTACTCTACTTCCGTCACGAGGACGTAAAGATTCACTCTGCGTACCTAAATAATATAACACATCATACAAATTACATACATCACCTATATTACATACGCCACATACACCACATATACCACGTACATCATATCTACTTTGTACTTTACATACAACAAATCACGGGAGCGGTATAAGAAATCGAAGCTTGGATACCGGGTGTGTGGGTCGTGGGTAACAAGGTAAATCATCGCGACCCCTATCCCCATTCCGTCCTATCCACCCCATTCCATTCCATCCAGTCCCTGGATTATCATGGAGTCCCCTTTGACGCAGTAAACGACGATTCTATCTACGTACACAAAATTCTGCAAAATTCTAACCATATTATGTATTTTCGTAACTCCGAATTTTTATTGGTTTAAGGGGCCTGAAGGATTGTCGACGTCGTCCTCGAATACAGGGTTCCCCGTCCATTTTTCTCCTCCACAGACAAAAAGACCAAGAGGCAATATTTGTGCAAGTCGTTACCGGAATTCGCCCGTCCGGCCGGCAAGAAAAAAAACTGAGGAATGACGGATCTATCCATCTAATCATCTAGCCAACCTGATTAGCGATTTTACACCACATAAGGTAGTAGGTATCCTTACATATCTTATTTATTCCCCACCATCATTAGATGAGTATACATAAACAGCGATACATTCATAAATGCCAAGCACACCTAGTCCACGATTGGTCTGGGTGAGAAATCGTGTTTCGATTTATTAGAAAGGAAGGAAGGAAGGAAAAAAAAAAAAAAAAGAATCGAGATTAGCTAACTGTGGCTCTGTCCCGGTGGCCATTCCTATTCATCCTATTCATATCCTTAGATATATTCCCTACATACACTAACTGTACTTGTTCCCTGCATACTAGCATACTACTAGCAGTATCTTCAACGGCTAGTTCTCGGACTCTCGATTAGGTAGGACTAGAATAACCACGCTGCCACGATACTAACTTGGGTATAGTTTGGATGACCAGGGCTGCCAGGGCTGCCAGGATGGACGGCTATGGCCTGTGCTTCCGAAGTGTGTCGGCTTTTTACTCTTGCGCAGTTCGAGACGCGGGCGATCCAATAGTTCCATATGTCGATGGACGATGCACAATGCCACCCCCCAAATCCAGAGTAGTTTCTTACCATAGTCGCTGGCTTATTAGTGGCCTCATACCTGACGATAATCTTCCTTCCGCTGTTGTATTGCCGCCGTGCGCGTGTGCAGGAAAGTCTTGCCCTAGGTGCCCTGGATCCTCTGGATCCCCTGGGTGCCCTGGATGCCTTGGGATATTAACTACTAGGTATGTATCAACATGCGCGTCATTGTCGGGTTGCAGCCGTGGCTTGAGTTGAGTCCAGGTTGCTACATGATATCGTCACGTTTTTGCTTGCTGCACGTCGTGCACAACCAAGTAGCCACCAAGTAGCCACCAAGTAGAGAGAGTAGCCCACTCTCCATCCCGAGACTCGAGTGGATATAGACAGACACCATAAGCCTCAATGGTCATCTCGCAATTCTAGCCCGCCCTCGCCAAAGGTACCATGAAGGTTCCATCGTCATCCCGTGTAAGTAGGTAAAAGCTCTGTGAGATATCCCATCCTTGTCATCAGCCTTATATGCTGTTTCTAAGTTACGTTCCGTCGACTGAAGGAAAAAAAGGGCCCCCAATCCTTGTCGTAGATGCATCTATCTCTATCTAGTAGTTACTCGCCTTGCTGCACATTCTCTGCCTATCTATATCCCGGGAGCTATATATGAAGGATGCCGGCCCACGCGGGTCCTAAAAGGATCTAATACCCATCTTCCTTCCCAAGCCTAACTCTCCTCCCTGATGACTACTCAAGTATCTGCTTTAACTACTTTAACAACACCAGCCTTTACCAGCGGAATCTATACAAACATTGGAACAAGAAACACACTGATAATAATCATAATCATAACAATAGCTTCAGTCTTGCCTGTCCTCGACGATCTACAGAAGCACAACCCCCTGAATTAGACTATAGCACAAGTCGAGAGCCATACAAGATGAGTTCACGCTCGTCCAAGAAGTACGAATCAAATACCAAGAAATCCGACAAGCCTAGATGTAGACCATCGACAGACGACTGGACCGAAGTTACAGAGCCGGAGGAGAGAAGACGTATTCAAAACCGGCTAGCCCAGCGGAAATTTCGTACGCATCACCTTCCTCTAAAAATTTATTTTTTTTACATGTCCATTGCAAAAAAAAAAAAAACACAGAACGAGACTAACAGCTCGTGAACAGGAGAAAAGGCCAAAGAGCAGAAAGAAAGGGCCGAGCGGGAGTCCCGCGATCTGAAGAACGCCGCCAGCAGCTACCGGCTGCCGTCCTCGGAGGAGATCGCGGCGGAGGACGGCGTGGACCTCTCGGGCTTGCCGTGGGGGAGCCTCAGTATGACGTACGTGCTGGCGAGGGGCTACGAGACGGAGAGCAGACGCGGCAGCCGCGACGGCGGGGACGGCGAAGTAGATGCTGCTACCTATTATAGCGGCCATCGTCGTAACAATAGTAGCCACTTCGCTAGCGGCGGTATTGACGAAACGGCCGCCGTCGCCGCTGCTGCGCCGCAGTACTACGCCGTGTCGAGCCCGCCGCCGTACCAACCGTACCAGCCCGTCGGCGGCAGCGGCGGCTACGGCAGCAGCCGGGCGAATAGCATCGTAGGCGACGACTTCTCGTACCAGGACTTGACGACTTACTACTACCCGAATAGCGGGTATAATAACAGCCATCACCAGCCGCATCATCAACCAGCGTAAGGCTTCGAAAAGCCAAGAGAAAGAAAGAAAGAAAGAAAAATCGAGAAAAAAAAAAAAGAGGGGTGAGGGAGCGGAGCTAAGAATAGGCTGGCTGGCTCCTATGCATCCAACAAGCTCCTTTCTCTCCTTCTATTCGCCCCGTCTAGGTGCAGCTGCAGGTGTAGATGCAGATCCTCTGACCTGACATTAGAAAACGCCTAGGCCGGGGGCGATTTAGGGGGAGAAGGGTGGGAGTGGGAGTTCTGGAAGTTTTCTATTAGTTAGAACACAGTACGTATGAGAGTATGAGAGGACGGGTAATGACTCTTTTACTATTTTACTTTATTACATATGTTTTTGTTTTTCTATTTCCAAAGAGAGAGAAAAAAAAGTTTTGGGTGGGAGGAAGAATGGTTAGACAGCGCCAGCCGTATGATTTTTTTGGATTTTTTATTTTTTTCTACACTTCTTTCTTCGCGTTACATTCGACTAAACAAAACCGTGTACTATTACTTACATACTTTCTGTCAAAATACCCCCTTTTTCTTGGTACTTTATTCACTGTATTATTACTATTACTATTATTAGTGCCTGCTATCGAATTCGTTATAGTACCGCCTACGAATAGATACCTATCATACCTGCCTTAGTAATTATCTACCTGACTTACTGCAGCTCTTGATATTGCCTAACGTAGGTATGTATATGATCGTCGTACAGTAAGGAGGATGGCGCAAGGGCGACGAGCTGAGGTCTTACCCCGGGTGTAGGTAACGTTTTCTCTCCAGCTAATATACGATTACCTTATAATACATTAGGTAAGAGGTATACATCTCTACCGAGATTTCGTAATAGGAGTGTGCAGTAGTAATTATAATGAGCGGGCGATGCAATCCCACCTATGGGGAATATTCCCCCTCCCCCCTTTTCCCGCGAGCCTCATCGTACAACGCTGATATGTGGCGTAGCCTAGGCGATCTTGAGACATGCCGTCATAATAGAGTAAGGGATCATGTAATGTATGCAGTATATCTTTTCCTTGAAAGTCCAGCTAAGTCAGCTCTTCTGCACAGCTTACTAAATAAACGCCCTGCCTACCTCAATTAAAGTATAGGGCACATTTTCTTTGTAGGGGAGCTTACCTTATCTACCTAGGTAGAGATCCCTGAGAATCCTGCCGTCGGCCGAGGATCGAGGATCGAGATGAAGATTAGGACAACGGCGTCGCTGGATGCGGATGGGCCATGGGTGTACATACCTACCTGTTACTTAGTATACGCTAAGTACAGGACGTAGCTCATATATATATGCAGGTATGTCTTACATATAGTTATATATATTGATTTCTATTTCCATAACTCGCCAAGATATAAGAAGAAGAAAAAAGCAAAAATCCTTAATTCATTCCTTGTCTAGGTACTCAGTTAGATACACAGATGGGCGGCAGATCTACATACATACATAGCATACGTACCTGAGGCTTGTATTCAAGGACTGGGGGAACACAAACGAACAGAAACCTTCTAGAACAAGAAGAAAAGCAATAAAACATAAGACGCAATCCCATCCCACGTGCGCAACGGACAGTGGTGGTGATGGTGGTGGTGGTGGTGGTGGTGTGCGCACGACATGTCCGCCCACGCGGGTTCGTAAATTAATAGGTACTTAATCAGTTCCGCGGGGCTGGCTGACAGGAGCTGAAAAACAACAATACCAACACCAACATCATAAGAGGACGGAATAGGTTTGTGGCTCAGGGGTGGATGGGAAGTGGTTGGTCGTACAACAAAAAAGTCAGGCTTCAGCTCATGTACCTAGTATAGGTAGGGCAAGTAAGTGAAAGTAAAAAAAAGATGTGGTTGCAATGCAGTTTACATAGTTGCCAACATACATATGCCAAAGTATGTCTAAATATATGCAGTGGTTATACAGTATTACATATCTTATACATGTGGTTATACGTACATTTACTTAGGTACCTGTTATACACATGGTTACAGTTACACAAACAGCCCTGTCTCATAAGGTTATGACTTTGAGGTAGGGTTATCTATAGAAGAAGATGTTAGATGTACCTATCTTATCTTACCGAGCTAAGTACCTATCTAAGACATTCTCCATTATACATTTCCCTACACGTCCCATCGCCACGTGCATGTGCAAGTGTCTCGCGTGCTCGCTTAACACTTATCTCCACGCGTACCTAACCTAACCTACCTAAGGTACCTACATAAGTACTCCTACCTAAGCCCCATCCTAATTAACCCCATATCTTCTAATCCCCGATAGATTACTCATCCTCAAACCTCCGGCATTGACATCTTCGGATTTACCTAGTACTTAGACTTACATGCTTATATAATAATGTCTCGGATACAGTAGTATTCATTTATATACGATTTAGTTATATTTATATCTCGTCCTGTACTCCGCCTTTCCCTTCCGTCCGAACGAACGGCACCCGGATCGGTACGAGCTGGAAAAACTTAAAGAAAACCGCCACAACAAAGAGGAACCCATTACAATACTACATACCTAGGTACATACAGGCAAGGTAGTTAAGGCAAACCTAGTACCTAGTAATAATACAGCACTAGTAAACAACCACCCGCGCCGTGCCGCAACCGCAACCGCAAAACGCACATAATTTAAGGTTAAAGGTTAAATTCTATCTGGATATGCTGTGCTTGCTTGTGCCGCTATGCTACGCGATGCTTATGCTTATGCTATGCTATGCTGTGCTGTGCTGTGCTGTGCTGCGCCAGCCAGCCGCCTGACCGCGTGGCTTTCAGGGGTATGGGCATGGCATGGAATGAAAACGAAGCCGAAACGGAAAACCCAAGTACTAAAAATCCATCTAACATACTATACTATACTAATACCTAACCACCCCATCCAAAATCTTCAGCAGCTTTTTAACTAATTAATAGTAGCTTCAGCTTTCGACTTTCAGCTCCCTCCCTCCTTCCTTACCTAAGTACCTAACCTAACCTGACCTCGCTTGACCTGACAGGCTGACACTGACCTGACCCTAACCAAACCTAATAAAGTTATCGTGTCTTTTTCTTGGGTAGTATCCATCCCTAATCCCTACCTACATAAGCCTTTTAGCTTGATCTTCGGTTAACCTCACTACTACCTAGGTAGGTAGGTAAGGTAGGTAGTGTAAACCTACCAAGACGTATCATCGAACTACATCGAAACAGAAAAAAAAAAGCCTTACCTACCACAGACTAATAGGTACCTACCTAAGGTAATCAATTAAATCAAGTTTGTTTAGGGTGGTAGTGGGTTTTGATCCTCGGAGACAACCCTCGAAGCTGAAATCTCGCGAGTATCTTACCTAAAGCAATAAGCCCTCTCCTCTCCGCCCCTCCCCTCCCCTCCTTTAACCTTCGTATCGTGATTGAACGAAATCGGGCCTAGGAAATAAATAAACTTGCTTCCTTGAACGAACGAATGAATGAATGTTCGAATGATAAAATTAAACGCGTTTAGCTGAATGCTAAAGACTAAAGTACATATTACAAGAATTATAAAGAACAGAATAGAAGAAGAAAAAAACCGCGGTATTGGCATCGTCGTACCAGGAATACCTGGCTCAAACCATAACCTACCTAGGTACCTAGGTAGCCCTAGCATAGGTATAGGCTTGGCCAACTCGGCAACGTCAAGCAAAGCAAAGCAACATCAAAGCGCCTTCCCTTCCTTCTGCCTAGGCAATGCAATGCAATGCAAAACGCAAGCGCAAACGCAAACGCAGGTTCAGGTTCCCGTAAAACGCCTTGCTCGTATCGTGACTGTGATCGTGATCGTGATCGCGGGTTCTAAGACACCACCACCCTCCTACCCTCTCCCTAGACTAAAACCTGCGAAATCCTTCCGTATCGTACACGAGACAAGGGTGGTAATTAAGTGCTTATCCTGCGGCATATCGTCGCCAAGTACTATGCAAACGTCAGGTATGATATTAGCAAGGGGCCAGAGACTTACGTACGCAAGTAGGTACGTATTGTACACGACGAATTAGAATCATCCCCCTCCCCTTTAGCCCTGTCGTCCTCTCGCTTCCCGCCTGCTTGGTCAGCAAGGAAATCCATCCCACGGCGGCTTCCGTTCATCCCCTGGCCACGTGGCCAAATAGGCACTCCCAGACGTCGTGTCTATGGACGACCTCGCCCATGCTCTGGTCCTTACACATGAGCTTCGAGACCGAGGCCTGCTCTAGTTCTCGGGAGTTCGCCACTTCGAGATTGAGGTCCAATGCCTCCGGATCTGGCTCTCCCTCTTTCTCTTTGCCCTTGGCGCTCTGGCCGAGTTGCTCGAGACGGCGCTGGACGGAAATATTATAGATGTTTTGTTCCACCGTGCCTTCTACTAGGTATAGCCACACTGTCGTCTCGTGCTTCTGCCCGATCCGGTCTACTCGTGCGATAGCCTGGAGCTCCAAGGCCGTGTTGAGGAGCGGCTCGCACAAGAACACGTGGCTTGCGTTAATGAGGTTGAGGCCGCTGGCGTGCGCTCTGGCGTCCATCAAGAAACATTCGACATCAGGATTTTCTTTGAACGAGTTGATACCCTGCCTCTCCTTGAAAGAGGAATATACGATCTTGTATTGGCTGAAAGCCTGGCCGAGGGTCTCGAGGAAGTCGCTATACTGTGAAAATATAACAGACTTGGCGCCTGGGTCTTCAACACGCAGCCACATCAGGTGCTTTGCTAGCGTATCGATCTTGGTAGTGAACGAAGGGCCATTTAGATTGATACTCTGGATGGCCTCGAGCTTCTGGCTACTGAATCTGGTATATATACCCGGCTCCTTGGACTTGCTACCCGTGCTAGCTCCGTCTGATGTCTGCGAATCCCCCCCTTGCGGGTGTTCTTGGTGAAATCTCAACTTTTGCTTTTTCTGCGTAATGTCGTGGAGCATTTCCTTTAAGAGTTGCTTCTTGCAGACGGGGCATGTGCGGCTTCTCTTAAACCAAGCCTCGATACACTCCTTGCAGAAGTGATGCCCGCAGGTAGTAAGCACTCCAATTTCGATGGTACTATGGCAAATCACACATATTACTTCAGAATCTTTGCCTCCTTCTTGGAGATGGACAACTATGAATCGCGTTAGTTTATAATAAATATGGCTAGAATTAGTATGTTCTCGTTCAGGGGAAAGCCTTACGGTAACGATACCTTGGCAGCGCCGCGGCAACTTTCTCCCTCAAGTATTCCTCTATTCCGAGGTTGGTATCAAACCATTTTTTTATGTCTCCTCTGTCTGGGTCTTCCCCGAGCGGGGCGACACTATCGGAAATTTCCTGTAGCTGTCGGTAATACTCCACGCGTGCGTTCATTGCTCTGGTGAAAGCGTCCAACTCTCTCCCCAAGGCTATCGCAGTCTTGTGCTGTACGCCAATCTGCTCTTGTGCAAGTTGAAGCGTCCGTTCTACAATATCCAGTTCGATCCTCGCACGATTGCTCCCCTTGCTAAGATCGTAGCGAAGTTTCGTTGCCAACTCTCGAAGATCCGTAATGATGCTCCGGAACGAAGTTCCCTGGAAATCCTGCCTGATCTTGTCACGTTTCTGAAGCAACATGAGGACCTTCTCAGGTGCGTGGCCTTCTCCATCTTTAGCTTGGCGTTCCGCAAGGCGAGTATCGTATTTAACTCGCTCATTCTCTAAACCTGTCAGTGAATCCTCTCTGTCGGCAATGACAGCTCTCAGAGCTAACGTATATGCCATCAACTCATCCTGAGTTTTGGTTGAGTCCTCGTATTCTTCACCCGTGTTTTCCCCTTGGCCCTCTTCGTCTACGAGTGGTCGAATTAGCATCTGAATAATAGCCTCCCGCCATTCATCGATCAAAGTTGCTTGCTCGCCGAGAACCTGGGCGAGTAGCCGAAAGTTGTCTGAGACCCGTCTACTATCCAGGCCATGATAGGAAGGCAACTTTATTTCGGGAACCCCGATAAACGATTGCGACGACGCCTTTTCCCTGATTTGAGTGACGCGCGACAAAGCTTTGGACTGTGCTTCGCGCAAGATTTCTTGCCGAATGACTTTAGCCTTTTCGTATTTCGAGGCCTCTATTTCTTCCAGTTCTTTGAATGCGTCCGAATTGGGAGCTATGAGTTTCTCATCCGCTTTCATCTGGTAATAGCCGCTGGCGATTAAGAACTCAGCCCTATGGTGGATATCAAGCATGGATCGGAGTTTACGCCTGCACTCGCCAACCTTCTTGAGCGCCCTTCTCTCCTCGGGGTCTTTTTCACCCTCGACATCGCTGTCTTCTCCCTCCATCAGAACGTTGACAGATGCTGCTCGTTTGGCCCTTTCTAGCTGGCTCTGTAGTCGTTTGCGACATTCTTCTTCTATTTCTTCCACCTCGTCAACAACGTCCATCCAAATCGTAATTGCTCCCTCGAATGAAGTCTTATACTCGAGCATCTGGCCTCTCCTTACCGCGCTGAGTAAGTAGTGGCACTGGTCTGTCCTAATCAAAGACTCCCTCTTCTCAACCATAGCATCAAGCACTTCATCAATTGTTTGCAAGGCTTTGTATTTCTGTTCCACTGTCCGTCGAAGGTTACCGGATCCTAGAGAAGGGTGCAGTATTGCCTTCCTTAGTTGAGAAAGAGCACTTCTCATTGTTTCTAGTGTCTGCGGATTCATAGCGTCCCAAAAAGGATGGTCTTCAAGAGGTGAACCACGCTCGTCAACCCCGATTTTCGTTGCGAGATCTTTGAACAATGTCTGGTAGTACTCCTCCTCAACTGTAGTAAACGGCATGGTTATAACATACCGTTTTTGAGGTGGCAAAGTTAGCTCGTCTCGAACGGCGCGCTTCGTGTGTCGTAAAGAGATACGGCTAAAAAGAGGGTAGAATAATTCCTTCCCGGTTGATATGAGCCCCTCCCATATCTTAAAAGAGGAGGCAAAAGGCTCATACCGGAGAAAGACCAGTAAACCCCATAGATCCTTTATGTCGGTCTTCACCGGTGTTCCAGTAACACCCCATGCGTTGATTCGCGGTATGAGTCTTGCAACCTTGGCAGCTTGGCTGATGCCGCTCTCAATTTGTTGAGCCTCGTCTAAACAAACCCTCCACCATGAGATTTGGGTCAACGGTGATTTAGGGCGGTAGTATTTTCTTTGATGCCTCATAGAGCGATCGGGTGGATCTTCTGCATAATGGATTTCATCCTGCAGAACTTTATAAGTCGTGATCACAACGTCCTGCTGTACTAGTTCAGAGACTAATTGTTGTTCATTATGGCTGACACCTTTTAGGCCTTCGTACTCCATCACACGTAACTCTGGTGCATGTTTCTTAAATTCGGCAATCCATTGTCTCCTTAAAGTGTTGGGAGCGACGATCAACGTTGCATTACTTGGTTGCACGTTTTCATCCATGTTGTTGTTCAAGTTCAGAAGATTATCATCACGCTTGTGCATGCAGATAAGGGCAATAATCTCAACTGTCTTCCCTAACCCCATTTCTTCAGCGAGGATACCACCTTTCAAAGCACGTTCACTCTTACGGAATGCGCTTACGTCTCTGGTAATGATGTGATAGAGATTGCTGATGTATACTAATCCCCCGTCTGCATCTTTTGCCTTAATAAACGACAATGGTAGGTCATCAGTTGACGCAGGAGGCAACGGCTCCAGGCCGGGCTCCCCATTTGAACAGTGATTACTCCATGTGACACCTTCTCTATTCAAAAGCCACTGCAAAGCCCTACGTTGGAAGGGGAATAGCGTTGCAGTTAACTTAGGAACTGAGGACGGCAATAAGTCTGTGGGAACCTGTTCGGGAACAAATGCTGCATCGTAAAAAGCCAGAGGCGCAAGCCTCTCTTGGCCGCGAGTCCAACTTCCAAAGAAACTTCTCAGGACTCTCCCACTAAGATCGCGCTGGGCAGAACTTCGCAGTAAATAGGTTGCTGGGTTCCAATTGAGATGAATGGTTAGTTGGAGGAGGTCTCTGTTAATTTGCCTCTCTAGACGAACATCAATGGTTACCCAGATTCCGCCCTCTTCGTTATCAGAATCTCGGCTCTCGGTCATCACGTCCATTGCTGTCCATACTTTCTGTTCAATAATAATTGGACGTCCCAAGACCAGCTCAGACTTGAATGCGCCATAGGGAGATCGGGCACGAGAGGAGATCGTTAAGAGGTCGTCTGGTATATAATGGAAGGAGATTTTAAGGTGGCGGTTAACATTCACACGTGAAATTGGTTCACCAATGGAAAACTCATGTTGGATAGGTCTTTGGATAGTAAATACTTCCCTTCCAATGGGAATTGTTTCAATGCGTTCAACTCGAACGCGTTTATTAGGAGGTTCAGCCTGACCAGTTGCATCCCCATCCGGGGAATTGCTGTCAGACGGAAGGGCACGCAAATACTGTAGGAAATCTGTGGGAAAGGGATCTATACAAGTTTAGCAGTGCTGTTCCAATAAGAATTCAATATTTACTTACCGACCAAGCGCACGTGCTGGCTCTGAACAGGGCCTTTGCGTCGTTTAACCGGCATCTTCAAAGCCGGCGATGAAGCCTAGGACGCCGTGATGTGTGATGTGATGTATGAGTAAGAGACGGCAGGCAGAGAAGCGGCGACGCGAACTACTTGTTATTATTAAGAAAGAACAACCTCGGCGACGCTTCCCAAGAAGAACTCGCAGTGATTTATGTCAACACATGGCTGGGCGGCGAAGTGGGAGGGAAAAAAAGGTGTTGAAGTTGAAGAAGAAGTAGGCAGACGCCTTTTACCTGCAAGATAAACCCCCGAGGGGCCAGTGTCGTTCCTGCCATGTAGGTTATACTTTTGGATGGAGGGGCAATAGCCTATCTTAGCCAGGACCCCGCTATTTAAATCATAAGCGCGGCGCGGCTCGAACGCGCTAGACCTCTAGCGTTTAGCGCAAGACCCACATCCCGCATTTTCGCAATTCAATGTTTGCCAGGGTGGCACGGACCCCACCATCGGAGGATACAAATTTCCCTTGCCGACTTTCTCCATTGAATTTTCAATATCGGATAAAGAAGTTTGGAAGCGCTGTCTGTCTGTCTAAAGCTACAAGTTGCGCCGTTGGAATTTCGAACCGGTTTTGTGGCTATACCCCCCCTTTTCCCCCCTTATTTTCGCGAAGGGTATGGTCATCTTGGGGATATAGTCTAAGGGCCCGAAGACTAGGAGAGAGCGGTTCGACGTAACAGACGTTCAAAATGGTGCGCATAAAGGTCAGTCTAGATATACACACCATCACCAAGACTTATTATATTCATAGCGATTCGTTACCTACTTACACATATATATAGCCACTTCTCAACCCGCACCAATTGCGCACCGCGTTAGCACCCATAGCGCCCGTAACCCCCCGAGCAGCAGCAGCAGCATTCTTCCCGTCGTCATCCATAATAATATCATCATCAATATCGTCGCCATCATCCATCCGAGCGTCCTCCTCAACCACGACCCGCCCCGCCCCCGCGATCCCCTCCCCGACGCCCTTCATCCCGGACGTGCAGACCTTCCTGACGGTCATCGGCCGCGGCCTCAGCCAGCACGCGTCCAAGTTCCCGACGTGGGAGGCCCTGTTCTCGCTGACCTCGGACCAGCTGCGGGAGCTCGGGATCGAACCCCCGCGCACGAGGCGGTACCTGCTGCAGTGGCGGCAGCGCTTCCTGCGCGGCCAGTACGGCATCGGCGGCGACCTGCAGCACGTCGAGGACGGCAAGGCCGACCTGCGCATCCTCGAGTCCGACGCCGACCCCGTCAACCCGCGCAAGTACGTTGTCAACGTGCCCCCGGGGAGGACCGTCAAGGATTGTGCTTTGGACGAGATGTCCCGCGTTCGCGGGTACAAGGTCGAGGGCGCCAAGACCATCGTCGGCCCGTACGCGCTGCCGCTTAAGGGCGGCGAGGGCGCCCGCGTCACCATCACCGAGGGCATGTGGGAGGACCGCCGCGGCCACAAGGTCGACGGTGGTGAGAGGAGGAGGACCGAGATCCGTTACAAGAGGCGCATTGCTGAGAGAAGGGAGATGAGAGAACGGGGTGAGCTGTAGAAGGAGAATATATAGCACCGACGTAACCCGAATATATAAAAAGAAAGAAAGAAAAAAAACCCTTGTACTTTATGTACTATAACCATAACCATAACCATAACCGTAGCCATAGCCATAGCTATTTGTCCTACGCGTGCTTGTAATCCAACGCCGAATAATGCTGTAATTTATTGCCCTAGAAGTAATGCCCTATCCATTCATACCCTAGGTACCTACCTAAGCACCAAACCTGTACCATCTCTACTAGTTAGGTAGGCAGACCTCTAAACTCCCAACACCAGATCAATATTCATAGCCATCACCCGATCTACTGCTCTCTCGCCGTTCAGAACTCTATTTCGTCGCACCGAAGTCCAGCTTCCGAGCAACCTTCGATGTCTTATCGTCTTCCACTACGCCGGGGCGCCTCTTAAGATCCGCACCAAGCTTGTCCTGCCCGCCCGACTTCTTGGGCAGGTCCTGCTTGCGCGTGGGCTTGGGGTCTTTGTTCCACCACTCGTGCTGGAGCATCCCCAGGGCCGTGATCCGCTTCTTAGGATCGAGGGTCAGCGTCTTCATCAGGAGATCGACGCCCTCGGTGCCGACGGTGCCGAAGAACGACATGTAGTAGTCCCTCCCCCGGACGGGGTGGATCTCCCCTTCCGTAGTATACGCCGGGAGACTCGTGACTCCCGGCCAGTTCTCCTCCGTGGGCGTGCCGATGGCGTTGCAGATGAGGCTGATCTGCCGCATCTCCGTATCGCCGGCGATGTACGGCGTCCTTATGATCAACTCGGCAAACACGAGACCGACGGACCAGATATCCACCGCGCCCGAATAATGCTTCGCTCCGAACAACAGCTCAGGGGGCCTGTACCACCGCGTGATAACATTGGCCGTCATGGGCTTATACGGATCCGAGAAGCTTCGGGCGAGACCAAAATCGGCAAGCTTCACCTCTCCGTCCGCTGCAATCAGCAAGTTGTTCGGCTTGATATCTCGATGCAGCACGAAGTTCTCGTGGCAGAACCACACGGCCCTCGTCAGCATGCCCATCCAAGCCTTGATATCAGCCGCGCCGTACCTGACGCGATCGGTATCGCGAATGAGCATTTCCAAGTCGCCGAGAGGCAGGTACTCCAAGACGAGATTGAGGTTCTGGTTTTTGGAAGAGAAGACAGAGTGTAATGTTATTATATTTGGGTGCGATAGCTCCTGTAAATGTTTGATTTCGCGGATGGCGTCGGGCGCCATGCCTTCCGTGTATTCTTTCTGTATCTTGATCTTTTTTATGGCTACCAACTTCGTGGGATCGCTCTTTAGGAAACCGAGGTAGACGTTGGCGTAAGTACCTTCACCGAGTTTCTTGCCTTTGAAGAAGGTCTCAAGTTAGCACCACATCGTGAACATTTTGTTATCTATCTCATAAAGTTGACAAACATACCCTTAACATACTTGCGCTTCTCCTCCTCGTTTAGTTGCTCCGCAAGATCTAGGGATGCTGATTGCGCTCCCGTAGCTGCGTTCGGCGCCGTAGACGCGACTACGGGTGTTCCATTAGACGACGCCTGGGCCGAAGTTGCATTCTTAAGCGGCGACGATACAGATCTAGGGTTCGGCAGAGCATCCGCGGGATGTATAATCACAGGCGATACCGCCATCGTGAAATGCAAGTACCCTTCGCCCTCGGGAATTAAAGCTCAGGGATAAGCAGTTGCAAGGACTGAAGTGACAATTAGTTCTGTTCAACCTTGGGGAAAATAGACAAGGCTATGGATTCTCGATATAAAGACAAGGTACCTCATAGGTACGAAGTGCTACGTATAGTAATGGTTGATTAATTGTGATTGGTGAATGGTGATGTTGAAGATGCAATGCGCGATGGTTGGCCCAAGGTTGTGCTATATTCCCCACAATGATATTTACCTTTAGGTACCTAGGTACCTTAGTCTGTATAGTTCTTTATACAGTATATACAGTGTTGTCGTTACTGTGAGCACAACATTTAATGGTTGCATGCTTGCGTATCTTAGGTAACTTTTCTTATCTCCGTTGCAGCCTTTCGACAAGTACGTTGACGTCACCATTCCTTCATTCGGTTCGCAAGCAGCCAGGACTTCAATCAACATCTCTAAAACCCGAGCCGGCCTGTTTAATTCCCACGGAACCCGAGTCTATCTACCTAAGATAATTCCCTTTAATTAGGTACCTAGGGCTGGCCAGGTCCACGTACGCATGCAAGCACAGCCCTTGGGGCCTGACGCCAATGACGAATTTCTGTCTTAGTCGTTTTCCATACCTAGTCGGACATTGTGCTATCCCGTAGGTCCCGGAGCATTCCATACATACTACCGCCTAGTATAGTAATTCACTTTACTATTATGGACCTCTACTCTTTTTATGGCTTTTTTTTTCTCTTATGCCCCATAAGCCACCAAGTAAAATCTAGGCAATAGAATGAAGTCATAGGTCGATCTCTCTTTTTTTTTTTCTTTTTTTTTTCTCTGAGGCTTGCTTTCACACAAGAGACAACTCGTTACTCATCATCATCATCGTTGTCAACAACGTGATCTCTTACATCTTAGACTTGAACGCGCAATCTCTCTCTCTCTCTTCCGTTCGTCCCAATTCATTGTTCCCGTGATCCTTTTATTGTTAATCCGGGCTGTGCATTCATTCTATTGTATTGCATTGCATCTTTCTCTTACCCAGCATCTTATTTTCGCTCGTTTCATTTACTATTATAAGGCTTAAACAAACCTTCTTCCCCCCCTATACCTACCTATACGTAATTTCTAGAAGATATTAAAGTAAACTTTAATTAGAATATTACCCAAATCTTTCAGGGGAAGATAACCCAAGATGCGGTTCCTGTCGTATTGGGTAAGCAAAAAAGAATTCTTTATTATCCCAATTGCCCTCTTGTGAGGAATCTAGGTACCTACCTGCTAACATGGTCGCAAAAAGGTGTTTCCCATCATATCCGGCCTCATGTGGCTGGCGACGTTATTAGGCCTTCTTCTATACTGGATCATAGACGCCCACCGAGTTCACTATGCGTCCATGGACGACGACCAGACCATTGCCTACATATCGGACGTCGGCGCTTCCAAGCTGAAGCCCTTGTTCGTCACGGGATGCATCATCACCACCATATTCCTTGATCTGTCCTTCGGGGCTGACCGCTGGTTGCGGCATCGCGGTCGCCTGGTGCCCAACACCTCTACCGGTGAGAAAGTGCTGAGCGGCCTGTGCATCTTTTTCGCCGTGGTTGGCACGGTTGGCCTGACTTGTCTCTCCGGGTTCGATACACTCCGGTACCCGAAGCTGCACGACATCTTCCTCCTGCTCTTCATTGCAGGGTATCTCTTATCAGCCATCTTCATCTGCTGGGAATTCCAGCGTCTAGGTCATAGTAAGTCTGCACCACACTGCTAATTTCGCTTATAATCAAATAGGGATGCTAACGTAAGAAACCTCACCGCAGAGAACCGTCAGCACCGTGTCCTGCGCATTTCATTCTGGATCAAGGTAATATTCATCATCATCGAGCTCGCTCTGGCCATCGCCTTCGGCGTGATTAACTTCCGGGGGGACCCCAACACGTCCGCCGTCCTCGAGTGGGTTATCGCCTTCGTATTCTCGTTCTACGTCTTCTCCTTCTACATCGACTTATACCCTGCTGTCTCTACCCGGAACAACCCGCACCCAATCGGAGATCCCGCTCGACAGATGGAAGAGACCTATTACGCAACGCATCCCAGCGTCGCGCCTACACAAAGGCAAACCCAGGACAGCCAGAGGACGTTAACAGACGGCCACAGCCACGGACACGGACACGGATACGGACACCAATACAAAGCAAGAACAGACCAAAGAGATTTCTAAGCGCCTCTGCTTTTTTGTAATGGTTATGTGTAACTTTACTTTCGGTAGAACAACAATGCCGAGTTAGTTTGGGAACGGCACTAGATCACGATGATAATGATATATACCAGGGATTAGAAGGACCAAGGACACGGCATTTACTCGCGGCGTTTGATGGCCCAGTTGGAGTAAAGTGATTCCAATTTTGGATACAGCATAGGTTAGACCTGTGGCTATAATTCCGTTGTTCGTTCTCTCGGGAGTGATTGCGGTTTTAAGAACTGTTCGGCAGGTACAGCCGACATATTGAGTATACGACAGCAGACTTTTCACGATATAGCATTAATCTGTACGACAGAAACAGGCGGCGTGTGTTAAATGATACAAATATTTTCTGTTACACAAGGTAACAAATATGTAAACATAATATTGGAATCTTTAACAAGCCTCAAATTTAATCAAAAATGACAAACATCAGTATTTAGTACAATATAACATGAAATCGCAACAAATAAAAGATAAAAACAAATCATAGACTCCAAGCCCATAAGCCCTCGCAAATAACAAGAAAGGGGGGAAGTATCGGTGCTGTTACCCCAACGTGTTCGATCAAATCACCAATCCCCCTACAACCAGCCTAATAAAACGTACAGCGTAGACGAACTCCAGGTAAAAAATAAACCCACGTGAACTAATTCTGCTAGCAAAGAATGAAATAAAAACCCCAGTTTTCATGCCCTCACTTCCTTGCGGTTGTTGTCTGGTCCAATTCTACCAACCCTCCATATCGTAAAATTCCGAGAAAACAAACCAAGCAACTACTCCGGAAGTCGAAGGAACCGTAAATATAACTCCGCTTACACCAGCAAAGGATATGTCGTTAACGCAGGGAATAAGCGAAAGGGGGGAAATAGCCATAAGCACGTTTGTGACAAGAATCCACTATTCTCCTTATACCATCTCCACAAACTTAGAATCCCTAGTAGGACTTTGACTCGCAACTGGCGAGCCAAACGGCTTGGGAGGCGTCAAAGCCGTCTTAGGCCGATCTCGCGCCTCGTCGCGAGAAAGCCCATTCTCATTCTCGTCGGTGTCGTCGTCGTTGTCATCATTATCATAATCGCTCACGCTGCTCATCGGTGTCACGGCGCCCGTAACTTCGTCTTCCGGACCACTACTAGTCTGTCCCCGGCCGGCCATTGCGACGGCGCGCACGCTAGCGCTGCGGTTATCCATGCTTGCGGAGCTCTCGATTCCCGTCAAGGCTGCCCCGCCGATGAAACCTCGCTCGACCGACTTGCCCTTCTCGTCTGTGTGTTTCGCTCCCCTGGAAAATCGATTTTTGAACCACGTCTTTACGCCGCCTTTCGATTGCCCTTCCCCGGACTCTCGATCCACCGTTCCGTCTTCGGCGTTGGTATAACCGGGTTCCGGCGGATGCACACTAGCAAGTTGTCCTGCAGTATTCGTAACAACTGTATCGCTCACAGGTTCTGGCTCTTCCTGGCTGTCTCCAGATCGCTCAGCTGTAGGCCTGCGCTTCTCAGTCTTCGCTATCCGCTTTTGCTCAGCTTTGGCTGCCTTTTCCTCTTCTTTCCTGACTTTGGCTTCATGCTTTTCTTCTGCCTTACGCTCCTTCTGCTCCTGCTTGTCTTGCTCTGTAGAATTGTTAGTCAATGAGACCAAAGGGATATGTGACGCAACAAACCCTTGAGTCGTTTATTTATGTCATGAATTTCCTTTTGCCGGGCCTTTTCGACTTCTTCCTCTTCCTTCTTTTTCTCCATCTCCAGACGTAACTCCGTTTGCCTTGCCTGCTCTTCTTCGACCTTTTCGTTGATCTCATCCAACACAGGTCTGACCCTCGCTGCGGCGATCGCATCAATATCGTCTTGGCTCATGTACTTTCCGGCGCCAATATCAACCTTCCCGTGCCCTCGACTCATGCGCTGCTCGGCTTTAGCCTGGGCTATAGCATGCGCCTTCATTTCCCATTGTGTTGGACTAGATGGATGCACCATTCCGGTTTCGGCGGATATCTTCTCGTCCATTCCTTTCAGACGCTCGTGCACGTTCCGCTGGGCTGCGGCAAGTAATACCTCTTGATCCTGCTGCCGCTTTTTATCATCAACCTCGGATATTTTGCTAGAGAATAGAGACATCTGCTGCCGGATCTGCTGCGATCTCCTGCGATCTTCGATAACGTCACCATCACTTGAAGCTCTCTTCCTGAGCTTGCCTCGAATCGAAAAACGTCGCGTGACCGGTTTAGCGCCGTAGTACTCCTGATATTCTCGACCCTTCAAGTGCTCCTCGTGCAATTTAGCTAGGCGTGCCTGGGCTTGCTTGTAAGCTGCATCCTGCAAGGTAGTAAGCTGGATAGGCTGCGCATCATCACTGATGCTACTAAGAGCGTCATGGTGTTCTTGGGCGAGGTTAGCATTATCATGTGCCTTTTTGGCATCGATCATCTTTTGCTGCTGATTATACATCTTCTTAGCCATCGCGACAGCAGATGCATGGAGAACATCTGCCCTCTTCTGTTCTTCGACTTCTGATTTCACAGGTGGTCGGGATGTGAACATCTGCCTGCTCATATTAGTGTAAAGGACAGAGCCGGCCTTCTCGCTGACATCGCTTATTGCCGGTGACCGGACTGGTCTATGGGCATGCGTCGCAGCACTTAGGGCATTGGCAGCAGCATTTGCCTCGTCGGGATATGTTTCCTTCGGAATCGGAGAGGACTTGGCTCTCTGACGGTTTGCCATGGCACCTTTCGCAGCAAGTAGCGACCTTCGATGCTCTAGAGGACTCCCATGAGCAGAACCAGGGACACTCCGATCTGACTTGAAAGCCAAGTTTGCAGCAGAATGGCCTTGATCGGGAGTGGTGGGTTTCGCGGGCTTGGTGGCGCTCATAGCAGATTGCGAGGCCAATAAAGCAGCTTTAGCGCTGTGCTGGCTAGGAGCGGGTTCCCATGTGGGACTCAGCTTATAATCTTTAGCCATGACGGCGGCGGCTGAAGCTGGAGCGGACTTATCCGGCTTCCACAGATCTGGCGATGTATTGGATACCCAACCTAAAGCGGCAGCAGCACTTGCTGCGGATCCTTTTGGTGAGAGACCAATAGAAGGGAAGCTCGGAAGATCCTGAGGTTTGGCATAAATGAGCTTCCCCGAATGGACTAACAAAGAATTAGCGACAGCTCATAAAGGTTTCACACGTCTAACACATACTTGTAGGTTTACCTAATGTAAAGAGAGAAGGGGAAAAATAAATAAATAAAATTCTCAATAATAAAAAGAAAGATTAGGAAATATTGAGGCTGGCTTACCTATTGATTTAGTGTCGTCATTAGGTAGCTGTCGCCCCAAAGCCCCCTGTGTCTCTGTCTCATTGGTTGTGGCCATGCTATATGCTATGTGGCTGCAAAGGGCGAATGCTCAGCTGCATCTGTAAGCGTATAGCCGTTATCCAATGTCACCGCTAGCTTTCCTTGATTTTCCTATCCCTTTTTAGAAGGATCGGCATATAATTGTCGGATATGATTGGAGGCGACGATATGATAAAAGATATGGTTTGATTGGAGACGTAAGTGGAAGCGGAAGTGGAAGTGGGATAAAGGTGAGTTGAAGGTGAGAATGAAGCGAAGAAATAAGATAACTAGAGCAAATGATAAGTCCTCAACAAAAAAGTATAAAAGGTGGAATGATGTAGGTATGATGAATATTAATGAGCCGAGAGATGTGAATTAAACTACTTGGGAATAGTTCGTATACGCCAGGACGACAAAAGGCGTGTGTGTGTGTGTGTGCGCGCGCGTGTGTATAATTACTGGATATGTATTGCACCTAATGTAAGCAAATACCATAAGGTATAGTCCTGGGAACTATATTATAGGTTAGGTAGGTAGGCGTATCGGTACCTAGGTGTATAAGTAAGTGTATAAGCACTTGGGTAGGTAGACGAGGAAGATAATGGTTCGTTCTAGATTTTGATTGATGTTTAGGGATAAGGTTTGGAGGCATAATTTCTACGGAAAGTAAGACGGGTCGCAAATTGTTAGTCAGAGGTAAGTACAAATACCTCTTTTGTGTAGCTTTGAATCTATGGTTGATTCATCATTGCATTGTCTTCATCATCGTGTGTGGCTTTGGGGCTTTGGCGATGCCAATGAACATTACGTCATTGTGCTATGCCCCCGTTAAATCATTACCGCTTGTTAAAATTATGCCATATTGTACGGAAACATCAACAGAGACCTTAGGTACCCGTTGCCACCAATGAGGCGTGGCTCCTAAAAAACTTCAATAGTAAAAAGTCAAATATATAGATCTACGTATAATAACCCATAATTCTCAGCATATCTTATAGAAGGCGATAGGAACTCTAAGATAGTGAGATTCAGAGCGGGCTAAATGAACCACAGGAAAATTTATTGATCATATGAAAAGCAGCTATATTGAAACCCCATGAGCTGCTGACTTTACCTATTAAAAGGCTCTCGCAAAACATCATCTGCGCGTTTGGGATGAGATAAATTAGACCAGAATTAAGGCAGATCATGTTCACCGCACACACTAACTAGGTACCTAGGTACTTTTGAACCTTGGAGGTAACATACAATACCCTATAAAACCAACTTTGGTAAGACATCAAATAGGTTTGCTGGGAATAATGCATACATACCTTGCATACATCTAACAACACGGCAGTGCTTTGTTACTTGAACCGACATCACAATGTCCGTCGCCTTCGACAACATCCTCAACTTCCGAGATGTCGGAAAGACTATCAACGACTATCTCGGCCGAAAGTAAGCCGTTAAAACTATATATAACCCCCGCCTCCCAACCCCCACCTCTTTTCGAAGTTGACAGCCAAGAGATAAATGTACATCGCTAAGACTTGGGGAGGAGCTCAGGGTACTTCGTGAAGGCGTGTTCTACCGATCCGCGCGACCGGGTAAGCATACCTAGACCTAGACGACTTCTTGACTATTATACCTTACCTAGATACCTAGGTAGACTATACCGTACCGTACTAACTAACGCCTTTAGACGACGCCTCCCCCATAGACCGTAAAAGGCTCAAAGATGAGCTAGGCATCCGGACGGTCGTGGATCTCCGGTCCAAGTAAGCCATCATCATGTCTAAACCACCTCTAGCAGGTAGCTAGCACAAATGCTAACACCGTCCAGAACAGAGCTCCTCAAGCAAGCGCAGAAGCGCCAAGCAGCAGCAACCGCTCTCCCGGCGCTCTCGAACACCGCGCTCGCGGAGCAGCAGCAACAACAGCAACAACAGCACCCGCTGCAGATCCCCGGCCTGCGGTACCGGACGGTCAAGGTGACGGGCCGGCGGTTCGAGATATTTCTGCTGCGACAGCTCGCGTGGTGGAGTTTCTTGTGAGTCTCTCTCCCCTTCCCTTCTCCGCCTTTCTTTCTTTATGTAGGTAATAGTAGTAGTCCCGTACAGACATGGGGGGAGGCGGGGAGGGGACTAGCTTAACGGACGCTCTCGTCGACGAATACATACATCTCCTCGGGTAGTTGCTGGTTTTATATTACATTCCATAGGTTAGGTACCAGGTAGGTTAGGTAGATATACAACTGAGATACCTCAAGTGTACCTTAAGCACATACCTAATACAAGTCAACAAAATATCATATCACAGACTGACCTAGTTAACTAACCCCTCTTCTTCTTCCCAGCAAATTCCTCCTCCTATTCCTCCTCGGCTACCGCACCCAAGCCATCGCCATCCTCGGCCGGGAAGTCATGCAGCCGCGCGGTCTCGTCGGGCTCGGTATCGCGATGCTCGACGAGTCTGGTGCTGAGATCGCTGAGGTACTGTAAACCCCTCCCCCCTTTCCCTCAACCCCCCAAGCAAAATAATCCAATCCAATCTAACCTAACCTCCCTCCCCCAGGCTCTCCACACCCTCACCACACCCCCGTCCTCCTCCTCCCCCTCCTCCCTCCCCCTCCTCATCCACTGCACCCAAGGCAAAGACCGAACAGGCCTGGTCGTCCTCCTCGCCCTCGCGGCCCTCGGCGTCCCCCCCGACGCCATCTCGCACGACTACCTGCTCTCGCGGGCGGGGGGCCTCGCAGCCAAAGGCGAGGACAAAGGCGAGGCCGAGGAGCGCCTCCTCCTCGAGCAAGATATCCGGGAGATCGGGCTGACGCCCGAGTGGGCCGACGTGCCCGACGATTTTGTCGAGAAGATCCTGGGGCACTTGCACGGCAAGTACGGCGGTGTGGAGAATTATCTGCGTGGTGTCGGGTTTGGGAATGACGAGCGGGAGAGGCTGGTTGAAGTGTTGGGCGCGTAGAGAGTGTATTTTATCTACACGAGGCAGTCTTATGTATATTATAAATAATACAGTACAGTCACCAAGGTACCTGGCTGGAAATAAACAAATCACATTTCGGTATGTACCTACCTAAGTTAGGTAGGCTATGCAAGTATTAGGAAAATAAATCTATTTCTTTCGGAACCGGCCTTGCATCCAGCAGCGATACATCTTTAGCCGCCGGGCTCTATTTACGAGCATTCTTCTATCAACGCCGAGCTCCTCTATATCGAACAAGGGCTGTTGGACCTTCGACTCCGAAGGATCACTAGCAGTAGTCTCGCCATTATCTTTTGTATCACCGTTTGCACCATCTTTTTCATCGTTTACAGTAGTAGTAGTTGTAGCAGGATCAGCAGCGGCAGGAGGGAACGTCCCCGTCCATATCTGCGCCAACTCGTCCTTCTCGAAGAAGTAGACACGGGTGCCGTCTCCCCTAATGTAGAAGTTCTCTTCCAGGTATCGACCTTTCTTGAATCGAACCTGTGCCAGATCACCTCTGCCGTAGTCGCGGAAGCAAACCTCGCCGCCCGGCTTGAGCACCCGATGGATGTTCCGCACGGCCTGCGCCCACTGCCTCGGGGACAGCGCCGAGAATATGAATATCATAAGGACAACGTCTACACTGCCTTCTTCGAGGCCGGGCGGGAGGACCTCGCCAGCGGCGTCCCACACGTCGGCCTGCATGAAGTCGGTGTTATACTCTTCATGACTACGCATCACTTCAACAGCCTTTTTAGAGAAGTCACAAGCATGCAGTTTGAGCTTGGGGTTCTTGTTATTGGCCAAGATGGGGAACGCCGTGTTGCCGGCGCCGGCGCCAACTTCCAGCACGGTAACTGGACCGGCATCTTCTGCCGTAACCTTGTCAAGTATGGGAAACTCTTGCTGTAACCATTTGCGGTTCTTGAAGAAGTTGGCTGTGTTGTTTTTATAAAACAGGTTCCACCACTTAGCAGGGTCGGAATTGAATCTACCTATTATTGCGCTTGTTAGTAAATGATGTTATACCTATTAGATGCGACAGGATCAAGATATATGTAGATGGGGTGCCGTCAGATGGGAGCGAAAGAATTGATGTAATTGGTCATCAGAGATATTCAGATGAACTATGCATAATGGGGTATCATCATAACACAGAAAGTGTTAAAAAAAAAAGAGAAGAGGAAAAAAAGTATTTACTCACTTTTGTCAAAGTCGGAGACTGGCGACTCTCGCTGCATAGCATATTGCTGCTCAGCATACTCTTTATAAATGTCGTCAGTCTCCACATGATCCCAAGCATTGAACTCGAAAACATCATCGTCTTCTTGAAGGTAACGCGAACCAAACTGGAAAGGGTCGCTTCTCTTCATGTTATACTGCGGATCATGGTTCCTGTGGGCGGGCACCTGGGCCTCTGCACCATCTTCTTGAACGGTCAACGCTTCGGCCTTCGCCAACAGCTCCTCATCTGGCGATGCCGCTGCGGTGGGCACAACAGTAGAGGCCATCGCGTTAGATATAAATAAATACGGTGTGAGTCGACTGAGACCTTTCCACTAGTTCTCTCGTCGGTCACCGGAAAGGTGTGTTCCCTAGCATACTGAAAGCTCTTGGGGAAAAAACGAGATGGTAAAAGAGGTTTGAAAGTTGGAGAAGAAGAAAAAAAAGATTACAGAAAATTTAAGCACAAAAAAAAAACGGAGTGGGGCTTTTTTCAGTAGCGGGCTTTTTTCTTATCCTTATCGATAATTCGTCGATTCCCTCCGATCGCGAAATTCGACGTCACCTTTTTTATACTTCACCATACATGAGTTTTGATTAAAAGAGCGTCAATTCTGTTGTATGTTACTCCTTTCTTTCTGTCGCGATAGACTTATGCAATAGACTTATAAACTGCGGATTAAGACTTACAATCATAGACGGCGGGGTTATTGAAAAAAGAGAAAGAAAGAAAGAAAGAAATTTTATATTGATAAACACCAGAGGATATACACATCTCTCTCCACGCTCTCTTTAGACAAATCCGACCTACTCGCAACTCTCCTCGCCCGGTCTCCCTTCTAGAGCTCGTCCTAGTCTCTCTTCCTCTTTCCCTCTCTACCAATGTCAACGCCGCGACTCCTCCTGCGCCCTCCGCGCGTCTTCCCCTCCTCTCTCCGACCACGACCACACCACCAGCAATATCAACATCAACAACCACAACCACAACCACAACTTTCCCCTCCCCGGCGCTCCTTCATCTCCACCCCGAAAACCGTCCGCGCCAAGCGCCGCCTCCCCTACGACCACCAGCGGCTATACGAAATCATCGCCGACGTCGATTCTTACGTGCGCTTCCTCCCGTACTGCAAAGAGTCCCGCGTAACCCGGTGGACCGACCCCATTCCCAACCACTCCTCCTCCTCTTCTCCTCCTCCTACCTCCTCCCCCCCTCCCCGCCGCTGGCCCGCCGAAGCCTACCTGACCACGGGCTGGGGCGGGCTGGAGGAGACCTACACGAGCCGAATATTCTGCGTCCCGTCCCTCGGCATCGTGGAAGCCATCAGCGGGGACGCGCGCACGGAGATCCCGTACCCGGAGCTGGTCCGGCACGGCCTGCTGGACCCCGCGGCCGACGCCCAGGCTAGCCAACGGCCGGGCGTGTTCAAGAGCCTGGTGACGCGGTGGACGGTGGAGCCCGCGGAGGCCGCCGTCCGGGACGACCGCTTCCAGAGGCCCTGGAGCAACGTCAATCTCAGCGTTAGGTACGAGTTCGTCAACCCGCTGTACACCGCCTTCACCAGCGCCCTCGAGGACAGGGTCGTCGCCGCCATGGTCGAGGCTTTCGAAAAGCGGGCCGAGAGCGTCCTGAAGGAGACGAGGAGCGACCCTGGGGCGGCGCGGTGAGGGTGAAAAATGTTTAAGTTAGATTAGGTTAGGTTAGGTACCCGATTGTATATATCTTGCGCGACCTACCTACCAGGCCCCATACTAATATCGTTTGTATGTACCATATAACTCCTCCCATCACCCACTCATAGAAAACCACTGATTGGAATTTGTGGTTCTCTGCTTAAGCGTTTCCCTCTACGATACTTGTTAGCACTAGCTAGGTACCTTGGTAATAAGTTCATCATATAGACACCGTCTATGTACATTACATGTATATATCTCTTAGAGAATGAGAAAATCCATTCATAATTATGACGAATCTCCACATCCACAAGGCGAAGTTTTAAAGGAATAAATACATTTCTCAAAAAAATCAATTCAAAATAAAAAAAATAAAACCTATAGTAACTCCCAAGTTAAATATGTAACAGATCTGTCCGGGTGTCTTGGTCTCTTCCCCCCATCTCTCATCCGCGACGCCATCCAAGAATGTAAATAAAGTTCTCAAAACAAGTCTCAAAAAGGGGCAAGAAAAAAAAACAATAACCTTGCCGTCTTCATATAACATCCATGTAGTTGCCTTTCCTCCTCATACATTTCATCATTCTCAGCGTATGAGACATCGTTACCTCATGTGAAAAAAAAAATGAAAAAAGATGAAAAATAAATATAGTCCTAAGTGTAAACACACGGTAGCATTAAGAAATGATACAGGTCTACTGGTATCCAAGTCGTCATCAAAAAATCTCGGTTCCCCGTGGTAAAATTAATTACTTCGTCCGCAGTTAGCTGCTCGGAAGGGGGGGGAAAGCCCGCGAAAAAATGCCGCTTTAAACAATGACGTCGTCTCGAGCCGGGGGTATAATGCAGAATCTGTTTACTGGAGACCGTCGCAGAACTCCTCGAAAAAGAAATCGATGATAGGACTAGAAAAATCAGGACTCTTGGCCCTGTTTGCGAAAAGGCACGGGACTGAATTGGGATTCGATATTCAACCAGATCAGGTCCTTCAGATATCTCCAAAGCACGTACGAATAGATTACAGCTTATCGCCTAGTTTTACTACTACAAGTTTCAGCTGTGAGCTCACGTAACAAAGAACATAAAAGATGCAGCGACTGACCTCTTGCTTTTGGTAGGTTTCGGAGTTCCGCCGCCTATCCACCCAAGTACACCGCTCTGGACTTTTTTGGCTGGCTTCTTATTAGAAGGTGGCTTGTTAACTTGAACGATTGTTGGAGGCATCCCTCCAACGGGACCCCCAGCAGGACGCCCGTCAAACGGAACCTGGCCCCTTAAGTGACTGGGGATTCCACCCGGATTCATCACCATAGGATGAGTCGGCGGAGGTTGAGGGACACCCATTGGGCGTGGTTGACCCTGCGGCCTAAGACCTTGGGGTGGGAACGGGCCACCGGGTAGATGAACTCCTCCTGGCCTGCCAGGCATGCCTCTTATAGCTCCTCCTTGAGGCATGGCTGCTGGCCGATCCATAGGCCACATCTGCATTGTAACCGCCCAATCAGGCTCAACTACCTTCTCCCATACCTGGGGGAGAATTATCTCACCGTTTGGCCCAATAAGGTCATAGTGTCCAGCTTGTACATGAGGGCCAATAACATCGACGTGATCAAAGGCCTGTTTGATGAGCTCCTCCATACCCTAGACACAACATATTAGTATACCTGTAGCCGAAGAGGAATGAGAGGTTGTTTGCATACCTGCCAGGTCTGGCATAGGTTGAAAGGTAAGGTAAATTTTCTTCCCACGGCATCCTGGAAACGGATAGGTGCCTTGTCCTTACCAAGGCTCTTTTTATTCGCCTCCTCAGCCTTGAGTTTGGCCTCTTCTAGGAGTTTCTTCTTGAGCGCCTCTTCCTCTTTCTTTTTAGCCTCCTCAGCGGCTTTGGCCGCTTCCGCCGCCGCCTTTTCTTCTTCTAGCTTCTTACGAGCCTCCATCTCGGCTCTGAACTTAGCCTCTTCTGCTATTCTCTTCTGCCTCTCTGCTTCTTCTGCCGCCGCCTTTGCTGCCGCCGCCCTCGCAGCTTCTTCGGCCTCCAACTTCAAGCGAGCTTCCAACTCTGCCTTTGCCCTAGCCTCTTCCTCAAATTTCTTTCTCTGTGCGGCTTCTTCCGCAGCCTTTGCAGCGGCAGCAGCCCTAGCCGCCTCTTCGGCTTCTATTTTTTTGCGGGCTTCTAGCTCTGCTTTTGCCTTAGCCTCTTCTTCAAATTTCTGTCTCTGCGCAGCCTCTTCTGCGGCCTTCCTGGCTGCTGCTTCTCTCGCCTCGGCTTCAGCCCGGATAGCGGCCTGCAGCTTAGCTTGAAGGGCAGCCTCGGCGAGGGCGGCAGCCTCAGCTTCTTTCCTCTTCCTCTCAGCTTCAGCCTTTTGTTCAGCTTCTAACTTGTCGCGCGCGTTTCGCTCAGCTCTTTCAATGGCTTCCGCTTCCCTACGAGCACGCTCTGCCTCAGCTTTTTCGGTTGCCCTCTTTGCATCTTCGATGTCTTTAGTTAGTTTTTCCAACGCGATCTTCCTCTCCTCGGCACGAATCTCCTCATCCCTCTTCATCTGCTCCATTCTACGCTGGAAAGCCAGCTCTGCCTCCCGTCTAATTTGGTCCTCAAGCTCCTTCCGCTTTGCTTCTTCTTCCTTCCTCTTCTGCTCGGCCTCAATCTCAGCCAATTTCTTTTTCATGGCCTCCTTTTCGGGGTCATCTTTTGGAGGCTCAGGAGCGGGGGCTGGAGCGGGCGTTCGAGACGGGCCACCGATATCCGTTGGCGGAGGCGGAGGAGGAGACCATTGGTACTGTGCCATGCCGTGGGGCACAGGATACGGTTGGCCGCCGAAGTAATTTTGAGCCGCACCACCGCCGAACGGCATCATCTCATTGCCACCAGGCCACCTATGTTCATTGTTAAAGTAATTACCAGAATTTCCGTTTATTGGGGCGAACGGGTTCTGATAATGGGAAGTCGGGCCGTAAGGCACTACTTGCCCATTGCCACCATATGGGGGCGCATAGCCGCCAACGTGGCTCTGGGGGTATCCGCCACGACCACCAGCATAGTACTGGTTTCCCCCAGCCGGCGGTGGGTAGACGGCGCTACGGCCGTAGTAATCTGAATCCAGACTGGCAGAGGGGTTCGGCGCCTGCCGATAATCGTAGTCGTAATGAGGGGGCACTCTGTGTGCTACACTCCTGTGGTGCTGGCCAGATGGCGTGCGAGACGGAGCACGGGATGGGGCACGGTGACGGGGGTCTTGAGGGTGACGCCTTGAGGGGCTGGTAGAAGCTGAATCTTCGGGATCAATATCGTCGTCCTCGAAGTCTTCTTCCTCTTCTTCACTCTCGTAAGAGTCTTCGTCCGATTGCTCTCGTCCGTGACTATATGATCCTCCACTAGGTCTTGAATCCTCCTCCTCTGAGTAACTAATTTCGTCTGAATGGGGACCGCTGTGGCGTATATTGCGTGCGCTGAATCTTCGACTTAAAAAATTGAGAATGTCAATGGCGAGCTGATGAAGTAAATAAACTATCGCTACTTACGACATTGGTGATAATTTGACGTCCAAGAATACCCCTCACCCTCGACGATCTGTGAAAGTCGGAGCCAAGGGAAGTTAGCGATTAGGCGGTGGCCGATGGTGCTAACCTCGAGGAGCAAGTTTGAATTGATTTATAGCTCAGCTCTCTGGAACTAGGCGTCGCCGTTAGGTATGTGGAGTTCCGAATCACAAGTGATAGAGAATTATCGTGTGCACTAGGTAACCAGAGTTTCTGACAATAGCGTTAGCAATTTGAGTCCACCCTCGTCCTGTGGCTTATTAAATGTTTATTTATTTTTATTTTTTTCGGGGAATTTTTTTTTTCACTCTTCAGGTATGAATGCTAATCGCACGGTGAAGATGACCATAAGCAACGGCGTGTGTGTGTATTGCACTGCACTGTTTTATGCGGTATGCTGTCTTGCGGAGCAATCCAAATATGAACCTGAATGAGGAATTTGGATGGCTTTTTGTAGACAAGTCTCTCGCAACAATTTGAGCGGTATGAATGTTAAAAAATTGACGGGGGAATCCCGGTCTTCCAATAAGACTGGCTTAGTTGGGCGCAAAGGGATATCGAATTGGGTTTCCGTTCGTTGGCAAAAGGTGCGGAATTGCAAGTGGCGCGAATTCGAATTCAAGGCGGGGTGAGAAAAAAAAAAAAAAAAAAAAAGACCCCAGACGAATTGAAACTCGGATCATAAGACTTTATGCAATAAAGCAGATTTAACTTGGTTCAATTTCAACCTCAACCTTTAATGAAACTGGAACCTTGGAACCTTGGAAGGTACTTTATATGTATAGGGTATGCGTATAGGCTATATATTTTGGAAAGGAAGGTACGGATAATGAATATGGAATGTGCGAGATGTGCGAGAGTGAGAGAGACACACTTACCCTACTTAGGAATTCCGACTCTCGGCTGTTATCGGTCTGTACCCGTGGGAAGGTACAACTTTAGGTATAAGTTGTAAGTGGTTATAAGATGTAAGTCGTGAATTCGACTAGTGAGGTATAATACCTAATGACTTAAAATGTCACCGGCTTTTTAGGAGGTGTAAGGTAGGAGATGTAAATATAGAGAGGGAGACGAGACGTCCAATATATCGTCTCGGCCTCGAAGGGCTAAAACGCAAATCTGCGGTCAGCACTTTCGAAATTTGGACTGTGCAGATCGAAGTACGACCGGCCGCAGTTATTTCCTCCGGTATTTACTGTGCGTCGAGAAGGATGAGAGGAAGCAGGGAACAGGGAGGATTGCCCGGAACTTATAATACCTAGTGGCACTAAATAGTAGAGCCCACGATCCCGTCGTCAGCGAGCTGCCAAGCAAAGCGGTGGACGGGGAAACGAGTGACGGGTGACACAGCCCAGATAGAGAAGGGGCCGAAAAGACCAACAGACCATACTACATTTGCATTCACCTACGCACATATAGTACACACATAGCGCACTATACACATAAAACACGTACCCGTACTACGGCGTACATGTAGCCCTCAATGCTCTAGAATCTTTTCATCCCAGACGTAGGTATTGTAGATCCTCCCCCCCCCCTTCACAGGGGCCGGAGGGGTTATCAGCACTAGCTTAACCTGGGACATGCTGGTGTTGGAAAGATGGAAAGACAGCCACCTAGATCTTAGAACCTAGAACCTAGAAGGGGAACTGGTGCTATGCGTATGTACTTTCCAAGGAATGCAAAAAAAAAAAAAAAAAAAAAAAAATAAAAATAAAAATTAAAAAAATAATTAACGTACATTAGCTTGGGTGTTAGAGTCGAGTTGTGGTATGCACTGATAAAAGTCGAGTTCCTCTTGTTTCTTTTCGTTGTTTTCGTGTGATGGGTTCGGTCTTATCCGTAAGTATGTGTATATATATAATATCATGTGGCAGCACATACACAAAAAAAAGGAAAAAAAAAAAAGATGAACGTTATGGGTAAAAGGTTAGTAGGAATGATGGTGGTATCTTTTAAGACTTGTAAATGTTCCGGGGTCAAATTTGGATCTGGTAGCATTCAAGTAGGTAGACAGGTTCTGATGATTGTTTATTGTTATTTGTTGTTATTATTAATAAATCCGTACTGTGTACAAATAAAGAGTCTAGAAGGAAGGGTGAGCAATTGGAGGTCGAGGAGGAGGAGGGGCAAGCAAAGGTACCTGGCTGAGGGCAGAGGAAATACAATACATACATAGACCTACATATTCCGTCCAGCGTCCAGCGTCCATCCACGCATCGCATTAACGCAGCAGACAATCTGGCCCACACCGCTTGCACCGCTGGGGCCGATGCAATACTCCGCATACCACCAATGATCGAGATTCATCGACTTACACCGAACACGACAGCATTAACATGACTGGCGTCCCTTAGCTTTGCAAATTCGTCTTCTGCTGTATGGTCTTTGCCCGAATCTTTAATTGCCAGCTGTCAGTCTATTCGCCCTCTATAGTTGCGGTATAGAATACCCGTCTTGTAGTCTGTAGAAGTCTTGTAAGTCTTCGTATCCGGTTCACCGGAGCTCTGCCGAAGCAGTTCGCATTGAAGGTCGCGGTGATAGCTGGACATTTCCTCCGAGAATTAAGGTTGATAAAACGTTTCCTGCATTTTCGGTAATCTGGATTTACTGCCGGGCAAACCCTGTCCGACGAGCTTCCCAAATTGAATCACGGGCCAATTAGTCACCAGAGAGCATTGTGAGGAACCTAAGATCCCAATTCCGGAGGTCGAACAAGACCGGCGTTTTCCCTATGATATAGAAATGGCAATTGAAAAAAAAAATTATGTGCCGTCTTATAAAAGACTTTGAATACTAGGCCGGTAGCTTAGATGGTGGCTGCTTGTCTCTACTAATAAGACCTTCCACTCACACATAGGTCTTGACGGATCTCTAAATATTTATCTAGTCTCCGGAGGTTATAATACGTGGTGTCGTAAGTGACCTGTTATTAGTAGATGCATGGTTAGATCCGGAAGTATGGAGTCGAGGCATCGTTCGCTGCTCTAATCTCTACGTAGATCGATGTTCGAATTACGAGTATGCTCAAGGTATATTCATCACCTACGCTGTTGAGAGGACCAATCCCGGACGAGAGATGTTAGGAATGGTGACCTTACCGTAACCAATGCGGAAGTGGAGGATGAATGGATAAACTTGTCTGCGGCCGGACCCGTCTTGGATGTCTCTAACTGTGGAACTCCGATTAGTTTTGGACCAGACGCTGCCCGACGATGTGGCGTTTTGCTGCCCAAATATCATAATATGGTGCCTATATGGTTACAGTGCATCCAGACTAATAGTATATGTCGAATAGTAAGGCACTAGAAATGCGAACCACTTGATGAATTCCTAGTCATTCGATTGTAACGCCGCCTTTCTGATTCGCGACAACCAAGATTGCGCGACTGGAGCCACGTGCTACTTGTACTGTAGGAATAATCGCCCGGCAAGGTACTTGTTGGCCAAACTGGCATTGCCCAGTATCACCCAGTATTACCCAGACTAGTGGGACACGTCTGCCTGCCTAAGTCCCACCGCTTCATACGAAATCCATCTAGGGCGCCAATTAGCAATCCTGCCCCTTCTGCACAAGCCAAATGGGGCTTCTCCCTATTCGTCACTCAATGACTTGCACTCCTGCAAGAAACCCGGTCATGCAAATAAGGCTAGTTAAGGCAAACGCAGTGGTGGAACTAGTGAAATCCCCGGTGTAGTGCTTCGAACATGACAGCGGCTTCTCATCTGATAACTACAGCTGTATCACCTTCAAGAAGTTCTTTGGCCGCCTTGATTTCAGCCTCGTCGTAGCCTTGCCAACCTTTTTCCCCAGCCGAATTGCGTCGGACGATCTCTGCAAGCTTCTCGGTAGCCAACTCATCAAGTTTGCTAAGTGTCGCCTGATCAGGTATAGCAAATCCGTCGTGAGCTGTCCGGCTTTGTGATACCTTAGATGAATCACCCAGAAGTTGTTTTGTAGTCTTTATTTATGTCAGTCAATGTCCTACTCGAAGCGGAACAAGGGATTTTATACCAATTTCAGACCATAGTAGCCCCGCAAATAGTCATCACAGAGCTCGATGCTTCGGCTGAAGCGCTTTAGAGCTTCAGCCCATTGGCCCACGTTGTCTGATGACTTTGCAGCAACGAACAATACTTCACCAAGACGAGCGTGCATCTAGTCAAGTCAAAATTAGCATGGGCAAAATCAAGATAAGTGAGTATGGTAACCGACATTCCAGGAGTTTGGTTGTAGGATCAGAACCTCCTCAAGTGCATAGATGGCTTGAGAATATAGTCCCTGAGAGAAATAGACGTCGGCAAGCTCAGCCCACGCCTCTGCGTCCGTAGGGGAGATATCGAGGAGGGATATCAGAGCACTGACAGACTCAGACGTCCGATCAATAGATCGCAGCAGGGCTACACGACGCTTTAATATGGGCTTGAATAGGGGCGTTAGTATTTCGTATACTAAGTCAGGGGAGAAGAAATCTCACGATGTTGGTTGGGTTGTCTTGTAAGATCTGCTCATATTCTTTCAATATGGCATTCAAAGTAACCGCATCACTGGCATCAGCTTCCTTGAGGAGGCCTTTCAATGCCATGATGCGTTCGTTGTCATTGCCGAATCTGTTCGCCAGCCTTCCTAGACATTGATGGGCTGACTCGTCATCACCAGTCCGAAGGCATGACAATAGAAGGTTCTCATATGTAGTCCATAATTCAGGTGTTTCGGGTGCCGAGACTAGAGATTGGAGAAGAGAGGTTGAGATAGCACCGGTGGACTTCTTGAGTATAGCTGGAGCTTGCTGTGAATGCTTTAAGGCCACAGCAGGGGGTAATTGGCTGGGTGGATGAAGAAGGGAAGAAGACATGTTGATTTGAGAATAGCTATTAGGTTTTATCTTGCACTCCGATGTTGCCGTTGATATTAAATACCTGATGCGGTTTTAAGTGTGAAATGGGTCACGTTAAGAGACACGTATTATAAAAAAGATGGCACAGGATCTAGGTTCATAATAATGATATAATAAGTTGTAATAAGTTGTGAAGTTGAAAGTTCGTAAGTCAATAAGGCATGGAAGGTAAGATAGGTTAGGTAGGTGGTACAGCTCTGTACCTACAACCTTAATGCCCAGGTGCTCATTCTTAGCTAACGTATCCGTTTAGTGGCGCACGGGCCGGAAGTTACGCTCAGCCGTCCAAGGCTAGGGTAGCTTAGGTACCTTAGTACCAGTCTGCCGGTCCGCTGACGTGCGTCCATGCTGTGACTTGACCGTGGGGCATTCATTGATTGATTGATACTTGCTTGTATCAACATCAATAGGTAAACCTACTACGTCTTGCGAAGCACCGAATAGCTACCTAACCTACCTCCTAGATGAACTGATCTACTACCACGCCTCTATACCGTAAAACAACTATCCCCCTATCAAGATGATGAGTGGTCTAAGGAACACTCTGAGTTCGCAGTCTTTAACTCATAGTTGATCACCGTTCCGAAATTATCAACGACTATGTACGCAGCCCGCCTTGTACCTTCATGGTCTCCTGCAAATCAGGATCCGTTGACAATTCCGCTTTAGGTTTGAAAAATCGCTATACGACCTCATCCGAGGTCTGAGGAACCATAAAGGAAACGAGAAAGAGTATATCCAAAATTGCCTGAAAGAATGTCGCACCGAAATTCGAAGCCAGGACTTAGGTTAGATGTCTCTCGTCGACAATGCGCTAAGGCTTATAGCTAATACCATGCCTCGTTGTTATAGATCTCAAGGCCACCGCCTTGTTGAAGCTAGTCTACCTGGAAATGTTCGGGCATGATATGTCGTGGGCGTCCTTTAACGTACTTGAGGTTATGGCTTCTCCCAAATACCATCAGAAACGAGTAGGATATCTTGCCGCTATCCAGAGCTTCCGTCCCGATACCGAAGTCCTCATGCTAGCAACAAATCTCCTCAAGAAGGTATGCGGCTTCGTCTTGTGCTATATCTATCTCTCGAAACGAAACGAGACAAATAAGCTGAACGTGTTTTTCAGGATTTGACGGCGGCATCGACCACCACTATCGCCCTCCCCATCATCACTCTTCCCCATGTTATCACGCCGTCGCTAGCCCTCTCCGTTTTATCTGATCTCCTCCCTCGACTTAACCATACCCACCCCGCGATTCGCAAGAAGACAATTGTTACATTATACAGGCTTGCCTTGGTTTATCCCGAAACTCTGCGGGCAGCCTGGCCCAAGATAAAGGAGAGACTTATGGATAGGGCCGAAGATCCCAGCGTAACGGCTGCAATTGTTAACGTCATATGCGAACTGGGATGGCGGCGACCCCACGATTTCCTTCCGCTAGCACCCCGGCTGTTTGAGTTATTGGTCGATAGCGGTAACAACTGGATGGCAATAAAACTGATTAAGCTGGTGGGTGCCATAGTGCTTTTGCTATGCCCGAATCTCGGCTGATATATCTCACTAGTTCGCTACATTAACGCCCCTTGAGCCAAGGCTTGTTCGCAAGCTGTTACCGCCTCTAACAGAGATCATCCAGACAACACCAGCAATGTCTCTATTATATGAATGCATAAGCGGAATTATCCAAGGAGGAATCCTTGGAAGTGGCGAAGATGCGGATGGGAGAGAGGAGATTGCCTCTCTTTGTGTTAATAAACTTCGGGGAATGATTATGGTAGATGGCGATCCAAATTGTGAGCTTTCTCCTTAACCCCCCTACGACTCATTTTACTGATATTGGTTGATATAGTGAAATATGTGGCACTACTCGCTTTCAATCAAATCGTTTTGACCCATCCTTGGCTTGTAGCTCGGCAGGAAGACGTCATTCTAGAGTGCATAGACAGTGCCGACATTTCTATCCGTATCAAAGCGCTGGACCTCGTACAGGGTATGGTCAGCAGTGACAATCTTGTGTCTATTGTTAGCCGTCTTATGAGACAACTCAAGTTGTCCTCGAGAGATCGCAGGGCTACGAATTATCCAGGGCCAGGCTCGGGTGATTCAGATGACGAAGACATGGAGAAGACAATTGATTCCGCTCCAAAATCGGCCAATCAATCCCCGCCGCTCCCAGATGACTACAAAGTTGATGTGATCAACAGAATACTAAATATGTGTTCTCAAAATAACTACGGTCATTTAACGGATTTTGAGTGGTACATTGATATACTAACGCAGCTCGTACGGACTGCTCCGCTACCACGACCTGTTGACGATATGGACATTCCTTCTGCATCTGGGAGATCGAGCGGAGGGGATATATCTGAGAGAATCGGGAACGAATTGCGTAATATTGCCGTGAAAGTTCAGGCGCTTCGTCCTGCGTGTGTCCACGCTGCCGAGGCGATTATATCTCAACTGAATAGTGAGGCGAGGATTGGACAGTCCGTTATTTCAGGAACGTTAAAACCAGCTGCTTGGATCCTCGGTGAATTTTGTTCCGAGTTATCTTCTCCTGAGGATGTCCTTGGGCTTCTGTTACAACTGACCCAGAAGACTTCTCCGCCGGAGTCTCTTGCGGCCTGCCTCCAGGCGGTGATGAAAGTCTTCTCGTTGGTGGCTGGAGACCAATTGACTCCCTGGACGCCTGAGCGTAAATCCAAGATATCGCTCCTAATGGCTCGAATCATCCATACCTTCGAGACCCTAGTTCAACATCCGAGCCTAGAGGTTCAAGAACGGGCAGTCGAATTTATAGAACTGCTGAAACTTACCGCAGAAGCAGCATCTAGCCAGGAAGCTTCCACAGAAACCGTCCACCAAGACCCCCCTCTGTTACTCACACAAGCGATACCATCCCTTTTTGCTGGTTGGGAGCTGAATTCAGTTGCCCAGGCTGCGCAAAAGAACGTTCCCCTTCCAGAAGGGTTGGACCTAGATGAACCCATAAATTCAAACCTCAACTTCCTACTTGCATCTGCAGACTCGATATCAGTACCAGTCGACGAGTCGGATGAATTTGAGAGTTATTATTATCAACGACCTCCAGCGATAAGTATAACCTCCGAGCCAGCCATTAACAAACTGATGGACACTCGTGAAGATATCGCGAGTTCTTACCAGCAGCCTACCGAAGAAAGCTATTTGGACGCGGACATATTAGCGAAAAGGAAGGCGGAACGATTGGAAAGGAATCGTGACGATCCATTCTATATCGGGGAAACTAGTCCCATCCAGAGATCATCAACACCCATACATAATATCCTCCAAAACTCCAACGGCCCTGACTTAGACGTCGACTCGATCCCCATCATGGAACTCGACCTCGATAAACTCAGCGCAGGCGTCGACCACTCCCGGCCCGCAGCGTCCAAACCAGCCCGCCGGCCACCGCGGCAGAAGATCGTCGTGGCCGCGGACGAAAACCTAACCAGCAGTGGGTTGAGCACGCCGAAGAACTACGACTCGGAGAACAGTTCGGACACGGCCAAGATCCGAGCCGGCGGCATCAGCAACAACAAGAAAATCAAGCAATCGCTCCTCGGCGTCGACTCGACTAGTCTTACCGCGCTGAGCCTCGATGACGACCCGGCCGGCCGGCCGTACGACCCCGAGGCCCAGCAGCGCGAGGAGGCCGAGATGGCGCAGGCCATGAAAGAAGTCGAGCGCCTGCGCCTCGAGATGCAGCGCGCGAACGAGCGTATACAAGTCGCTCAGGGGGTCGATGCCGCGGGTACCGTCGTTAAGAAGAAGAACAAGAAGAAGACGACGACAGACAAGAAACCCAAGACGGCAACCCCGACTACGACAGATCAGGACGGTGAAACGGGAGGAGACGCCGCGGCGGCAGCAGCAGGAGCTGTCAAGGTTAAGAAGAAAAAGAAGAAGATCGCGCCGATAGACGAGGGAGGTGATGCTACTACTACTACTGCTGCAGGAGATGTGGTGAAAACTAAGCCGAAGAAGAAGAAGAAAGCTACTCCGGTTGAATTCCAGGATGCGAGTACAGCGTGAAAGGAGGGGATGGGGATGGGGGTTGTAATGCATACCCCAGAATATAAATAGCAAGCGAGCAAGCAAGCAAGCGATATGAATAGATAGTAAATTACATAGATATTCGTACGAGCTGGGTATATGAGGTACCTTGTATAGACGAATGACCATCCATCATGAGCATCGGTATGGTTTGAACGCTTGATAATTCTAGGAGAAGAGAATCGATATCTAAACCATCTCGTTGCCTCCTCCATTTAATCTACGACTAAATAAAACAAACACATCGCATCCTAAGCAGAAGTTACCTAGGTATGTATGTAGAGGGTAAAGGGAGGAAACGGGTAGTTAAATGAGCAATATAACGGGCAATATAACAAGGTAATAATCATTCTAAAATTCGATTCAATTCAACGCAGAACTACATAGTTATGCCATGGTCAACGTACAAGACGGTACAAGAGTAATCGCCGTCCCAAGCCCCCCTCTCTCTGTCTCTCTGTCTCTCTCTATCACTTCCTTGCTTTGCTTTGCATAATCGACCTTCTACATGTTTGTGTGTGTTCTCAGTAGAAAAAAACAGTACCATCGACAACGCGCTATACTAGCCAGGGAAACCCAGAAGACGACGAGACGACATAGACAAAAAAACACAAAACATCGATACTAGAAAAGGGCGAGTTGAAATTTTGGGGGATCTTTTCGTCGTAGGAGTAGAAGTAGTAGAAGTATGAGCGTGTAAGACGTCGTGCAACATTGATAACGGTAAAAAAAAGCTAACAGTAACGACAAACTTGTACATTCCCGGTATAGGGACAATTTACATTATACGTAAGCTAAGAAGAACAGCACCGCTGATAAGTCCATTCGTAAAGTTCTTCCCCCCACCCCTCTCAGCCTAATGCAAAGAAGTATAACCCTTTCTTCAATGTTGGAATGGTAGTCGCCAGATACACGTCAAGATATCAAAATGAAGCTTTTGGTCTCCGGTGCCAGCTCACGCAACCCCGAGCCTGCGGGCAGTCCACACATTACTAGTATTCCATCGGTGCGTCGACGAGCTGCACACCACGGTCTTGGATCGGGGTGCCAATTTCCGTCGCCTTACTAATGGGTGTGGAGGGTGTGCTTCCGGATCCCGACACCGACGAGGTCGTGACCCTACGACCACTAACGAACCTAGCACTACTTCGGCCGAGGCTGTCCCGCTTAGAGACGACGTGCTCGATGTCCGTCTTGGGGGAATCCCCATTAGCTGCCCCGTTTACCTCCGCCGGCGGCTGTCCTGTTCCATCAGGAACCTCCAGACTAGATCTCTTCACAGCGCCAAGGCTGCCAAGGCTGCTCCGGTGACGTTCATTAGCGGCCGTCGGGCTAGCGATAGGAAATCGGGTTTCCGGTCCGCCTGTACTCCTGTCACGTCGATGACGGGGTCCTGGCGCTGGACTAGTGCCACGCCCACGAGGGCCTGCCTTTTCCAACAAAGCTCGTTGCCTCTCTTCCATATGGGCTCTCCTATTGCTCTCATCTGTGCTGATAGCTCGAGGCCGGGTGCTGGTAACCGACCCCGAGTGCGTGAGGCTCGACATACGCTTCAGCTCGCTGAAGATAGCGTCTTTGTGCGCAAACAGATCGCGGACCAAGCGATATGCGTGCTTCTCTTCCATTGTTAATGACGTTTCAGTCCGCGGCCGCAATATACAAGGGGCCAAGGATGTTGCAAGGTCGTGTATGTATTGCTCGTCCGCTGACGTTAAGTCTATTAGTCTCGTAAAGTGGTTCATACATGCGTCAAGTGTAGCGATATTCGTGAGTCGTAACTGTGAGAGAGTCTGCTGTAAAACAGCGATACGTGCCTCGTCAGTAGTCTCTGATGTCGGCGTTTGGTAGATAGTCCTGACGATCTCATATACGTGAGATGATACCAGTGAATCTAGGGTCCTTTGTCAGTCTTGCTGTATCGCTATTTGCGTCTTAAAAATGATAGACTTACCTGGAAGTTCCAAGAGGTACAGTTTCAGTAGATACGCAACGACGGGTACGTCGAATTCTGAGAGATCTTCGGCGGTAAAAGGTTTGCCATTATTTATTTTGTTACGCAGTTTATGAACTTGCTGGAGCGAAACGTCCGTGAGCCAGACTCCGCGTCTGGCTTCATCTCCTTCAAGATCCGGGTAGTGATTATCCAGGTACGTCAGTAGCGTCGTGATGATAATAGGAACACGCTTCTTATCTGCCCTGGCCCTAGCCTCCAGATCCACGCCAAACGTCTGCTCATCAACCTTGTTATAGTAGTTTTCATACACGACAACCCGGGGTGCGAAACGACCTGTCCTGTAATTCTCCAAAAGATATCGCAAGTCTCCCTCGGGCTGAACCGTTTCTTGGCATATAACCATGTGATCTAGCGCAGATTGTAAGCTTGGAATGACATTTCCAATAGCGCCCGAGAAATCAAGGACAACCGTCTTGATAGCTTTTAGCCTGTCCAGCTCGCAACGTTCGAGGAATTTTAGGTGGGCGAAGATGGCGTCCTCCAGCTCGCAGCGCATTTCATCAAGCTTCCGAACAGCGGCCTTATACTTCTCATCGGCCTCTCTGGCCTCGCGACGCATACGTTCCGGCGGAGTCTCGTTAGGGTGTTGGCTACCGAGGACATTCCAACCAGACAAGTATTCGCTAACGGCGCCCACAACGGGAGAATCGGATCCGCCCTCGGGGTTCGTAGGCATAGAGAACGTCCTTCCGAATGTTGCTTTCTTCTCCGGGACTCCTGCTAGTTGGAATGCCTTCGGTCGCCACTGGTAAAACAATTTCGAGCTATTCGCAAAGTTATTTCCAACGTTACCAACGAGGCGAAGAAAACCATTCGCCACCAAATCTTGTCCAATCCGTTCGGCGTAGCTGACACTGCTTGATCCCATATGACGTTGCATGTATTCGACTATATCGGAACCGGACGAAGTATTGAGATATGTTCCCAGGATAGGTACTTTAGTCTCACCCATCTTTATGGTGTTCAACATGTGAGACAGTATCTTCTTCATCTGCTCCGTCTGGTACGTCTCGTCACCAATCTCATATATCTCGTCATCTTCCTCTTCCTTTTCGTTGGGCGAAACTTTGATCTCGGGTATGTTCTGATTCTGCTTGGGACTCGTTTCCGGATCTTGGAAAGCCAACTTGTTTTCCTCTTCGATGTCTTCGACCAGACGGCATTTATTAAAATAGTTGCTCCGTAGCTTCTTGACCGCCTCAGCTTGGCGATCATGGGCTTTTATACGAGCCTGCAAATCATCTTGGGATTCTTGGATACGGGATTCGTGGGCGTCGCACCATCTCGCAAACGGGTTTACAACAAGATCGCGAATACCCTGTGCAATCTTCTTGTGGTTTTTTGCGGCTTCCTCCATCTCGGCTCGGACTCCATCGTAAGCCTGGACGTAGTGAAACAAATGTTAGTCAGGGGTTTTCCCATGGTTATAGGATATAAAGAAAGATGCGGTTCGTACTTTTCGCACACTTGCGCCGTCGTCACGCGAGAAGCCACCAGTAATTTTGTCAGCTGCAGGCGCAATATCTCCGAGTCGTTGGCCGTAAACCTCTTCGGCTTCGGCTCGCATTCGAGCAATGGTCAAGACTTGCTTGTTCTCCTCGACTCCTTGCTGGAGCTTGGTGAACAAGACACCCAGGCCTGAAGAATAGTTAGGTTTTATATAAGATAGAAGTAGGGTAAGTTGGGTAAGTCGTTTCGCACTCACCTGCGGCATAGTCTGTCGACCAGAAAGAATCTACGAACCCCGGCATGGTGATGACGCAGTGCTCCAAAAACAAAATATCGGGTTATCGTAGTTGTGTCAGGGTCCCCGATACTAACTAGGTAACTATTGAATTAACTGTGATGGCAGCAGCGTTTTAGCTTCGAGGGTAAGAGGTGATAAGGCGCAAACGAAGAGTTGGCTGGCTATGCGATCCCAAGTGGGTAAGTAGTAACAAGGACAAGGGAACCAGTAAAGAATCAAAGACGGCGGGTGGCGGCAAAGAGGATGAGAGGTCGAGACGTCGGCGGCGGGTATCACAAAACGGGAATTCGTGTCACTATTACAGAATGAAATGGGGGAGAAGAACGGAAGAAGAGGGAGGCGATGCTATGTGGTCCTGTTGATGTACTAGGAAGCCAACAAAATCAGATGCGAAATGTATAGAAAGAATGAGCGACGGGGCACAGAATGTAAAAAAAAGGCTCCATCTAATTCTGTCTCAGCCTCTTTTTAACGAATTCCTCACCAATAAAGCACTGCACTTTAGATGAAGCTCGGACACGAAAAACGTGTGAAGGTTAAAAATTCATTGGTTCAAGGATGGACCTGCAGACCCCCCCCCCTCCAAAGGGGCTTCCTTTTTTTTCTGGAGCAACTGGGGGGGTGACTTCTTCCAAGGTTCCTTTTTGTTTGCGGCCTTGCTTTTTGCTTTGCTTGTTGCGTGCCTTACTGCAGGTGCTATTATAGAAGCGCTACGCTTGTGCTACCTTACCTCCTGCGTCAAGTAAGTAAAATGTTTTGTATTGTCTTTCAGGAGGTACCTAATGTACAGTACAGTAGGTACGATACCTATGGGATGCACCTTAGGTAATGCCCGAGGTACGTACCAGGTATCCAGCTAATAGGCTACCAGAGGTGTGTTACGGCGTCGCTCAAGTGCTATATTGGGCTAGCTGAAGCCACTAAAGGCAAGTAAGTAAAGCAAGCAGAAACGACCCTGTAGCAAGTCGTTTCATCTTATCTTTTCGGGCGTCGGCCCTTGTCAAGCCCTACGAGGGCGGGAGGGTCAAGAGAGAGGCCTCTGGACGATCGCTATAATTAACAACTTCGTACTCCGTAATTACCTAAAGTATACTTCGATACTTGGCACGACGCATCAGGCGGTCAGTAACCAGAATTAGTCAGGAATATACATTAACCTAACTAGTCGATTAGAAGCATGATAAGTACCTAATGCTAGATACTGGAACCAGCTGATAGAACAACAAATCACTCCCATTGATTTTTTAGATCTAAGCCACCCAACATCGTCAACATCGTCAAAACCCGTGCTGAGTTGCGAGTTGACGAAGTTGTCACAACTTGCCGACTTCCCGTCGAGTACCTAATTTGCATAGTCGAACCAAGGTAAGCTGTGAATCCTAAGCAACCAACGTACATATCTGTGCCCTTCGCAACGCCGGATCCTGGACCCCTCTGTATGAATATTTATAAGTATTGATATCTGCTGATTGATATCTGGCGCCCTGAACTTTACATGTTGACATTTAAGAAGCACAAAGCTACCTAAATTAGACTACCTTATCATTGTCTTGTTTTGATTGTGCTCGTTATCAACACCCCAACATTTCAATACCTCTTCATCCATCACATGAGCGTAATACAACATGAACGAGAAGCAAACTCCTGACCTCAAGAGCGTGACGCCTGCTCCTGACCTCGAGAGCGCGAAACCTGCTCCTTCTCAAGCTTCACCCGAAAAGAAGCCAAATTGCAATCATTGCAATCTCGGCTCATGGATCTTCCTCGTGCTAATTATATACGCATTCTTGCACCAAAGCTCTCCATCTCCAGAAGCTACTTCTCACTCCCGCCCAGAGTCTATTGAGCAGAGCATTGAGCAGAGCATTGAGCAGAGCATTGAGCAGAGGGTTGAGAAGATCCTTTCGGAAACTCCCTTGATAGGTAGATCAAATTCCATACTTTAATTACCTAGTTTACTTGTCAGACATAACTAATACTTTCTAAGATGGACACAATGACTTGGCTATCTTCATCCGTTCCATGTACAATAACCATATCTACAATGAGAACTTCTCAAGGCCGTTTGAAGAGGGCGGACTCCCAATGCATGTCGACCTGCCCAGGTTGAGGGAAGGCCATAATGGAGGTGCCTTCTGGAGTGTCTTCACGCCATGCCCTGCTAATGGCACGGACTACTCGGATGAAAACTATGCCTCTAGTTAGTGTTCAAGTTTTTTGCCCGCCGACTTCTTCAGCTACGTACTAACAGCAACAATGAGGTGTCCAACTGACCCTCCAGCAAATCGATCTTATGACCCGGCTACAGAACGCCTATCCCGAGGACTTCTCCGGCATCCCAATAGACTCTAAGTCCGCCGTGGCAGCATGGGAGAAGGGCAAGCTCATCTCGCCTCTGGGAATCGAGGGTCTTCATCAGATTGGTAACTCGGTAGCCAACTTACGGCGATTCTACGCGCTGGGCGTCCGCTACGCTACCTTGACGCACAACTGTGGAAACATATTTGCTGATGCGGCTCTCTGGGAGAACCCCTTCCGCAAAGCTCCTCCGGTGTGGAATGGTGTTTCGCCCAAGGGCAGACAGCTGATCAATGAGATGAACCGTATCGGCATGCTGGTCGATCTGTCTCACGTCAGCGCCGATACCATGAGAGACGTCCTCGGCGGCCGCAAAGAATGGGCGGGCAGCAAAGCTCCCGTCATGTTTAGCCACAGCTCTGCCTACGCCATTTGCCCGCACCCGCGTAACGTCCCAGATGACGTACTCCGTCTCGTCAAGAAGAAGAACTCAATTGTCATGGGTACATATTCCCCCCTGATCAGACCTTCGATTTGACTGACTTCTTGCTAACAACCATTGTAGTAAACTTCTCACCGGATTTCATCAGCTGTATCGACAAAGGCGCCGAGAGCGGCGTTCCCGAGTTCTACCCTGACAACAGCACCCTTTCGCAGGTAGTTAGTCATATTACCTATATCGGCAATCTGATAGGGTACGACCACGTCGGCTTGGGAAGCGACTTCGATGGTATCTCGTCTACTCCCGAGGGCTTGGCCGACGTATCTAAGTATCCGGATCTTGTTGCGGAGCTGCTCCGGCGAGGAGTTTCGGACGAAGACGCCGCTAAAGTCGTAGGCGGAAACATACTGCGCGTCTGGGGTGATGTCGAGAAGGTAGCTGCGAAATTGCAGGCAAAGTGGGAGCCGGTATTGGAAGATGATTTAGGTCGCTTGTTTGAATAAAGGGGATGTGTAACGTACCTAGGTATATAGCTTTTTGGTTATACCAAGCCATTGACAATCTATCATATACATATAGCTGCCGTCTGTGAGTCTTTTTTAGGTAGCTAATGCAATACAGATATTCAAAATGAGAATTGTTTAGCTCATATATGACGCCCTCAAGGAGGTTCTTTTATTCCTCTTGAAATGGAATATTTACACTTAAATATACAAGGGAACAATCCCTCTAGACTATGTACTGGAATAGGTCGTGTCGTTGGAAGGCGACCGGAAAATGTTTCGTAAACCCTTCACAAACGCCTTTCCACGGCATCTCATTTCCAATGGGGCCAAACATTCTATAACGCACTCTATTCCTGCAGTCACCACGCGAAGCACAACTGCAAATAATTTCTTTCTTTCTCCTTCTCCTTCTCCTTCTCCCGCCTTCCCTTCCACCCCTTTTAAATCTAAATCTTGGAGTACGTGCCGCCTCTCTCGAGGGTGTTGAGCTTCTTGGCGGTCTCGATCTGGGTCCTGGTGCGCTGTCCGCGGACGGGCAGGCCCATGGCGTGCCTACGTCCCCTGATGGTGCCCATGTCTCGCAGGCGCTTGATGTTGTCCTGGACGATCCTGCGGGCGTCGTTCTCGAGCGTCATCGTCGACAGCTCCGCCGTCAGCGCGGTGATCGTCTTCGGCGGCACCGTCTCCAGCCGCGCCAGCGGGTGGATCGTGTACTTGGCCATGATCCGCGCCGCCAGCTGCGGCCCCAGGCCGTAGAAACTCTCCAGGGCTTTCTGTGAAGGGTGGTTCGGTCGTTAGGACTTGCTTGCTTGCTTTTTTTTTCTTTTTTTTTTCTTTCTCTCTTTGCGTCGTGGAGCTGTGTGAGTGGTTCAGGTCGGTTCGGAGAGACTTACCCTGACGAGTTTCTTCTCGTGGAAGCTTACTCCCATTATGATCGCCTGGGGATTTTTTTAGTTAGTACTAATGTAAATCCAAAAAGGAAAAAAAAAAACAACAACAGTAATTTCGAAAAGCTCACGGGCATCTTGAGTAAATTTTCCACGGGTCCTCTACTAGATACGGTCGTTTGGACTATTTCCCCCCTCCAAGTTTGCGACGGGCAAGTAAGTATAAGACTTCTTTCTACCAATTGCGCATAATTGGGTTTAGATCGTATCGTTCGGTCAGTGGTTCATTAGCTAATCGTGAATTTTAAGAAGTTGGCGGGCACTTTAGATCGCATTACATAGTACTGCCTATGTACTCCGCTAGATAAGCTGATAGTATTCTAACCGTAACTGGCGCTGTTTAGCGTTACCTAGGTACATACCTTAGTGGACCCCCGCATTCCAACCGCTGCAGACTTGTTAGGCTTGTTCTTTCTTACATAGAGGTAGGTTGGTACCTAAGAGTGTTCCTGTTTCGGCGGTTCAGGGGTCTAGACGGGTTACAGACAACTTTAGCACTGAAACGTCGCCTTTTAATTGAAGCTTCTGTGTCCTTTCCGATCCTCCCCTTCCCATCTTCTCGTCTTTGAAATAGTGCCACCTTTCTCCTAGGTTAGGGCATTTTTACTACTTATCCCCCTTCCAATTGATCTCTTTTCATCTGCCTGACATCTGCCTGACTGGTTTTGGCAGCCTCTGTATTCACCATGTTCAACCTCCGCCGACTTCTCGCCAGCGCCCTGCTGCTGGTGGGCGTAAGCGTTATCTGTTTCTCCCAGACCGCGGCCGCCACCAAGGGACCTAAGATCACCCACAAGGTCTACTTCGATATCACGCACGGCGATGAGCCTCTAGGCCGAATTGTCATGGGTCTCTACGGCAAGACCGTCCCCAAGACTACCGAGAACTTCCGAGCCCTTGCTACCGGCGAGAAGGGCTTCGGCTACGAGGGATCTACTTTCCACCGTGTTATCAAGCAGTTCATGATCCAAGGAGGTGACTTCACCAAAGGTGACGGCACTGGTGGCAAGTCGAGTAAGTAGCAACGACATGGTTCAATGAGGTAATGAAAAACCATGCTGACTGTTCGGTGTCTACTAGTCTATGGCGAAAAGTTCCCCGACGAGAACTTCAAGCTGAAGCACTCCAAGCCGGGTCTCCTCTCTATGGCGAACGCTGGCAAGGACACCAACGGTTCTCAGTTCTTCATCACCACCGTTATCACCTCGTAGGTCATCCTTTTTTTTTAAAAAAAAAAACAAAAAAAACAATAACCATATGTAAATATAATTGTATGATAAACTAACAGCAGACTAGGTGGCTGGATGGCCGACACGTTGTATTCGGTGAGGTGTTGGAGGGCATGGACGTTGTCAAGAAGATCGAGAACGTCCAGACCAAGCCCGGCGACAAGCCGGAGAAGGAAGTGAAGATTGCCAAGAGCGGAGAGCTCGAGGTGCCGCCTGAAGGTATCCACGTTGAGCTATAAAAAAAGAGCACACACCACACACACACACACATACACATATATACAAGTCCTAAATCACCGTATTTCGTCCCGCCTACCTGCCTCGATCCGTTTTCTTACTGATGCGTCTTACCACCCGGTTTCCAGGTAATGAAGGAGAATCCGAATGGGCCTCGGGACACTCAGCCGAACAGGAACACGCCGTAGCTGACGACACCGCCAATGTCTCCGCCGGATGGTCCATTTTTCAAAAGGCCCTTATTTTCGGTGTTATTCTCGCTGCAATCGCTTTCTATATCCGTCTCTCGAAGAGAAACAGCCGAGACAACGTTGCTTACGAGAAGGTGATAGCTTAGACATGTGTGTGGATGTTGATTTACTTTTTTTCAAATAAAAGTATATGGCATATCTAATCAAAAAAAATGATCTTACTCTAATTAGTTGTGATTGTTGTTATTAGAGACCTGTTAGATGTCGTTGGTGTTGTTGCCTCTATCACGTGTGACTTGTATAAGAGTAAAAAAAAACGCCGTTAAATTTTATTTGCGCCTGGGTAAATTTCTAGGTCATTAGGAACTTTTTAAGAAAACTACCTTAAAAATTCTTATCGCACGGTTATAACTATCTCAAACTACTTTCTATTTGTATTTGCCCAAGATGAAAGTCCTCAGCCTGAATTTCCTGACCTGCGCGGTCAAGGCGTGCAAGAGCTCGTCGAATTCGTATCCCCTCCATCCCAAGGACGCCGAGCTGGTGCAGGACGATATCGAGGTGAACGCTCAGCTGCTGCTCAATTTACTGCCCCGCATCGACTGGACGGCTTTGTCTACGACGGCCGCGGAGGTATGTTGCTTTTTATTAACTGCCTATACCTATATTATATTATATTTCGTGTTTCCTTGATTTTTTGGTTTTTTTTTTGTCATTTTAATATGCCACACTTATAATGGATATCGAAATGAAGCGCCGTGAATTTTTTTTGTTTGAATTCTAAGGAAAAAGAAGAAGAAAAAAAGAGAACTAAAAAATTTCTCCCAGCTCGGCTTCCCAGCCCTACCGCCGCAGGCGCCCTCGGTAGAGGAGCTGCAGGGCGACGAGAAGAAGTTGAAGGACCTGCACAACCTGCTCGTGGAGACGCAGATCATGGAGGGCAAGCTGGTCTGCGCCAACTGCGGCCACGAGTACGCCGTGCGCGAGGGCATTGCCAATTTCCTCCTGCCGAGCCATTTGGTCTGAACGGCACGGCACGGAACAGGAATAGATAGGATGTTAGTTGGCGTCTGCTAGGAGAAAAAGCAAAAAAAAGAAACAACACTCGGGGACTGATTTATGCTGCTACTGCTACTGTTGCTATTCAGAAACCCGCACTACTACGAGCATTAGAAAGGCTTGGTCTGACGTTCTGGAGTTAAGCTGAGGCGGAAAAAAAAGGCTCTATGAAGAGACCTACTGTAGACACGGCGCGGAGAAGAGGAATGGTCGAGAATAGGGGAAAAAAGAGGACAAAAAGAAAAGAAAGCCGTTGTCAGTTTCTAACTGCATATACCTATATCTACACTACTACAAAGTCTCTCCATGAAGGATGGTTAATGTATGCCTTTCGCTCTCATAGTGAATGAAGTCTTGACTATCTAGACAGGACTTTCTCTCGTTTGATGCTATACCCGTTAACCCGGACTCCGATTAACCCAAATAGTAATAATTCGTACACACTGCTCAAATTCAACAACACGCCGTCTTTCTTGATACATGCTCCCGCCGAAAGACCAGTAGTTACTATATTATACCAATCTCTCGTCCTTCCGTCTACTGCTTCTTCTGCGCGGAAGGTCCCATCTCCTTGTCGAACGCGCCGTAGGGGATCTCCAGGCTGGCGACTGCGGCAATGCCGACGTAGAGAATCGATAGGAGGATTGTTAGAGAGACGAGAGCTGTGAAGATGCCTGCGTGTTGGTTGGTTAGTATAAGAGCCTTTTCAAGGATTTATCCGCAAAAGGATAACTTGGGAACTGACCTGTGGAAAAATACTGGTACTTCTCAAATAGAGGGCGGTTGTCAGTACGGTTAGGAGCCCTCCGATGAATAGAGTGCACGTCTCTCTTCAGTTCCGAGGGCACGCCGTCCTGGAACGTCGCCGTGTAGGTCCGCGGAGACTCCTTTCGCGGGGTGCCGGCGAAGATGACCGTATAAGAACCATCGTGATCGAATTGATCGAGTACCATGCTAAGCTCGTCGTCTATATCTCAAATCAGCTATCACATCCACCTGGAATATACTTGGATAAATAAATAAATAAACATACCGTTGGTCCACATCATGCCGAAGTCGTCGTCGGATCGCAAGGGGTCCATCTCGAGTTGTTCGATCAATGGCTTTCTCCCCTCGCAGGACTTCCTGACGAACGCGGCTATGTCGTCCGTGTGCAACTCGCCAACGACCTCGGGCACCGAGTAGCGGCTCTGGGCTTTGTCATGGTAGCGAAGGAGATTCGGTACGGCCTTCTTGACCAAGTTGGCCTTGTTGAGGTTCGGCTGCGAAACGATGAGGTACCTATCCGTCGGGCAGGTCTTGAGAAGCTGCTGGACGGTCGCGAGGACATTGGTATTGGATTTTATTAATTCTTGGTTGGTTGGCACATCCAGACTATCATTTGGCACACGCGATTAGCTACGGTCGTCATGTAATGCGTATGCGAGGTCAAGGGATCAAATCATCCAGAGAGCGTGTGTTATAACCAACGTACCTAGCACTCGAGAACATGACGATAGGAGACGAGTCGGAGAATGCGTGCGCGGAAGCGCAGCATGCCGCCAGCACTGCGGCAGTCTGGGAGATACGCATCGTGATATGGGGAAGCTGCTTGCTTGCGGGAATGCTTGATGGGTTGTACGGTTGAAGTAAGATGAGGCTTGAGCTCGGAAGGCTGAACCTACATGTAGCTCAAGTGCTCTGTGGAAAGTTGACGTTTGACCTGTTTTAGAGAACGCGGCATGTTCCGGCTTATTAAATTCCGCGTTGCAGGCGCAGATTACAGCGTCATTTGAGAGGCTTGGAGGCTTGGAGGCTTGGGGGGCTTCTGCATCAGTCCCTGAATGCGCTGAAAGTTTAGCAGGTTGGCCGCCAATATGCAAGGCGGGGCCAATAGATAGGTACCAGGTACCTGGACGCAACGGTTCAAATCGCTAAAATTTATTATCACAGTGGCGCCGAACTACAATTGATTAACCTCTTCGACTTGAATATTTCCCAAGCCTTTACATCCAGAAGCTTCTGCTTGACACTAATTAAAACTGGACTTTTTACTGTCTATCGTTGGATTATTTGTTTCATTTTTTTTTTCTTTACTTATACCCCGAACATAATGTTTGCGCGTCCCCGACCGAAGAAGGGCTTACTTGTGCCGCCGCCGAAAAAACGCAAGGCCCAGCATTCGATCGAAGAGATCAAGTTCGATAACGATGCTCGCGCCGATTACCTCACTGGCTTCCATAAGCGCAAGTTGCAAAGGATAAAGAATGCGCAGGAACAAGCTGCCCAAAGAGCTAGACAGGAAAAGATTGAGTTGAGAAAGCAGGCATGTAGAGTGTATTCGTTACGAAGATCAGAAATACTAGTTTGCTAATACGAATCGTGTCTATAGTTACGTGAAGATCGAAAGAGAGAAGTCGAAGAGCATGTCCAAAATGTCAATGCAATCCTAAAGCAAGCCCAAGAGGCAGGTTACATAGGCGGAGAAGGAGAAGAAGAAGCCTCGGACGATGAAGCAGATGAATGGGGAGGATTTAAGGATACGCCAGCACTTGAACCTGTGGATCACGAGGAAGAATATATCGACGAAGAACGATACACTACGGTCACAGTTGAGTCGGTTAGTGTATCTAAGGATGGATTATCGAGCATTAAACCGGAGGAAGACTCGAGTGGGGAGGATCAAGAAACAGCCAAGCCAGATTCGAAGAATGCTCCTCCAGGAACTAAGGAGAAAGCAAATCCGCCCAAGAAGAAGAAACATAAATTCAGATACGAGTCTAAGGCGGAAAGGCAACTGAATCAGAGGAAACAGAAAGCAGCCAAGAGTAGAAGGAAACCAAGTTAATTGATTAGCGCATTCTCTATCCGTCTCGCGGGCTCTGCTGCTGCAAATACCAACATAAAACGTCCACCAAATAAACATGCCCTAAAACTCGACTTCTCTTCAACTACCACCGCAACGTCTCCGCCACTCTCAAAAATTGTCGGTAAGGTCGGTCGATCAAGCAGGTGCTCGCCGTGTAAGCTGACATAGTGCCAGTGCTGGTAAGAAAAGGAAATCCTCGGCCTCTAAGGCACAGCCTCGACGTCTCGCGACACCGGTTTCGACGCACGCAATACCGCCCTAAATCTAGATGTTGCTGATTTCGGCCTGGAGGTCCTCCAACTCCTTCTGGAGAGCCTGGTACTTCTTGGACATCTCCTCGTACTTCTGTTCCCACTGGTCCCGCTCGTTCTCCAACGCCTGTACCTTGCGCTCAAAATGGCCGGCTTTTACGTCAGTTTGGCGGAGCCTATAGTTTGTGACTGTTAGAAACCCATATAACTCCCAGGATAGCTTGGGTATAGCTTATAAGATCTAGACTTACTTCTCATTTGTCTCACGGAGGGTCTTGTCTGCCTCCTCGGCTTCTTCCTCAAGCAGCTGGAGTCTTCGTTGCAGGGTTTCGTTGTGCGTACCATGTTGCAAGCCCTCATCGGCCGTCTTCTTTAGCTCCTTAATGGTGGTATCGAGCTTCTCGTTCTCGGTTTCGAGAAGACCGTTCTTGTGGGAGAGCGAGGTGATCTCTTGCTCCTTGGCGAGGTTTTCCTGCTCGAGAGCCTTGACCTTGGTCTGCAACTCCTCGACTTTGGCAGCGGATTCGTCAGCCTCCAGACGGAGCTGGTTCATTCTCTTTTATTTTTAAAGACACGTGTTAACATCATCACAATAAATCCACGTTTTACCTAGACAAATAAAAATATGCTTCGCAAGACTGCGTTGCTAAGCTTTGTATTTTGGTGTTGAGAACCGCTTTGATATCGCGCTCTTCTTCGATGGTGGGGTAAAGGGGGAAATCTGAGCAGATGAAGCAACTTACCTCTCGGATGCGGTCCGCCATTTTGGTGATACTTTGGTTAGAAGGAAAGTTTAAAGGGAAAGGACAAAAAAGGCCAAAAGTCAACTAAATAAACTGGTGAAGCAGGTTTGGTGGTGCTAGATTAGTTAGGAGTTGGGCAACGAAGGCAGAGACTCCGAAGACTTGAAGGAGAATTAAGGGAAAGGAGCTCGTTGAATAATTGATCAACCAGGACTAGATTGAATGGAGAGTCGTGGAATTTCATATGGCGAGTGGGTTGGTACTAGATTGCCCCGCCTTCCCTTATTGCCCTTGTGCCCTTGGAAAGTAGGGTGGATGGAAAGTGACAGATAGGGGATAGAGGGACCCGTCTCATGATATGTTTTGGCCGCACAGTGCCGTCAGCTTTGTCACATGTGGGTCCACCCCCCTATTGATTCCCTAATATTCACTGAGCGAGGTACCGTATGTATTTATCAAACCCCGCACGGTCCTAAGTTGCAACTTACTATGGTACAAAGACTGGAATGGAAGGGGGCCTATGTAACTAAGTATCTGATCTCGTTGCCCTGACAACCGCCCATTCCACCCAAATAAAGTTAGAAAATAACATTCAAACCCGTTCCCTTCAGAAATGAGGACAAGGCGAACAATGGATCCATTTCATTAAAACTTGCCCACCGCCGAATGCTACTCTTCAAATTCACATTACGCTACGAACCATTCAATTTTGTCAGATTGCTGGAGCAGAAAAGTCTGTGCTGATGGGGAGTTGGTTCTCCTCAACAATATAGGCGTAACGTAAACATACAGCAATTACGACACCGTATCCTACTCCACGAGCAACCGTATTGTAAGTACCTGCCTAAGGTATCTTAATTACCGCTTATTTCATCAATCAAATCTGCGATCTTCCCACGATGTTAGCTGCTCGAGATCAAGAGAACTTGGCCTTCAGCCACCAGAATGGTGCTGCCCTTAAGCAACAACAAGGTCAAGTAAAGCGTCAGCTCCAGCCAAAGACTCCCGGTGGAAGATATGCGAACACACCTATCAAAGTACCTTTGAACGACGAAAATGGGGCGGGCGGTGCCAAGAGCATCCTCGGCGGCAAGTCGAGAGGCAATGAGAACGCGCTCACATCCAAAGGGGGAAAAAGTGTGAATAAGTCTAACCTTGCTACTCCGGCAGGTATGTTCTCCATTGTTGCATAGCTTGGAAACTCGGTATTAACAGAATGTGTAGGACCGCGCAGCAGAGCGGTTTTGGGTGACAAGACTACCAACGCAAAGGCGAAGGGCTCGCAGACAATTAATGCGAAGGGTGCTACTCGCGAACTAGAAAAGTCCCAGGGCAAGGCGCCTGGAACTAGTCGGCCAAAGCAGAAGCAACCACAAGCCGAACTACAGAAGCTGGTAGTTCACGCTGAAGAGACGGATCCGCTAAGTGAGGAGGAAATTGAATATTGTCCTCCTAAACCAAAGGATCTCCCTTACGAATCTGACGTGTTTCCCGATGGTGCCCTTAAGTTCGATGCCTTGAAGCCAGAGAACTTGTTTAAGGGTTTTTATGATTATTACTACAACCCTGTCGATGAGAATGGCGTCTCGCTTGCCGACAAGGAGTTGGAGGAGAGAAACCGAAAGGCTATGGAGGAATGCGACAGACGTATCCAGGAAGATATCGACAGCATTGAGTGGGGCATTCAAGAAGAACCGGAGACCACTAAGAAGGCCACCTCCATTCCGACTCGGGCACCCCTGGGCGTTAAGAGAACGGCGATGAACAGGGTGGCATCTACTATTCGAGCAAAGAAGGCCGCTGAAGCTCTATCGATGGACGATACGACCAAGTCGATGCAGCGAAAGGCAGCAAGGTCCGCGGAAGTTAGCAGAATCCCGGCTAAGAAGACTACATCCCTTCCCATACCGACCTTCAAGCGACAACCCGGCACTCAGCCGCAGGGACTCACCAAAAAATCATCTACGGAGATGGAGGCAAATTCACGGACGACAATTGGCTATAACAAGGGGCGATCTACCGCGTCGATACTTGCTCAGGGGACTACGAAGCTAGAGAGACCTCCGTCCAAGACCGGATTTACACGTTCTAACACCACGCTGTCAACCGAGTCTGATCGAACTATCACCCCGGCTCTATACACTCATACGCAAGCCGCAGTCGCCACCGAAGATCTGGAATGGAAGGAAAGAGTTCCGTTTCTCTCCATCTTCAACCCCGAGGATGATGACGACGACGACGATGACTGCGACCTCCTTGGGGGAAACACGCTCAAGGGCCCAGGCATGGACGAGGATGAAGACTTCGAGTTCAAACTTGCCGATTAGATGTTTTTTGTATCATCATTCACGTGGTAATCGGCGTTACAGTGGTTGCTGCTTCGAAAAGGAGTTTTTTTGTGTCTATTTGCGTGTTGTTCACGATTGACTTTAACGCATGCAGATGAAAGGACATTTATCTGCCAGTAACAACGAGGGCTTCTTGTATTGATAGATTATAAAAGCGGTTTGGTTATGGTATTCTTACCAAAGATAACCTGCACACTGTGTAATGAGGCCCCCTTTTAAAAAGTGAGAAAGAGAAAAAAAAACGACGGTCCTGGATTAATTCGCATTCAATGAGGGTTATAGGCTAGCTGAAGTTAAACGAATATAGTTATGATCTGCATTACCTTGCCGAACAAATATTGAGCTGGAAAATAACTTAAAAAGTCAGATGGAACTGTTTAAATGTCTTTTTTTGGTGTTTCCATTTTGGAGGCCTGACAAGTGGCTGAGCCACACGTCAGTTTGTCAGTTTTGATCATCTACAACATACCTCTTATGCTACCTGGCAATTGTGACGTGGAGGTTTGAATGACTGCTATATTCATTAACATGTGTATTGATGATATTCTTTAACTACCTAGGCCTAACTAGTGTTTGGCTATTGAGAATCCTCAGCAGAGCCCTTGCAGTCCCCTGAAAAGCAAAGATGCAGATGCATGAATCCCCTAGGTACCTGTTATCAGAATAGATATATACCATACATCAGGTGCGATCAGAAAACCACCTGAAGCGGGTGCCTGACTAGGTAATAAAGAGTTGCATCAGGTTCTGGATCCGACGGATAAAGCCGATTCGATTCGCTCTCGATGATAGTTAAGAATACATCCAGGTGAGAAACAACGAATAACAAACAAGTGGTGACGTTGTAATGCATAAGGGAGAAATATTGACTACCAATACAAAACTACGTGCACATATTTAATGAAGCCTAGAAAAACGCCACATGTAGGTACAAATGCCGCTAACAGATCATCAGGCCCCCAGGCTGCTGAGGCTGATCAGTTGAAGCTCAGGATAAAAACAGAAATTTTGCTTAAAAAAAAACTAAAACCTGTGGCACAGGCAGTGGCTACCATCCCCGGACTTGGCCCCATCCCTGAAATCAGAATCTGGCTTTGCTCATCAACCGCCAATTCAACTTTTCGGCATCAGCCTCTTCATTCTCCCATCTGCCGCCTACCCATTTTTCTACTCAGCCAGAGTCTTCACCTCGCCGGTGCAAATTTCATAAATACACCTTTTAAATCTATTTGCGACCGTATCGGGCTAGGTTTTAGTCAACCACCTTCCTTGATTCGCTTTCCACATCGTCAAGATCTAGATCGCTTGTCTGTTTTTTTATTTTTTGACGAGTCCACACGTCAGATCTCCGATCCTGTCGCGTGCGTGGAGGCAGGAGTTTCGCGTATCCTCCTCCTCCTCCTCCTCCTCCTTCTTCTAACACTTCCAACCACACCGACCACAAATATAATCAATTATTCAACCTCTTCTCGCATCGTCAATGAATGGTGTTTTCAAACATTTTCAGTTCGAGATATGATGGTCGGTGGATAGTCGAAGCCGCCAACTTCGACCCTCCGAATCATGGCTCCTAGCGCTGGTTATAAGGAGTTCTTTCCTAACGCTCCTCGAGCCGCCAGGGACAAGGCTAATGAACGGGAACGCGAGAAGTATTCGAAAACTTCAGAAGCTGTCGAAAGTGATCCCAAAACGGCAACGCCTGCTCACCGCGATGGCGCCAAGTACGATTTATCGCTGTCTGATGCCGCACATCCCCCGACAGATGATACCGAGTCCTTGCAAGGGGATATCCTCAACGGTGTTGGTTCCGCAAGCTCCCACGCGAGTACCGCCTCCTCTGTCTTTACCACATTCAATTCCTCCGCTCCCTTAGGTGCTTCTTCACGCTCATTCAACAGCAACTCTACTCCCACCACTATATCGGGCTCGCCCACAAATCCCCCACATATGCAAGCCGCGAAGCAGCGCACCTCCGCCATTCATAATACTAGCAGCAGATCTGATAGTGCGAATCCCACAATGGCCGCGGGGTCGTCCTCTAGTCTTCCCAGCGCCGTCAAGCGCCTCCCGGCTCGAGATCCTAACCTCACTGTCAAAGGAACCAAGTGCATACACGATCCCTCAACCGACAAGAGCTTGTCTTCGAGCGATAGGAAAACATTGAAACCCAAATATAAGAATATCGGCCTGGTACGTATAATATATTATATGGATAGAGGGGGGGCGTCATCTGCTTCGCGTGAGAACTCTGGCTAATACACTGAATAGGAAGATGACGCCCCCCCTCCGGACCCTCGTCTATCTAAGGGTAGCTGGCTCGACTACATCAACGTCGACTTCCACCTGCCTAAGGCGAGACTACGCCAAACTCCCTATAATCTCAAGCCGTATCCATATGACCCTGCCACCTCCATCGGCCCTGGGCCACCCACCCAGATCGTCGTTAGCGGATTTAATCCCTTGATCTCCTTCTCCAAAGTCGTAACCATTTTTGCCTCGTTTGGCGATATCGCTGAGAGTAGCAATAAGATGCACCCTCACACAGGTAGTTTTTTGGGTTTCGCAACTTTTCGATACCGAGACTCTAAGCAGCCAAGACGACCTCCCATCTCGGCCGTCGATGCCGCAAGGAGAGCTGCTAGGGCCATGAACGGGAAGAAAATCGAAGCGAACTATGTAAAAGTAGAATTCGATCGGGACGGCAAGAAAAGCAGAGTCATGCTCGAAACTGTCCTTAAGAAGGATCAAGCCGAAGCAAAGCGTGCAGCCGCTACGCCGCCCGTACCTACGGGTCCAAAACTAATGCCCTCCGAGCTGCTCAGCCGAGCGCCTCCTGCTGCTCCGAGAGGCCCTGCCGCTGAACGACAACGACCGTCGCTAGGAGGAGCAGAGCCGGCCTGGGCGCCCCCAACAAAACCTAAGGCGTTTTCCATGTTGGTCGATATGCAATCCGTTCCGGCTACCCTTAAAGGCGAACCATACGTATTCGTCCCTGACTCAAGCGTTCCGGTGATGGTCACAACAATACCACACATGAAGAAGCGCCTGAAGTCGTTCCAATTCGAGGATATACGAGCCGATCGCACTGGTTACTACATCATCTTCCCCAATACTACATTCGGTCGCGATGAGGCCTATAGGTGCTTTAGGTCGGCAGATGGTAGCGCCTTCTTCACCTACACAATGGCAATGAAGCTTCATGGGGTTACTTCAACAGGGCCTGCCAGCTCTGCAGAATCTCTGCGAAGAAGTGAGCCAGATAGAAGACCACTAGTAGATATCCGAAACAGAGACGACCACCAATACAGGCCGCGAGACGAGCGACGTCGCGACGAAGAAGCAGTTTTGGAAGAAGAAAAGAAGCAAAGGGCGAAGAATTTTGATCCCGTACTTGAAGCTGTCGAAGTTGTCCGGCGTGAGATGAAAGAGCATCTGATTAGACACATTAGGACTAAAGTCGCTATACCTGCCTTATTTACATTTCTAGATCCCAACAATCACGTAGCTAAGAGGCGAAGGTTGAACCTCGAGGACCCCGCTGGTTCATCCCGACTCGCGGTTAACGTCGAAGAACGCGACGAGACTCCGATTAGTACCCCCAATTCTCGAGCCGACCCGATCGAACGCCGCACTGCCCGTCTCGATGTCACTGCTCTGCCTCGCATCAGAAAGGCTAAAGGCCAAGGTGCTGTGCAGCGAAACTATGGATTTACCGATCCCTTTGCGCGCAAGAGGGCATCCGTGGTGCACAATGCCTTCCGTTCTCTTCACCATCGACTGCAGCCTCCAGATAGCGACGAGGAGGCATCCGAAGATGAAACCGAGAATCGCGACTCCGTTGCGCGTGAGGTTGAAGAGTCGGACTCTCGCCCTCGTAGCCGTATGAGCACGGAGGACGATGTCTTCGAAGATGGTTTTGGTGATGAAGATTCCATGACGGATGCTAGTTTCCCTGTCAACGATGGCCCTATCAGAACGAAGAAGCGGAAGCTTGATTTACATATCGAGGCTGCTATCAAGCGGCAGAAGAAGTCGGACGAAGAGCTCTTTGGTGTTACTATCGATACGCTCGAGAATGAATTCCCGAGCCCGACGGACGACGTGCCTATGCCTGATGCTGAGGCTGGACATAATGATACCAAGCCTCCCGAAACGACGGAGCCGTCTACGCCGATTGAGAAGCCTGTTAAGGGGAGGAAGAAGGTGACCATAGCAAAGCCTAAGAAAAAGACTAAGAAGCAACTCTTCGAAGAGCGTGAGGCTATGAAGAAGAAACAACAAGAAGCATACGTTGAGGAAGCCTTGGAGCAGGCGAGCAAGGAAGAGACTCAAGAGCCTGAAGAACCGTCAGAAAAACCTGTGGTAGAAGAAGCAATAGAAAAACCAGTTGTCAAAGATGATCGGTTTTCTGATGCGGTGCTCCCAGCAATGGCCCTCCCAGACCCATTTACTTTGTCGGTCAAATCCATATCAAAGATTGAGCTCCAGCCTAAAGACTATCCTGATACTAGCAAGCTTAAGAAAAAATTCAAGGCTGCTGATATCGGCGATCCCAGACTCTGGGTATGGAGGCATAATCGCGTTCGGGAGCTCAACACTGAGGAGTCATCGTCTGATGAACCCATCACTATAGAGGGCTATTACGTGCCAAATCCCACCGGTTGCGCTCGTACCGAAGGTGTAAAGAAGATTCTCAACTCGGAGAAGTCTAAATATCTTCCTCATCATCTCAAGGTCCAGAAAGCAAGGGAAGAGCGACAGCTCCGCGCAGCCAAGAAAGACGGTAAGGATGCTGCGGCTGCGGCTGCAGAAGCAGCGAAGCTCGCAGCTGAGAAGTTGCTGGCAAAAGGTAACTCGAGAGCAAACCGCGTCAACAACCGCCGATTCGTTGCCGACCTTAACGACCAGAAGAGGACCCTAGGCCAGGACTCGGATGTTCTCAGATTCAACCAGTTGAAGAAACGGAAGAAGCCGGTTAAGTTCGCTCGATCCGCTATTCACAACTGGGGTCTCTACGCCATGGAGAATATCAACAAGGATGATATGATCATAGAGTACGTCGGGGAAGAGGTTCGACAGTCCATTTCTGAGATTCGGGAGAACCGTTATCTCAAGAGCGGTATTGGTAGCAGCTACCTCTTCCGTATCGACGACAGCACGGTAATTGATGCAACGAAGAAGGGTGGCATAGCACGTTTCATCAACCACAGCTGCATGCCGAATTGCACAGCCAAGATTATCAAGGTTGAAGGCAGTAAGAGGATTGTCATCTACGCCTTACGAGACATTGCTCAGAGTAAGTTTTATTTACGTATTGCTGCCGAAACCACAGAATAGTACTAACGCATATCTTTACAGATGAGGAATTGACATACGACTACAAGTTTGAGCGTGAGATCGGAAGCTTGGATCGTATACCTTGCCTCTGCGGAACGGCAGCTTGTAAAGGTTTCCTCAATTAGTGCCCCCCTAATGACTTTTTTCCGGTCCAATGTTGGAGCGGCGTATTTGTTAAACATTTGTCTGGCGTAAACGGTTTTTTTTTTTTCTCTCTTTTCACTGCATTTTGATACTCTTCTATCTCAAGACGGCACACTTCTAAACCCTCCCCGCCTTGATATATATGCATCTAAGGAGTAAGCTCTCGCCGAAAGGGCGCAATCAAAAAAGGGGTGTACAATAGTTGATTTTGTTTTCTTTCATCCAAAGGAGACAGAGGGGGTTCATCGGCGTTCTCTCGAGGCCTGTTTCTTTTCTCTTTCTTTCCCAAGCCTCTTTCTTCTTTTGCTTTTGGAAGTGGAACGGCACGGTATGACTGCATTACATGTGTGCGTGTGGCAGTGAACGTGGACTTATAGAAGCAACCAAAAACGGTATCCTATCTAAAGTAAACCGCCCATTCTATACCCAAATAGGGGTTGTTATTTTTCTGTTTTCTTGTACGACAGGAAGCTAGCTTGTTGGGTATAGGAGACCCTTCAACGGAAACGAGGATTATCAATGTACATAGAAACTCATCATCCTAGGTGGCCTCGACCCTCCCGGAAACAAAAGATGGGGATAATAATTGCATCATCGGCTTTATTCAACATGACTTTTCGAGAGAGCTCACACTCGGATACATACTGTGTACATACGCCCGCACGCACACTTGATTGCTCTGTATTGTAGCTACTGTAGCTGAATCGATTGCCTCTTCTTTTTTTTTTATCTACCTATAACGCCGTCCGGTATGCCGTAAAAGCTAGCCCCTTAATAATATCTAACGCCGAGACACCTGTAATTCTATGTAAAGACTTATTTATGTTCGCGCATGGCATGGCATGGCATGCATGTAATGCGTATTATATCCCATCTTATAAATTCCGATCGACTGACTACCAGGTAAGGAGGCTACTGAGGAGCACCGGGCAGTCTCTCGATCACGTACTTCCCCCGAGCGACGTTCATGATGGGGACACCGGGGATCTTGCGTATCCGGCGGCAGAGATCCTTGTCGTTGGTCGCGACGATGTACACGCGGTGTTTCCTGGGGGATGGAGTGTTAGCTTTCTTGTTCTCTCTCTCTTTCTCTCTCTCTCTTTTCTCTATCCTCCCCCTTTCCCATCTCTCCCCTCTCTCACATCTCCAACTCCGACTCCGACTCCGACTTTCGAACTACTCGGAGGCCAAGAAAAAAAAAAAAAAAAAAAAGAACTTACATGACCCGATCGACGATGCAATCGTCGGCATACACGCCCTTGTGATCGCACGGCAGCCTCTCCCAGCGCTCGTCGCGCGCGATCCTTAGGGCGATGCGGTACTTGGGGCCGAGCTTCTCGAGCTCGGCCATGACGCAGCTGGTGATGATGGGCGTGCACTTGGCGTACAGGCAGTCCATCATGGACTCGAGGAGCGGCAGCTTGCGCTGCACCGTGTGGCTGAGGAAGTTGGTGTCGACGAGCACGCTGTACGGCGGCACCAGCGCCTCGTTGTGCTGGAAGAAGAGCGACGACGGCAGCTGCGGGACTTCCCGCCGGGCGACGACGTCGGATCCGGAGGTGGTGGAGGTGGACGCTTTGGTCGCGGCGAGCTTGTCCGCTGCTTTCTTTTGGTTCTCTTGCAGGCGCGAGTCGCGGCGAGAGATTATGCGCTTGACCTGTGGTGGGGGAGGTTAGCTTTCGTGGTGATGTTGTTCGCATACTCTTAGTATGCGATGCGATGTGATGCGATGTGATGCGATGCGATGCGATGCTTATCGATAAGAGGTTTTCTATATGAGGAGGGTGGGATGAGAAGAGGAGGACGATGAGGACGAACCTGTGCGAACTTGCGCGTCTTCTTTGCGACACCCATGATGCTGCGTGTTTTTGAACAAAAGGACGAAGTCCTGTTGCGGAAGGCGAGGAATCCGGAGTTACGTCAAGCGAAGTGTCGCAGGGTTTGTGGCGGGATTGGATGCTTGGATGGATTGTTTCGTTATCGAAGATACCTACCTAGCAACGTAAAATCTGCCGCCTATGAAAATCTTGACCGCCCTGGAAGGTGGAATATCAGATTAGCCGTAAACCGTACGTTCTAGGTACCTACCTAAGGCCCTTGGCGTTCGAGCTTGGTCCATGCGCACGTTCCACAGCACGCATCGACGCAGGTGCAGGTGGTAAAACTTAAAAGTCGTGATATGTACCAGTACTTTGTCTCTCCCCCAGACTCCAGACCCAGCCCACTTTGACGATTTGCCTGTCTGTCGTCTTGTATTCTCTCCCCAGTTAAGAGATTTATGCAGGGCTGAGAAATAAATGTCTTACCATGCTCGCGTTTAGAGCGAAGAAGCCGCCGTGTGGAATTTGATACAACTTTACATTTGAAATGGAAAATGCCTAGGTAGGTAGCAATAGAGGCGTTAGATTCGATCAGGTGGCTAGATGAGTTTCGCTGCGGTGCGCCGTGCTACCAAGTCGCACAACGTTGGCTGCGGGCTTCCATATTCGCCGATGCGGTGCTTCGCGCGCATCATGTATCGTTACTTCGCTTCGTACTTACTCCAGCAAAACAAAAAAAGACCCCTATGTACGACACGATGGGGTTGGTCAGTGTTATTAGTGGTAAAGCCATCCCAGCAACTGCAAGCGCAGTACATATCCTATCTGGGTACCTAAGGTACTACTATAGTACAATACACTGCACCGTATACATGGTATATCCATAGCAAGATAGTACTAGTATAACGGTGTTAGTAGGTACTTATAAGGTACTAGTACCATACCTACCACCTATTAACCCATTTACGCGAGCGTCGAGCCTTCTTCATCTCGTCTCGTCTTTGCTCAATTTGGAACTTTTTTTTTTCAATCTTACATATTAGGTTTTGCATGGGCATAGCATGGGGCGGCCATTGGCGTGCCTGGCCATTGTTTTTTACTCATCCACTTATTACAACTCTCCTCCTTTTCTCGTTGGTCCCTTCATCCGTCCGTTGTCCACCAAAAACCCATCCCATCATTCTTAACTCTCGCCAAACATCAGCATACGAAAGAGGGTTGGAAGACTTGATAGGAAACAACGATAATGAAATACGCTTAAGCTTTTTTTTTTTAATCAACATTTTAACTTTTTTTCTTCGTCCGTCGTTTAAGTCTACATACATTCTTTTTTTTTGCTTATTATTAAACTCGCAAATCGTAACTTAAACCCTCATTCATCTCATAATCGGGGCTACCCTCTTTTTTCTTCCTTACCTTATTCGTAATTGAGTTCATGTTGGGACGAAATACGAAGAGACTTTCCCAGATTCATCGTGTTTTCGCTAAGCCACAATCAAATAGTCCCTCATCCCGCCTTACTCTATCCTCTCCCGTGCGCTCGCCATTGGCGCGTAACAACAATAAATAAACGAAACGAACCTCGAGAACCATCCCTTCGCTGTTAATCCAATTCTCGTCGCTCTCGTTTCGCAAACTCACCCATCATCATGCGCACAGAACTGTTTCTCGTCACTCTATTCGTCCTGCTCGCCCCCAACGTCATCGCTCAAGGGAACGGCGATGACGATAACAATAATGATACGACGAGCGACGTGACGATAAGTGCCACAGCTAGTCCTTCGTCAACTCCTACGCAAATACCGTCATCATTGGCAGCGGCGACGACTGAGGAGAAGACCACCGAGACTCCGACGGAAACGCCAAAGTCAAGGCCATCGTCAAGGGCAGTTTCATCCGCTGATAATCCACAACGTATTACCACCTCAACTTCATCCAACAGCGATGGGCCACTTCCTACTATCCCAGGCCAATATAGCTATCCCGCCCCTACCGTTCCTCCCACGCAGAACGCCCCGTTTATGCAGCCGTCAAAAGTGCCAGAGGGCACCGTGTTTATCGCCGTCGGAGCTATTCTAGGTGCTTTCGGAGCTGCCGTCTTGATATGGCGCGCCGTCGTCGCCTGTCTCCTGCACCGCTCGGTCAAGAAGGCGGCATTGGCTCAGCAACATGCCAACGACAAGGCCACATTCCCGCCCCAGCAGCCCCCGCCGTTCTACAAGTACACAGACCAGACATCCTCTGCTTCGCTTGGTAACGGTGGATCAGGCCGCGGCGTACGAAGGACAACACGAGGTCCTATCTCTTCGCAAACCCCAAGCCAGTCCAACCTCTTCTTCTCGCCCACCGCTCCTCCTACGACGGGCGGCGGCGGTGGTGGTGGCAGTAGCGGCGGCAACCGCGAATCCCGCTTCCTGCCCTCCGGTTTCTACGCTGCCGGCGCGGGCTCTCCGCAAGACCACGTCCATTCTATCAGCTTGACGAACCTGCGGCCCGATTCGCACGGCCACCCGCGCCCTCTCGGGTACTCTCCGCCCGATTCTCCCAGCCTGGCACCCCCTCCGAACCCGGTGCAACGCAACTTGAGCGCGAGCTCGCTAAACCTGAACCGCCCGCCCAGCGGACGGGCTCCCAGTACCTTCCTGGAGGATCTATTAGATGACCCGAAGAACCAATTCCCACCGCCTAGCCACAACCAGCACCCCCGGGGTTCATCGCAATCCCGGTATTAGTTTAGATACTCCGGCAGAAAGGCCTCTCCTTCATTTCAGCGGAGTCCGGAGAAAATAATAAAAAAGGGAAAGGCTTATGGTGTTTTGGGGGGATGCATTTACGAATTACTTCTTTTTCGACTGCCTTTTCTTGCACGCGGAGAGGAATATCCTTTTTTAAGAGAAAAACATTATTGTCATTCCAAGCGATGAGCCAAATCTGGGGGGGACGCCAGACCGGAACTTCCAACCAACCAGCCAATCTTAGCAAAAGCTGCGAGTGGGGCGAAGGGGAGAGGGAAGGGAGCGGTGAGAAGGAGAGAAGATGGAATATCCGCCCCGGGTTTACAGAAAACCCCCTCCGCGCCCCGGCTTGTTGCTTTGCCTGGTTTTGTTTTTTGTTGTAAAAAATTCAACGCATATACGTGCGCGTGCGTGTGTGTATAATGAGCATTAACCTAGAGAGTTTTGGGAGTTTTTAAGGCGAAAGGGTGGTGTCAACAATAACAACAGCAACAACAACATGAACAGCGGCATTATCATTACTGCTAGTTAGTTAGGTAGGTGGTGTTTACTATCACTATATCTATTACCTACTACGGTATAGGTAGCATATAGTATAGTACGGCGTTGTATAACTAGCATAGAATAACATAGCATAGCATGGTATAGTTAAGACTTGCTATAGTTATATATATATAAATAAATAATAAAAGAGAAAAAGAGAGAGACAGATGAAAAGTAAGAAAAGGGGGGGAGCACGGAGAGGTGGCCGACTTTTCGGGTCTGTGATAATGACAGATGATACCTATCTTTCTTGCGTAACATGTGAAGTCGTCGGAGTGGAGATTTGTACTCGGTTCTAAATCAGTTAGTTGAATGGTATTCTCGGTAGGTAATATCAACTTTGCTGGGCCGGTTGTGTTATCATGGAAATTTTGGGCAAGCTTAGGTAGATAGAAGAGACGTGTTTGTGATACTTTAGGTACCTACCTGACATATGGTCTGTCTAAATGATATCAGGTAGAGAGGTATATAATATAATGTAAACCATGATAGGTAATACTTATTCCACCTCCTTTTGCAAAAACTTGATAGGCAAGACATCCTTTTTTTCGTCCAACCCCAAGAATATTAGATTAGATTAAACCTGTACAATATAACAGGCACCTAGCAACTGGCGCTATGCACTGACTGCCCAACAGTATGTAGTACTAGGTAACTTTACCTTACCCATACCATAAATCCTCGTATCGTTAGGTTACCTGGTACCTTTCCGACCAGCCATATCTCCTCTCTCTATATCATACCATCTATATCTCATCACGCCCCCTCCCTCGACCCTTTTTATATATCCTTTTCCTCGCCCTCGCCCTCGCCCTCACCCTCACCCTCACCACTTCCCCCCCTCCTAGCGTTAATAATATCCTCCTCCCTAATCCCGCTCGTATCGCACATACTCCTGAAGATCCCCCCGCGCCTCCACAGCGCCAAGGGGCTGTCGAGCTCGGCGATCTGCCCCGTGCTCATGACGCAGATGCGGTCGTAGCCCACGATCGTCCGCAGCCGGTGCGCGATGCACAGCAGCGTCTTGCCGCGGAACCCCACCGCCATCGTCTCCTGGATCCTCTGGTCCGTCTCGAAGTCCACCGACGATGTCGCCTCGTCGCACACGATGATCTGCGAGCCCCGCACGAGCGCCCGCGCCAGCGCCATCAGCTGCCGCTGGCCGAGCGAGAAGTTCAGCCCGTCCTCCTCCACCACGCTGTCCAGGTGCACGCGCGACGGGTCCTTGTCGTCTATGCTCGCGTCCGCGGGCACCAGGTTGGCCTTGCGGAGCGCCGACCACAGGTCCAGGTCCGTATGCTCGTTAAACGGGTCGAGGTTACTCCGCACCGTCCCCCTGAAGAGCGTCGGGTCTTGCGGGATGATCGCTAGGCGGGAACGCAGATCGTGGAGGCCGATCGTTGAGATGTCGATGCCGTCGATATAGATATGGCCTCCCGAAATCTCGACTAATCTGAACAAAGCCTGGAGAACGCTACTTTTTCCAGCTCCGGTTCTCCCTATAATCCCTATGCGCTCGCCTCCGCTAACATGTAGATCTAGGCCCTTAAGTACCAGAGGCAAATTCGCCCGGTAGCGCATCTCAACTTTATCAAAGATAATCTCGCCTTTCTCCGGCCACGTGGGTCTGACCTCTATTGTGTGTTGAGGGGCTTCCTCTTCCAGCTGAGAGCCGTAGTACTGGACTCGCTCGACAGCGTTCATCCCGTTTTCGACCTCGGCGAGTTGTCTCACGGTGAACTGAAGCATTTGCACGATCGATAGAATATACGATAGGATAAGCCCTCCTATAGACGGGGATACTTCAAATCGCGACGTAATTACCAGAATGCCGACTGTAAATACGAGCGCGTTCCCGATCGTATCCAGGCGCACGGATAACCACCGCTGATTGGAGTAAGTCAGATAGTAGGCCGAATTCATCTCGTTAATGGCGTTTTGAAGATCTCGAAGAAAGCGATTGCTCAACCCATAGGCGCGGATCGAAGCGACTCCGCTCAGCCCTTCCCCGAATTTAGCAAACACAACGGACCGAAGTATGGATTCGAAGCGCTTCACTTCCCTGGCCGACGCTCTGTAGTACGATGCCGCGAAAAAGAAGAGAATAGCAAGTGGAACCAAGGCGATAGCAAAGTAATGGAAGAAGGCGATGATCAGCGCAAATACCGACGTGATCATAGCTAGAGTGAGGAAGTACATCCTCATCGCGTCGGTTAAGGTATTGTCTAGCACGTCTATATCCCTGGAAAATCTATTCGTTATACGGCCGAGGGGCGTAGTGTCGAAAAAAGAGATTGGGGCCCTGAGCGTTCTTGACATCGCTTGCTTGAGAAGAGCTTTGCTAGCATTTGTGCCGAATATGGTCAGTAGAAGAGAAAAGACGAACATCAGTACGGCTTGCAAAGTTCCTAGGCCTGCATAAACGCCGATGTACACCCCCGTGGTCAGGCCAAAATGGTCTGACGTCCAATAGGAAAGCCATAAGCTTGTCATGATGTTGGCGCCCTGAGAAAGTAAGAGCACGGCCAAGGTGAGCGGCGCATTAAGAATGCTGCCGGACGCCTTGATATAATTTTTATAAACGGAAAAGGGGACAGAGGAAACGGCCCTTTCCTCCGTTTGCATCAACCCTGGGCCTCGATCTCGTTTCTTTTTCTTCTTGTTCTCGCTAGTATCTGACGTCTTTTCTTCAGCGGTATCTGATTCGGATTCCTCTTTGGTTTCCTTGGTCTCGGTCGTCTCCATTAGTTGCCTGAACCCTGCGTGGTTTGCCATTAGATTATCGAACGTGTCGATCGCTTGAATCTTGCCGGCTTCCATGAAGATGATTCTATCGCAACGGTTGAGCACCCACAGCTGGTGTGTGGCAAGTATACGACTTTTCCCTTTAAGAAGCCCCAGGATAGCGTGTTCAAGAATATGGCGGCCGACGTGGCTGTCTACCGCGCTGAGAGGGTCGTCCATAAGCACAAGATCGGCGTCGAAGTAGATGGCTCTCGCAATATTTATCCTCTGTCGTTGGCCCCCTGAAGTGGTTAAGCCTCTTTCGCCTATTTCAGTATTATCGCCGTTTGGCCAAGTGTCGAAATCGGGTTGTAGAGCGCAGCTGGTAATAAATAGTATTAGTATATCCTGTACTTGGAAGGTTTGCCCAATGTGACTTACGCTTTCACGACTGCCTTATACCGCTCGCGGTCCATCTCTTTGCCGAAAAGAATATTATCACGGACGGTGGCGTTTTGGATCCAAGCATATTGGGGACAGAAAGCTCGAGATGCTCCCAACGTAACCTCACCTGATGTTTTACGCATCTGGCCGGCAAGTGAGGCAAGCAATGAGCTCTTCCCGCTTCCCACGCTTCCGATTACTGCAACCAACTCATCTCTACCGATTTCGAAATTCAAGTCCTGGAGTTTAAACGGCTCGCGTTCTTCTACAAGCGTACTTGCCGTATCTTCAGCGCCCTCTTGCGAGGAGCCCGTAGTATTATTATTGCCTGCTTTCTGAGCTTTCTTCGTACGTTTTTGCTGAGGACCATTCTTGGCCTTCTTTTCGCCTGGATTCTCAGATTCCTGGGTGGGAGTCCTCTCCCAGGTGAAGGATGCGTTACGCATCTCGATGGCATTCTCCCCGTCATATTTCATGGTAATTTCTTCTTCCTGCTCCTCTGACAGTATAAAATCTTCGATTCTTTTGAGGGAAGACCAAGCGTCCACAGTCTGGCCAATAACCAACGGTAACAAGTTAAGGGGCATTCGCAAGCTGTTGAACAGCGCAAGTGACGAGAAGACTTGTGCAGCTGGAAGCCCGTGGTCTGTGAGCGAGTAGGTGATGAATGAGAGCATAGAAGCGTAGATAGGCAGAGACATGCTGACAGCGTTGATGGCATTTCGAATAGCCAGCAGGACTTGGATAGCATGGATTTCTCGCTTCCGAATGTCACCCAAACGCTTAAGAAAAGCAGCCTCCCACCCGAAGTACTTCACAAAACGGACCGACTGAAGAATCTCCTGCGTTAAGCTTACCCTCTGATCTGTTATCTTGTTAATGGCAGCACGTCGCCTAAATAGCAGACGAACAGCTCTCGTCAGGGCAGGTACTGCCAGTACTAACAATGTGAAGCCGGCCAGAGCACTGTACGTCAAATTAATAAGTAGAACGACGAGCGTGATGATAATAGCGATCGGCGCCGTCCAGATGAGGTGTAGCATCGCATTCGCTTGGTCAACACGATACGTATCGACGCTCATTAAATTAAGAATCTTTCCGTTGCCCCAGCCAGTGCCGTCGCCGGAGATGACTGCTTTATCAGCACCCTCTTTGTCGGTACCCTCTTTACTCCCGGCCCTCGCTCGATTGGAGAGTACCATAGACTTCTCGAATATGAGACTTATGAGAACAGCTCGGCACTGCGCGCCGACCATGCTACCCCGGTATATGTAGTGATTCACCCCTAAAGATTGAAGGATTTGCATGACGGTAACACCGATAACTAGACCTATTCCCGCGCCAATTTTGGGTGGCGGCGAGCCAGTCCGAGATGCGTCCCAGGCCTCCTGTGCGAATTGGATAAGGTAACGCAAAGTGAAGGGAGACATGACCTGGAAAACCGAGGAGCAAAGCTGACAGAAACCAGCGATCCAAAACTCGCGGAAGAAGGTCTCGTGGAGCGCCCGGAGTAGGGGGTATTTGCGACCATGCTTCTTTTGTCTCTCGAACGATTCCCTCACCTTGTCTGTCAGCTTCTCGGCTTCCCTGTTGGGATTGACCAGCCAGAGATCTTTTTGCTCCAGGGGCCGTTTATACCCAACCTAAAGTTCTATCAGTACGGCGAGACCAAGCGGACACGTTTAGCACGAGTTCTTCTTACACTCATTAGAGGGGCCATCCATTGAAATGTGAGCCTACTCAGGAAGCTGGCGTTGTACTCCCTCGAGACTTGGCGCTCCTTGGGGATAGGGGGTATCGAACCCCATCGTAGCGGATTTGGCGTTTTGTACCATGGCTTCTTGGGCACGGGCGCGGAAGCTCTCGAGGTAGTGCGAGTGAACGCGCTCGTATCGGTAGCATAGCTCTGAGTGTGTTTTAATTCCTCGCGGCCGGGCCTTTTCTCATCGGACTCCTCCTCCTCTTTACGAATCTCTTCGCCAGAGACGTCATAGACAGAAAGTGACTCGGAGTCAGTGGGTTTGTTCACACTTGTAAGTGGATCGGCGGGCTTTGTCTCCTTATCTTCAGTTTCATTTGCCATGGTATATGGCTCGGAGGGTGGCTCGGCACTTACTCGCAGAAGCAAAAGCGAGAGCGGCGTTACCTAAGTTATAAGATGCAAATATGTATAAGTGAGCCCTGTTGCACAACCTCCGTGAAACGTGGATAAGGTCTTCAAGCTTGTTGTTTTATAACTTGTTTTTGTTTCGTCTATGGAGGAAATATGAAGCACCGATTGCGGATGAGTTTGGGGAGAACGGAATAGCGAATGGTGAATAGAGAATAGTAAGGTAGTAATCTGATATTATTAAAAGTAGAAATGATAATGAGCGGCAAATCAATGGGGGTGCCTGGCTGGTAGTATATTAATAACCAACTTGAGTGGTAACTCCTTACACAACTACAACTATTTACCTTAGGCACCTTAGTTCAACTAGACTAATAAATAAGATTAGACAAGCTGAAGGCTACCTAGACAGGTTATGTAAGTGAGTTGACAAGGAGGAGTTGAATCGGATGGAATAAAAAAAGTCGAGATTGGATTTCTAACCTTTCTAACTAACGTGTTAATCAGCCGGGGAGAAGGGCCGTTTTAGTACGTATGCTAGGTATGACGCTTTGATAAACTCCAACCTGTAAAGAGCTAACGGGAAGGTCCTATACAGGTAGTATACCACACTAATGTACGGAATATGCATACAATACATATCTTTCTTACCTTATGTACACGACCTTGTCTGAATGTAGTACAACATTATGTACCATTGTATAAGTAATTACTAGTTACTACCTAGATACCATGATCAAGTATGGAAGTTAGTACTTTACCTCCTTTACGTTAGGTAGTTGCCTCTTTAAATTAACGTCAACCACAAGTTAGCGGTCCAACACCATATATAACTTAAAACTAACAAATTTCAAAAATTCATAACTTTACGAATTTTACATATTAAAATCCCAAATTAAAATATGTTATATTTAATTATGATTAGAAAGTATAGAAAAATTAGGAAAAATCTTATATTATTATTATATAAGTTATAAAAATATAAATATTTTTAAATTTTTATTTAGTTTTTTAATTTTAATTAATTTAATAAAATACTATGAAAATTATAAAAAATATTTTCATTATATTAATATAAATAATTATTTAAATTTGAAAACCGAATTTTAATAGGAATTTTTCTCATTAAAGTGCACGGTTACGCACAGACGTATTTTGTATGTATTTTCCGTGGACCGCTGACTTGTGGTTTACGTTATCACTTTTATCAACTTTAGACTTATACGCACGTTGAAATCCGAACAGACCCCCGGTCCTTCGGGATTGAGTTTACGAGCCGTTGCTTTCCAAATCCGAACCAATCCCGGCAGTTATACAAACAACCCCTATGCATTCCGTACATACGAGTCGTAACATCATCTAGAGATAGTGATAGCGGATATTACTTTGCATGACATACATACCTACGTACCTTAACAAACCGCGAATTAGGAATTGATTTGCGAGAGAAAATGCAGTCATCATATCGGTCAAGATACATAATAGCTTTTAATAGATAAATTAACCTTTACCAAAACCCGCGCCGTTCCAATCCGAATCCCGGGTGGCCTCGACAGCTTCAAACGAACCAATGGGTCTAGCTAGGCAGGTAGTTTATTACGTTGGGAAAACTTTTTTTTTTCCTCTTTATACGGCGTAATATTACGAACGAATGGTACCGAACTAGTCAAGTTACGTTTCACTCGTTCCGTGGAAGAACACTCTTTATTAGTTGATGAGATGAGGCTACACAGCAGCGCTATAGCACTAAAGCACCTGAATTTTTTTAAATTTTTTTTTTAAGAAAATAAGCTTTTTTCTCCCCCCTTTCGGACCCGCCCCGTCGATCGGTCGCCTTAATAACGCCGTATCCGCGTCTGCGGTCCCAACGGCCTAGGCTAGGCCCTCGCACTGGCCAGCGGAGTTGGCGAACGAACTTTTGTAATTACCTACCTGGCAAATAGCCTGGCCTGGTAGCTGCCCACTGGCTCTAATCAGAATTGCTGATTTATAATCCAGCTCGACGACGACCCGCCAAGGTTAGGTAACGAGATAAATACGTACGCAACTTTTGCTTTCCGTCGTTCGTATACCCATGTTGCGAGAAGGATTACAAATGGCAACATACGGGCTATTTTTTATCTTATGCTAGGTATGCTGTGGCCATTTTGCGTAATCAAAGTAACGTGATTCAACATGCGCACCTTAGGTTAGGTAGGTAGTTGGATATCATGTCCTACGGTGCCATTCCCGCTATTCCCTAAGGCAATATAAATTTGGTAGAACTTCGATCTTGTATAACTCCGGAAGAAGTTTTTTTTTTTTTTTTTTTTTTTTTTTTTTTTTTGGTCCTGGGTACCTAATGTACGAAGCAAGAGCCGCAACGGTACACAGCGTAAAAAGCCGACTGCTATTCTAACCACCATCAACCTAACCGTGTCTCATAGCCGAGACATGATTCACTTGGCTGTCGAATCGCACAACACCTACACATATAGATAGAGGTAGGTATGCATGTGCAAACAATAGTTATTGAAAGACACCAACACTGAATATATGCATCTAACTTACATCAACTCTTCCTGCAGACTTCAGCTCCAAATCGCAAGACATAGTAGAGCGCCTGGTGACTTATAGAGGGGCTTTGCATCCGTTAAAATAAATCATAACTGGAAGGTTGCCTAATAATACAATTGTCGATATTTGTTAAGAAACATCGCACTACTTAGGTAGGTACTCATCACTCACATCACCCACATTGAAAACCCCCAGAAGAAAAAAAAGGAGTTATTAAGACATGCTTCTTTCTTTTCTTCTTAATCCCCCCTTTTTTAATCTCGCATAGGAGATATTATCATTTTAAAACATGGAAAACACATTGTTTAGCTAGCTAGCTCTTTCATTTAGTCCTCCTCCCTCCCTGCTTCCATTCCGCCCCCCTTGAAAACCATCCTTTTTTCCGTTAATCTCCTAAGTGTATTGTACAAGCGTTTCTGCTGGGAGGGCCATAGCCATACCAAAAAACCCGTCGAAAGACGACGTAGAACAAACATTGCAAAATAATGCGTGGTCGTCGGCTGCGAATGATCGATCCGTATTGATCAGCCGTGTCGAGATAAATAAATAATTCCGATTGCCTCAAGAACATTATGAACTATCCGTACCATCCGAGCCATCAAGTCCAAGTAACGCCTTGCCGATATTATCGATGTCCTCGGAATCATCCTTACCCTCTCCCTCTCCCTCTCCCTCTCCCTCGCCTTCCTCGCCGCCGCTGCCGATGCCTAGGAGTTCTTTCTCCATCGCGTCTAGATCGTCTACGTCTTCCATTGTAACATCACCGTTGGTGTTGCCATTTTGCTTGGCCTTGATTCTATCCGCCTTCTCCGGGCTGCCATTCCTGTCATGTTGCCCGTGATGGTTTGACGAGGCGTAATCGGATGGCGGGCCTGCGATACGTTTCTTGGTCGTAGACACGATACCTAATTCGGGTCGACCATCCCAGCGTCGGAGCCGACGGTCAGTTCTTCTTAGTGCCGCCGCGTACGATGCGAACTCTTCGCCAAAGTCGTCGTCTTCTTGATGAAGCTGGCAGAGACCGCCAAAACCTCGATCTATGAAGAGTTGCCTGTGCTCCCTATGAGACATATATTCTTCTTCGTCACTGTCTACTAGAGCATCCTTCATGGCGGCTAGACGGCGCTTAGCACGTATGATGGCACCTTCTTGTCGTCGCACCTTTCGTGCGCGGTGATGTTGCTTCCGTAGCCCGCGGCCGAGAATATGCTCAACTCGCTGACTTCGGTTTCGCTCTACTGCTAGCTGGTGTGCCGTAGGAGGGCGCGGTTTTCTGGGAACTATCCCCTCAATGACGTGGGATCCAGGCCCGGCGGGGGACGAACCGTCGAATATCAAATTCTTTAAAGACGCTCCGCCCCGTCGTCCGGTACTGTTGATACCAAGGCGCGATAAGGCTCTTGGTGGTGGAGTGGATCGTATGCTATCCATATCCGACTCGTGCTTCGATGGGCGTATCCGAGGGAGGATAGCCGCCGTCGGTCCTTCGTCGGCCAAGACACGTCCCCTAGAGCCGCGCTTGTTCTGATGATCTGCTAAGTATGCTTGATCCGCCGCTATAATTTTGGCTCTGTGATTTTGCTTCTCACGACCAAACTCGATCTCTTCTTGTGGGTCGATATTCTCGCGATCCTCTTCTTCCGGCGTCATTTCTTCCATCCGCGGGACACCCTGATTTGCTACTTCGGTGCCGTAGTCGACACCGGGACCAAACGGATTCTCTTCGCAGCCTTCCTCGGTGAAGTCCGACTCGAGATAGAACCACATTAGCCATAGGAATGCTCTTGCGCGGGACTTGCTCGTATAATTCGTCTTCATGATCAAGTCGTGGAATTCACCGCCAGGAGGAAAATGCAATTCCGCAATATAGGATGCTTGTTGGCAGATGAGAAAGATGAGGTTCACCGGGTTCGATCGAGGAGGGTCCTTTCCTTTAAATTCGCCCAACTCGTGCGGCTCCGGTCTATCCTCAGCGGCACCTTTCAAGATAGATTTCAGCCTTGGCGCATCTTGAAGCTGTTTGTATGCTGATGCGTCTTGATGAGCTTGTAAGGACGGGATAGCGTGATATGTTCGTAGCTGGGCTCGCATTTCGGGAAAAACTAAAGAAATATCGTCAGCGATAGCCATGAAGTTAGGCTGCAGGAGTGACATTACAGTTTAGCGTCGTGTTCATGCGGCCCACGTTAACCAGCAAACACACCATGGCCATGCTCTTCGCGGCCTCCCTGTCACTAAGTAGTTTATCCCTGAGGACCTTGCTTGTCTTGCTGCTTCTGGCCATCGTGTCAATGTATAAATCGGCAAAGCTCTGCTTCTCCTTGCCGTCTCCTATGGGTTCGTAGCTATTTGTAAAGACTTTTCTATCGTCATCGAAAACAGCCTTCAGAAAGTCGTATTGGATATCTCTTCTCCATAGCGGTTCTCCATCCTCCTTTTTCAGATGTCTGATCTTTCCCACAGTAGGAAACGAGGATGAGGCTGCACCGCCGGTGGATTTATTCTTGGGTCGCTTGCTGCTATGTCCGGATTCGGACCTGATGATGCTGGCCTCGAGGTTGTCGCCGGGGGTACTATCCCTTCGGACGGTGCTGGATGCGCGTGACCAGCGGTTCGGCTCTGGTGATCCATCCCTTGAAGCCATTGCGAATTTCGTAAGGTGATGGAATGGATGTAGGCTGTTGATTTGATGAATAAATGAGAAAGGTAGTGTAGGTTGATCTTGTACAACGACAAGCCGGTGAGAAATTTTATGGTAGAGGTTTAAGGAACGTAAAGAAATAAGAAATGCCTTCAATTAAGGCAATGAGTTGCCGGACTATCGTTTAGGCATTATTGAATTGGAAGTGTGAAAGTAGAGTTTTTGGAGATAGAAATGACAAAGCCTTGCAATGCAGGGAATGCTAAAGTCGAAGGGACAAAGTTGCGAAAAAGAAGAGGAAAAGGAAAAAAAACTGTGTTGGAAGCGAAAGTTGCTCACGGCGTACCTGCTCACGTCGCGTCACCTTATTTGGAGAGGTATGTAAGTACCTAACCTTGCATCCCTAAAAGTTACTGGACGCCGGTTGCTTTAGCAGTCTGGTAGGAGGTACGTAACGTATCGCATTGAGGTATCGTACCTAAGGCTACCTAGGTACCTAGTACCTAACCTAATCGCATTAATTAAATGATGCATCGCAGTGGGGCCATACATGTTAAAGACATGATAAACCGGATTTCTAGCCACAGTATGGACGCCACAAAAAGCTAGTTTAATACCTGTCATCGAACGTTATTCATCTACATTAAAAGCCGTTATACCATAGTCGTAAACTAGGGAGAACTATTAAATATTTTATAATTCACGTCACTAAAAAGACAAATTGAACTTATTCACGATGCGTTGCTAGTTGCAAATTAAAGAAGAACTTTTTTTTATTTGGAAGTTCTCAGTCCGTCGTAGATGGATCCTTTTAAACGGACCACCACAGCGCGAAGAACCTCAAAGGGCCTGAAAGCGTCTCAGCCAATGTCTGCGACAGCATTACCATTGGTGGCAGATTCCAGAACTACTACCTACTCTCCTAAAACTTTGGAGAGATCTGGAGCCTATGCCTGCTCACCGAGACGCCGTTTTTTGTTGCTCGATCCACCGAAGATTACCATTCTATGTTCATTGCCCTCTATTTGGTTCCCTCGCTATGGCGAGCCTTCTTCGAGTAAGTGCCCTACCAACCAGAGAACCGAGAAATCCACTTTTGTCTATGAATATGCTATCAACACAGTTCCACGGCCATGCGAAAACGCATTACCCCATTCTATGGGAAAGAAAAACGAGAAAATAATCTCGGCCGGCTTCCAAAAGGCAAATGCGGGGTACATCGAAGCGGAAGATCGTCATCGTCGTAAGGGGTCGCCGCGTCTGTAGCACGGCACTACTCTCTAAGTGATGAATATCCCCGAAGGGTGCTTGGTCAAGGTACTGATTTGACCTCCAAACGTCTCACGTAGCTGCTCGCATATGCCCCCTCGCAGTCTTCTATGGGTATCAAGTTGTGAGGAGAGCAGCCGAAATAAAGACAGATGCCATCTATCGTATGCCAGAGTCCTATCACATAGAACTCGTATCTGCCGATCCAGATTGGAGGCTGGAAAGTCGGATATGCCGTAGAAAGGAGTATGTCGAGGGAAGTGTCGAAATGTCGAGTAAAAAAAAAAAAGAAAAGAAAAAAGACCTTGCGTAACTCGATTGAGAACATGAAAAAGAAAACAGAATATGAGTCCGTGAAATCTATGTACCGCGTTGCAAATGTGCCCATTCCGTCTCCGCATGCGGTTTGCGGAATAGAGGGAATATGTCGGCGCGCCTGTCGATATCATCAGTTTACCACCAGGAAGCCTGGCCGCCTGGCCCGCCAGGGTTGCCGTAGCTACCACCACCATAGCCTGGGCCGCCACCGCTGTAGCCGCCGCCATAACCTTGGCTGGGAGGAGCATTGTAACCACTACCACTGCCACCACCGTAGCCGCTGGACTGCTGAGGGCCACCGAAGCCGCCACCACCGCCGCTGCTGCCGTTGAAACCACCGCCGCCGCCGCCACCACCTCCGAATTTTCGGAAATCACGGTTTGCACTCTGGCCACGGCCGCGGCCACCACCAGATCGTCCACCACGGCCACCGCCGTAGGAGCTTTCCCGAGCAATGGTCTCAAGGAAAGCAGGAACCTCTTGGTTCGCCTCCTTCAAGAGCTCAATAAGATCTCGTACCACACCCCGGTTACCCCGGTTGAAGAATGCTGTCGAGTGACCTGTATTACCCGCACGACCAGTACGACCAATTCGGTGGACATAGTCATCAATATCAGTAGGAAGATCGTAGTTGACGACGTGGGTAACGTTAGGAATATCCAAGCCACGTGCAGCAACAGCAGTAGCAACTAGGATAGGACATCGTCCATTTCGGAACATTTCCAAAGCACGTTCACGTTCGCGCTGTGTACGGTCACCGTGGATCGACGTGGCGGGGAAGTTCTGGTTGATTAAGAAGTCAGACAGAGAGTCTGCCATGCGCTTTGTCTCGACAAAGATTAGGGTGAGACCGCCGCCGTGAGTGTGTAAAATATCTAGTAGGACAGAACGCTTGTCGGTGTCCTCAACATATTCGACCTTCTGGGTGATGTTCTCAGAGGTAGAACCCACACGTCCAACTGAAAGGAACACGTAATCCTTGAGGAAATCACGAGCAAGCATCTGAATATCTCGCGGGAAGGTGGCCGAAAACATAAGAGTTTGTCGGTTCTGGACACCAGGCATATCTTCGCCTTCAACAATGCGACGAATCTGAGGCTCGAAACCCATATCCAGCATACGATCGGCCTCATCGAGAACCAGATACTTGATGTTTTGGAGAGAGATGCGACCTCGCTCGATGAGATCGACAAGACGACCAGGTGTAGCAACCAGGAGATCGCAGCCACGCTCAATCTGGCGAAGCTGGGAGCCTATGTCAGCACCACCGTACACCACGCAGGGTCGGACCCAGGATCGATAGGCAAATTTGCGAGCTTCGTCGTAAATCTGAGAGACCAGTTCACGAGTTGGAGCAAGAATAAGAGACGTGGGATAAGCCTTGCGCTGACGACCGTAACCACCACCGGGGGCGCCGGCAGGCACGGGAGAAGGGCCGGTAAGGAAAGCCTGAGAGAGGATGGGGAAAAGGAAACCACCAGTCTTTCCAGAACCAGTCTGGGCACAAGCCATCAGATCTCGTCCACCCATAACAATGGGGATCGAGTACTTCTGAACGGGGGTAGGAACTTTGTAGTGAGCAAGCTCGATGTTGCGGATTAGGTGGTCATCCAGCGGGGGGTTGCTGAAAGTAAGAACCGGCTCGGGAACGTCATGGCCAGAAGCCTCGACTGGGATGTCATCGTACTTCTCGAAGTTGATACCAGTGTGCTGCTTGGAAGGGTCATCCGGGGTACCGAATAACTCACGCTCCATGCGGGGGTTCGGGGGGCCAGGAATGTGCTTGCCGTCGCGCCATTGTCCATCACCAGAACCTCGAGCGTAACCGCCGCCGCCTCCACCACCGCTGCCTCCACCAGTAGCAGGGTTGCCATAAGCATTACGGTCGAATTGTCGGTTATTCCAATTTTGACGCGGTTGCTGCTGCTGCTGCTGCTGCGGCGGCGGTTGCTGCTGTTGAGGAGGAGGGTAGTCGGGACCGGCTCCCCATCCACCAGGAGCGGGTCTAGCATCGAAGCTGTTGTTACTATAGATGCGATGTTAGCAAATACTCAATTCCTCTTCAGTCGATTTTTGGACGGCGATAAGATGTTGGTAAGGTGTGTAATCATATGTAAGCACAATAATGAAGAAAGAATTACTTACCCAGCCCACGCACTGCTGTTGAGACCGTTCATGTTAGGAGGAGGACCGCCAGCGCCCACGGGACCGTTAGCAGGGCCACCAACCTTGCCTCGCATGTGAGGCGGGATGTAAGAGCGAGGAGCCGAAGCCTGCTGCTGGTCGCCCAGGCTCAAGCCGCCCATGTTAAGTTGATCAGCCATATTGACGTGTCGTTTGACAGATGGTAGATGCAATAGTTTGATGTACGTTTGTATATGTGTTTGCCGAAGAAAATTTTCTCGTACGGAACCCAGCCGATTAATTCTCTCTCAAAAGAACGAACGAGTTCAGAAGAAGAGAAAGATGAGGCGAGATAAGGCAGTAGTACGGCAGAGTTTTTTTTTAGTTTTTTTTATAAGAAAAAAAAATTAAAACCTGAGGTCGCCGAGATGAGCCCACAAAGACGGTATTAATTGGCGGTAGAAAAGGAAACTACGACGATATGCACCTTCTCTCTCAATATTAAGAGACTCAAAAATGCAGGGTCGTTGCTCAGAGTCGATGTATGAACCTGTAAATGGCCACACACCAAAGTCTAGTAATAGAAGCCTTCCGAGAAAATCCCTTAAGAAAAGAAAGTAAAATCAGATCTTTTCAAGGAAAGAGAAGGCCCTAAACGGAAGAGAAAAAAAACACAGAATGCTTTTTCAGGGGAGGGGGGGGGGATGTGATTATGCCGTGTGTTTGAGGGTTGGGTATGGCAAAGGGATTGTGGGGGAGAAGAAGAATCAGATCAGATGAAAAAAAATTCAGGAAGTTTTGAAGTTGTGTCGAAAATCGAGAACGCGTTAGCGCTGGGTCCGTGACTAAAGTACCTAGACTAACCTGGGTAGGTACGCCGCCACCGCAGTTACCAATAGCAGTGGACTTGTGATGGAGATGGGGGCAACTATTCGGTATCGATATGCCTGAAGGGGAAATTGTTAGCAATTATATGCAATTACAACGTGAGCAGTATTACGGAAAGTGGGATGTCAGCTAACGTTATCAAGTAATTGGGGGATACCTAACTGGGAAAGTAATAACAGGTACCTTCGGTACTTAAGCAATTGCCCCCGGTGTATCCTGGCTGCTTGCATGCTACAGCGTCTATTTTACATTCTATATTGTACATTACATTCTATGACTGCAATGCATGCTCTCCCTTCCTGGGTTGGGAAACTGCGACAGTTTTTATTTCCTTCGCCTCCCTTTGTGAGGTAGGAGCACTGCCCTGTAGCCCTAGAGCCCTCGGACTCTGGAGCAAATGAAAACTTGGGGGTTTTGCATTTTGCAAATAGTTGAGAGGCTCCACCCAGATCGGTTAGAATACCACCTTTACTGCAAGTCTGCAGCGCCTTTAACCCAAATCTCTACCAAGTCTTACTCGGAAAACTTCGTTACTACGTACAACCTTAGATTGCTTAATCATGCAACAGGTTCTGTTTGGTCAAGTTCCTGCTAGGAGAAGATTTGCTACGTAATAGAGCCGTCTCGGATATTCCAGAAGTCATTATTTTGTTCTAGTTAGTGAACTACGTAGGTAGGTACCTACTAGGAGGTAGTTAAACTAACTAACTAATATGAACAAGTATAAAAAGAATAACTGACTCTACGTACCTCTTACTCAAAATCAATATCTCAATACGTTCCAGTGGCGATGAGTAACATGATCAATCATTACTATGTAACTTGATCATTTTTCACCCCGTGGAGTGAACACCTTTTTGTATCAAACTGACTCTCGGTATGGTCCGATGGGGGAACACTCATCACACCCTTTCTTTACTTTATAATGCTTCTGGCTGACTTTTCGCCCAACCCGCCCAACCCTTTCCCTCTCAGCCTACTGTTATATCCGTTATATGAGATATAGCAAAGCGTACCTGGTTAAAGGTACACGTTGCTATTTGTTAGGCAATTCGATGATGTGTGCCTGATTTCATGTCGCCAAAGTCCCGGGTCTGCAAACCCAAGACAACCATAGAACCAAAAACACGGCCCCCCTGAGCAGCCCTTAGTTGCGACTTTTTTTTTTTTTTTTTTTTTTGTTTTTCAAGATGCTGCCATACATACCTAGGTAGGCACCTAGGTAGATACGTAATAGGGTTTGGTGGATCTTCAGCTGCCGTTATACGCATTATACGACCAAACCATAACCCAAATTGCAGATTTTGGACGTTTTAAGCATTCTTGTCGCGAACTAAGATTTACAGCATAAGCATACTACGTAAGCATACCCGTACCGTAGTTAGCGATAAGGCTTGGAGCTTCTTCTACATAGTATAGCACAGACAAGCGACGTTCACTAACCCATTGGCGGTTAGTAGGGAAGGGCGGATGCAACTTTCCTGCAACGAGGCTGCGGTGTTCCAATAGGAAGTCCGCCTGCATGGTGAACGGATGAAGCATCATGCAGGAGTCTCACCGCCCAAAAGTCAAATACACCGCCTGGAAAATTGCTTTGAAAGTCAAGCTCCGCGAATGTTGGAGGTCAAGCTATATACTGTATGGATCAATTATTACTTAAATATAAATGACACTTCAGCCAGGACTAGGACTCGGGAGTCCCTAGCTAATTGCCGAATGCGACTTACGGGGAAAGCCTCAGGAGTTACGATCTGCGGTCGGGTTGAGTCTCTCTATGCACGTAAATTATATTCTCAACCCGGATTTAGAATCACGATCCTGTCGATACCTAGATATAGAGCCCAAGGTATGCATCTTGTCATTACTGGGCGCAAGGCTGGCGTATGGATCGCAAGCATCACACTCAAAATTCCATCATCGCATCACGCATTTCATCCATGTTACTTTGCTACCCTTTATAATACCTCTTTAGCTACCTAAGCAATAGTCTTCCAAGGGTCGTTTCGTGGTGATGAGTAGCTTCAACCCCTCATCATATACGTGGTAACCGAAAAAGATGTTGGATGGTCGCAGTCGCAGTTATAACCAACCGACCTGATAGTTTTGATAGGCCGGCCTGGGACTTGGCTACCAGGCTGTGTTGTGTTGTGCGGTTTCTCACCCCCCAGCCTGGGATCCTAATGTTACACGTTGGGTTGCCAGGTAGATAATATCACTTTCTTTATGCGCTCTTAACAATCTTGTCATCCTTGAACTCAACCTCCCGAATGCCATCTTTCGTAACCGCCTTGACCGTCATGCCCTTGAAATCAATAGGTAAACGTCGCTTCAGTTCGTCTGTGCACATCTCAAGCACCTTAAGCCCTTGCACAAACGTCATATCCGGGTGGTGGTGCTTGTCCAGGATCGAGAGGCAGTAGTATTGTGCGTAGCCGTGCGCCGCATACGGGACAGATGCGAGAGCCGCAAGGTAGTCCAGCCAGTATAGGCTGGGCTTGTGGGTGATGGGGTCGACGCCTCCTAGTAGCAGGTTGACGTTGTACGGTTTTCTAGATCTTAAGCTTGACGCAAGCTCGCCGCGGACGTAATGTGCAAGCGCCGTGGGGGATAAATCTGTCTCGTTCCGCATCGAATAAAGCTGGGCATTCGCCTGGATATACTCGGAGAATTGGACTGATGACAGGTTAGCTTTTAGAGCCGTACACTCTTTTTTAGAAGTAACGCACTTGTATCGCCAGCTTCTCCAGAGAAGGCGATTAGCGTGTGCTTGTTGAGCGATCTCGTCTTGTCATCAGAGGCCTTAAGGATGGTTGCTCCCCGCATCGCAGCTTTAGAAGCTGCGATTAAGGTGAAGTCCTTGCCGGTGATTCCTATTAGTACCTCCCTGTTTGGCTAATGTTAGCATAATTGTTTGACTGGCATTTTGAGTGTGTCAGACAGCATACATTTTGGGATATTTATTCGGGTAGTGGGGGTGGTGAGCTCAGTTGTTGTTTGTAGTTTTTTGTAGTTGTTAAAGAAGCTCTTGTTTCCTAGGGCACTGGGCGCTGTATGTGAACGTCCAGTGTGTTACAACTTGTAGGTATGTAGACGCGCAAGGTAGCTACAGCCTAGCGCAGCTGGCTGCCAAATCTAGAGCTTCAGACTAAAGGACATCATTCAATGGTGGAGGGCCTCGGACGTCGGGCGCACTAGCCACAAATTTCCTCAGCCGCGCCCCGCTCTGAGATCACCACGTATCTCTGATAAGTAAAGTCAATTGTTCCAACTTCCCCATAGTAGCATAGGTATCTTCGTACCTCTAGGGACCCCTGTCAGTGTGTCCCGCAGGACGCTCAACTTTTTTTTTTTTTTTTTCTTAGCTACGAAAACCAAGTCTTTTTTTACTTCAAGGCATGGAAATTTTCTAAGGGCACGCACGAGACGACTTAAATACGCGTTCGCATTAATTGGTCCCAAACATTGTATAACACAATTATGTCGTCTTTCTTTTCAGTTCCCGGCGCTCAGAAAAAAAGAAAGCGAGCACCTGCTATAGACGGACCTAAAAAGCGAGTCGCGACCACGAAGACTTCGAAGACGCCCTCAAAACCCGCCCCTACACCCAGAAAACGAGTCGAACGAGATGAATCTATATCAGGCAGTGAATCTGAGAGCGAAGATGGCGTAGAACAACCAGATGCCCCCGGTTCTGATTCCGAATCGGAGAACGAAGGAGAGACGGCTGCAGAAAAGAGGTTAAGACTTGCGGAAAGGTATCTCGAGAATGTCAGGCAAGAAGTCGACGAGACAGGCTTCAATGCCGAAGATATCGACCGCGATATAATAGCAACGCGTTTACAAGAAGATGTAGCCGAAACAAAAGGAAAGGTTTACAGGAAAATTGCATCGGAGCTTGCTGTCGACCGCGCTTCCCATACTCTCTTCCGCTGCAACACGCTCGCAACCACTTCCATTGCCATATGCGCACCTTACGTGTATACGGTCTCGAAGGACCAATGCTTGGTTAAGTGGAAGTTACAAGACTTGCCCGCCTATCAATTCCCCCAAACCACCAAAAAGAAGCCGAAGAAGCCCCCCGCTCCTCCGCGTCGACAACCAATTAAGGTCGCGCTGCGGAAGGGGAACCGGTCGAAGGCGAATGATAAGAACTATCAAGGTCACGTAGCCGAAATCCTATGCGTGGCAGCTTCCCAGGACGGAAAGTTCGTCGTTACGGGCGGTGCGGATAAGCGGTTGATCGTCTACGAAGCCAAATCTTTGAAGCCCCTGCGCGTTTTCACACACCACCGCGATGCCGTAACGGGTCTCGCGTTCCGCAGAGGTACGAATCAGCTCTATTCGGCCTCCAAGGACCGTACCGTGAAAGTATGGAGCTTGGACGAGCTGGCCTACATAGAAACCCTCTTCGGTCACCAAGACGAGGTCGTCGACATCGACGCCCTCGCGCAAGAACGCTGCGTGAGCGTAGGCGCACGCGACCGAACAGCTCGCTTATGGAAGGTCGTTGAAGAGACCCAGCTAGTCTTCCGCGGCGGTTCGATCGACAAGAAGCAGAAGCCCGAGATCGACCCGCGGTCGCTGGCCCACGAGGGCAGCATGGACCGCGTCGCGATGATCGACGACGAGCTGTTCGTCACAGGCAGCGACAACGGCTCCCTGGCCCTGTGGAGCATACAGAAGAAGAAGCCTCTCTTCATCTTAACGCAAGCTCACGGGCTGGAAAACCCCCTAAAGCCTACGGAAGCGTCCGCCGAAGCCGCCCCGACCCCAAAGGTCGTGCCTCCGCCCCAGCCCAGGTGGATCACCGCGCTCCGGACGCTGCCGTACTCGGACCTGATACTAAGCGGCAGCTGGGACGGGTACGTACGGGTCTGGCGGCTAAGCGACGACAAGAGGAAGATCGAGCCCGCGGGGATCCTAGGGAACCCGTCTACCGCTGACGTCCCCCAGGACGCGGAAGAAACAAGCAAAGCCGTGAATAACGGGCCTAACGCCGCCTCGTGGCTGGTCAAGGGCGTGGTGAACGACATCGCGCTGTTCGAGCGGGGCGAGCGCGGCAAGGACGGCCTGTGCGTCGTGGTCGGCGTGGGGAAGGACCACCGCCTCGGTATGTGGAAGAAGATCCGGGGAGGCAAGAACGGCGCCGTCGTATTCGAGGTGCCTAGGACGAGACCAGGGCTAGAAAACGGTGTTGCGGACGGGGATGCGGACGCGGACGGGGATGGGGATGAAGACAAAAGGTAAACGTGCGGGTTCGGAATAGGTAAAATAGCGAGGTAATGCAATGAGCGAGGTTCGAATAAGACCCTACTCTGGAATAAATACCCTATTTTTGAACTATGCACTCTCTCTTGACTCGTAGCGTCGGATCGGGAAAGCCTCTTTGTGAGTGAGCTAATATTGTGAGATGCAAAAGCTTGGAGGGAGACTTAATGCTAATGAGTGAGTGTGAGACGTCTTGCTAATGAATTCTAATCTAATAAGTTGATAGCAACTTCAAAGGTTAATTAGCTCCTACGCACATACGAACATGACTGGGATCTGATGGACCAATCTCGATTTAATAGTGTACTGCTGATTCTATTCTGGTATATACAAGAATAAAAATACACCGCTATTTACCAATTCTCTCTTCGCGAGTAATCTATACCTTGTATAGGTAGGTTAGGTAGGTACCTAAGCCAGGACTATCCAACGTCCACAACGTAAAACTCTCCACCTCGACAAGCGTAGTAACGCGTAACGAGTTTCAAATCTACCTAGCCTAAGCTCAAATCTGTGTCTGCTCCAATATAATTTTATACTGCTTGCGCTTCTTCGCCTTCTTAGTGACCGCCGTCTTCACCGCGCCTAGTCCGCGAGCGATCCCCGCGAAGACGTAGTGCTCCCCGAGCCACGCTATGATCAGATACGCCACGCCGAGGCCCAGGAGCGTGACTTTGAAGGACGGGCTGATCTTGGTCAGCTGCATCAGGTTCCTGATCCAGTGGCCGGGTGAGAATAACATGTATAGAGTTATGCCTAGGGCCGCTACGACGGTACCCACGAACGGCCCTGTATATATTAGGGACGGTTAGCTAGCCATTTCCCCCTCCGACCGAACATAGGGAAGGAAAATCTGATTAATATAAAACTTACAGTTCTGGGTTATGGGTTGTCGGAACGGCCTGCCGGCGTTAAGGACCACACCGATGAATATGTACTCGAAGCAAGACACGAGGAACAAAGTCGTATTCTCCGAATTCTTGATATCAGGCTTATTTCGGTTCACATGCGGCGGTATATACCTGTGTAGCGTTGCGTCAGTACATTATACTAATAGAGTATTTGCTAAGATGTAGCTTACCAGCTCTGCTCCCGCACGAGGAGCCACGCGACAGTTTGCACAAGTATACAGACAGCCATGTGGCATAGCAACGGTACAAGGACCTTTCTCGACACCAGATTTGCCGTCGGTCGTTTCTTGCTGAGAACCGGGAACGGTCCAGACCAGCCCACTAGTAGGTACACAAATCAGCAACTGAGCTTCATCTTACTTTTTTATTCCACTTACTGAATATAGCGATTGGTAATATAAGAAGAACATCTATAAAAAGGAACTGTGAACCAGTTAGCCAAGAACACGTGTGCTGCCGTAGTGGTTCCTACCTGGAAGTCTCCCAAGTTTGAAGCCGAAGCATAAAGGAAGCTGACGGAAGTGAACTGTATCGCCGAATAAAGGCTCATATACTTGAAGCAACTAAAACTAGTCACCAAAGCAGCTCGTCCCTCACTAAGCTTATAGTTAGCGAAACCGGTATACTCTTACACACACGCTTCAAGAGGGTAAACATACCGGATTACGTCGGGGACACATCGAATATCGAAAACCCTTGATGTGAACGGGGCCGCAACGGATGCTTCTGCTTCGGAAAGCGATATTCCAACATCGGCAGCTTTGAGAGCACCGCAATCATTCGCTCCATCCCCGCAAAAGCCGGCACAATAGTCTATGCTCTGAAGTTTCTCGACAAGTTCATGCTTCTCATCTGGAGACATACGTGCAAATACTTTACCTCGAACAAGCATCTGATAGATTGTTAGCGTTTTTTCTTTCTATCACAGAATAATAGTAGTGACATTCAAATGTACAAAGGAAAGCTATACTACATACCCTCTGCATGACCTCGTTTGGAGCGAAGTCGATTATCCACCGGAAAACATCTCCGCTTACTGCGAGAGAGTAGTTTCTGAGATTGGTTATATCGTATGGTAAAGAAGCATCTCTGTCCACGGGTGCAGGTAAAGGCTACACCATCTAAGTCAGCTTGTTACGCCAATTAAATTGCTATATATGTTCTTACTAGTAGGGTTCGATCATTTAGTTGATATGCTTGATCATCTATGCTTTCCCAGTGTAACCGGGCGTTAGGATCACGAGAGTTCCCTGTGAGCATTACGTTAGTGTTTGATAACCTCAAATAAGAGAATTGTCATGGACTGCTATGAAACGACATGGACTTCTCTGTCTTTTCCCTATGGACTAGTTGTGAAGTATGTAGGTCAATGACGGCGGCTTACCTTCAGCAAAATAAGGTACGAAACAATGAGCGTTCTTTTCGATGAGACCGCAGTTCCTCGCCACGCTAATAGCCGTCAAGATGTTGTCGCCTGTAACCATGATGGAAGCGATATTTGATTGGGTGAGCTCCTTAAGCACAGCGGCTGTTGTCGGCTTCAACTTATTTTCGAAGATGATGAATCCGACGAAATCGAGATCAGCCTCAACCTCCTCGCGCTTCATTTTCTGGGATTTTACCCATGATAACTTTTTTATATGTCGAGTAGCGCACGCAATGACTCGATACCCTTTGTGGGTATAGTAAGATAGGAGTTCTTCATAATCCTCAGGGACTATATAATATATTAGCTTATATATAACTTTTTTTTTTAAAAAAAAGAGTTCTTGAGGTTGAGATAACTGACAAGTATCTGGTCGACATATATCTCGCATACACTCAGGTGCGCCTTTGACATAGATATTTCCGCTTTGCTGACCGAAAGCTCGCACGATAACGCTCGCCCTCCGTAGCTGCGAGACGAACTCGAAGCTTCTTATCACACCAAGTTCAATTGCCGCCTAGAATACGTTAGACAGACTGGAAACTCACCCACGCGGTAAGACTTACATTCTGGCCTTCAGCGGTCCCGTATCCATCTGTGTCGTAAAGGGGGCCTATGGGAGGTCGAGCGACCGAAGGAGAGAAACCGCCTTGCTCGTCATCTTCCTGATCAGCGCCACCTTGATTGCCCTCTTCGAATGTCCAGCCAGTGAACTCGAACATCTTGACGTCTAGCGGATCACCGACGAGTTCACCATCGACGGAGCGAAGGGAGTGGCAAGTAGCCATTGTGAACAAAGCAGCGCGAGTTATCCCATATTTATCTCCAGGGCCGGCATCCAAACTTATGCTTGGGACTAACTGGGATGCTTTTGAGATAATATTATCAAACTTTTTTGCTGAACGAGATACCACTTGTACACCAAGAACATCCAAGCCATCTTCAGTCAGAGTACCTGTTTTATCAAAGCACATGACATCCAGCTTCCCGCCCACGTTGACTCTTTGTGGGCTGATGCAAAATATTTGCTTCTTCTTTAGGCGGTTTAATGCGAAATTTGTCCCTATAGTAAGGGTAGCTGGCAGCGCAGGCGGGACGGCAATGGTGATCAGATCTAGGGCTCTAATAAGTATTACATGCCAAGGTAGTCCTAGACGAATGAAGTTGACAAAGGATACAACGAATCCAAGCAGCGCAACACACCCCATCACGGATATGTATCGGAAAGAGTCTCGATAGAATTTAAATCCGGACGGTTTAGGGAACAGCATGGAGCGGACGAGCGAACCCTTGGTTGTGGTGAAGCCAGTCCTTACAACCACAGCAAGGGCAGCGGCCTCGTCATCTCCATTATCTTGTGGTTTCCGGGCTCTGATAATTTTTGTGCCGCAGAAGAGAAAATGACGGGCAACATCGTGGGAGATCGTGGAAGCGCTAAGATTCATAATCTGAAGCGTCTCGTCGGTAGCGGGAATTTTAGAGACCGGTACAGATTCGCCCGTAAGCATACTCTCGTTGACAATGCAATCTCCGCTTAGTAATAAGCTATCGCTAGGAAATTGGGTGAGACTAGGATCACTAATTTCATATACATCACCAGGAACCAGATCGCTTGACGAAACGTGGGCCCCTGAAAGACAATTAGCTTACATGCCTCGCAGACAGACGAAATGGCTACCCTCTACTTACAGAAGCCGTCGCGAAGGACTCGTACATCGCATTCAAAGCGAGAGATGTCACGAAGACGCCGCATTGTCTAATTCAGATTAGTGACGATGCAAAGTATCTTCGTAATAAGGGGAAACAAACAGCACGTGTATCTATCAGAGTCGCTATTATACTACCCGCCGACATAAGAAAGATGCAGACAGCATAATAGTAATACTCGTCTGACGACCAAAGAATTAAACTTGCAATCTGGAAAACGTAAAATGGGTGAAAAATCTGACGCCTGTTAGCTCATGGACTATATTAACACTTTATCAACAAACCAGCACCTACCTCATCTACGAGTAATTGAGGAATGGTCTTCTGCTCGATGTCGATGATATTTTTCCCAAAGACTCGTTCCCTATGCTCTTTCTCTTCGCTATCGATGCCGGCACGAAGGGCTCGCACATGAGTCCACGCCGGATCCTTCCATCCATTGCAGATAACGAACTTGCCCTTCAATGGATGGTAGAAGAAGCGTATATATCGGTAGTTGAGGACCCGGAGCTCATGCAATAATGGATCAGCATCGTCTCCTAGCAGTTGAGCAAACATCTTCTCTGGCGAACCGAATACGGTAGATAAGGGCCGATTATAAGGCTGCGTTTGCACGTCTAGGATAGTCATTTCACCCCATTGATTCTATGGTATAGTAAGCAAGGCGCTCCGAAACATACGAATTTCTAACGTAACTGACCTCGAGCACTACCCACTCACAATCATGGAGCGAACATGGCTTGCCGATTAGCTTCACCTGCCACCGGGGAAGCCATCGGAGAAGGAGATATGCAAGTCCCAACGTCGCAACGCATAGCATAACATATGTAATGTAGCCAAATTTGCTCGTACGAAAGCCAGCTATCACAATGGTGAGATCCTCGTTAACCATATGTAGTTTCTGGCTGACTCGGCTATAACCTCGACCGCTAGCATCCGTCACGCCGCTATCCGTTCGGAGAAGTCTGGTATGAACAGAAGCCCTCGATTGGGTCGAAGATCTCCTTCGCATAGCATAGTCATCATACGAACTACCATTCTCGAGCTCACCTCCTGAACTGCTTTCTTCTTCATTACCTTCCTCTTCGAATTCAAGTGCCATCTCGTCGAAATCAAATGGCATAGCACCGTCTTCGCTGTAGATAAAGCCGGGCTCTGGTTCGTCTTCCTCTTCATCGTAATACGCGAAGCTTGCCGTCGAGTCTGAGCGTTGGCGACGATGGGAAAAAGCCGAGAGGCTGGTAGGCAAACTTTCTGCAACAGGGCCAGAGAACAACTGCGACGCGACCAAAACTTAGAATAAACGATCTCAAATAAGCCATCTTAGCATGAACAATGGACTTGACCTACCTCATCGTGCGCCATCTCTACGTCCTCAAATACGCTCGAGCTACTTTGATTAACGTTTAGCCCGTAAATGGCTGCACGGCCATTGCGCCTCTGCCGCGGATCATCGTTAGGTTCCTCCATAATTAATACACGGTTAACTATGATGGATATCGTATATATAAATCTGCTCAATCGACGATGCGACTACGGCGCGTAGGTACGGGGAGGGAGGGTATAATATGGAAATGAGAGAAGCGCGCTCACGACCTCGTAACTCTGACTATCGATCCGGCCGGGGAAGGACTGCAATGTCGAGGCACATCCTGAATAGTTTATCGAAATATTGAAACACGATAGATCCTCGAGGACCAATTGAAGCACTGGATGCCGACGAAACTTCCTGTAGGGAGGGAACTTTACGAGTTCAAGTTCAAGCTCAAATAATTAATGAGCTACACCGTCTAGACCTGCAAAGATGGAAGATGGCGCTATGCATAGTATTAATCCTTGAACGAACGATCGATTCGTTGACAATGTAGAAGATCCACCAAATGCTTACGACTGGAATGCAAAAAATAGCGATAATGATACCAATAAGTTACCGATAGAAATGATATCAGTAACGATAACGATAAGGCTGAGAGAGAATATGCGATAACGATAAGATATAAGATGAAGTGGGCATCCTGTCTAGAATCCCCGTCTACCATGAAAACTTCGTATTACCCGAATAGGCAAGGCGAAATACCCAATCTAGCGTCGACATTTCCTACATTTCGAAGGTACTACTATATATCTAGGTACATGTATATGCGCATGCAGCATGAGATGACGTGGCTACCTACCTAACCTTCGTAGGGCGTTTCGTAGAAGGTCCAGAAGGTGTAGAAAAATATTTAGTATTTCCAATGCATGCATTTATGGAGTAATAATTGGAAAGTTATTGGCTTGACCCGGGGGGAGAAACGGTGTATGGATAGATGGTAAAATGTACCTGCCTACCAGATACCTGGTATGTAATTCTTTGAGTGCATCCTACGTTTTTACACCGCTTTCATCAAGTTCAGGCCTGTCTGTATCTACCCAGTGCCTATCCACATTTAGGCTAGGCATTCTTTAGGTAGCTCTTACAGAAGGTATAGGCTTGTACACGGCCATTGAATGAGTGAGCATGCTAACTTGATGTAAGTCGCTGCATAAGGACATAGACAGGACATTGACATACAATGACACCTTATGTATACCAGGTACCTATCTATGCCTCCATAACCTAGCTCATGTATGATACATGCCTACATAAAATATATTTATCTTCAAATTAGGTTCCTAGATATTAGGTATCGAATGTTTGCTCACTGATACCTATAACCATAAACAGGTAGTAGTACGATTAATTGGCTTAGGTACAAACTAAGAAACTATAGGTACAGCCAGGCAAATTTGTTACCTGTAAGTGCCCTGAAGAGTGAAAAAAATTTAAAGGGAGAAAAAAAATTTGAAGACGGCGGCACCCAACAAGTTCTTTTTTTTTTTTTTTTTTTTTTTTTTTTTTGTACTGACCTTTGGAGGGGAACAGCGACAGGGTTGCCGCTTTCCCCCACTTCGCCTCTCCCACCAGACCAAGTCCAGTCTTGTTGCCCTCTCTCATCAAATTCCCCATCAATGCGAACCGACTACTTCACCACTACAACTTTCTCCTTCACCTTCCTCCTCACAGTTGGACTCTAAACAAAGTTCAACCTTTCCGTTTCATCAATCAAATTTATCACCGCATCCACCCACCCGTTACACGTCAATACACCGTGTGCGGGTTCCTCGAGTCCATCGATTGTATCTTCGCACCGTTGAACTCGATAAAATAACTTGATACTCTAATCTCTACCTGCATTTTTTTTTCTTTCTCCGCCTCCATTCTAATTACTTCTTTGTGGGCTGCCAAGTGCCTGACCCAATACCGACACATTTACTCACGAATTAATCATAGTCAGCAACTTTGCCGACAGAATCACCAACAATGGCGGAACCCATCAAGAATCGACGCCCAGAGGTCCCTGCTCCGTATGTATCGTCTGCCTTTACCTATCTATATATATATCTTATAATATATGTCAATCTTTTCTTTTTTTTCTAAGACACTGACTTTTAATTTCCTCTCCATAGTACTCCGCAGAACACACCTGCAAGCAATGCCCCCATCTCTTCCCATGCCCAACAACCGGGCGTTGCTAGTATCAAGGAAGGTATGTTAATCCACAACCCCGCCGGAATTCCTTCTACGGGGTTTACCGTGACTAACTTTGTTTGCGCTACAGAGGATCTCGACCGCGCTGCGGCGGCTTCCATCTTTGCCCAGAACCCTAAGCTGGTTCAGATGATTCAAGGCCGACTTGGTTCCCTAGTCGGTCGTTCTTCCGGTTACATAGAGTCTCTGCCTAGCGTCGTTCGTCGCCGTGTTGCCGGCTTGAAGGGCATTCAAAAAGATCACTCCAAGCTAGAGGCTGAGTTCCAGGAAGAGGTTCTTCAGCTAGAGAAGAAGTACTTCGCCAAGTTCACACCTCTCTACGAGAAGCGTGCCGCCATCATCAACGGCAAGGAGGAACCCACCGAAGAGCAAGTCAAGGCTGGTGAAGACGAGAGTGAGAAGGACGATGCTGAAGCCGAGGCTGAAAAGGCCGAAGAGAAGGTCACTCCCGAGACTGCCGAGCTCGTCAAGGGTATCCCCGAATTCTGGCTATCCGCCATGAAGAACCAGATCTCTCTTGCCGAGATGATCACCGACCGCGATGAGGCTGCTCTTCGCTACCTGACTGATATTCGGATGGAGTATCTCGACAAGCCGGGATTCCGCCTCATCTTCGAGTTCGCCGAGAATGAATTCTTCACTAACAAGACCATCACCAAGACGTATTTCTACCAGAACGAGAGCGGCTACGGTGGCGATTTCATTTACGATCACGCCGAGGGCGACAAGATTGACTGGAAGGAAGGCCGTGATCTTACTGTCCGCATCGAAAGCAAGAAGCAGCGAAACAAGAGTAAGTCCTCATAAAGCCGATTCGTTAGCACCATTCACTGACCCAAGCAGACACGAAGCAAACTCGCATTGTCAAGAAGACGGTCCCTACCGAGTCGTTCTTCAACTTCTTCTCGCCGCCTAAGGCCCCTACCGACGATGATGACAACGACGCTGCTTCCGACATCGAGGAGCGCCTGGAGCTAGATTACCAGCTTGGTGAAGATATCAAGGAGAAGCTGATTCCCCGAGCTATTGACTGGTTTACTGGTGAGGCTTTGGCCTTTGAGGAACTCGACGACCTTGACGACCAGGAGTTCGATGAGGACGACGATGAAGATGACCTTAGCGAAGATCGCGATGATGAGGAAGAGGAATCTGATGACGATGTTTGTCTACCCTTTTTTGACACATTACCGCGGGGAAATCAAGCTAATAATTGACGCAGGATGACGGTGCGAAGCCGAAGCAGGAGGCGCAAGAATGCAAGCAAAGCTAAATCTTGTCCCTGTTTTACGACACTCTCTACTTAATTCACGTCGCGGATCCTAGTTGGAAAGGAGAGGAGGTAATAGAAGCTGTCCAGGCTATCTTATCCTTCTTAACCCAATCCTCTCTATTGTTCTATCGACTCGGACAGATTTAATATTGCGAATTTGTCGACTCTCTACGGGGGTCACACAGAAAATGGTGGTGGAATCATGTGCAAAATAGACTGGCCACTCCCACTTAGGTTCTAGGCTGCTTTCAGCATCTCGTTCTGTACTTCTTGGTAGTTGTCTTCGTTGTTTTCTTCCAGCATGAGGCTGGTCTGGAGTAGTCGGTTGGCCGGAAAGGTGATTAGCATATTACGAACCCAGACGTTTGGAGGTGGACCTAAGTTACATAGGTATAGGTAGGGCATACTTCAGGCCGGCACGAGGGGAGGAAAATGTCAAGCTGCTTGACTCGTCCATAATGCACTCAACCAGAGAATCACTCGAAGTTGATGGAAACTTGCGTCTTGCATATATGTACATCGGATGTTGCACATAGAGCTGATTTGCTCTGCCCTCCGGGTATTGTTTATTGTATGGTTCCTCCACGTGCTGCCCACACATAATTTTGGTGAAATAAGCACTCCCCCCCCCTTTTTTTCATCCGTCTACCCAATATCTTTCGAAGTGCTCTTATGTCTCCTCTTTCAGTCAGTTTAAGTATATGTTAAGTCACTCGCCTTGAGTTTATCTACATAGCACGGCTGTAATCGTAGTATAATAGTATACAACTACCTACTTGTAAACATGTAATACCAGCCCGTGACTCACGGTTTTTTTTTATAATGACGTCCGATGACGGGATCTAAAATATGCGAGTTAGATTCTAATCCATCTTATTTTTTTTGCTCATTTTATGACTGATGAGAGTAAAGAAAAAAAAAGTTGGGTCTCTTGGCTTATTACGTGAAGCGATAGGTTGATGTGGATACATATAGGTGTATATTAACAGGCCGGACGGGTGGCTAGGTAGTAAGCCTGTAAGTACCTAATTGCTAACGATATTCCTAACCACGTACTTGTACCTAATGCGCTAAGCCATAATTGTGGTAATTCTGGTACCCTCTCCGGTTTCTGTAATAAGTTTAAACTAAAATAAGTTTTTGGAACTTTTTGAATAATAATCGTCCTCAAAACTTTCCCCGATTCTGAGTCAAATTACAACCCGTTCATGGGCTATATGTAGCTAGCCATTCCTCAGATTATTTCCTAAGTTTGCATCCCAGTGTCTCAGATAACCCAAATAACCTAAATAACCCCAAATAACCCAAAAATTGCGAAACTATGTCACAAGCACAAAACATCACCAGGGCCCCCGAGGCCGAGCTGTCCGTCTCGCCATCCACTGCTACATTCCACTCCCCGCTATCCAGCTTTGGCGGCGGGGCTCTTCCCCAGCGTGGCCAGCTAAAGCAGCTCAAGCCCTTCAACACTCAAGATATCAAGATCCTCTTGCTTGAGAATGTCAACCAGAGCGGTAGGGATATCTTGACTGGTCAGGGTTACCAGGTCGAATTTTACAAGAGCTCGTTACCCGAAGATCAGCTGATCGAGAAGATTCGGTAAGTTATGTTTTTTCATGGTTTTCATGTTTTACGTTTTTTTTTAAAAAAACAAAAAGAAAAGAAAAAGAAGAAATAAGAGAAAAAGAAAGAAATCTTGTAGCAGGCTCTAATAAAAATCGATAGAGATGTCCATGTCATTGGTATCCGTTCAAAAACTAAATTAAGCGAAAAAGTCCTTCGCGAGGCCAAGAACCTCTTGGTGATTGGCTGTTTCTGCATTGGAACCAACCAGGTTGACTTGGAGTATGCTGCTCACCATGGCATTGCCGTCTTCAATTCGCCCTTTGCAAACTCCCGTAGCGTGGCCGAGCTTGTTATTTCCGAAATCATAGCTCTAGCCCGCCAATTGGGTGACAGGTCCAACGAGATGCACAGAGGCACCTGGAACAAAGTCAGCAACAAGTGCTGGGAAATCCGCGGCAAGACTCTTGGTATGTTTATATAACTTAGACTCTCCTATAAACATAGGTTAGGATTATTAATGTTGACTTCGTATCAAGGAATCATCGGATATGGACACATTGGTTCCCAATTGTCTGTCCTTGCGGAGGCTATGGGAATGTCCGTCATTTATTATGACGTCGTGAACTTGATGGCATTAGGTACGGCTCGGCAAGTACCGAAGTTGGAGGATCTCCTGAGAGAGGCCGACTTCATAACTCTGCACGTCCCAGAGCTACCCGAAACCAAGAACATGATTTCTGCGGCGCAGTTCAACCAGATGAAGGACGGCTCATACCTCATCAATGCCAGCCGTGGAACTGTGGTTGATATACCGGCCCTAATTAACGCCATGCGCAGCGGCAAGATTGCGGGAGCTGCGCTAGATGTTTACCCGAGCGAGCCGCGCGCAAACGGCGACTACTTCACTAAAGACCTGAACGGCTGGGAGGAGGACCTTCGCAGTCTGAACAACATTATCCTTACTCCCCACATCGGTGGTAGCACCGAAGAAGCTCAGCGAGCAATCGGTGTAGAAGGTAATCAAGTCTCCAATGTGCCACTTTTGAGATCTGCAATTTAATATTAACGTCACTTAGTCGGCGAGGCTCTGGTCCGATATATCAACCTGGGCATTACTTTAGGCAGTGTCAACATGCCCGAGGTCAACATGCGTTCACTAACATTGGAGGAACCCGACCACGCCCGAGTAAGAATTCTCCGGCCTCATACACTCCTATTGCAATTTCTAACTTGCAACAGATTATTTACATCCACAACAACGTTCCTGGTGTTCTCCGCAAGGGTTAGTCAAGTAAAAGCACATGTGATTACGTCTGGATACTTACACATAAGCAGTGAACGAGATTCTTGGAAACCACAACGTTGATAAGCAGATCAGTGACAGCAAAGGAGATGTACGTTCTTCCACATACCATCGTTTGCTGTGGCCCAAGCTAACATACGCAGCTTGCCTATCTTATGGCTGATGTTAGTGACGTCCAAACGAGCGATCTGAAGGAGATTCAAGACTCACTTGAAGCACTGAGCTGTAAGTCACAACACCTTGGCGTCGAGATATACTCAGCTAACCCATTTCACACAGCCCGTATTTTGACGCGCGTGCTATACTAGGAAAGGGTTACGGTAGTTGGTGGCGGGTAGTAGGTGGATTGTAAGTTTTTTTCTTGGTTGATGTTGATGGGAAAGGCGTTGAAGCCGAACGAAATAATTATCGCATTTATGGGTATCTAATACAAAGAAAAATTCAACTTATGGGGAGACGGATACCCGAGAGAAATTGCATCAGCATTGGTTAAAGGGGGGAAAAGGGGCATGAGGTTCAACATTAAAAGCCCAAGGCTTAGGTTTAGGGGGTATCATTACTACATTATCACATTACTACAGCAGCATAAACATCTACTTCGCAGATGGTTCACTTTATAGAGCTTGATGTTATTATTATATCCGAACGGCCCGGATGCTCCACTGAATGTTTAGTGATTCCTGTTGTGAAGAGCCGCGCGAAGTTAGAAACTAGGAGTTTTTATCCACGCATATCGCCGGCGACACACTGTAATTACTGATAGGGGATACATACAAGGTACATATATACGGTGCTCTTTGAAGTTGTCGATACTTTCTTCTTCTAGTTACTCGAAGTGTTTAATAGCTACCTCTAGTCGATAAGTTAAAATCACTAGGAACTTTCCCCCCCCCCTTTTACTATGTACACTAGAGCAACGCAGGTTGCCAGCTTGTGGCTTGTGCTCGACCCGCGTAAGAAGGAAAACGCTCCGGGTTGCCGAGGAAGATGAAACAGCCATTCCGTCGGCCAAGCGTGTAGATACCCGTTACGTTTACCACGTATGCATGCATGTAGGTAGGTTAGGTACCTTGTATGCACTTGTAAATCTGGGGATGGATAGGTGAATGGTTCGGCCGTTGGTCATTGACGGCTGTGCTGTGTAAGTAAGAGTCGGGTTCCTATGCACGCACCGACCATGTTCGGGCTGCCAAATGCCCCTTGCCGGACACTGACTCTTGTACCTAATCCAGAATAAATGGATTTTGATACCCGCTTCCTACGATATTACAGATAATGGTATATACATTTTTGATGATATTCAGTAAACATTTTTACATGATTCTTTCAGTTCTTGTAAGGCTGGATAGGTAGGTAGTTACACGGATCTATTTGTTATAAGTGATTAGAAGAGACCGGCTTGATATCGGCGGGAGAAACCTTGAGATATTTTCCCCTTCCTCCTTCGCTTCGCTAATTCATTAGACGGTCAAGGATCCTGGAAAGGAGGTAGATATGGCGTGGAGGCTAGGAGGGGAGGGAATATGGAGAACTTGAACACCTGAAAGGTAACTACCTAGCTCTGAACTTTTCAAGATCGCGTATTTTATTTTATTATATTTTATTGTATTGTATTCTTTTTGATTGGTATATTTTCCCTGTGGCTTGGAAGGGATATTCATTAGTAGGAGGGACAAGAAAGAATGGCTGAAATCTATCTGTTAAGACATTTAATGTAGGCAAGTAGCCTGTAGGTACGTAGGTGGCTTCTGAATTGTAACCATAAAGTGAGATATTGTAAAATATAAAATATCCCACTTCCGATAGGTAAATAGGTATTTTCTTTTAGATGTATGCAGGTACATGGTTCTTTTTTTTTCTTTTTATTCTGGACATAGGTATCCATGCCACAAAACCTACATGTTGCATCACTGTTAACTCTCTTTTTTGATTGATCGGAGCAGGTTGTCACAACAGCGCATCAAACGAAAATAGACCTGCAGAGTTCGACAAGCACACACAGACACACACACACACAACCCTTTCTGCACGAAAAAGGGAGGAAGTAAAAGGAATGACCTACTAACGAATAAGTTAGGTGGAGGTACGATACTATGTACAATACAATACCTATGATGTACACCGACTTACATAGTAAACTAAACGTTGGATGACTTGTAAGACGCACCTATTCTCTTAGTAACATTTTAGCAAGTAACAGGTAACATTTACTTCTGCCACATACGCACCTACGTGCTGTAATAGCTGTACATAGTACCTGCCCGTAACCAGCCCGTACCGGTTTCTACCCCCCCGAACAAGGTAAGCCCGGCCCTTCAAGTAGCGAAAGAATTAAAAATGGCTGGAGGACCCTTTTCTCGAAGAAAAAAAACCCCAACCCCTGTTACCGGCCTCGAACTAAGCTGGAGTAGGTAACGCGCTCCCCTTTATCCCCTACCTCCCCTAAATTTCAATGATTTGAAGGGCGGGTTTTGGACGTTTGGGATACTGGGACTGGGACACTGAGACCAGCACCTGGGCACTGGGTTTTGGCAGCCATCCGCCATCCGCCATCCTGGCCCATCCTAGCTCATCCATTAAAAACCGATAATACATGCTAACCTCTATGTAATGTAACCAGTATTACAGGTATTGCATTGTACATACAGCGGTACAACATCACACAACGCCGTCGACAAAAACTCCCCATCACCTTATTTTATTTCTCCTTCTTCAATACATAGTAGTTGCGAGCATCACTGCCATAATCTACTTCTTCTTTTTTTCCTCTCTTGAAGGGCCTGCCAAGTTTTAGATCCCTTTTTTTCTTCTCCAGGCCCTCCTCTCTCTCTCTCACTTCTATACACCGATTCTCTAGTGACTTTATAGAGGCTTTCTTTCGTTCAAGTACATATTTCCTCGCTTGTCCTTCCTGTCCAACCAGCGAAATTCGAGCGAACCCCCCGATACGAATGCCTCGTGCTACTTACCGCTTCCCCCTTATAAGTGGCCTAATATCTTTCCAGCTCTCGCGACGCGACCGAACTTAATTTCTACTATATTCCCCCTCCTCCCCGCACGAAGTTAATTAAGTAGCCTCTCATGTCGCATAGCTACGATGTCGGTACGAGAGCTTGGCAGCCGGATGCCACCGAGGGCTGGGTGGCGTCCGAGGTTGTCAAGAAGACCGTCGACGGTGACAAGGTGACCTTGGTATTCAAGCTCGAAAATGAAGAGGTATGTGAAGCTATTGTCGTCGATGTCGTACCTAAAATAACCTTCAAGCACATGTTGACCGCTAATCTTTCTCCCCCCCTCCAGACCAAGACGATAGAGCTCTCCGCCGAGGCCCTGCAAAATGCTAACGATCCGTCTTTACCACCGTTGATGAACCCTTCCATGCTCGAAGCCAGCGATGATTTAACAAATTTGTCCCATCTTAACGAGCCGGCCGGTATGCATAACCCCGCCAATATCGGCGAGCCCCAGTGTGGGATCCAGATATTGACCATCCTGTCCATGTAGTACTCCAGGCCATCCGTCTACGATATGCGCAAAAAGAAATATACACCTACAGTGGTATAGTCCTAATAGCTACGAACCCGTTTGCTCGGGTCGACTCTCTCTATGTCCCGGGCATGGTTCAAGTTTACGCTGGCAAGCAGAGGGAGACGCAAGCCCCCCATCTGTTTGCCATCGCTGAAGAAGCTTTCATGTGAGCATAACCTGCTCCTTAGTGTCTTATTTTATTCCGTATGTAGCTAACCCCTATACGTAGAAAAATGGTTAAAGATGGCCGGAATCAAACAGTCGTAGTTTCGGGAGAGTCGGGTGCTGGTAAAACCGTCAGTGCCAAATACATTATGCGATACTTCGCTACGAGAGAATCCCCAGATAATCCAGGGGGTCGAGTCAAGAAGGGTTCCGAAGGCATGAGTGAGACGGAAGAGCAGATTCTGGCGACTAACCCTATCATGGAAGCATTTGGTAACGCTAAGACTACCCGAAACGACAACTCTTCGCGATTTGGAAAGTACATAGAGATCATGTTCGACAATAAGACCAACATTATCGGCGCTAGGATCCGGACGTATCTCCTTGAACGGTCGAGATTGGTCTTCCAACCCCTGAAGGAAAGGAACTACCACATTTTCTATCAGTTACTGGCCGGTGCATCAGACAAGGAACGACAGGAGCTTAGCCTGCTACCGGTCGAGCAGTTCGACTACCTTAACCAGGGAAACTCTCCTACGATCGATGGCGTGGACGACAAGGCCGAGTTTTTTGCCACTAAGAGTTCACTGAAGACGATCGGTGTCGACGAAACTCAGCAAGCCGGTATCTTCAACCTCCTCGCCGGTCTGCTGCACCTGGGTAACGTTAAGATCGGTGCTTCCAGGAACGACAGTGTACTAGCCCCTACAGAACCTTCTCTGGAGAAAGCTTGTAGCATTCTTGGAATCGACGCTACGGACTTCGCCAAATGGATCGTAAAGAAGCAGCTTGTCACTCGAGGCGAGAAGATCGTCTCAAACTTGACGCAGCAGCAAGCTATAGTCGTGCGAGACTCGGTGGCCAAATATATCTACTCAAGTCTTTTCGACTGGTTGGTGGAGGTCATCAACAGGAGTCTTGCTACCGACGAGGTTTTAAGCCGTCTTACCTCGTTCATTGGTGTTCTTGATATTTACGGTTTCGAGCACTTTGCTAAGAACTCTTTCGAGCAGTTCTGTATCAACTACGCCAATGAAAAGCTACAGCAGCAGTTCAACTCGCACGTATTCAGGTTAGAACAAGAAGAATACGTGCGGGAGCAAATCGACTGGAAGTTCATCGAGTTCTCTGACAACCAGCCGTGTATCGATTTGATTGAGGGCAAACTGGGTATTCTGTCCCTTCTTGACGAAGAGTCTAGGTTGCCTATGGGTGCTGATGAGCAATTCGTCACGAAGCTTCATCACAACTTTTCCTCAGCTAAGAACAAGTTCTATAAGAAGCCCCGATTCGGGAAATCTTCGTTTACCGTCTGCCATTATGCCGTCGATGTCACGTACGAGTCGGAGGGTTTCATCGAGAAGAACAGGGATACAGTTCCCGACGAGCACATGGAGATTCTCCGAGCAACGACCAACGAGTTCCTCAGCAGCGTGCTCGCAGCAGCATCCGCCGTCCGTGAGAAGGACGTCGCGGCTTCCGGCTCCGCCGTTGCGAAGCCCGCAGCTGGAAGGAAGATCGGAGTTGCTGTTAACCGCAAACCGACTCTCGGTGGCATTTTCCGTTCCTCATTAATCGAACTGATGAACACCATCGGCAACACAAACGTCCACTACATCCGTTGTATCAAGCCGAACGAGGCCAAGGTTGCATGGAAGTTTGAAGGACCTATGGTTCTCAGTCAGCTGAGAGCTTGCGGTGTCCTCGAGACTATCCGCATTAGTTGCGCTGGTTATCCAGGTCGATGGACATACGAGGAATTTGCCCTTCGGTACTACCTATTAATACCGTCCAGCCGATGGCAAACCGAGATTCGACAGCTCGTCAAGGAGATTCTCGCGCAGGCACTGGGTTCGCTCACGGGTACTGGAACCGACAGCTACCAGCTAGGTTTGACCAAGATTTTCTTCCGTGCGGGTATGCTCGCGCACCTGGAAAACCTCCGCCAGCAACGGATGACCGAAGCCGCTACCATGATCCAGAAGAATCTCAAGGCCAAGTACTACCGACGCAAGTATCTCGAGGCAAGAGCTGCCATTGTTACATTCCAGTCCCTTGCCAGAGCCTATCATACCCGAAAGGCCGCTCAAGAACTGCGTACAGTCAAGGCTGCAACAACAATACAAAGAGTATGGAAGGGATATAAGCAGCGCAAGGCGTTCCTGCGTGTTCGCAACAGTGTCATACTTGTACAAGCTGTTGCGAAGGGTTATCTGCGAAGGAAAGAGATTATGGAAACTCGCGTGGGCAACGCTGTTCTTCTAATCCAACGAGTGTGGCGATCGAGACGACAGGTCAGGACGTGGAAAAATTATCGCAGGAAGGTTATCCTTGTACAGAGCTTGTGGCGCGGAAGACAAGCGAGGAAGGAATACAAGACGAGGCGCGAGGAGGCTCGCGACCTGAAGCAGATTTCCTACAGGCTGGAAAACAAGGTCGTCGAACTTACACAGTCTTTGGGTACTATGAAGACCCAGAACAAGAGTCTTCAGAGCCAGGTGGAAAACTACGAGAACCAAATCAAGTCGTGGAAGACCCGTCACAACGCCCTCGAGACCCGGACAAAAGAGCTTCAGGCCGAGGCCAACCAGGCTGGTATCGCCGTAGCCAAGTTACAGGCTATGGAGGAGGAGATGAAGAAGTTGCAACAGAACTTCGACGAGTCAACCTCAAGTGTCAAGCGGATGCAAGAGGAAGAGCGGGAGCTCAAGGAGTCCCTGCGAACCGCAAATGCCGAGCTGGAACGCATCAAGCGGGAGAGCACGCTTCACGAGAACGAGAAGATGACCCTGCGAGATCAACTAGCCCAGATGGCCGAAGAGCTCGAGTTGGCCAAACGGTCGGTTCCTCTCAACGGAGAGCTTACCAACGGCAACGGTGTTACTGCTCCTCCCAACGGTCTCATCAACTTGGTGTCGTCCAAGAAGCCCAAGCGCAGGAGCGCCGGCGCGGAACCCAGCGGGATGGACCGCTTCAGTGCCGCCTACAACCCTCGCCCTGTCTCTATGGCTGTTACCAACGCCAGACCTACCGGTGGCTACATCCCTGCTGCCGACACTATCGAGATGGAGTTGGAGAACTTACTTGCCGACGAGGATGGCTTGAACGAGGAAGTCACATTAGGCCTAATCAAGAACCTAAAGATGCCATCACCAAACACCAATCCTCCTCCTTCGGACAAGGAGGTTCTTTTCCCCTCTTACCTCATCAACCTTGTCACGTCCGAGATGTGGAACAATGGCTTCGTGAAGGAGTCGGAAAGGTTCTTGGCAAACGTTATGCAGTCGATCCAGCAAGAAGTGATGCATTACGATGGGGACGACGCAATCAACCCCGGTGCCTTCTGGTTGTCTAACGTGCACGAGATGCTATCATTCGTATTCCTTGCCGAGGATTGGTACGAGGCCCAAAAGACGGACAACTACGAGTACGACCGTCTTCTGGAAATTGTGAAGCATGACCTTGAGAGTCTAGAATTCAACATATATCATACGTGGATGAAGATAATCAAGAAGAAGCTTCAAAAGATGATCATTCCAGCCATCATCGAATCCCAATCACTACCTGGCTTCGTTACGAACGAAAGCAACAGGTTCCTCGGCAAGCTACTGGCGACCAACTCGCAGCCAGCCTACAGCATGGATAACCTCCTCAGCCTGCTAAATAACGTTTTCAGGGCGATGAAGGCTTACTACCTGGAGGACAGCATCATAACCCAAACCGTCACGGAACTTCTCAAGTTGGTGGGCGTCACCGCCTTTAACGATCTGCTCATGAGGAGAAATTTCCTCTCATGGAAGCGTGGTCTGCAAATCAACTACAATATCACTCGAATCGAAGAGTGGTGCAAGAGTCATGACCTGCCCGAAGGCATTCTGCAGCTTGAGCATCTTATGGTAAGTGAAACCGAAAATGAATCCATGTGCGTGTTTGCGCCATGTGGGCTGTGGCTAACCCTTCGTTTTAGCAAGCAACCAAGCTCCTGCAGCTGAAGAAGGCAACTCTCAACGATATTGAGATTATCCAAGATATTTGCTGGATGTGAGTTATAAGTCGGAAGATTATTCGAAACGCTCGACATGGCTAATTGGTGTTTTACAGGCTATCTCCCAATCAAATCCAGAAGCTTCTGAACCAGTACCTGGTAGCAGATTACGAGCAGCCTATCAACGGAGAAATCATGAAGGCTGTCGCGTCTAGGGTAACGGAGAAGAGCGATGTCCTTCTGCTCCAGGCTGTGGATATGGACGACAGCGGGCCGTATGAGATCGCAGAACCCCGCGCTATTACCGCTCTGGAGACATACACCCCGTCATGTAAGTCAAAAAGATGGATTACGCTTGAGATGAATTGTGGCTAACGTAGATTATTAAAGGGCTACAAACCCCTCGACTGAAGAGGTTGGCAGAGATAGTGTCTGCTCAGGCCATCGCGCAGCAAGAGAAGATGGAAGCGGACGAATACGACGGTGATGGCGAGTTAGCCGAGGTCGACGAAGTTGAGACCGGTAGCGCGTAGAACAGCAATACGGACGACTCAAAACCCGGCAGACCTAAGGTGCCACGTCTTCCCTTCCCAGTAAGTATATGGCGAGGTCCAGGCGGGTAGAGGCGAGGGAGCGAACATGTCACGATAGACAGTTCATACGGAAAGGCTGAGACAGCTGGCAACCTTTTGAGGTCTTGCTGGTGGTACCTGCATGGTGGGAGAGAGATATGACGGTCGGGCGAGCCCAAGGTGCACACATTTAACGGATATCGAGGCATGATTGAACTAGAAAGGCTCGTACGGACCGGGGGGCGTTTTGACAATGCATGCATGCAAAAGCCGCCTCTTTTTTTATTTTATGACGAATCTTTTTATTTAGACCGGCACCGGTTTTCCAGCTCTTCATTGTTGGTGGTGTCGGGAGAGAAGGAGGGAGGAGGAGGATGAAAGGGGTGTATACCAAAAAACAGAGAGAAGAAAAGAAGAGAGAGGGAGAGAGAAGGTGGTACTGTAACATCTAGCTAAGATGGGTATGGGTTTTGTACATGCTGTTGCTGCTGTTGCTTGCTTCACTGGACGAAGAAGAGACGATGCGTTTTCGTTTTCGTTTTCTTGGTCCTGGGGAAGTAGCGTTCTTTTTCTTCTTTTCTCTTCCCCTTCTTCTTCTTCATCTATGTCTTCTCTACGACGCTCAAAAACTTGAACTAACTAACTACCTGCTACCTAACTTACCTACTTTTAACGCATCTGAATTACGATAATGTCCATGAAAAAAAAATAACTTTATCGAAATCTCCCAATTCTAATTCTAAAAAAAAATTGCATTTGAATAGTTTTTTTTTCGTCGTGTTTGCTGGTTTAAGTGTGTTTGAGAGGAAGTAGAAAGAGAACGGGTTATAGAATAACGAGTGGTAATAGTACCTAGAGTAATGATAGAGCCTAGCAATTAGGTATTAATGAATAAGTAGGTACATACCTATATATACCGTAAAAATGTGGTGAATCTGAAGTCGGTATTCATTTGATATAAGGGGGATGAAATGGACAGATGATGGACGACCTTACCTAAAGTACATAAAGGAGACCCATCTGATTCGACAGTAGCACCACACGTGGCCCGCTTTTATTTTCCTTAGGTGAAGGGGAAGAAAAAAAATCTGCCCGGAAGAAGGTTGTATTTCGGTAGTTAGTTACTAAGTATAAGAAAAGGAGGGGAGAATACTCTAGGTACATAACGTTTTGACATCTTACATTTAACTTTTATTTTTACGTTTGCATTTATACTAACCTGGCGAGTTTCGAAACGAATAAAAAACAAAAAAGAAAGATAGAAAGATATATTTCCGGGCTTTGTTTGTGGGAATTGAACTCACAAGTCGATTGGCGGAAGGACTGGTTTAATCGATTGAGTTCTGTCGATTTTTTTTAATAAAAAAATCCTGAGCTTAGGGTTTTTCTTAGCACGGCGTGTTGCATAGCATAGGTACGCATATACATACATACATACGTATACGCATGCACGCACAGATATACAGAAAGAATTCTCACTCGTGTCTACGAGAATACGGTTGAAGCTCACCAGGGTCAGGAATTTCTCATTTTTAAGAAAAGAGTAATTCTTCCTTTCTTAGAAAGAGAGGCAGAAGGGGGAAAACCGTAACAGCAGAGAAGTGAGGGAAAAGAGAAAAGAAAAGAAAAATAAAAGAAAAATAAAAGGAGAGCAAAAGATGCGGGCGGAACCCAACATCATCATCACGGGCACGCCGGGCGTGGGCAAGACGACGCACGCGGAGGCGCTGGCGGAGAGGACGGGGCTGAGGCACGTGTCGGTCAACGAGGTGGTGAAGGATAAGGGGTGTCACGAGGGGTGGGACGAGGAGTTTAAGAGCTGGATCGTCGATGAGGATAAGGTGAGTTTCTTTTTTTCTTTTTTTCTTTTTTTGTAGGGGATGAGAGGTAGTTAGCTAGCTAGCTAATCAAGTCGACAAACAGCTCCTCGACGCGCTGGAAGAAGATAACGTCAAGGCCGGCGGGTGCATCATAGACTGGCACGGGTGCGAGATCTTCCCCGAGAGCTGGATCGATCTGGTGGTCGTGTTGCGAGTGGACTCTAGCACGCTATACGACCGATTATCCGCGAGGTAAAGTTCTCTTCTTTTTTCTCTCCCCTTTCCCCCTTTCTCTTTTTTACTTGTCTTTATTTCCCTCGATCCCGCCCCCTGCCCCCGATACTAACGAGAAGCAGGAAATACCCCGAAGCCAAACTGCAAGAAAACCTGGACTCGGAGATCATGGAGGTGCTGCTGCAGGAGGCGCGGGACAGCTACGACGAGCAGATGGTGGTGGAGCTTACGAGCAATTCGACCGACGAGATGGATAGCAACGTCGATCGCATCGAGGCGTGGATTAAGCAGTGGAAGCAAGATCAGGCTGGGGATGGAGAAGAGTGAAAAGGGGGGTGGGTGGATGGATGGATAGATTTCCATTAGTCTAACTACGCACCTAAGTCTAGTTTGTGGACGTCATGAGATACCCGTTGTTCATAAAACTACCTAACCTAACCTAAGGTAACCTACCTGCTCATTGGGTTTGGTTTGTATGCTTGTGATATCTTCTATTTGCTTGTCTCCATATAGGCATGGTGAAGTATACCTAACCTAAGGTAAGTCAGGTGTAAGTCAAGTGTATAAATAAGTAAACGCCTCGCGTGGTCTAACCTGGCACTTATGCCATAACCCGTTGTCTAACGTAGAACAGGTACCTAATGCAATCCAGCCTAACTCAGCTCAAAGCCCAATACCAGGTAGGTACCTATCCAAGGCATACATACTGCAGTTTTATGTAATATCAGCTGATTTAATTTTTATTCTTCCTAACAAACAGAATATGTAAAAAATTATAGGTGATGTCTTTAGTATAAGTCTCATACATATACATACCTAGTATGAGGTACATTGTGTTTGCATCACGTACTCCGCCTCGTTGGGCTAAATATCAAAGTTGTGGTTATAGGTAACAGGTACAGTAACTAGACGGGCTTTCTCCGTCCAATGAGACGGTCTCAAAAAAAGCCGGCAACATTCAAAAACTTTTTAGCCTCAGCTTGAACCAAGTCCCCAGCCTACCAGCCTACCTAGCCTACCTAGGGTCCTAATACATACATGCATGCATGCATACACAACATTAAAGAAGTGTTAGTTTGCCGTAAACCACTAGTTCTGCACTTCGCCGGTGCGTCACGCCGGGCATTTTTATCTACCTCTTATATTTTTCTCTTTCAAGCTGAGAGAATATCTAGGAATATTAGAAGGTAGGTATATACCTATATATAAGAGAATATAACTCCCGATCAGAGAGAGAAGAATAATCTAACTAACTCAGTACTTAAACTACCAGATCATAACTTTCAACTAGTTACTTTTTCTTTTTCTTAGAACTCAACTCAATATTTCAAACACTTACACTTACACTTACACTCATACCCATACTCACCTTCGCACTCACTCACATTTACCAACTCTAACTCTAACAAAAACAATTTAAAAAAAAAACAATGTCCTCCGCCCCGGTCCTCAACTTCATAACCGGCAACGCCAACAAGCTCTCCGAGGTGCGCGCGATCCTCGAGCCCGCCGGCATCGTCGTCCGCAACCAGCCGCTCGACCTGCCCGAGGTCCAGGGCACGCTCGAGGACGTCACCCGCGAGAAGTGCCGCGCCGCCGCCGCCGCCGTCCGCGGCCCCGTCCTCGTCGAGGACACCTGCCTGTGCTTCGACGCCCTCCACGGCCTGCCGGGCCCGTACATGTACGTTTGTTTCTCTTTGTTTCTCTCCTTTTCCTTTCTATACACACATATAACACACACACACACACACATATATATATATCTCTCTTATATCTTTGAGAGTTAAAAAACAACTAAACACTAACACTGCACCCCCAGAAAATGGTTCATGCAATCCATCGGCCACTCCGGCCTCAACAACCTCCTCGCCGCCTACGACGACAAGTCCGCCGACGCCGTCGCCACCTTCGGCTTCTCCCAGGGCCCCGGCCACGAGGTCTTCCTGTTCCAGGGCCGCACCAAGGGCAAGATCGTGCCGCCCCGAGGTCCCACCACTTTCGGTACGCTCGCCCCTATTTTCTTATCTCTCTTCTTCCTCTCTCCCTCTCTCCCTCTCCCTTTTTTTATAGCTGGCATGATGCAGTAAGCACCTACCTACCTATACATCATATAACTAACCCCTACCCCCTCACTCAGGTTGGGATCCGATCTTCGAATATGACGGCCAGACGTAAGTTCTTGTCTTTTCTTCCCCCCCTCCCCCTCCCCCTTCCCCTCCCTCTCCATAGAAAGACACCAACCAACTAACCAACGAACGACGCCGCCAGCTACGCCGAGATGGACAAGGCCGCCAAGAACAAGATCTCGCACCGCTTCAAGGCCCTCGAGAAGCTGCGCGCCTGGATCGAGGCCGGCGGCATGAAGGCTTAACTAAATTAAGCCTTAACTAAACAAATTTACACGAGTAACCTGAACCTAGACGACGGTTACTTACGATTTGACTTAAAGGGGGGGAGGTCCAATACATGGGATATCATAGCATGGCATGGCATGGCATACTTACCACATAGACATACACGCACATACATACCCTCACGCGCCACAACCCAGTTACGGAAAGAGGGTAATAGATGGAAGGTAGATAGACAGATAAACAATGAAGGCTTTTTTGCTTGTTTTTTTTTTTAAAAAAAATCATTTTTCTAAGTTTCGCTAACCGCTTCGAATGCAACCGTACTGTAAATACCGTGATCTCTTACATGTACACTCAGGTATTACTCGACGCTACCCCGTGTATACATTAGGCAGGAACGGGCTGTTGTTGGTCTGTATGTTTGTAAGATCATACGCTCCGTCACAACCCGCTCCCGGTCTTCTATCTTCCGTCTTGTTACACAGCCTTTCTAGACGTCAAAGATATCCGCGCTGATAAATATATGTATGTATACTGTACAAACTGCCTGCCGTGCCGGGATCAAGTAGGTGATTAGGTTTACTGTAGGTGTTTCGGTCACGCAACCGAAGAGAAGAAAATTCCTTGGTTAGAGGATGTGATATTACTCTTTTAGTCTGGGAAAGGTAAGCGTAAGCGTAAGCGCAAGCCTAGGACTTGTAACACTGGTAGCTAACACGAGCAACCCGCGAAAAAAAAGGGGAGATTGATACGGAATAGAGCGCCACGCGCATAGTGTAGGATTAATAGGTCCACAAAAAAAAAGAAAAGAAAAGAAAAATAAGGTCGCTAATGCGCCTATTGTATTCACATACCTCATAAGTTCAAAAGCGTGGTATTTGCTAAAGTACTTCGGGCCGCGGCGGTAGAGCTTGAGCGCACGGTCCGGGTTGCTGTGCTCGACGGGCCTCCTGCCGTCGACGTGCCGCGTGATGTTCGCCGGGTCGGAATACGACGGGTCGAACACGAGCAGATTCCGATTGCCGCTGGGCTGGCGCTCTATCCCGATGATGGTCATGGAGTGGCCTTTAGAGTAATGTGACCTGTTAGCAATTTGTACCAAAGTGAATTTAAAAAAAATCGAGTTTGTCACTTTCTCCTTTTTCTTAATTCTAGCACGGCTTGTTACGGTGGTAGGCTTACCTTGATGCTGTAAATAAATCGGCGGCCTCTTCGTATTGCGAACTTTGCTCTGCAGATTGACGCCCGGCGCCGTCGCAAAATATTCCTCCACGGCGTCGTATAACATATTTTCCGAGGCAGATGGCGGTTCCCAGTCCATGGTTTTAAATGTCTGCATATCCCATCTAACAGAACGGTGGGTTACGTTAGTACTTTACTTAAGCTGGACAGAGAGAATAGATATAGTATAAGAGCAGCAAGATCTAACCGTATGTCTAAACTCGCGAGCAGCGTCTGGGCCTAGTTCGTGAGAAGAAGTATAAGTTAGTCAACCCAGTCCGCTTCCAACTTTTCATGGGTCTATTTATTTTGAAAAGACCAGAGTCCACCAAGATCATCTCAAACTCACCTCCGGTGTTCCGATGTACTTGCGAGTACCCCTCAGGGAACCGAGCTCTACCCGGCCCTCCTCGTGGATACCCCGGTCCCAGGCTTTCTCGATGAGATCCTGGATCTGGAAGATGCTCGGGATAGTATTGTTAAAAGCCGCAGCGCCCGGCGCGCGCGTATTCACGATATACGATATCATCATCTGGATGTTTCTGTAACCGCAGAAGCTGCCTGAACACGGCTGGCGTTAGCATAGCATGGCATAGGTAGCAACCTACGATTATTCTATATCTAAGGTACATAAGAAAGATTTGTAAAATGCGGGCTATAAATAATTACCTTCATTCCTAAGCTTGGATATGTGCTGTGTTTCCGGGTGGCATAGATACGCGTATTGCGTGCACTTGTTCTGATGTAGGAGCTGGGCGAGCACGGGTATTACACCTGGGATTCGTGAGCTGGTATGCACAACCTAACCAACTCCAAGAAGTCAAAGGTGGACGAACCTTGCGAGCTTTTAAACCCACGCTTCTTCAGTAGATCTTCGAGCCAGCGCGGCATCCTCTCTTCGTTATAGTATACACCCAGTTCTTTTTTCTAGACGCGTGTTAGAAGTTACCTATTCATATACCCTGATATGCGTATCTCATTTATTTAGAGTAACGAATGGCAAACAAATAATTATGTCATGGGAAAGCTTACCCCAAGTCTCCTGACCGGTTTAAATGGGTTTGTATGTGAGTCTCCAGCCGCGCCGAGCAGCAACCCGCTCGGGGTAACCCCGGCCGGGACACCGGTCTTGGCCCGGGTAGGACCTGACACAGCGGCCGGCGTGCGCATGGGAGAAGATTGTGAGCTACTCCCTAGCTCACCCGCATTCGAGCTTTCCGCGTAATTCGAATTATCAGCCTGCTCCGCATAATGCAATTCGAGGTGGTCTTCCAGCCTAGCCAGGTGCAAGATCTCGCCGCAGCTCTTAAATGGACACTGACAGTATTCGGTAAGTTCCTCTTCCTGCTCCTGCTCCTGCACCTGTTCCTGCTCCCCGGCGACCGTAGTAGTAGTAGCCGCCTCTATCACCCCTGATCTTGAGCCAGCAGCAGCAGCGGTCGCAGTCCGCTCTTTCCCTTCTTTTCCATCGGGAACGAACGGGGATTTCCCCTCGCTATGGTGGACCTCCAGGTGCTGCGACAAACACATGAGCGCCCGAAGCCAGGAGCGAAGGCGTCGTCGCCTCGACATGAAGAAGATGGTGACGACGGTAACGATGGCGATTTGGGGGGTTGGGGGTGGGGGTGGGGGTTACGAGGACTTACAAGTAAGATGCTGTATTCGACGGAATCCTTGTATCCGCAGAACGGGCAGTTGAACACGCCTGACATAACAGCTGTAAGAGGGTAAGCTAAGCTACAATAATTATCAGCTTCAAGAAGGTGATGCTATTTAATCTTTTCCCGCCAGGTTGGAAAATAAAGCCGTAAGCGCGCGTGTGTGTCGTATGGTAAGGTAGGATAGGATCTTGGGTTATGTAGTTGGGTAGTTATGAATGTATATAATTGGCAGTTCGTTTCAGCTTCGCATGTTAATTACCAACAAGAGGTACCTAAGTGTATTACATACCTCACTCCTAGGTATGTATTTCTTATTCGCGGAAGGATGTGTGAAAATAACAAGTGAATTTACCTAGATCCAGTTTCGCAGGTTCGGATTACATTGATCGTAATTATTCAGGGGGTTGAGGGCGGATCTTGCTTGCTTGTTTTCTAGCAAAGAATGAATTGAATGAATAAGTGGGCATTTCTTCCAAAAAGTGCAGGGGGAAGAAGCCGTATCCGGCTGTTGCTTCGTGCTCCCCGAGAACGTCTTTGGAAGGAGAGCTCGGAATGCAAAGGCTTATGTGGTAGTTGGTTGCACTTACACTAGCATTGGAGGTACCTTACAGTATGTAGCTGCGTATACTATTAGCTCAGCACTAACAAAGGAAACAACTACCTAAGATAGAGTAGAGTAAATAAGAAGAATAAGAATTACATATTTAAAACAACCCCGACATACTAACATTTATGAATGCACACATAATACCAACTTACGTACCTAATGTAAGAGCCTTGTGTTTTACGGTTCCAGTTACGTCTTTTAGCGCTTGACCATTAGAGTTATAGGGGCTCATCTGATGTAGGTAGTGAGACGATACATAGTAGAACTACAATTATTATTCTTCATGGTACATCTCACATCAACGTCTCAAAATAGGTAGCAGGCCCTGGTTGTTTGTTTGTCATGAGTTATCTTCGTCTCTATTCCGTTATCGCATGAGGCGTCAATCAGTATCGGTGCTGCTACGCTAGCTCGCCAAACGCATGGCTGTTACTCTTCTTTTTACTATACTATCTAAGTGCCATAGCATGAGATGCAGATGCACTTAGACCTGGATATCTTCCCCCCAAATGCAACTCCTAACTGCATTACCTGTAATGAGATAGTACGCATCGCATTCCTCGGCATCCCGAACCCGTCGATATTTCATTCATTCAAATTATACCGCCAAACCCTTAAGCTTCTCGCCAGCTTCCGCAACTGCGGCTCCCGCACCAGCCGCCTTTTGCTTTACACCTTTATCTCCCTTACCCTTGGCTTTTTGCGAAGTTGTGTCCTTAGGTAGTTCCTTGCTAAAAGGGATGAAGTCGGGAGCGCCTGGGAGGTACTTGCGCAGCGGCTCGGGAACTCGGAGACCCTTGAAAAAAAAGAAAGGTTAGCTCTGATAAGAATGTATGAAAGAATTGTAGACTTACATCTTCGGTCTGGTGGTTCTCGAGAATACAGCACAACGCTCTCTCGGTGGCGCAGAGTGTCGAGTTGAGACAGTGGACGTATTTCTTCTTTGCATCTGTCTGCGTCTTGGTACCGAACCGTATTTCTAGGGCGCGTGACTGGTAGTCGGTGCAGTTCGAGCACGACACGAGCTCCTTGTACTCTCCTTGGAAGGGGAACCAAGCTTCCAGGTCGAACTTCTTCGCGGCTGCGTTGTTCAACGCCCCCGAGACGATCGCTACGACTTGGTACGGCAAGCCCAGCGACTTGTAAAATTCCTCCGAAGTTGTGAACATCTCTTCGAACATTTCCCACGACTTCTCGGGGTCCGTAAGCACGAATTGCTCCACCTTCTCGAACTGGTGAACACGGAAGATACCCCAAGCGTCACGACCGTGGGAGCCTGCCTCTCTTCTGTAGCACGTGCTGAATCCGGCATACTTGATCGGCAGCTCTTTCGCTATGATCCATTCGTCCGCGTGGAAGGCGGAGATGGGCTGCTCCGAGGTTGCGATGAGGTATTTGTCGTTCTGCGCATCGCCGTCGACTACCTTGTATAATTCCTCGTCGAACTGCTCTAGCTGAGCCGTCTTCGCCATGTAGTCCTTAAGCATGAACTGGGGGGTCTGCAGGGGAGTAAAACCCTTGTTCGTGAGGTATTCAAGACCGTAGTTGATAAGAGCCTGGTTGAGGAACACGCCCCATCGTTTTAAGAAGTAACCTCTGTGGCCGACGACCTTGACTCCGCGGTCTGGGTCGTAACCATCCAGTCGCAGGAGAACCTCGTGGTGGGATAGCACGTTTTTCTTCTCTACCGTAACGCCCGGCGGTGCCCACGTTCGCTGGACAGCGTTGTTGTCTTCGTTATCGCTAACAGGGACGGAGTCGTGGACGATGTTGCCTATGGTGTTGATCTTGGCTTTTAGCGCAATATCCTTCTGGGCAGCCGACTCGATAAGCGCCTTCTTCTCCTTCTCGAGATCGGCCTTCTGCTGAAGTAGTTCATCGGCATTCTCCTTGGCCTATATACACGCCGGTAGTTAGTAGATAGGTATTATAATAAGACAATCTCGATGACTCAGAGGGGGGGTATAACCTTCTTCTTAGCACCAATCTGCTTTTGTACTTCGTTGATCTTGCTGTTTATCTGAGTCGCGGCATATTGAGCTATAGTTTATTATTATTATTATATGTCAACGGCGGATATTGCTTGGTATGAGAGGGCATAACGACTAACTTCTACGATGGTCCTCGAACATCTCGATTACCTCGTCGACCACCTCAACGTTGGCATATCGGCGGCGCTGAGACTCGCGGATCTTCTCAGGGTTGCCACCCCTCTCGGTGATGAAATCTAAAACGTCGAGCATGATTAAGGAATTAGAAGACGGCTCTGAGCTGTGACTAATGTTGTAATGTTGAATGCTCCTTTCCGTAGAGTTTAAAGGAGTAACTAAATTTTGGTGGGGTGGTTTTTCGAAGCAGAGGGGCAGAAGGGGTATCGCGACGCAAGCGGGGCACGAAATACGATAAGGCACGTATCTTCTTGTACATTGTAGGTACCTGACATCTTAGGTCCACTGGTCCAGACTCAGGTGTGGTTCCCGTGGGTACATGCATCCAAGTACCTTAGGATGTACCTCATATATGTACCTAACTTAGGTAAGCTGCACATGTATGTTTACACGGGACTGGCGGGCCCCTTTTCTTTTGTATTTATCATATCAAAACTCAAGGTTTCATCGTTCATCAAGTAAACCGTAGTTCGAATGGAATCAATTAAAATGTTATTAATAATACAGTATGGGTAAAAAAAAACAAGAGAAAACAAAAACAAAGTAAGTATCGAGCTCGATACACTATGTATAGCAATGAAGCAATTCCGATTACCTATCTCCTTAACCAGGTTCGAAGCTCGGGCTAATATATACAAGCCACGGCGATTATTATTTCTGCCGTTCAGGACATCGTAACAAGTAGTAACGGTGGTGTGGTGGTGTTGGTGGTAGTTGTAGCCAACGTGGTTCGTAATGCAAAGCCGAAAAAATGAATGTCGGAAAAAGTCCAAGAAGAAAAGTAATAAACCTGCCCGAAAGCCTAGACCTATATTCCACCGCCCTGCGGCGGCTCACAAGATCCCCTTTCTAGCTTTTCAAACGTTTCATCGTGTTGTCTTTGCTTGCTTGGTATTCCAACGTAGTAATGGTGGTAGTGTTTCTTTTGGAACTGCTGTCCCTCCTCTTAAGGCATATTGTTGACCTTTACATCACCTGACACTTTCCGTTGTTCGTTGCCTCGTTCGGATTCTGTGACTTTTCCACCTGGGCGATCAGGAGTTCGAAGGCCTTAGCAACATTCTCGTTGTATCGCGCACTGGCTTCCGTCCACGCGCAGTTGAACTTCTCCGCTAACTTCTTGCCGTCTTCCTGGCTGACCTGGCGCTGCTCAGGGCGGAGGTCACTCTTGTTGCCTACTATGACAATTGGAACCCAGTCCGTGCCCTAGGTTGTTATCAATCGGTTAGTTACCATTGAATCGGTCCATAATTAAGCAATCAAGTACCTAAGCTCTAGGAAATAATTGACGGGAAGGGGAAGGGGATAACAAACAAGATGATTGAGAATCTTCTCGCGGATGACCTGCACCATCTCGAACGACGGTAGGGAAGAGACCGAGTAGACTAGCATGTATCCATGGATACCGATAAAGTGCTTGGAGTTCAGGATGCTATACTCATCTTGGCCGGCAGTATCGACAATTTCAGTAGCATAGTCCTGGCCCTTAAATCTAATGACCTTGCTAAAGGTATTCTCGATGGTAGGATAGTAGCTCTCGACAAAGTGGCCGTCGACGAACTGCACTGCCAAGGAAGACTTGCCTGGGAGATGGGGTAATGAGGCGTTAGCTTAGGTCCTTTTTTTTTTTTTTTTTTTTTCTCTCTCTTTTTTCCCCGGTGATAATGAGACACGTCATATATTATATAGTGATACGTATCATATTGCATGCACGATCCATGAAAAAGGAAATAAGAAGAATAACATTCCGAAGGAACATGGTTAAGCAAGGGAGATAGCATGTAGACAGGACAGGTAAGGTAAGGTAAGTCAAGGTAAGTAAAGGTATCACGAAGAAAAAGAAGAGAGAGAGTCAAGAATGCTAGAAAGCCTAAAAAAACAACGTACCTACGGAACGGCTGCCAACAATGGCCACCTTCCGTTGCTTCGATGGCGACGGCATTTATGGGGGAAGCGTAGCGTAACTTGGAATTATCGTGTACTGCAGTCAGGTATTAACTCTAGGTATTAGGTACCTCACATGAGCATTGGCAGGTAATAAGCCTGCCGCATTACACGTTGGGGATCGTCCGGGGGCGTGCGCGGCGTGGGAGGGGAAAAGATAAGGACGACGGACGAGGGGGATAATAAAGTGCAAATAAATCCCGTGCGCGAGGGTAATTAGGTATGGTATGGTATTTTGGTACGTGCGTCTCGCGCGCTTTTTTTGTATTATGTTTTTGTGTATTTTGATGTATTGGTGTATTGGCGTAGGTTAAGTATTGTGTATTGTGTATTGTGTATTGGTGTAATTGTGTAATTGTGACCGGCGTTGTCCGCGGGTTATGTCGTACGTATTATGTTTTAAGGTTGGTTTTATTTTGTGCTAAGTTTGGCGCGGGATGAGAGCATACCTTAGGTAGGTAGGTACCTTCTTTCTTTTTCTTTTTCTTTTTCTTCTACTTCTTCTTCTTTTAATATCGTTAGAGCTCGCTTTTAACCGCTCTTCGATCAGGCACGCATTTGCACTTTTATGACGTGCATATGTTACCCAATATCGCGTCGTAAAGATTAAGGACCATTGGGCTATGAGGTCAGAGTAAGAGATGTGAGGGAGGGGCTTTAAGCCTTAAGGGCTTTTCCTCCTTGTTTGTTACATTGGGAACGAGCTGATCGCTTCAGGGACCACCTTCGATTTGCTGCTACCTTGGAATTTCTGGGGACTCTGGAACTCTGGAACGCTGGAACGCTAGGACTCTGTTGGGCGCTGGCAGCCTGGCAATAGACCAAGAGCTCTAAAACTTACAACACGCCGACGTAGGCGGGGTACAATACTTCTTTAGTAGGTACCTACCTTAGCTAGGCACTTACTAATGTAGGCACAAACGCCACCGTACAATTACGGGCATAGGTGCCTAGTATACGAAGTACTTGCATGTGCTACTGCCCATACCTAAAGGCTAAAGTCTCCCGTAAGTACCATTCGAACGGGTACCTACTGAGGGTAGCCACATCGGCATACCGGTTACCTAACCAAGGTTCCCCTGTGGCATCTGCACTTAGTTAGGTAGCTGCCTTATATCAACACGAATTGTATCAAAGTTCCTATTAATAACTATGCCGCTTTGACATAGCGAATAAATCAATAAGGAGGGAGCCCTTGTAATGGAGCCATCGTCGGGTCTCCGGAAGAACGCAGGGCTGGCCCAACTGGTCCAGACTCGGATAAAATACCTATTAAACGCAGTGCCTGAAAATGATTACTAGGGTAAGGTAGCATTTTTGCGGCTCAAGCCTCGTAATAACTGTAAATGGTGTAGGGAATGGATTGCAAAGCAAAGCTGCCTTTAACACTAGATTCCAGAGCCGAGCTCTCCCTCCACTTCAACTCGGTTCTGGCGTACAAAAAGTCCTGGGTATCCTTATCCGCCCTGCCCATCCGTCATCGTCATGCGTTAAGAAATTCATTCAAGGGTATTCGACTTCGTGGTATTTGATTCCGCTCAGAAATCCTTTTCTGTTGGGGCAATGTCAATAAAATCATTACAGGTGTTTGCATCCCCTTTCCTCTTAAGACGCCTAAGTACCAAGATGGTTTAAACCTTTCCTTTCGATAATACGCCTTTTTGTATCCCATGCTAAAATCAAACCTTTCCTACAACAATAAATATTGCGTATATTGTATGCCTTTTGAAGAAACCATGCAATCCATCCAACTTGTTCCGCCAATATCCCCCCAGCTCGGAACTAATCATATATTGCTTGGTCTTCCAATTGGCGTACTAGGTCCTGAAGTCGCTCCATGTAACTACTATGGTCTTGCGGACCATCATCTTCTTCACCTCCGCTCTGCTCAACTTTCTTGTAGTGAGTAATAAACTCACGTAGAGAGTCGAGCAGAGGCGTGATGCTTTTGGCCGAGTGGCTTGACCGTATCTTCTGTCGCACTGGCGGGTGTAGAGCAAGATAGCCTAGCAATACGGACAAGTATCCAAAGGCAACATTCAAATGGCTAGTCTCCATGGAATCGGCCTAGTCTCCTGTTAGTGCAGAACAATGAAATTGTGTTATTTAATGCTCACCTCTGCTGTCCGACGATAGTTCTCTAGGAACAGTCGTATCAATTCGTCAACGGGCCGTTGGTTATCATGATGGCAGTCATCGATGACTTGTCTTACGAGGGGGCTGTTCTCGGAGAAGTTGATCAGAATGCCCAATCGTAAAACTAAGCTGTCTAGGATGCCGTCGACCCAAGCATCCTCGGATAAAGATGCCCAAATACGGGTAAAGTTACTAGATATGGAGTTTGCCAAAGCAGGAATAAGTCCTTTTGATACAAATATTTCCGGCGCTTCTAGGCTATTGTTCGTTAGATTGATGGTGAGCTTCAGTATGGCTTTTTCTAGCGGTTTACTTCCACTTTCTTGAGCTGGAGCATCCGGTACCGCATTTCGAGAAGAAGCGCTAAAGACGTCGGCTACAATGGGTAAATATCGAGTAGTCCAGTCAGCATTTGAACGATGTGATTCGTCAAAGCTGACAGCATAAAAATCAAGAATTGATAGTGTGTTCGCAAGGTCAATGGCTTCTGCTGCTGCTGGATAATCCCAGTGCTCTGCACTTTCAACGGCCTCTGAGAGCACCGTGAACAAAACCTCCATCACAGCTGGAGAGAAGATCGATGGATCTTTAGCTGCATTGATGTTCTGCGTAATAAGTAGATGCAGACATTTAAGGGCGAGGCTTCTTGGTGAGATAAGCGACGGACGAGCTTCGCCCCAGATGGGTAGCTCGTATAGCATAGTCTGAATGGCAATGAGAGAGGTTTGGCTTCTCTTGGACAAGTTGCTCTTCCTATCTCGTGCTATTACCTTGATGTCCCGTGTAACACCAAGGAGAAGAGCAAGAAGGTTCGCAGGTTTGCCAAGCCGGACGAGCTGTTGTGTATGGGAAGATGGCCATTTTGCAAGTATCGTCACAAGGCTTGATAGAATCAGATATCCAGAGATAACATCCGTCTCTGTACCTAGATCTTTGAGCAGTGCTGCTTCAATACCGTGGTCACGGCATTGCCGCATAAATGTCTTATCCTTGATCTTCTCTGCTATCTGAAGCAATGCTGCTCTTCGAGACGATGAAGGCTTGTCGCTTGGAGAACCAATCTGGTCGACCAAGTCTTGCATCGTATCGGCCACTCGAGAATTTTCTCCAGCTTGTCTTAGTTCATGAATATCCCGCAGTTTTGAGTTGGGTGAATTGCTAAGTCCATCTTCGTCATCATCGAGGACTCTCTTAGTATTGGCTGGTTTCTTTGGTGTTCCAAGTTCTAAGCGTCTGCCCTTCAAAGGAACTGACATCTCGGGTAAAGCAAGACTCTCTAGTAAATCGACCTCCTCTTCTAGCACTTTTCTACCTTGGCCATATGTAAACTTGAGTGCACTGCTAGAGCGAGTGAAAGTTCTGGTGCTAGTTGCTTGCGTTGCTGCAGGTTTACGATTTGGAGTTTGAGGTAAAGATTGTGAGTCTGCCATTGAGACGTCACTAATTTGGCGGTTTAAAGTCAGTTGGCTTGACTCCTCTTGGCTTTCCAATGTCTCTTCAACAGTCTCGCCCTTATCGTCCTTCCTCTGTTCAACCAGTGTGTCAATTATTCGCTTTCTTCGCTTCTTAGCGCCACTGTCTGGAACAGATTGAGGGGTTGACTGTGCTTCATTGTCCGCTCTATCTGACAACAGACTTGGCACCTTTGGTTTCGGAATGTTTTCGCGGGCGAAGCGGAGAGGTATGCGCTGCTGAACAATATCCTGCTTTACCTTCCCCATCATAGTTGCATCTGAAGTCGAACCTGATGAAGCCCTGACGATAGTGGTTTTGGCCGGTCTTGAACCCTTTGGTAATGTGGGGGTCGGCGGCGGACTTGATAGTTTCGGTTCGGCTGTGTCAGTATCCATAGGTTCTAATGGAGTTGGGCGAGTGCGTTGTCGTTGTCGTGAGGTGGGGAGTACAGTTTGGCGGGGACCGGCAGATGTGGAAATAGACGTATATGGGTGTGGCCGACGTCGTACGTGATCAGGGGAAACATCCCGCTGGCCAGTCTGGTAGGATTCCTGTGCTCGGCCCTTAGACGCGTACACCTGGGATATCTTACGTTTCCGATCAGATATTTGGGTGTTATCTCGTGAGCTATTTTGTTTCGGTTTTATGTCGATCGATGCATCAAGGCCCCTCGATGTTGGGGAAGAAGGATCGCGTAGTGGAGATGAAAGTAGCGTAGGTCGACGGCGCGTTACGGTGGCCTTGTGCTTCGGGACGGAATCATCCTCTGGTATAGGCGGAAAATCGCTGGGAGTAACGAGCGGCTTGGATTGTCTTTTACGAACAGCCTTTCCATACGTCGTGAGCCCTTTCTTTCGGGGAGCGCCAAAATCCTGCCTCGTTGACATGGTGGCTCCTAATTAAAGACGTTCGAAGAGGTGGAAATGTCAATGGCAGACAATGATCATTCATTTATTGAAATAATATATTATTGAACGTGGAGGGTATAATACGTGAGTAGTAGTAGGAGTAGTAGTAGTAGTAGAGAGCTGTGAGACGCGCTCGTGGTAGCCTTGCATCAGATTACTGTGAGTAATGGTGAGCGACGAATTATTAGTGAGGGTGGAACGATAAATAGGAAGGATTGAGGAGCTGATTTGATATTGTTAAAGCGAGTGAGTGGGCGGGCGGGTGGTTGGACAAGGAAGCGCAACGAAAAATGTGAAGAGAGTACAGCTGAATGAAAATGAATACACCAAAATTCACAACCCTCCCAACAAATTGAACGAGTAAGGCATTTAAAGCCGTGACTCCTTAGGAGGCGCCTGCAATATTTGTTACGTCGGTCTTGCCTTGTTTGTTATTTGTTAGGTAATGACGGAAGCATCCATCCCATCATATAAAAGTTACTAAAAAGTTCAGTTGAAAATACGGCTCTTTGTCGACTTGGTCCGGTTAGTCGGTACCTATCATGTACCTCCTATCTCTATTAATTAAGCTGCTGAGCAGCGAGCTGAAGCCCGATGAATCAGGGTAGCCGTTCCGGGCACTGCATAAGCCAGATAAGAGATGTGCTGATGTGCCCGTATTGTACAGGCGGGGTGCACTACTTTTGTGCCAAGAAAAACTCCAGATTCCCTATTAGGGCTTATCACACTTCTTGTTATTCGTTTTTTTTTTACAAATCAGCCCCACGAGCCTCGACTTATGCTTAATGCTATCGTTTTATTAGATACCGTACCTCTATTTAGAGCATCTTCGATTATACCTACCTAGGTAGGTATTGATTGGAATTTGGCTTTCCTACCTAAGTTAATCTTTCTCTCACGTTATACTATATGCTGGCTAAATATCAGGGTTGTCACTTTAGTTTTATTTTTAGTCACTTGACTTATAAACTCTTGGAGTATCTCGGCCTCTCCTCAATATCTCTCTCATATCTCTCTCCCTCGACGCAGAACATTCTGCGTATACCCATCGTAGATAAACAAGGAACCTACCGGCGCCCTTCCTGACCGCTTGAGCTGTGTGGTGTTGATTTCATTCTTCGAGTAGGATTTTATCCCTAAAGTGTCTGTGAAGCTTCATATCTTCCAGATATCGTACAAGCGTTGCGGGGCTTCATACACTCTGAAAAACTCACCTAACTAAAAGATATAGAATGGCTTCTGAATCTGAAAACCGCCCTCAAGTCGGCCCCGTGCAGTATGTAGGGCCACACTACCGCTCACCCAGCCAGAATCCCATCGCCACTGTCTCGACGGCGGTAGAACATGATAATGTTATCACATTGCCTCAGACACCACAGCTCATCGCATTACTCACGTGAGTAGCTTCCTTATTATTAGTCGATACGGACATTTTATAGTATATTTAAGGGATTCAATAGTTCAAGGACTAATTCAAAGATAGGAAGATTCGTGATAAAAAGACGGAGCGAGCTGACTTTATTTTCTACTCAAACCGAATTATTCGACTACTTGTCGAGGAGGGGTTAAACCATCTACCGGTTGTTGAGCACACTGTAACTACTCCTGTCGGTCGCACCTATTCGGGACTCATGTTCCAGGGGAAGATCTGTGGCGTGTCTATTATGAGGGCTGGTGAAGCTATGGAACAAGGTCTTCGAGACTGCTGTAGATCAGTTAGGATCGGCAAGATTCTGATCCAACGAGACGAAGAGACGGCAAAGCCCAGGTTATTTTACGATAAATTGCCCGAAGATATTGCTGATAGATGGGTCCTGCTACTTGATCCGATGTTTGCAACAGGTCAGACTGCTTGCTATTTATATCACATTACTTACTCCCCAGAGGCTAACTTAAGTCCTGATGCTCTAGGTGGATCTGCCATCATGGCTGTCGAAGTCTTAAAATCCCGTGGTGTCCCAGAAGAGAGGATTCTTTTCCTCAACTTGATTGCTAGTCCAGAGGGAGTCCAAAACTTTGCTACCAAGTTCCCCAAGCTTCGAGTCGTCACAGCATTCATTGACCAGGTAAGCAATATATATATATATATATATATCTCTCTCTCAATCTTCCGATTTACCCAACTGCTGATACTAATTCTGATAATCTGTAGGGTCTTGACGAGAAGAAGTATGTTGACACTCTCTACTATGGAAACCTTCACTGACTTTTTTTTCAGTTACATCATCCCAGGCCTTGGTGACTTCGGGGATCGGTTCTACACCATGTAACGCGGAGTGATAATCGTAACTACAAACTTTGGAACATAAGAGTAGGTAGGATTCAGCGTTGATTAGTAGCATATATCATTACTCAGAACCTATCTTGATTCCCCTCCTTCTGTAAAAAAGTATGGGCGACAAGTACCACGGCAGGTGGTATAGTCTATGGAGAATAAACGCATAGACAGATAGGGTATTGGAGGTAGTAACAGCATGCCATATGATGCAGTCATTGCCACTGCCCCTTTATTTTTATATCGTCGATCTGATAAAGCAAACCCGGATGCACCATGAGAGGTATCATATCATAACTGCTTAAAACTCCTCGTCGTCTCCCACAATACCTTCTCCCTCGTATCTGCGGTCGTCTTCGTCGTCGTCATAGCGACCAGCTGCTGACTGTTTTGAGGCTACTCGATAACCTGAGCCTGAGCCTGAGCCTGAGGCAGCAGCAGCATTATCGTCTTTCGCAACAGCATCTAGAGCCACATAAGTAAGGTATGTTAGGAATGATATGTTAGTTTGGATTCCACATACCTGCTGCATCAATCCATTCGCTGTAGACATCGACAGGTGCTGAAAGATCTATTTCATGGTCAATATCTAATCTGTCTGTATCTGCATCGGCCTATTTGATTCGGGTTTGCTTACAGTTGATACCGCATTGGAACCTCTGGCCACAAACTTTGCATTCCAATTCACCGACGCCGGACTTCTTGTTCATTTCGACTGTGACAGACCGTTCGTGGTTACAGAATAAGCATGTGAAGATGGTAGGCAGGGGATCGTTCTTCTTTTTGCCCTGAGGCTTTCGCGAACTCTTCTTGCGCTTTCCCTATAACGGCCATCTATATTAGTGCCTATTCAATTATTACAATTGTGTTGTTTGATGTAGAGGATGATTTACCATGGTGAACAGAAATGCGACACAGCTAAGGGTGTCGCGAGACTGTTCGGAATAAGGGTTGTTGCTGATTTGTGTTAGAAGGTGGATCAGTTACGATGTGATGTATGTACGGAGAAAGGCTGAACTTGATGAAATGTGCTATGGAGTCTGGACTGATTTGATCGGGGTCTACCTATTGTTCGGGTTTGTAAGGAATGACGTACGTCCGGAGTCGCGTTAAAGGAACAGTGCGCGTCTCAACAGTTAGTGCAAGGTTGTTCGAATTTTTTTACCAAGTCTACTTAGGTACCTTAGGTATTATGTAATGCTTGCAGTAAATAGAGTAAGTTTTCACCACTAACAAAGCTCTTTCCACTGGCTTTTATACAAAGTATTTCAACCAAAAAACGCATATGAATTGAAGTATTGTGTTAGATGTGTTAGGTACGTACCTACATATGTTCATGTAGCACAAGATTGTTCAAAGTTCAAACTCTCATCTCTTGGATAAAACCCAGGCTGCCAGGCTCCCTTATCGGTTTTATAACAAAGCTAGCAAATGAGTTAAGCCAAGTTAGGTACAGTCTGTGGATATCCTGGGTACCTAGGTACCTAATAAGGCGGGGTTGCTTTATCGCATTTATACATCTGGTATAAATCATAAAATCCTACTACATCCGTTAGATAAGACGAATTTCCAACAATATCCTAACCTTACTTTGAAGGACTGGACGCTCACAGCAGATGCAGGTACGAACTAGTGGGGATTATGACTAGCCTAGTGGATTGTTGCTATACCTGTACCTAATTAAGCAGTCAGCTGCCCTTGGGCACCTTATCAGGAGGGAGCTTCCCATCCGTACACCTACATATATGGCTACATGTATAGGTAGCTGCATGTATAGCTACATGTACGTATACTTGGCTGCTTGGTCTTGTTCCACCTCATCCGGGCCAAAGTTATGTCTACCAAATTGTAGGTTCTTCGTACCGTATACTTTCGTAGAAGGTTAGCCTGTTAGGCGCTGTCAGGTCTTAACTCCAGTCTTTCATACCGCTACATTGTTAGGTATCAGCCCAATATCTTTACATAGTATGTAACTTCGTGTGCTTTTAAACTTGCAATAACTTACCTAAACCCCATTACTTCATAGTAGAAGCCTATCATTGATCTGTCATATTTCCTATTTATCTATCTGCCTCTTTTTACCTATAACTAACCCCCTACTCCTTATTCTTCACAATTTGAGTTCACTCGTCAAATTTTGATAATGGCGGACTCGGGCACGAATAGCTCTGTGAGCATGACCGATGTCCTTGAGGCCCTAAAGGGTATTCAGGAGAACCAGGCCAAATTAGCATCAGAAGTCGAGTCTGTCTCCCTTCGACTTGATACACTTGCTCCCCCCATCCAAGTACCGAGTCTCGATAATGGTAAACTATCAGCTCTCTCCGCTGGGGCCTCAGCATCACCGATCCGGACAACTTTAGCAGCTGACGAACCCGACTCGGGCGATACCTCACCTACAACAAAAAAAGATGCAGCTCAAGCACAACGCTCGGGGTTCACGTCTCGAATTATACTTACGTAAGTCATAACATCACATAACACTCTAAATATTTCTGTATTGACGGTTAGCTAGTACTTATCCCAAGCAGATTGGTATTAATCCACTTCCCCTTCAATGGGGAGCCCCAGATGCTCTCACTCGCGGCCCAGTGGTTGTATCTAGGTCGTCGTCCACAATTCGAAGGCGTAATGGTAAGTAGAAGGCTCCTTACAGGCTTTGTCAGTTACTAACCACTTTCTAGCTATCGGAGGTAAGTTTTGGCCTACTGTTAAGCCGTCTGAAACCTCATATAACTCGATGATATAGCCCACGGCGGTTCCTATTCCATCTACTACGCTCTTGCACTCGCCAGCAAGCAGCTTAACGCCAACCATAGGTATGGTTATGCTAAGTATTGTTCACGGAACCTGTAATGCCTAACTCACCACTCTCACCACAGACCAGATTTCACCAACACCGAACCAGCAGCCAATATCGGGCCCTTTCCTCAGTGGGGTGATGAGAAAAAGATTGTGGCCATGGACCCCTGGGGTCACTTAGCTCCGTGGCTGTTTGCTGACACGATAGAAAAGGAAAATGGTAGCTAAAAACCTTGGGAGCCAGCAATCTATATATTGAACAAGCTAACAAGTGATTTACAGTTGATATTCGTCCCACAATCGCGATAACTAAAGCTCATATGAAGGTGAGCAATTTAAGCCTTGTAGTTTCGTGGACCATGCTGATTTGAACTAGCTTCCGGAACTAGAGGAGAGCGTTCGAAGTGGTAGACTGTATGTCCTTATTTAGTCTCATATGACTATAAAGCGATAAGATTAACCTATTACCAGTGTCCCCGATGGAAAGGTCTGCCTGAATGCCCAGGGTGAGCTTGCAGTGACTAAGTTCGCAGTCGAACCGGTAAGAATATTCAGGTCGCAAATTTACCGAAGGACCGTACTGACTGTGGTAGGTGTGGTATCTCCCTGGAGTAGCCGAAAGATTTGGCATAGGTACGTATTTAAAGCTCAGCGTCCATAGTATAAGCTGTGGCTAAACCGGATAGACGAGGGAGTTCTAAGGCGCTCACTATTTGAGCACACTGGTGGTAGTTATCCTGAAGTAAGCGCCCTTCACGCTATTGAGAACCAGCTTATATCTAATCACTGCATACATAGCTCATCACCCGAGGCGACATTAAGGTCTTCTTACCTCCAATCGGTAAGTCGGGTCCTACCGGGTCCTACCCAATGTACACGCCAACCGATGATACTAATGTTTTATAGGCGGGCTAACTGTATATTGCTTCGGGGACCCGGCGAAGATGTCTGACGAAAAGTGCAGACTAGCCTTGCGTATTCACGATGAGGTAATTTGCCGTACCGTGACTATTGGCTCAAGAGATTACTGGCTTACAGAGCATGCAGTGCAACGGTAGTGATGTGTTTGGCTCCGATATCTGTACTTGCAGACCCTATCTTATCTTCGGCATCGAAGAAGCCGTCAAGGAAGCACAGAATGGCGGTAGCGGCGTGGTCATCTACTTCAGAAAAGAAGGACGTGCTTTAGGTGAAGTAACTAAGGTATTGCAACACGTCCCCGGTTTCTAGCTGTTTTGTGTACTGACTTCTCCGTAGTACCGTAAGTCTAGATGTTTCCTAACCGCTTGGCTGAAGCTTAATCGCATGTAATAGTTGTATACAACGCCAGAAAACGAGGAGAAGACCGTGCCTCAGACTATTTCAAGAGGACCGAAAATGTCGCCGGAGTTAAAGACATGCGTTTCCAGGCCCTGATGCCTGATATACTCCATTGGCTCGGCATAAAGAAGATCGATAGAATGCTGAGCATGAGCAAGTAAGTTACCCGATTATAAATGGTGGAGGTTAGATCTAACGCTAGGGGCGCCACAACGTAGTATGAAGTACGATGCCATCGTTGGCCAGGGGTAAGTCGATTCTGTATGCGGCATACCAAGGTAGGCGTGTCTAACCAAGTATAGTATCCCTATCCATGAGCGGGTAGAACTCCCCGAGGAATTAATCCCCGCAGATTCACGAGTTGAGATAGATGCCAAGATTACTGCCGGTAAGCTCGTACCCCTGACGGACCTACCGAACCCAGGAGGGTAGCTGACGGCTCGTAGGATATTTCACGAACGGCAACAGGATGACGGCCGAAGAATTGAAAGCCGTTCAGGGACGGATGTGGGACGAGTGAGTACCATCCGACCTGTTGATCTGTTGATCCCTTGGTTTCCGCATTATTGACAATTGCAGCATCGATCACTAAGTACTCCAACTGAGCTGGCTCTGGCTTGCCCTTTACAACCGGCGTAGGAGTTAGTTAAAACTACGTACCTACCTAGGTGCCTACCTGTTATACTAGGTAGTCACTAAATGAAAAACCTGAAATGGCCCAGAATCCCCGCTTCTACGATTGCCACGCGTGAGACTAATGTATGAGACTCCAAGAGAAGTGTGCTATTTGTGCGCTTCGGTCCTTGTGACTGCAGTGGCATCTGTAGTATCTTACAATGTGTGACAGCGATCCAATTGAAGCATGTCCAAGCGGCAGGAATTCAACAGAACTTAGGTCGTAGTACGTCGTAGTACGTCAGCTTTACCAGATTATTTGTTGTGCGGTATAAAAGGGCATCTTGCAGCTTCTGTTGACAGGTTCGTCTACCTCAGCCTTAGAAGGCATGCTGTGGGTTGTGAGCACGATGAGATGCATACCTAAGGTTAGAGAGAGGGGCCGGCTAAGGTCTAAGTGGACTGGAATTATGGGTTGATCATTGGTGCCTATGGACTATCCAGGATTACCTATACAAGGCACAATGGACAATGGGCAAGAGGCAAGGGAAGGGGCACAAATGGAGGGGTGTGGAATAAAGGTGTGGAATAAAAAGGTACTGTACAGGGGAAATATATCACGGAATTCGCGTTACGCTCTCGCTGACATCCTTTCTACGTATCATTATAGTGAAGCTGACAATGCCCTTTCTTATGCCCTCTTCTGCTTCCAGGCTTCGTAGCCACTTGAAACCTGTCGCGTCTAGTAAAAAATGGGGACTGGGTTACTGAAAAAAATGCAAGGATGGGTTGCAGATTTGTTAAGAGATACTAGTAAACCCGAAGAAGCTTCACGAGTGGTTCAGTCGTCGACCAAGTCTCTCCACTCCACCTCTCCTACTGGTGCAGGACGGCCCAACATGGCTGCAGGCCGTCTGCGCCCAAACCACCCAGACCAACGGAGACCATACAGCTGCCACCACATACGAAATGTCTCCATTCTGATCCATTCTGCTGACTTTCCCCATTTCGCGAGTGACATGTGGCATTGCCCGCAACCGACCGTCTGGGGATGGTCGTTCCACAACAGCCGGTAGAGCGATTGGTCTTAGCGGGCCCTTTTTCGCCTTACTGCCTGGCACTGGGCGGGTTTGGTCTTTAAACGGTTGAGATATCCCATTCAAAGATGAGCGGGGGGTAACGGAAGAGAGCTTTGGTCCTCAAAAAAGCCTGCATCTTTTTTTTCAAACCAGAAAAGAAAACTACTGCTTGCCACACTCGTATTACATACATACATACATACCTCATACCTACATGCAAGCTTAAGAAACTTGAGCTCAACTAAAAGCTCCATTCCGTATTCGACATACTCCATACATACCTCATAGGTATCCTTCCCAAAAAGAATCACACAATCGCAACAATCAGCTAGCTAGCTTGCTTGTCTCACTTCGGCTTCGACTTTCGACTTCGGCTTAGCTCATCTTCGAAAACAAGAAGAACAAAGGAAGAAAAGAAAAGAAGGGAAAAAAAAAGAGAGGAAAAAGAAAGGAAAGAGAAAAAGAAAAACAACAAGAAAAAACAATGGCCACCTCTAGATACTCGCCCGACCTCCTCCCGCGGCGGGAATCCTCTCCCCGGCCGAAGAACGTCTCGGCGGCGGAGAGGCGGCGACCACGGCTGCTGAGGGCGTGCGCGACGGAGCCGTCGATCACCACGTCGAACGCGTGCAAGGGCCTGCTGACGAGCCCGAACAACACCGGGAGCCGCCGGGCGACGGACCTGCTGAACCGCGTCGCCGTAGTGTGCACCTCCTCTACCTCCTCCAACGCCAACGCCTCGTCGTCGCCGCCCTCGTCCGCCCGCAGCAGCTTCACCCTCGACGCCGCCCCCGGCAACGGCCGCCTGTCGGACTCGGCTCGCGATCCTCGTATGTGGTATACCTTTTATTTATATATTTCCGTCCTTGGTTTAGTTTAGCTTGTGTAGATCGGCCCATCCTAGTAAGGGAGTGAGGGCCGATCATTTCTATTTTCTACTTTTTTTAACCAAAAAAAAGTTATTTCTTTGGTTCCCGTGCTGACCTGTGGAAAAACGAATTCTAGACTCGGTATGCTACTTCAGCTTCCCTAGCTTCGACGCCTGGGAAGTCAGCGAACATCCGGACGAGGAGAAGATGGAACGATCGGCCTAATTACCGTTCATCCTCTTCCTAACCCTCTAATCGGCGACTTTACTTGTTCAAGTTTACTGAACCATCCATCCATCTCACCTACGGCCGTCGCCCCCCCCTCCTTTTCTCGTATTGGAGAGAGGAGAGGAGGGGCGAGCGAATGGCCGGGATCCTGCGGGGTTCCCCGAATTCTCTCTCACACGACACCAGACATAATACGAACTCGTCTCACTATACCCTATCATTTTTTTTTTCCCTTTGTTTATTTTGTTTTCTTATCTTCCCAACAACGCGATTAACGGAAGCGGACGATAAAGCATGACAAGGGGGTCAACAGGCGCCGGGGAGTCGGTATTATTGTTAATCATATTTGCTTGCTTGTCTATCTGTTTGGTTGGTTGGTCGAAACCGGTTGGTTTGGGTTGTTTATTAATTTTTTTTCTTATCATTGTTGTTGTTATATGTTACTGTTATTGTTAAACGGGTTTTTTACCTCGCAAGGGCTAGGGTTACCAAGGATATACCTAATGTATCATCAGGACCTGACGGTGGTTTGGTTAATGGTGGTGATAATGGTATTGGGAAACAAAGGCGCTCGGGAAAAAAACTTTTTTTTTGGTGAGATTCTTTTGGATACAGAACAGGGAGAGGAAGAGAGAGAAGCAAGAGAGAAGATTTAATGGATTGCGAGATCTACACATAACTGGGTTGTGAGAGTATACGAAAGGGAATGTCGAAAGGGAATGTAAAATGGGATACCCCGTTGGGAAGAAAGGCAAGCGGACTGGAAAGGACAGAAACAGTACACAAGAGAGATAAAAAAGTTAGATTTCCCCTTTGGCTGGGTTCTAGCTCGCCTGTTATATCCTAACTTAATTTACAATAACTATACAAATAACTGTTCTAGAAGTTGAGCAGGCCGTGGATTAACAATTGCTTAGGTACCTAAGATATAGTTAATATCTTGGGAGGTAAGAAGCTTTGGTATGGTGAAATAATTAGAAGCATCAATTTGGATCTAAATAATTAATCAAAGTGCTAGATGGGTAGAATAAATTACACAGTAGAAGAGGTATGTTGTGTGTTTACGTTGTTTATTAATAAAACTTCAAGGTTGAAACTTGAAAGATCTTAGTGAAGGAGAATGTCTCATGCACTAAATTGACCTGATTATCCAATATCACCGGATACAACCATAGCTCCATGGTAGTATGCGCTTCAAGAGAGTTATGAATTTAGGAAAGTTCATCCCTCGAGGGATCAGACCCTAATAAAAGTACGTACCCTTTTTTCGCTAGCGCTACCTAGCGGGCACCTGAAAAATCATTTGCTTATCAAAGACAAAAAAAAAACCACGTGACCCTGCCACATTCCCTCAATTTTCGCGCACAAACAAGAAATTTTGGCTGGACTAGAATTCACAGCCAGATCCATCCACCACCCAACACCAAAAGCTTCTTTTCAACACATCTTCAACATCGTCCTGAATTGCGAGCCCACATTGACCTCTCGCAAACATGGCGGTTGGAAAGTGAGTAAATTGCATTTCCATTAGATATCTACCTTAACATCTGCGATTCCTGCGCTTCTCGACTCCCGCACCCTTATCTCTCTCTCTTTGCAACTCCTCGCCTAAAATAAAATCAAGAAATCCAGTTGCTAATCATTGGCTCGCTATAGGAACAAGAGATTGTCCAAGGGCAAGAAGGGCCTGAAGAAGAAGGCCCAGGACCCTTTCGCACGAAAGGACTGGTACTCCATCAAGGTAAAGCGAATCTTCTGTTCAATGATTGATTTCATATGGAATTTGTTGAAGACTGACTTGAAATTATTTCTAGGCCCCTGCTCCTTTCAACATCCGAGAGTACGAAATCTTCACCCCGATGCGCCTGAACTGCTTAAATATCTAACTGCGATGCTTAGTGTCGGTAAGACTCTCGTCAACCGAACCACCGGTCTCAAGAACGCGAACGACGCCCTCAAGGGCCGAATCTTCGAGGTTTCCCTAGCCGATCTCCAGAAGGACGAGGACCACGCGTTCCGAAAGGTCAAGCTACGCGTCGACGAGGTTCAGGGCAAGAACTGCCTGACTAACTTTCACGGTCTTGACTTCACCTCCGACAAGCTACGATCGCTAGTTCGAAAGTGGCAGAGTCTGATCGAGGCCAACGTCACGGTCAAGACTACCGATGACTACCTCCTCCGTCTCTTCGCCATCGCCTTTACCAAGCGACGGCCCAACCAGATCAAGAAGACCACCTACGCCGCTTCATCCCAGATCCGTGCCATCCGAAAGAAGATGGTCGAGATCATCCAGCGAGAGGCTGCCACCTGCACTCTGCAACAACTGACCTCCAAGTTGATCCCCGAGGTCATCGGCCGTGAGATTGAGAAGGCCACCCAAGGAATCTACCCCCTCCAGAACGTACGTATTCAAGTCTAAAATAGAGCCCTATAGCTCGTCGTTTTGGAATTTGCCACAGTAAAAAAAGGAAGAAGAAAAAAAGAAGACTAACAAAACTTGCTATATAGGTCCACATCCGCAAGGTCAAGCTCCTTAAGTCGCCCAAGTTCGACCTTGGTGCCCTCATGAACCTGCACGGAGAGTCCACGACGAATGAGGAGGGTCAGAAGATTGAGCGGGAGTTCAAGGAACGAGTCCTTGAGGAAGTCTAATTACGATGAACTCTGAACTCTGGTCATGGAACGGCGTGGGTTTTTTGTGCAATGGCAATAGGTCTCACTTCTGATTGCATTCGGCGCGGCAGGATAGCCGCGGTTACAGCAGGCCCCTCAGGGACAGATAAAATGAGAAAGGTTTAGCTGACGACTGGATGGTTCCATTACGTGATGCTGTTCTTTTTTTCTGTTCTTTTTTTTTTAACGTGAATATGAAAAGAAGAAAAAAAAAACAAGTGGCCTCCTGTGTTCTAGCAGTCAGATTCAACTATCCGCGATGTACCGATGGTCTAAGGGATCAGTAGTTAACAGTGCCCGTAAGTGAAGATACCAATACCATCACAATAATCCTCATGGCAATGATGCTCTCGTGCGTTCTCTCTCCTCTCTCCTGAGATAGTAGGCTTGTGATAATTTCGGGAGTCTGTCTGATAGGCCATACCCGCTCAAATATATAACTCCAACTCCCTAGTGATAGGTATTCCTGCACTCTAATACCTTGCATAACCTAGACAAGTCACTTCAGAAGCAAGTCTCCCTATCCATCATCCATCGTACTTGGATACGCATATACCTAGGTACATAAGGTACCTAGGCAGATGGGTAGAGGTAGGTATGATTTTTCACGTCTACCTAAGGTGTAGAGGATTTATAGTGTCTAATTATGTAGGTAGAGGGCCACTTTTTGATCACGTCCTGGCGCAACCGTATCAACGGAGGTAGATATACCAAAACGCTATGCTTCGCAAATTCTTCCCCCCCCTTTTTTTTTTCACGATTGGATTTAGTACTCGGAGTAACACTTTAGAGAAGTGTTATCGTAGAATGATGGCTTTTTTTTGATTCTTTCTTCTAGAGTTGGGCGGGTTGTGTGATAAGAGGCAGGTTAGGTTAGGTTAGGTTATGTAGATACCTGCCATTTTGATAGTGGCATGGGAGGTGGTGGTACCTTAAGAAGGAGTAGGGACCGTACCGCTTAGGTAGCTATCGATTATAAGTTATTTATTTCAATCAATGTGCCTAATATGACTGAATGGTGTAGTGTCTAGTAACTTGGGGCTTTGATTCTGTTGAACGACGGTACTTGGAAGTCGACGGCAGTGTTCTAGATGATGTCTACCTAACCTAACCTAGAATAACCACGTGCCCTTGTAGAGGCAACGAAGCTGTTTCCATGCTCTTTGGTCCCAGCTCATGGGCAGTTGAAGCGGCTTCGTCATGTTGGGTACCTGGGGTTTAACCCCTTTTCTTGCGTTGTTCTAACTTCTAACACCGTGCAAGGTACCTACCCGTGTGTTGAGTTGCGGTTTAGTAGCTCGACATAAGTACGGCATAGTTTTAACATCTCGTCGTGCATAAATCAATTGATATAATAGCAGAAAGGAGATTCTCAAAATCACAGGAGAAAAAAAAAAGCATCATGACGCAGCTACACACACCTAGTATCCTAGACGCCAAACCGAAAGTCCCACGCGATGTTCGTTTGTTCGTTTGTCCCCAACATACGGAAACCCAATAACGACATCTCAACTCGAGAAAGAGGCCAAAATAAGCGCCAGTAAACTTGTTACGTCCCCCTCGAATGCGCTGCATAGCTTGAACGGCTGGATGAGCATCGGTTTGACCTGGGCACTGGGGATGGCTTTGAACTGCCCAAGGGCCCAGCGTGAGTATCCGTCATCTCATCAGACTTGCCGCAGGTAGACCCAAGGAATCCTTATGTACCATCACTCGATAATAGCCCCGTTTTTGTCAAGGAAGCGCCATCCGATTTTTCTTTCTGCAAGGTATTCTTCGAGGTTATGTATCTCTCCACACTGGATTGACCCGCACAAAGTGCCCTCGCCAATCTTATCGAGCTCTTGACGCGCTTCCTGGGCTAGGTCTTTGAATTTATCACCATGTAGGAACTGCATTAGGAGACCGAGTAGCCGTTTCGTCTCGCTTTCCGGGCAACAAAGATACTTTGGGTCGTTCCCCCTATATGCAGGGTTCTTTATCAGGGCTATACAAGATGTAGCACTGTTCGAAGGTTTCCCTGGCGATCGATGAAGTATCTCATCCTCAGACATTTGCAACCCTCCCTTAAGGACACGCTTAGAGTATGTCTCAATGAAGGAAGCTAGATCTAAATCCAATATGACATGGGAAGGCATAAAGTCACGAGGATCCCAAGCTCCAGTATCATTAATATAGAGGTAACTATCCTGGAACACAACAGTAACCGGGATGTGCTCTTGTAGGTTTGGTATGAGTTTGATAGCTTTTTGCAGGTACCCATATAGTGCATTGATGTCTGTCGCCTCCCATTCTACCGTTAAGAGGGCAATTATTATACAGGCAATTGAGCTACAGAACGGTACGCAACTAGACAAACGGAGTAAGCGGGGTGCTTGGTAAATCGCCTGGGTATTTGGGTCTGCACCTAAGTGCAACAAGAACTCCCCAAAAGAATTGAGATTATCAAGATAATCTGATACTTTCCATCTGGAATATGTACATACGTAGTGTAAAACGTAACTGGCTAATGATGATGGGTTTTTACTTTTCTTTATGTTCGATTTGATGAAGTCTGCGAATCTGGAACGAGCTGCAATTGCCAAGAAGTGAGGCCTACTGTATTTTAGGTCAAAATACCCATCATCGTATAAATGCCACGTATCGATTAGACTTTTTTCGATTTCTGGTGGGGGGATAGTGCTTGGCAGCATCGACAATTCATCAATGATGTGCACAGGAGAGTGGTACCTGGAGAGCCCAAGCCTAGCCGTAATCAAACAGCCCTTAATCAATTTGAAGGGTAGCTCATGATGAGGGGATGAGTCGTACGCAAGAATAGCACGACCTCCTTCAGTATCTGTGAGGAAATCGTAGGCTGTCCGGTGAGCGAATCCTACCGACATATTCACATACGGCTGAAAGGGTCCATCGTCGTTATCCTTCATCATCCTCATATCTATCTCCAAAAGGCCAATACACTGAGTTCGGATTTCACCGAGGGTTTTCTTGCACTCCTGTATTAAAGAAGCTTCGTCTATAGTATATCTTGCTCGGAATGTACGTTGAAGTTGATCATTTGTTGCAGTCACTAGGTCAAGGAGGCTGAATCGGTCATAGACATAGAGTTTTTCCATTTTTTGTGCAGTGATGGTGGCATTTAAATATCTGGCGGCAGTTTTTCGGTATGCTTTCGTATTTTTGTTTACTCGGTTCCATATGTCCTCATAGAGTTTGTTTAGGTCGTCAGGAAATTCTTCAAGTCTTTCGCGTAGTGTCTCCTCTGAATCGTGGTTTTTCAGTCCACGAACCAGGCTGTCGGATGCTAAATGAAGCCAGAGAAAGACGCCTTTCGCCTTGTAGACAAGTGTGTCAATGATATCTGACCCGAAGTCTCTCGTTATCTGGCCTTTAGAAACATATGGCTCTATCTTTCCAGATGCATATATTTCCATGTCACTGTAAGTTAGGTCTTGCAATTTTAGGTGTGGATATTTGGAAAAGGCAGACTCGAGGTCTCTCTCTGGCCGGCTGGCTACGCATAGTTTGGTATTAGGAAGTCTCCTAAGATTTTCTACCAGCTCCATAAGCGAAGAGCGATCTTCTTGGCATATTTCATCTAGGCCATCGAGGAATATGCAAGCTGGAGATGGATAGTCACGCAACATTGCGAAACATACATCTTCAAGCTCCTTAGACGACCAATCATGAATAGATTTCTTAGCTAATAATGACTCGTGGATGGTCAGTATTGAGTCTAAGGAAGCCGTGTCGAGTTCAATGGCTTGATAAAGAATGGAAGATAGGCATCCCTTGATGTTTCTCTGCAATTCCTCAGTCCCGGCTTTCCAGAATAAGTGGGAGAATATCACAGGACGCTCGACCCCCTTGGTCCTTTCAGTCCAAATAGCTAATGCTTTCTTCGTGAGATCGTTTCCCATGAGGTACTTCATTAACGTGGTCTTCCCGGATCCAGGCTTGCCACTGATCCAGTAAATGGCATCGTCAGACTCAAGCCAGGCCTCGAAATCATTCCATCGCTTATTGGCTAGGTCGTTAGACTTATCCTCGGCATCGTCTGTACGGAAAATCCATTGGAAAGTTTCGGGATATGAATCGGGGGAGTCATTTTTCCTCTTATTCATGCTCTGGAAATAGAGACTTTCCAGGACCTGGGCTTGCTTCTTCTGCATCACTGACTCGACTGATCTTCTAGTGATCTCTTTTCCTGCTCGGCGTCTTAGGGTGTTTGGTCCCTCCTTCAAGATGAATTGTATGGCTTCTTTGACCTGTTTGAAATCAGGGCAGTCGTTTCCCTGGAATTTGTTCATCATTACGTGAGGTTTCTCGAGACCCCGACGATCAAAGCCATCAAGACAAGCCGAAGACTGGGTAACGAGCTGTAGACATTAGATTGTGCTCCCTAGTATGGTGGTTTCTAATCTTACTATAGAACCTCGTAGGAACCTGTCCGGAATTCCCCATCGAAAAATCTTCTTTGCAATCTTGGTTTTCCCTGTCTCATAGAAGCAGCGAATGGGAAATCGTGTGAGATCGGCATTGGCGATTTCGGCAAACTTCTGGACACGCTCGGAAACAAACTCATGACGCTGTACCAAGTCCTTAATGAGTTCGCCTGACGCGTCCTTGCCCATGATCCCCTTGACGACAACGAGCCACGACGCAGCGTTGGCAGCACCGGTCCCAGAAAAAGGAGTCGCTAAGAAGACGATACCGATCGTAGACCCAAGTATATGACGGTAATTACTACCCGCCTGGGCTGCACGACAGATAGTCTACGATGATCAGCTCTGCTTTTACGTATTCTCTTATTGTCGACACTCCTCACCTCAGCTAGAATAAGGCCTCCAAAACAAGAGGCGATAAACAGTATAGGTCGACCGGAAGTACCATGTTCACACGATACAAGTGTAAGGAGGCTGTCGGCATGACCCAGCAACGTCTGGACGGGAGCGTTGTTGAATACTTTTGCATTCCAATCATATGTATAAACCCTGGCCTCAGGGGCGGCAGCTGGTAGCATATATCTATCCTCGAGCCAGTTCACGGATGAGCCCCTACCCTTTCCCTTGTAAGTCCATGTTCCCGGCGACTCGGTGTCTAGGCCGTGGATAGCGATGATGCTATTATATCATTTACTATTAGCAGGGTAGGGAAAGAGAGCGTTGGTGCATGTCCGGCGCCGGAGAACATACTCAACAGTAGTGTTATCGGTAGCACCCTCGGGAGGGAAGACCTTCCGAAGCCCACGGCCCGGTTGGTGACTTGTTTCTGCAGAGTGGAAACAGTTTTAGTGCATTGTTGTCTCGAATCTAGTCGATTAGGCTACCTAGGCTAGGTACATATGGAACATACCACCATCAGATCCCATTGTGAGAGGCCCCACAGGTTGACATTCCAGCCTTTGTGGGTGGGGTACGCCGTACGGATACCTGACACTAGGGCGAATAAGGAGAAGAAGACTAAGACGAAGGAGTCTCAGTGTACCAGAACTGAACGTCGATATTCCAGACTAGAAAGATGCTCGATCTTCATATCCCGGGCTACGATGATTGATTCAGGGTTTGAAGATAGGTAATAGATTCAAAGACAAAAAGATGTTGTATTGTGTAAGATTTCTAATAAGGCTGGAAGAGCATCAAAAATTGGTGCACCACCATTTCTTGGGCACCATTCATCAGTATTGGCCAGTCGACCTACATAGATAGGTAGGTACCTAATGTAGTATTTGTACCCCGTCTTATACATATTACGTAGTATGTAAAGTGCGGCTGGAAATGCATTAGACTGTAAGAAATAAGGTAGGAATTGCATTTTCGAATGTTGGATAACTGATGATCAAATTTACTCCTTATAGAATCTGTTAAGTTTATTTGTAAATAGTGAATAATTTCGACAAAGTTGGTTTAAAATCTTTTAAAGGTAGCAAAGTAATAACTTAATAAGACGCCGGGTACCTGATTGCTTGTACCTTGTATGACCAAATCAAGCGCTTTGTAATGTGGTAGGTACCTAACATAGATATTGTACAATACAGGAGGTACCTAGGCCTGTATGTATTGTATAATATCTTGGCCAAGGAGCGGTATGGAAGTTAATTTACACTAGTTACCTACATCATAGAGGTAACTTTACTTCCTACCTCCTAGACCTACCACCTAGGCTTCATCTCATCCGAGGCAACCGAATTATTGCTTTTATCGCTTGTTACATTCGCATCTCATACCTACCTACCTAACCTACCTACCCAAACTTACCTATTTCGCTTTAGTTATCTTCTTTAAATCTCGCTATCGCCACTAATATACGAAAGATTACCCCAACTCCTTGGATAATCACCTACCTAAGTTAATTAAGACGCATAGGTAGAAAGATGTCGGAGGATTCGCTACCGGTCCTCAAGATCCTCATCATCGGCCCTTCCGGCGCCGGCAAGTCTGCACGTATGTATGCATACAAATTACATAATTCAAACAAGCCTAAGCCCTATATACCTACCCTCCCGAATGCTTCCCCCCCGGGCGAAGCTTGGTTCCCGCCCTGCAATTACCCGCGGGCGGATACGAGCAACGGATGGGCTTTCTAATGAACTGGGAATATTGATAAGGCTGACGAGATGAAATTACCTCTATCCGGGGATGAGTAGTGCTGTTAAGATGTACGAGTTTTTCCATCTATCCGAATCGATGGCGTCGGCCTTTTTTATTTTTTATTTTTTTTATTAGGTATAATTAATTCTAAGACGACTTGTGTAGATTGCGATGACCAGTTTGACCCGGAGTCGACGACGGCGACCATTGGTATCGATTTCAAGGTGAGTTTTCGGATGATGCCAAGCTTAAGCTGGATCCATCCGCATCGCACGACCACGAGCCCCAGCTGATATCTAACTTACGCGCATTAGATGAAGAAGCTTGCCGTCCGAGGCAAAGGATATAGATTGAATATATTCGATACCGTAAGCACCCCATGCGCATTCCGGTCTTTATTCGCTTTAAAATCTGGTCAACTCTATTATGCGACGTAGCTATCTAACAGCGTCCAAAGGCCGGACAGGAAAGGTTCCGCACCTTGTCGACTAGTTATTACCGCGGTGCCCACGCCGTCATCCTGGTCTACGACATCACGAGCAGGAAGAGCTTCCTCAGCATGGAGAAGTGGATCGACGAGGCGAGATCTAGCGCGTCGCCCGATGCCGTGCTTTACCTGGTATCCATCCCCCCCGTCCATCACTATATGCCCCAACCTACTAGTCCACGTATAATAATGGCTAATCATGGCAATAGGTCGGAAGCAAACTGGACAAGGTGGCTACGGGCGGCCGCGCCGTCTCCTTCGAGGAGGGCAAGGCGTTTGCGGAATCGCAGGGCGCCGGGTTCTGCGAAGTCAGCTCAAAGACGCGGGAGAACGTGCGGCAGCCGTTCGTCGAGGTCGTCGACCGCATCGTCCAACGACCTGAGCTACTCGCCTCAACCGCGCCCGCGTCTAGCAATACGCTGAACCTCGGTGGTCTCGGGTCAAGTTACTCTTCGGCATGCCCTTGTTAAATGATGAAACCTTGGAAATTTTGTCTATTTTCTATATTTTGTTCATCTTCACGCGCGCTGACGAACGCCTAGGCTGGATGCGGTTGGCTATGTACATAATTCTCTTTCTGTCTTGGTCTCTCTCTCCTTTCTCTATATGATATCCCCCCTTGATGCACTGGTACACGTTTATACAAGCAGATATAATATATGCAAAGCCCGTTCTTATATCCCCATTACTTACTTCGCTCTTTCTCTCTTTAAAAAAAAAAATCATTCCTTCGGCGTGAGGAAATCAGTGACCGCTACAGATGGTTATTCTAGTTAGCTCCCGGCCTCCAAAAATGAACAACATACGCAAAGATTCTCAACTCACCTCGAATGAACTTATCCGGCTGCTCGGAGATAACCCAGTGCCCGGCATCGATATCCACGAGCTCGAAGCGGGGGAAGAACTGGCCGATGACCGGGATGACCTCGTCGGGGACGTACGTGCTGCGGGTGCCGCGGACGAACAGGGCGGGCTTCTCGAAGCGGGCCTCCTGCGGGTCCTTGAAGGGGAAGTCGCCGATGTGGCCGAGGGAGCGGGCGAGGATGTCGAGCGGGACGCGGAAGCGGAAGGTCGGGTCGACGGAGCCGTCCTCGGTGTGCGCGTGGTGGAGGTTGGCCAGCAGGAAATGGCGCACCCCGAGGTTCTCCTCGTACTGCTCCAGCATCTTGTCCGCGTCCGACTTCCGCACCACCCCGGCCTCCTCGATCCGCCGCATCGCCTCGATGTACCGCCCGAACGATGTCCCGAGCACCGCGTCCACCGGCGCGTTGTCCACCGACACGATGTCCTTGATCAGCCCCGGCTCTTTCAGGCTGAGTGTCATGGCGGTTTTCGCGCCCCTGGATTTTTGTGGTTGGGCTGTGAGAAAACAGTCGCCTTCTGAGGAAAGGGGGATGGGTGAAGGTGGGCTGCTCACATGGAATGGCCGATTAGAGTGGGTTCCCGTAGGCCGCGGTCGTGGATGAAGGCCGCGACGTCGTCGGCCATGGCGAGGTAATCGTGGCGCGGCGCGTGGCCGCTTTCGCCGTGGTTTCGCAGGTCCTAGACGTAGGGATTACACGGATTAGATAAAGATACAAAAGCAGGCGGATGCTCGGTAATGGACTCACCACCGCGTAGACATGACGCCCGAGAGTGCGGGCCAAGACTCTGAAAGTTTCAATCAAATTAGATACCCATCTCTCCATCTCTCCATCTCTCTCTCTCTTTCTCTGATCTACCTATGCCTAGAACTAGAAATTCTGCGCATGTTCTCTCTCTCGATACATAAGGGGCCGAAAAACCAACTAACTCACTTGCTCACGGTCCTGTTGTTCTTCTTGGAGCCGAATAAGCCATGCATGAATATTATGGGCGACTCTGTCGGGCCGACACGTCCTTTCTGGGGCGTGTGGTGATCGAACGCCAACCGGACGGTCTCGCGCGCAGGGCTGGTGGAGGAATACGGCCGCGATAGTATAGCTCGGAAGGGCAAGCCCAACGGCGAGCGCGGCGAGATTATGCGCCGAGTCGCCATTTTCAACGCTGAGCCGGTTTGGTAGCGTGAGGTCTGTCGCGACCAGTTCTACTGCGCCAGGTGGGAGGGGTTCGAAACGCGTTTGCGATGGGACTCGATGAGAAATTTGGTAGGTTGCTAGTGATTAAAGCGCTTACTCCGAAGTTATCGATAACTCGGTTGTCGATATCGGAGGGCCTTATCGGCTGCCCTCGGAGTTGGTTGCGTCATACCGAGACGGCATCTCAGGTACATACAGATACGTGCTGTAATTAACTTTCGGCCTAGCCAGGATATCGTTGTTTATTAAATCATACACTTATTAACTTATTAAATTTCATTCGTTATGACACTCCTACATACAATAAATACAGTTGATCAGTAACTATACAAATTGACACGCTCTAAAGATGAAGCCCGCATTTTCCTATTTTCTTGAATAAGTAGCATCCGGACAACCCAGGCACAGCCGATGGAGAGGAGAGCGAAGCCAGCAGATGCACCAAATCCGATCCCATATCGCGGCTCATCGCTATCGGGCCACAAGTATGCGCCGTATATATATCCGATATGACCAAAGACGTTGGTTATCGCAAGGACGACCTATAGGTACTCTCATCTTAGCATATATATATAACAACTAGCATAATTAAAGCCACAATGTTGTCACCACTTACCGCTCTTTTCTCCTCTGTTTGGCTCAACGTTGATGACGTCCAGCCGACGACAACCGAGTTGGCGGAAAATGCACCAACGGGGAAGATGAAGCAGGCGACGTAGCGTGCCGCTGTGTCAAGCGTACTAGCTGCTATAACAAACCCGACAATCGCAATAGATAATGTCACTGTTATATGCCACGTCCTCTCATTCAGTCTCCCGGAGCTCCAGCCGACTAAGACACTGCCAATTCCCGCAAGGACGAAAGGGGGGCACGTCAATAGTAGCGTTACAGTGTTATTATAGCCAAGCGTCTTTGCGACGCTATTATTTCGTATGGAGTTAGTATTTACTCCAAGTTCTGGAACTAAGTGTTTATAATAAAAGGGGGGACCGGAGGACTCACCTTGGGAAGAAGGCATTGAACGAACAGGCCGACAGATGAAACATCTGCATGAAGCAAAAGAGCCATGTCCTCTTATCCTTAAACGCCTGCTTAAACCCTTCCCAGACACTAGATTTTCCCAGGGCGTCGCTTATCTTGTCGCGCTCTATACGCGTCCGTATCAGCTCGCGCTCCTCGTCGTCCAGCCAAAACGTGTCGTCCGGCGTGTTCGGTAGGAGCCAGAACCCGAGTATCGCAACGAGAGCCGTCAGAGAGCCCTCGATGATGAAGAGCCATTGCCAACCGGTAAGACCTCGCAACCCGTCCATCCCGGCGAAGACACCGGCTGAGATGAGACCCGTGACGCCGGTAGCGAGAAGTTGGCCGCAGTACATGAGACCGACTCGCGCCGCCATCTCTGTGAGGGACGAAAGAGTCAACTTTAGCTTATAGAGCAGTACCTACAAACGAACAACTAACCGCTGTGAGTGTAATAAATTGCAAAGATGTACGTAGCACCGGGGTAGAACTAATCGTGTTAATTTAATTACACTGCATCAGAATCGAGTTCCGGTGAAGCCACTTACCGGAGCTTCCGCAATCCCAAGAAAGAACCTGCAAGCGACAAGTGCACCATAGCTCTTAACAGCAGCCGTGCAGGTGGATACGACCGCCCAGAGAAACATGCATCCGGACATGTAGAGCCCAGGCTTGATCCGCGTAATCAGCATATTGCTCGGGACTTGCATTAGGACGTATCCGACAAAGAGGCTATAGCAGAGGTGGTTAGTGACCAATCTCGATGTTGACCTAAGCTTATGAGGGACTTACATACATGCTAACTGCCGTATTGAACTCGTTGCCCGACATGCCGAGATCGCTCTCGAGATGGTTCAGACGGGCTTGCGAGATGGCGTTGCGGTCGACGTAGTTCAGGAAATACATGGCGCATATAGTCGACTGTATACACCTAGTGAGCTTCTTACTAGTCTCATATAACCATAGGACGATATACATGACACCTACCATGATATAACAATCTAGTTTGCGCACAAACGCCTTCTCCTTAGCATCCGTCTTGCTATTCTGAAGTCTTCCGTTGTCGCCGATGTCGTCGGAGATAGCAGGGTCTTCATCCACGACAGCGCTCGCACCGAGTTTGCTCTCGAGCCTCTCCTGGTTGACAAGAGCCGGTTCTTGGACTGTGAGATCCATTATGCGCGTAGGTACCTAACCTAGTTATCTCCTTCAATATCTAGGGATTTGAAGAGGAAATGAATGCGCTTGGGAGGAACGGATCATAGTGGACGTCGGTTATGGGATCGGATATGGACTGGCCTTGTATATAGAGGTATACGTGAAGCGAACCCGCTCCGATTCCCCGTTTGACCTGCAATGAAACCCTGACAAAACATTGTCGCGTGTACTACTACAAGGCAATACTGCATGCACATATAAGAGGTAGGTACCTAATCTAGTATATAAGCTATATCTTTTATTAGTTACCAGACGACACTTGGACCGTTGCTCTAAATCGAACTCCTCTTCTACCTAACTCTGTTGTTAATGCTTTTCTTATATCACGGTAGAAATACTATGAATTATCGATATAGCAATAGAATTGGAGTTCCTTTGGCGAGCTTGAATTATACCCAGAAGTGCTCGCCGCATTCGCGTTCAACAGCTTATAGGTTAGTAGTCTCTTGAAGAACGACTGCACCATAATATGAGTGGTAATCCAGGTTGACCTATCTGGCTCCTTTTACGGTACGGTACGTATGCGATTATATGAACTGTCCCTGCTCTGGAGGAACAGAACAGTGTGTCTAGCTAAAGCATATGAATGGATATATTTAGTTTAGCGTTGAAGCTCCTCTTTGTGTACATGGTAGCTATAGTAGTTACAATAGAGTGGGAAAAAATGTACAGGTACCTTTTCATTGCGACGGAGTCTTACATAGCTCTACGCATAACTCACATATTAGGTATCTATGTATATATCACAAGCCAGCAAAGCATAGTCGCAATAGTCAAATAATGGTAACTAATAAGCTGCTGACTGACTGCATTATAATTTAGGCTGAATAGACTTAAGCGCATAAACACAAATACTCGTACTGATTTTTCTTCGCCTCTGATCCTCTCTAACCTGACACCAAGTAAACCCGCGCCGTTGATTTCTCTCATTTTAGTCCCTTATGCCCTATCTCGTACCCTGTCAGGGATAGACCGGTAGAGCCTGGCTCTACCGTCTATATAAAGGGTAGCCAGCTCCCTCGCAAGAGGATAGAAAGTCATGCATTACTGGCTCAACCCAATAGACCGTGTGTACGAGCCTGACACCCCCCTAACGCCTTGCTGCGAAATAGCCTCACATGCAAAAGATGAAAGAGAAAACAAGAATACTAGAACCCTCTATTCTGAGGCGAATAAAAAAGACAAATGCATGGGATATTATTTATTATAGGTAAGGCATCCAGAGAGCATCGCACTGCGCCAGATTCATGGGATTAACAGCTCGGGCGATGAGATCGATGACTGTCTGGTTCGCCGGCAAGTTTCCAACCGGACTCTGAGCCAGGCTCACGGCGCGCTTGACAATCATGTCGCAATTGGTCTGCACTGTTTCGCGCAATTGGTTCTCGTTGAGGTGAATAGTCCGATGACTACTGGTAAACCAGAATATTACCTCGTCTCTAACGAAGAGGGTGAGCGCGTGCTCGAGTTCAAACTCAGGCTCTGTAAGGCAGCGCGCGATCGCCATGATAGAACAGCTGAATATACCTTCCGTAGCCAGAGGGCCCATCAGGGTCTGCAGGTTGGGTGTGAGACGGAAAGGTACAGGCTCTGGATTATGGAAGAAGGGCTTTCCGGGTGCCATGTACGACATCACCTCGGAGCCCCAGATCTTCCCTGAGCCGCGAGCAATGTGCATCTTATGGGGATACCTATTGGTACTATAAAGGATATATGTCATGAAGGTGAGGGCCGATAGTTGATACGAGAACCGACGTCGGAAGAGCCAGAATTCAGAGAACTCGGGGAATATTTTCTGGAAGTATTCCAGAACGGCAGTACGAGGAACCCATTTCTCCTGGATGGCTGTGAACACCTCGAGGCGCGCTGTAGCAGTTTGCTCTGGAGGTTTCTGTATTGAATTGTTAGCGACCCTCAGCATTTTCATTCTAAGAGTACAACTTACAGATCCCTTAGGTTCAATCAAACCTCTCAATCTTTCCATGGTAAACATGACGGGCTCATCCTTGGGCATGTTGTTACGTCGACAATGGTCTTCATAAATGCCCTGAAGCGTGATATAGGACGGGTCGTCTTGCACAATTCTAATGTGAGGAGCAAGAGGGACCACCAACGGTACCGTGAATTGTAGGTCGCGACGCCGGCTTTCCTTCTTCTTGGCGAGTGTCTGGTTTAGCTGTCGGAACAACTGAAGAATCCTCTCCTCTCGTCGGCAATGTCGCGCAGCTGGATGCTGAACAGCAAACGAGTGAATACTACCGTCGTGACCACGGATCTTCAGTCGCCGGTGGGAACCACCAATCCCTCGAACAAGGTCCACATTAGGAAGGAATCGATCAATACGGATGAAGTCCTGGTTCTTATCCTTATGCTGCAAGTATTGACCAGGCACTTCGACGTCATCGAATTTCAGGTAACGGAACTCGCTTAAGTGACGCGAGTATGCCTCCAAATATGCTCTCGGGTTCCTGCGATCAAGCTTTTCTTCAAACTTGTCTCGCCATTTGCGAAGTTTGTGAATGTATTCGTACATCGTTGGCTTCACATCAACAAAATCTGCTTCAAATGACTTCTTGATATGTGAAGGGAGGATCGTCTCGGCAAAGCGGGTGATATTCGTCTCGGTACCTGATGGTAGTTTCACGTCCCTAGCATACGAAGCAGGCATTCTACTGACATACGCCAGACCGTCGTTCAGTAGAGCTATGATCAGGCGATACGCATCTTCATCGGGCGGGCACTTGAAATATTTTTGAATCTGGTCCACCATGGTCTCCATGGAGAGAGCAAGAAGAGGAAATGCTGTTTTCAGAACAGACATAATCTCCTCTGTAAGCTCCCAAGGCGGCCGTTTCTGTGGCGTAGCCGATGCGCCGTCTTTCCCTGCTTGCTGAGGGTCCGCGTTACCTGCTTGCGTGCTGCTGGCTGCCCCGCTGATATCCGATGCTTCAGGCTTCGTTTGAGGATTGGTTTCACCGTTCGCGGTTGCGGGCCTAGAAGAGGACTCTGGCTTCATCTGGGGATTGTCTTGTTTGGTAAGCGACGGCGAATTGCCCGGCTTTCCGCCAGCTGCCGCCGACTGTGCTCGTTGCCGTACTTTCTCCTTAGCCTCCTGATTCTTCTTGATGGCAAGCATATCTTCGCGGTTCGTCCTCAATTGGAAATACAAGGACTGCGGGTAGGCCTTGGCTATTTTCAGAAGGATCGCGTGGACTCTGGGTGCCTCCTTATGAGCCATGCCGGTTAGAAGTTGCGGTATGAACGTGATCCAATACCAGACCGGAGTTTCTCCCTTATAATCATCAAAGCCCGCAGCAATGGTTCCATTGGAGTCATCCAAACTCAGAAGCCAGAGGATGCGTGCAATAAGTTTCCGTGCCTTGCCGCTCTTGTAGCTGCCAATGGCTTGTAAGTACGAGGTTAGGGCTTGTCTAGCCGAGTTCAAGTCTGTGGGATCCTCTTTGAATTTACGGTCGTTGAAGTAACCCCATTCAGCCCAAGCTTTGGCTTTTCCGATATCGTAATATAACGCCGTACCATAGGCCGCATCCGCGTCTTCCTTTTGGTTGAGCTTCTCCAGGAACATACCCTTCAAAGTGAAGAATTCGGCCTTTTGTTGGTTGTTGAAATAGTTGAGATTGGTATTATTGATCACATCTAGTCCACTTGAGAGCTCCGCAGGATTCTCATAGTGACACCGGGCCTGTTCTCTTAACTTCAAAAAGGCTTCTTGAATTTCGATATTAGGAAGAGTGTAAATACGGCTGAGCTGGGCAATGCACACGTCTGGTAAATTATGCTTACGGGCAACATGGGCGAAGCGGTTGATAATCCATGCTGTCTCATGATAACCGCGATACGCGAATGAAGCGCCATTAGCGCCTTGACCTTGTTGGGGCAGAAGCTGAAGATAGGTATTATTAATCAACCCGAAAATGTGTTGTCTCCAGGTAACCAAATCCTGCCAGTCGGTTATGTCATCCCAAATGTTTGGTAACCTGTCTCTCCAAGATCCGAGAAGGAGTTTCAACTCGCCAGACTTCACATCCAGGTTGGTTTGGTTTGTATTCGCAAGGCTCTGGCAGATGACACTAGCGTCGTGCAGTTCGACAAGCTGTTGGAAGTTGTGAAGTAGGGGAATATGAGCAGCGGTCAGACGCTTCGGAAGTTGATGCCACTTTCTGATGGATAACTGTATGGCCTCATCACAGACACGTGAAAAGTCCTGGCCAGTCTCCTGTTTATTGTGAAATTTCAGCAAGGACATGAAACTCTGGAAGAATGCTCGCCGGGCTGTTGGCGCATCCATGACGCCCTTAATGACCATATCTAGGCTGTCGCGTTGTTCTTGGGTTTGCCACATATCGATACCTCGCCAAGCGCACTCTAATAGAAGATCCTGGAGGTTTTCGTGCTTCGCAAAGTCTTGTAATATGTCCCACTGCTGCAGTTTCTGCGCACAGAGCACCCAATGGTCTTCCCAGAGCATGTATTCTCCTTGAGAGAATGGAATAACACCCGTTCGAGCTTTGATCTGGGCCGCCTCGTACATCTTTTGCGCCTTGTCCCACATCCCGTTCTGTTCGTATGACAGCGCCGCGTTAGTCTCTACAAATTGACATCGCCGACGCCAGGTACCGTAGAAAAGATCGTCCTCCTTTAGGCTGGAATATAGTTCAACCAATGCGTCTAGATTGCTCTCGCGCACCTTGGGAGAGTCTACATCTGGCTTGATAGCGGCGTTTTCAAGCTGCACTAATGCTGTGTACCAAGCATCGTAGGTCTTCGCTCCAAATTTGAGGATATGCGGTGGTATCTTGCACTCCGGCCACGCTTTGGCGGCGCCGGCTAGCAGAGTTTGCACAACATTAGGCCGTTTGTCGATTTGACGAGAGTGGAAGTCCTTGGTGAGAAGTACTACCAGTGCTTTCTCTAGCTCAGTCTTCTCATCCTTAGCGGCAGCAGACCAGAACATCGGGAATACGGTGACCCAAAGCCTGTGAGATAGGTTGCTGTCGATGTGCTGAAGTTGCATTAGTGGCTCTATGATATCTCGGACCTTTACATCACCTAACTCGGCGACAAAACGTCGGTGATTAGCCATGAATATGTCATACTTGTCATCAATCATTGTCATCGGCTCCCTGGTGTCTTTGGAGTAAATGCCATAAATAAGAGATGCCGGTAGTGTTCGGAAGTCTTCTTGATGAAGCTGAACACTAGAATTCATCTCAACAGCACCTAGTAGAAGCTGAGTAGCTTGAGCCAGCCAGAAGGAGTCAGCAAGAGTATCCCAATTTTGAGAACCTATGACATAAGACAGCCGGGCAGTTGCTGTTTTCGATAAACTCTTGTCGAATATGTTTAAGAATCGGTTGCGCATCTCGACGTCCTGTGCTCGAGTCCCGATCAAGAAAGCATGCTCCATTCGTACGGTGAGTTCCGTTCGTGCTATTTTCGGATCTTCATAAATGCGGATTACCAACTCCAGGAATTTGCCTAGCATTGTCGGGTCGCTCCTATGTTCGAAAGTTAACATTTTATGGAGTACCGCAGTCTTCTCCTTTAGCGTCGGCCATGTCCCTTCGGATCGGAAGACCCAACCTTCCACCATGTCGAGTATCTTCTCACAAAGAGGAATATGTTGCGATTTCTCAACCAGAGTCGCCAGGACGCTCAAGAATGGCCGTCGATGATCCCCAAGTATTTCCATGCGCATTGCAGTCACCTGGATTGCCTTGATCATTAAATCGGTCTGGACATTGAGTTCGTACGGTGATAATTCTCCGGTTTGAGCGTTTGGATCTTGAGGTCGTATAGCGGCCATGTTCATCTGCTGGTGCGCAGCTACACTAGAGTAGTGTTGAACATGTTCCCTAGCAAGTTTCGTCTGCAATGCCTTCATTAAAGACACAATGTGCTGGTCGATAACCGAGGGTTTCCGTTGACCCAAAGACCATAAGATGTTGACACCCGACACATAGTTGGAACTGGCTAGAGATTCAGTCGCAATAGTAGACAGGAAAGTGATAATTTCCGAAGTGGGGGCCTCGGGTTCGGCTTCAGCGTCTGCATCTTCCATAGGTACGTCCTCTGGCACAGCATCAAGGATCCGCTGGATTATGGACTTGACGTCGCGACCGTCGTCATATTTCTTGTCTGCCAGATGGAGACAATCTTGTAGCTCCGGGTTTTCTGACTTGAGACATTTTTCGATAACTTTTTGGATCGATGGGATGTTCCTCAGTATCCAGTCGTCGGGCTTAAAGTTGAGAATGATCCGCACCACCTGGAGGGTATTGACGATGTTGGTTATAAACTTTTCGTCGTAGTTCTCCTTATCTGAAGGATCTGCTGCGAGAAGCTTCGTGGTTCTCTCACTAGCTAGGACAACCTCAGTGATGTTCGGGAATAGATCAACATCGAGATCGGCCCAATATCGTGGTTGTAGAAGATTATAAAGAAGAGCCATTGCTTTTTTGCATAACTCCGTAGATTGAGACGGAAGAGGAGAGCCGGATGTTGGAACTGCATCTCTCGGCTTCGCCGACGGCAGCTGATACCTTTCATTTAGTTGTGCAATAAACTCGATCAAATACTTTATCATCTTGTGACGATAACCGGCAGGGATTTGGAACTCAGCCCTATCGACCTGAGCAACCTGTCGAACAGCCGGTGGCGAAGAACTCAATTTGTCACTGTCAAATTTTCGCTTTCTAGAGTTCGGTGACTCTGATAAGACCCTGTCGGAATCGCTCTGTTTGCCATCTACTCTTCTCTCCTCCCATTGCCAGATCAACCACATCATATTCAAAGCGAGTCTCTTGCTTTCAGTCGACGAGGACACGAAGGGTGACACTTTTCGGAGAGAGGTAATGATAAGAACAGCAAATTTGTCTCTAGATTCGTAGAATAGGTCAGGATGCCGAACCAGGAAGTGGAATATGCTTGTCATCTGCTGAACGTTCTGGCCTTCCTCGGCCAAGATGCGACGTGGTGCCATAGCCCAAACTGCGTTGCGGTCTCCGGTGCCGCGGTCTCCCTGCACTGCCGTACAACGCAGTGGAAGAACAGGAGCCATCAGTTCAAGAGCTTGAGTGACGAGGGCACGTCCTTCATTTTGGTTTGTCCTTAGTAATGAATAGTATACCTGCGTAACAATCTTCGGAGGAGTCTCGTAATGCGCGATGAAGTAACCAATTACTACATAGGCAGCGTGCTTGTTGATCACGTCTTCCAGTCTGATGTAGGTCCATCCAAACTTAATAATATCTTTCCTGGCGTCTTGGAGAATGCCGTAATGATATTTGACCAGCATCGCAGAGAGTTGGAGGACTTCCATTCTCGTGTGATCGATGCCTGGATGCGCTAGGTCTTCCTGGGGTTCTCCGGGATTGACTTTCCATATTTTCATGTTGATAGACTCGATGACTGCACGGTCCACCAATCTCTGGGTTCCCGGTTGATGCCAATGTCGCATGACATCCATGGCAATAATCGGGTTGACGACGTTGCGAAGCAAGAAACATTTGGTCTTCTGCGAAGAACTCTTTCCGGCGTATATTTCGAGGCAACGTAGTACGACGGTTTTCCAGTAGACGATGGACTCGTTACAAATAACATGTTTATAGAGAAAGCCAAACAATGCCGGTGTAGCACGCAACTCGTCGGAGGTGACAGAATCTACGAGGCTAAAGAGAGCCTCGGAATCACTTGGATTTAGAGATAGAGCCTTCGTAAAGATATCCATTAGTTGCTCAGCCGCTTGGTCGGCAGGGAGTCGTAGACTAGGTGGCAGGATATTTCTTCGTAAGTGAAGTTCTAAGTCTTTGCCAACTTGTCTTAGCCACAAGATCGTATCCTTTCGCTCTAGCCAACCTTGGGTATTAGCATGTTGGCTCAATGATTGGAGAACATTGATGGTGTTCACGACTGCCACGAATCTCGTATCCTTGCCGGCATTGACGACTTGGGCGCAGGTCGATATCAATCCGTCAATGTTGGCAGCGGCGTGCTCTCTTAGGGGCTTGCTTTCTGGATCTAGGAGGACCTGGGACAAGAATCGACCATACTTCAATTCTTCCGACTTGCTTACTAATAAATTCCACACTTCGGCCGGGTATCGATTGAGATATTTATATAATGGGGCCCGGAAAGGGCTGTGATGAGTTCGCCGCAGCTTCTCCTCGAGGTCCAAACAGGCGTCGATCAGCCGTTCCTTAAACTGCTCTGCAGCAGGCGGTAGAAGGTGGAATATATTAAATACCGCAGCGATTACCTTCATCTGATTATTCTGTTCAAAGAAAGTAAACGATATCTGCTGGAGCAGGGTTGGATCCGCAAGGACCTTAATATGGTCTAGAAGTCTCGCACCTATTTCTACTTTGAAATAGGTCGTAAGAAGACGGAGAAGCCTTGCAAGATTATCTAGACCGTGAGTGCTCAGCCGTTTGGGATCTTGAAGATTAGCCAATACCGGCCTAAGGCCTTGCTGCAACAAATCCTTCGGCAGTTTATTTGTCTGAGAAAGGACGGCCTTTAAAGAATCGTTCGCCGCCTCAATAGTAGGTTTCGATTCTGAATAAAGGCATTTAAAGAACACAGAAACTATCTTGGTTCGTGTCGGATTACTCTGGCCTTTCTGAAACTCGTCAAATCCCATCGCTTTGCTCAATAGCTTGATGCAAGAAACTCGAAGGTTCACAATAGATTCATGCGTCCGAAACTCAGCATGCTTACCCGCTAAGGACTCATCCGTAGCATCTGCTAAGGCTAACGACTCCATAAGTAGCCGGTTCAAATTATCATCGAAGGCGACGAAGTCGAACTTGAGGCTCATATAATAAGCAATTGCATCAATGTACCCGATCTGGGTTGAAAATGGCAATGCTCGCAGAGGTTTGGCATAGATAGGCTGCAACAGCCGATCTTTGTATGGCTGCAGAAGCTCCCATATTTCTACATTGGTCGCATTTGCAATAATCTCAAGCGACCGTCTTGCAGTCCCCCGAACGTGCTTGTTCATGTGAGATAGCTCATCATTGAAGAGAACACAGATCTGCGCTAGCCGCGAGTGCTTAGGATGAGGCTGTCCTGGTTGAACAGGAGCAGGCAACACGTCTTCCTTTTTCATGTTTGTTGTAATTCGCCTCAATAAGGATTCGAGTGTGGTTTGAGCCGAATTTCTCGTATTTTCTGGCAAGTCCTGAGGCATGTCCTTGATCACATACATCAGAGCTCGTATGAAATCCATTTGCTTCGACACAACCCATAAGTCGCCAAGGTCGACCTCCACCAGAAGATACTTGATACCAAGAGTGCCGCCAGTCTTTGTGTACCATTCTTCTTCGTAACAAGCATGGCAGAAAATCCTGCTAAGATGGCCAAAGAACGCTAGCCGACCAACGTGGGTCTCAGATCCGAAGATGGTCGCAGTGGAATCGTAGACCGCGCGGATCGCCCGAAAAGCAGCATCACGTACATCGGGCAGATCCGACGCCAATGATTCGACAATGGCATCCGCAAGAACCCTAGTGTCAATGTACAAGGGTCCCTCTCCGGCTTGTACATCGAAGAGGCTCATTTCCTTTTTGATATCTGCAAGGCCCCGCCCGATTTCAACAATCGTGAAATGTCGGCAGAGATTCATAAGGAAAATATCAGACTCCTCACGAAATTCGGGAATCGATTCAGCATACATGATAGCCTTGAGGAGTCGCTTCGTAACATCATCCTGCTCCTCTTTCTTGGCGACAGAGCGCTCACGATCTGATGTGCTGAACATCGCAAAATCCGCGGCAGGCTTCCGGGCGAGAAGGTCTTGCGCCTGAAGACGCACTAACCGGGGTAAATCATCGGGAAGATGATCGGCACCAACCCGTAACTTTAGTTGGGCCTTGATGAACTGTAGTGCCTGCTTCTTGTAGTACCCATCATATTGCCTAGCTGTGTTAACCTTGGAAGGCTTTGGGATTTCCATCAATTTACGGATGGCAAGGTCGATGCCAAGCTCAGCCGGAAACGCACGATCCCGTTTAGATCCTATAAGACGTAGATCGAAGCTTGAAGGGTCATCGGCATACTTCTGATACTCAACAGGGGGCGCCTCTGTCATGAATTTCCGATTTCTACCACCTAGTTTCCCAAGTATTCGCATTGTAGTATGAGCATGGAAATGGCTGTATGGATGTGGCTTGAGATGTTCGAAAAGCGCACTCATCAGATCCTCGATTACGGGCGCCATGATGGGATCCAGATAATCTGCGGTTAGGTTGTCGACACAAAGTTCCAACGTTCGCAAACCCTGGCCTACGAGGTCTGTACCGGCCCTAAGAGCGACAACTAGAGGCCGCATTAAGAAGCTTAAGTGCGGCAACAGATTGCTAAGACGTGCCGGTACTGTAAGGCAGAGCTCAACGTACAAATCCCGTTCCGCAGGCTTGCGGGCGGCCATAAGTAAAGTATTAAGAACGTCAAGTAGCATCTCTAGGAGAGGCAATATCTGCTTATAGAGGTGCTCAAACTTGCCGCCACCAATGCTCCTGAACAATGACCGTAAAAGCAGGAAATAGTTCATAGGCTCTTCGGCTTTGGTGGATAGATCAATTGACTTGGTAACTATATCCACAACATGCGGAAGTAGGACTTGCTCATTTTGGTTCGCGAATAGCGTCACTGCCATGAACGCAAGCTTAAAAAGTCGCAGAAGGATGGATGATCTTTTTACGTCGGCCGAACCTACTTCGTCGATTCGCTCCATCAGGAACTTTAGAAGCATACCACAGAAGCTTGGCGACGTAGCCTCGCTTGCCAAGAAGAACTGAGGGATGTGAAGGAGGGCGGTATGCTCAAAGATCATTTCGTAGAGGTGGGGAATTTCCTGTTGAAATACTTCGTGGAAAGTGGCCGGGTCAATGCAGTGGAAAACTGTGGCGAAGGTCTCGAGAAGATCCTTCTCTTCCTTGCTACTGGAAACCATATAGAAATTCGCCATGTACTCTACTGGTGAGGCATACTGAGACTCAGCAGCGGGTTTCTCGATTTCGTAGTATCGGAAGACATAGGCGCCCTCGCGAAAGAGTTTGATAATGACCTTAACCTCTTCGGCGGAGAACCCGTACGATACTTCTTGCCAATGCTGGGGCGCATTCTTGGGGTCAATCTGAATACCTAAATTGCAAGTCCTTAGTTGATAGAAGGTGTTCTTCAATCCGTTCATAAGATTTTTGAATAAGAACTTGTTGTCCGCCACTGGATCTGTGCCACGATCACGGTTGGACGTCTTGATCGGCATTGCCGTAAAGATATCTGTCTCATCCCACTCAGGCCGGTGCTCCTTGTCTGCGAGATACGTCTCAGGAACTTGATCAGCAGCCTGCTGCGCATAAAGCTTAGAGAGCTTAACAGCATTAGGATATTGCCTGTTCATCGCGGCGAACTTATCACCAATAGCGTTGAGAATCATAAGCAAATAATGCCGCGCATCGACTTTGTTCTGCATCTTGGCTATGCATTCTGCCATATTCAACAACAACTTCGCACTCATAGTTTGAAAACTCGTCCCAGGGAAATTGTCCTGCAAATTCTTCGTATACACTTCGACGGTCTTTCGAATTTGTTCCGGGGAGAGTGAATCACGAACGTGATGTATCAAGTCAGCTAGCATACTGTACGCCAGTGGTCGCAGCGTGTCGTACACGGTTAATCCATCACCAATCAACGTCTTCTCTTCCAAGAGCTCGTCGATCTTGGGCAGGAATATCTTCCTGAAGTTGAAATTTATAATATGGCGAATTGCGACAAGCAGTTCCTTCCGGGCGGCCGACTTTTCCCTTGGACAATCCCTAAGCAATCGAACAATAATTTCGGGTAAGGTTGGCAAGAAATCGGCGAGTTGGCTAGAGTACTGGCGAAGTAGATACGCTAAGAAACTCATCGTCTTGACTTGAGCTGTAATAAACTCGCCAAAAGCCACCCGATTTCTTATGTTCGGGCTCACTCCAGCAAAAACGGTACCCCTTGCCCTCGCTTCGGCATGGGCCTGTTCCTGGGCTTTAGCCTGGAGACACAGAACAGCCTTAATTAGAGGAACAAACGCTTTCACGTTTTGCTGAATGATATTTCTATATGTCTGGAAGACGGACACAACAATGATCGGGCATTCTGAGAGAACTTTGAACGATTGCATGCCTTTCAACAAGGGTCGGTTTTGCTGCTGCGCATCTTGAGCCAAATCATTGACAGAAGCGACTGGCGACCCCGGCCGAGGCGACTGGAAATTTGTTTGGGTGCTACCAGGTGTCGATGGCTGACCCGACGCGTTGAACGGAATGGCGGTACTGTCTAGCTGCTCTTTCACAACTTTCTCCATCTGCTCAAAAAGTTCTTGGATCAAGTCCAGAAACGGTTGAACCTTCCCATGGAGCACTTTGGGTTGGTGCCTCATAATATCCGATATTATCTTAACGCATAGCGTAGCATTGTCTTCGTTATCATTCCGAACTAGGCTCATTAATATGTCAACGATCTCTTCAGCATACGGCTCGAAGGGCTCGGGCGAAGTCTGTGTTTGGTGCGTCGGTAGCCGGTGGAGGATTTCAAGGACGCAATTCCGAAGTTTCTAAGTAGCAGGTTTAGTTTCAGTCGACCATAGAATAGCTAGTATAGCTTACCTGCTCCGGTGATGTGCTTTGGAATATACATGGTCCTCTAAGGATGATGATGAACAGCGGCATCATCCGCTTGAGAAACACGGCATAGTGAGGGCCATTGGTGTAATGGTCCAAGCTATCTCGCAGTGTGGTGGCAGCTTCAAGTTTGAGTTTAGGGTCTACAAGGTCGTAAATGTTAGCTACACCGGACAAATATGATTGATAAAAAGTAGGCGATCAAGCAGGATGTCTGTAGTCAGCAGTCGCATGAGGTCATACCAGTTTCTTGAACCGTCAGCCTCTTGACGATATCATCAAGCCCTGTCCCCGACATGGCTGCGACCCCCGCATGCGCGTGTGTAACTCGAGGCTATCATGTAACCTTCATATGTGATTTTGGAGATGAATATAATCAACGTCGTCTTATTTCAGAAGAATGTATTCGGGGAGGGGCGCAGAAATATGAGGCTCTGTCCGGTTGCCACGCGACGGATAGCTCGATGCGACGCAGATAAAAAGGGTCGTGAATGTTGCGTATGAAATACTAATGTAACAAAACGCGCAGAGAAACCTCGATTCTAGATAGATTTTTACGCCTGCACGGGGATAGAATTGAATTGTATGAGGGGTATCATAAAAAGGTAGGTTAGAAAGATTGTACAGGAAAAAGATGCGCGGGCAAGGCTGAGTGCTTCTGAAAAGCTTAAAAGATGAAGCGGCGCGAAAAGACAGGCGAAAGTGAACTTACTACGAGAGTGGGCGTGACAGTTGACGAATTGTACAAGTACAAAGCTAGGCCTTATTAATTTTCCGAAAGCCGCAAGAATTCAGCGTCCTCATTGGTTTAAGCTCAAGCACCAGCTCCAGGATCAGCAAGGTTAAATTGCATTTTAACCAATCAACAGCTCCTATGCCGCTTATCGATAGCTACCAAAGTACGCTAGAGACAAGGTTGACTCGGGGCCAAGTCCCGAGCTTTCAGTGCTGCCGAGACTTGAGCACAGTGAGTTACCTAGCTCTTGATTCTACCTAGCAGCCCTAGGTAATCGTCATTGTTTATTTAGACCACCTGGGCAGAAAGCAGCGAATCATCAAATGCATCTAGATATGATGACCATACGTACCTACATAAGTAAATATTCTCTTGGTAAAACGTTTAGCCTATCTGAATTTCGGATCCGGAAAGGCACCCTACCTATTATATGGTTATCTCTGTAGAGAGATAAGTCCTTAAGCACCATTTAAATATATCGGGTCTCAATCCCCCAATTCCTCGTTCCCCCGCATGTATTGTTAAAAAAAGGGTACCAGATACCAGGTACCTAAGGTAGGTAGGCATATCCACGGGTATCTTACACATATTCGTGTAAGGTAGCAAAAGCAATAACTCACTTTTACAGTAATTTTCACCATTGCCAAAACTTACCTGATGTCGGCAGTCGAGTCTTGCCTCTCAAAAACCCCCGAGCATTTGTGACTACCTGTTATTTATAGTTGTCCTTCAAAGTTATTCGAAGACAATACTCCGTATACAACGCTCGACGGAAAAGATACGAAATAAACAATACGTAGCAATGTCGGACCGCACGCATGCGGCGTTCTTCTATGGTGAGCCTCGGACCTTATCTCCGCATGCTAGAACGCCCGTATTAATATAATCTTCTATAGGCACTCTGGTGAGGCACTTTTCCCTCCGGCATATTTCAAAATCGTCTGTTACTTACGACTCTTCAGATGGCCGCTGAAGTCTTCTTCACGGTCTGCTATCGATTTTCCACAGAAAATACAGCCCTATTGAAGAGTCTTCACGATTTCAAGCCGGCCGTCTTGCACGGTTATTGCCGACGGTAAGTCGACATTTGGGGTCTGGCCTACACAATATATGACTAACGCCGACTTACCTCCATAGTCGGGTTCAATATGCAGACTACCCCGGTATTACACCGGACCCGGATCATGAGGTTAGAGGGATGTACGTGACGGGCTTGACGGATGCCAACATGCATCATCTCGACACCTTCGAGGGCAGCGAATATGACCGCAAAACAGTGAAAGTTCGCTTACTTTCGAAGGTCGGCGACGACAAGGGACGGGGTAACGTCGAAGGCGAGGAAGTCGAATGCGAAGTATACGTCTTCAATAATCCTGACCAGCTGGAAGATCGAGAATGGGACTTCGAGGAGTTCCGGACGGAGAAGATGAAGAAATGGACACGGGAAGATTATGGCTTCGAAGACACTGATCATCTTGCTCCCCAACCGGTCGGGAGCAACGAAAAGACATCGGCTGTCTGAATGTCAACAGAGCACCGAGTTTTGCAAAGCTCATTACTCGTTTACCATCTTAATTCCGAAGGGAATAAGTTGGAATAATTGCAGTCGAGTTGAGACTGCCGTCAGACGGCGTAAGAGTGCCAATGCAGCAATACTCTCATAATGTGTGTCCATTTTGCTAGACTAGAGATATTTTCGTCTAGTTAATAGAAGACACCTATGCAACGTTGCGAATTCGGCCTTTCTTTTCTCGAAATGACTTGGTTGTGGGGATTCGCAATCTCTGAGCTTTTCGCCTAGACCTTGTTGTTGTTGGTAAGCTTTACTATGTGCAGAATTTAGGTAGCAGCAACACATTTGAACACAGTCGAACATCGATATTGGAGTGGGGTCAACTGATATATTGTCCATATTCCCGGATAGAAAAGAACTATTTACGGCGCACTAGACATGGCAAGCCGCAAAGATGCATCTCATACTTCGTTTAGTGTAGACCCATCAGGAAGGTTGATTTGGTTGTGGCTCCCTCGTGGCCAAGAATAGTCAGTGCGTCAGACAAAAAATAGAATGGTTGGACTTGGGGCAAGGGCATGACATGACGCTAATGTAAATTTCGGATGTTCCTTTCGAAATAAAATTCGGCTGAGCGAAGCTGAGGGAGCTGCATGGGCATAGCTGTGCTTGAGGCGGCCAATCGTGAAATAATAAACTTGGAACTACTACTAGGTATGTAAGTAGATTCAAACATTCTCCCAACTAAACATGAAACTAGTTTCAACCTGTTGAGACCAGTTCCTTCAGTACGGCAGCTGACGGGCGACGAGTGACACATAACACAAATCCCCAAGTTTTGACGCCGTATCGTGTTTATTAACGCCGGCATCTAATCAATCATGCAAATAAACCACCTGGGTACCTAGAGGTAGGTATGCTTTTCATATGTCGCTCATACCGAACCTGCCGAGCCTTCCAACGGTAGATGCCCTTGCATCTCATCTCCACAGTTATCCGATGAGATATGCTGTGCCTTATTTTTGATGCCAAGAAAGTGGTCAAGATTATCTAGACCTCAGAATACTTCACCTCTATTTTTATCCAACAACACAGTCCCAAATAGGCAGCTCAACATGCTTACAATTTCTCTCCTTCGATGTCGCATGAAAAAAAAAATACTAGGTATTATACAACTAACCTACTACTATCCACTCCGCTACTACTATTATGTCAAGTGTTCTTGGAGTGTAGGTTTCTATTAAGCCATGTAAGGAAGCATACCTGCCTTGGATTATCTAGACCTACCTAAGGCTAGGTACCTACCTAGGTATGCATTGGAAAATACCACCTGAAGGATCGCTTTAGAAACAACTCTAGGTTAGCAGTATATTGAAAGCAAAAAGGCGGTCGAATGGCGGAATAGTTTCGTCTAAAGATGTTGTGTTAACATCAGCCTGCAGGTCTCGCATGCGGTAAGCCGCTAGCACTAGGTAGTACTGGTAGTACTAGATGAGGTGGTTTTACAACGACGCTCCATTAGGATATTATCTAGTCATCTTTTAGCTAACAGTTAAAACGGGTGTGCCGGTGAAGACCACGGACTATATTATCGGTTGGCCAATGCGAGAAGCCGAGGTGCTTACCTACATACCTAGGTACTCCCCGGAGTTAGCAAGAGATCTTAACAGGGGAAGCAGCTGTAGTGGCTGGTGTTGAATTGATACATCAGGGCCAGCTCCGGGGTCGCCACTTTAGGTGACCTGACAGCCTGACAGCCTGACAGGCATACATGTACATACCTACATACACTACGTGGTATCTTCAAAGTTAGGTGTGCATGCCACTGCATGGAATCGATACCATTGGCTAGCCGCCATTTAGGTAGCTTGAATAAAGCTTATTTTTCCTGTATGCCTAGGTAGGTGAAGGGTTGCAAGCGGCATGGTGCGATCGGTCACGTACCTACCCAATGTCAGGTACGAGTAAAATCTCCAAAAAAATCATAGGTAATTGGGAGTCTCGAGTTTTCGCATTACAACCCTCCTTTGAAGAATTGAGCGCCGGTTGAAACTAGTGATGTTTCAGAATTTCAATCAGCCTAGCGGGGGCGGGGGTTTAACCTCTCGCTAAATGCTTAGACGCAGGGGAGGACCGGGAGGGAAAGCCATTAAAGGTTTGTAGACCCGTCTTGTCCAAAAGGCCTCCAGGGGATCAGCGCGATCCCTGTTCCTGAGCTATGCGTGCCTGTGAGTGGCCAGTGCTTGGATGTCTCTAGAGGCCAACGTTCTCATTATTCTCGACATACGACTTAAACTCAAAAATTCTACTATTCCCCTCACCTATCACGAGCCCCTCGGCGGATACGCAATCGGACAAGTCTTTTTCGCCTTTCTTACTCCTGAATCTAGTCTAAATATCTCCTGACGATCGCATACAGCTTTATTCCTTTTCGTCCGAGATGTACCTACGTAACGTAGATGAGGGAACAATTACCTCCTCCCATGCTCGTATTCAATTCAACTAGGTTAGAAAAGTTGTACATAGTCCAGGAGAAAAGGATCAAATCTCCAAGTGTGAGGGACTTATATTGCGCCACACGTTGCCATACATGTTGGCTGACAAGTTATCCGAAAAAGGCAAGTAAATTTGGCAAGGGAGTGATTTGATTGGCTGGATGATATGCAGCCTGACAGACCTTGGGAAAGGCCTTCCGTATTGAAGCAGTGGTATTCTAAAACTTATGGAGAGCCGAGGTCTGCGCCATCGTCAACTAAACTAATTCCTCACCCGCATTCTATTTCTATTTTCAATCCTAAATTTGCTATCTACCTAACATACGGCGTAGAAACAAAACTAAAACTCAAACTTTTGGAATCAATTTTTCTGGAACAATGTTACCTACTGCTTAAACGTAAGCGCCTAGCCGGTACAGCTGTGCAGCTAGCTTTGCTATTACTGGGGATAATGAGAAGACAAACGGACACGATTCTACGCTCTCGTTTGTTAGGTACTTGTAAGTCAAACGATTTATGAATGACAATGACCTCATACCTGGTACCTAAGTCAACATAACAAATAAACGCAAAAGTAATAGTAATGACAGTAATAAAAAAAAATCTTCAACACGAATTTTTGTGACGTGCCCAAATCCTGACCATTCAGAGCAATGTTTGGTCAATGTTTAAGTCAAGTCGAAACAAATCAAAAAAAGAGCCGTCTGCCAGGGCCCAGTGCGTAGTGTACATACATAGTAGCTGCCAATTAGTTAGCTCGACTAGGGTCCTATTAGGGTCTTACTAGGGCCTATCGCTAACTTCTTTACATAGATAGCACTTCTCGATGACACATCCCCGTTTGCATCCCTTCTCCCCCTGTCATTAAGCCCTTCTCCTTACCCCTGCCGTCCTTCTCCAACACCACGCTTCAAAACTTCAAAACTCACGAGAGTGACGGCTATGGTTGGGCTTTTTACTGGTTATGTTCCATCGATTGCCCTGAGATGTGGGGTAGTCGATCTACTCTGAACTCTGCGCCGCGAGTGGATCTTATCCAATGAGTAGTCAGGTAAGGATGGTACACTAGTCATGGGGTTTCAATGGGGGGGAGGGGTGGATAGGGGAGAAGTGAACGATACCCTTACTACACAGGTATACTGCCACCTTGTAAGTCAATGGGTACCTACATTAGGTAGTAATCCATGGTCCATAGGTAGCCCACGGTATTCATGGTAAACCCATGTAACCCACGTTCTACCTCTGTTCCTCCTGGATCCAATCAATTTTCCTCCTGCCTTTTTGTTCCTGCAGCTTACACTAACTCACAAACTAAGGTTACCGCATTAGTTTCTTTTCTTTTTTTCCGCCATCATCGTGCATACCTAGGTACTTACTTGCCGCCGTCCATTCTTTTTTTTGCCATCCTTCAAGAGTATAAGAATCTCTTGAAATCGCCCAAGTCGGTCGTTTTGTTTCTTCCCTCATCATCACGCCAGCGGCAACAATTTGATTACCTTTTCAGTCTTTCCTTTATTTTCCCACATCTTCGTTTCCATTTGCCTGGAGCATTACCTTCCTTTGAGTTTACTCGCGAAGAAAAAAAAAATCACCTTGATCGGTCTCACTCTCTTAACAACAACGTCACTGATTTATCTTTGTTCCCTCCGTCGAACAAAGTAACCTATAAGGTTAGTAGCCAATTACTCTACGCTCTTTTCCTTTCTTCGGGCACTGCATAAAAGCATTGTTCGACTACGGGCTACTCGACCAGACTCGAAAGAGCAGTCCAAACAGTATCTTTTTCGCAACAACGCCTTTGTGACAAGTCCCGATCAAAGGCATCAAGGCAATAATATTGTTCGCTGGCGACATCAAAGCTAATTCTTTAATTTATTAGTCCAAGCAACTTTCAGACTCTTCAGTCAACAATTCAGATCGATCTTCTACTTCATTAAATCTGCAGGAACCAGATTTCATCGTTTCATCAAACAGTCAAAATGTTTTACTCTAAGAAGATTGTCGCTATCACCGGTCTCCTTGCCGGTGCCAATGCCCACATGGTTATGGTTAGCCCTGCCCCATTCAACCCTACTGCCCTCAACAATAGCCCTCTTGAGCCCGATGGAAGCAACTTCCCTTGCAAGATCGGTGGTGGCTACACTGCTTCCGGTGGCCAAGTGAACAGCTACGCCCTCGGCTCCAAGCAGTCCCTCTCCTTCAAGGGATCTGCTGTCCACGGTGGTGGTTCTTGCCAGATCTCTATCACCTACGACGAGAACCCAACCAAGGATAGTGTCTGGAAGGTCATCCACTCCATTGAGGGTGGCTGCCCTGCGCGTAACACACCTGGCAACCTCCCTGCCGACAGCGCTGACTTCGCTGACCCCTTCGCCTACGACTACACCATCCCCGACAACATCCCCGCCGGAAAGGCCACCATCGCCTGGACTTGGCTCAACAAGATCGGTAGGCGTGAGTTCTACATGAACTGTGGTGCCCTCGAGCTTACTGGTAATGGCGGTGACAAGGCCAACTTCGACGCCCTTCCTGACATGGTCGTCTTGAACATTATGGGCAAGCCCGAAACCATTGAGGGTATGGACTACAAGTTCGAGAACCCTGGTTCCTCCGTCGAGGACAACACCGTTGCTGGCTCCGTCGCCACTTGCGGTGTTAGCGGCTGCACTGCTGGTGACACCGCTCCCGCCGCTCCTGCTAACCCTGCTTCTGGAAATGGTAATGGCAATGGCGATGCTTTCATCACTAGCCCGTCCACCCCCGCTCCTACTCCGGCCCCTGCCCCTGCCCCTGCCCCGGCTCCGGCTCCGGCTCCGGCTCCGGCCCCTGCCCCTGCTCCCGTTGCCGGTGGCTCTGGCTCTGCTCTCTCTGGTGCTTGCAGCCCTGAAGGTACCTTCAACTGCCTTGGTTCCAGCTACCAGCAGTGTGCCGCCGGCACCTGGTCCGTCAGCATGGCCATGGCTGCCGGCACCATCTGCACTGGTGGCCAAGGTGCCAACCTTAACATTGCCGCCGCTGGCCGCAAGCGCTCCGGCCGCTCTTTCCGCGCGTAAATTTCTTTCTTCTCTCTCAGCAGCAGCATCGCATCCTTTCTTAAGCGGTCTCACGGTGTTATGATGACGGTCCCGGATTGTCTTCTCTGCATCTCTCTAGAGGATCTAACGACGGGTTGTTATGACTTGGATAGGACAAAAAGCATCATTTCTCTCTCCTTCTTGTTCTTCGGTGTGGGATCCGATTTCTAGGGGGGGCAAATATTCACGACAAAGGGAAACGGGGGGCCAAGCGGGTTGCATACATTTTTTTCTCTTCACACTTTCCATCTTCCATGCATGGGTGCATTCACTTCTTCTCTTCGACAAAACTCCTTAAGCATTTTAGACTTTTTTGATGTAACATTAAAACCAACTTCTCTGTAAATAGGTAGCTCGTTTTTGCCGTATAAACAATATCAGGCGCTGATCTATATCTTCATGTTTCTTTTCTTTGGATTTGATTTGATCTGATCTGTTAGGTACCTAGGTATCTTACTTGAGCGAGTGACTGAACTTTAGCATAACTTAAGAGCATCGTTTCACTTTGAATTTGGTATTCAATACTCAATGAAGACTTGCCACCTAGTTGTCGGGAAAATGTGCATGACTAGCGTAGTGCGGGCCTAAAGCAGATCTGCTAGATAACTCCGGCTACTACGAAGGATAGCACCGGGCGCGCCGGCGAGTAGCGTCAGCTACACTGGCGAAGGAGTAGTATAAATAGGGGGGCGAAGCACCCTCGCAGATGCTTAGAAGGCTAAGCGTTAATGGATCACTTTGCCATATTGCCACGGTCTTTAGTATTCACTCTGTGTATGAATCATGATAACCATCACGGGATCTCTCTGACACTAGTGTTTTCCTAGCCTTGGATCCCTTTGCCGAATAATAAAAAGTCTGTTGAATTTATCTCTTGTATAGTAGGACATCGAGTGGTGAAGACTTTACTCAGAGTGGCTGACCATGTCTGTCTGTTACATCTGTACTCCTCTAGCATGGTGCCTTTCCGCAGGCCAAATTATTGTACAATTTTCCTTGCTAATATAAAAAAAGTGTAGTGGTCATCTTGTATCCCAACTCGTGTATCTGATCGTAGAAATAGCGTTGCGTTACCATTGTTTGGGGTTTCTAGGTTTTAGGTAGAAGTTTTTGTTCTGGGCTTGATACAGAAGTAAGTACCTAGAGTAATCCGCATGAAACAAATGATAAATGATTAACAGGTACCTGACATGGGATAGCTACAAGAACTCCTATTACGACAGACGGGCAAAGGGGAATTTTCATTACTATATACCAACTATTTATATCAGGGGTAGATATCTAAGATTTAGAACACTCAACAGTGCGGTTCATGTAGGTAATGATCTAATAATGAATATAGTGACGTTAATTAGGTAGGGATACAGTGTTTAATTAGATATGGGAAATATATAGTTGGGAGTGTTGGTTGATACTCCCCAACTTATGTTTAAGTAATACGATAAACCCCTTAATCAAGCTAAATGTCCAAGGCGTACTTAAAGCCCTTGTACGTATGAAATAGACTGGTGCACAAATCTCGCGCCCTTGTTACCTATTGGCGCGTGCAACGTAGTTTCTTCTTTATTAATTACTCTAATGTAACCTAGGTAGGTACTTATTAATGCAAAATACTAGGGAGAGGTGAGGGCATCGTGGGTATTTTTAGATATTCATCAACTGTACCTACCTAGGTACCTAGGTAAAATTCATTAGCTGATTGAAATTGGAAATGGGTATGTTATTTAGGTTACCGGAAGTGTTAGTTTTCAGTACGATATCCATGGCTAACGCTTGCTTCAAGTATATTCAAAAATCAGCCATGTTATTAATTGTCGACGTTACAGAAAGCCTAACTTTGCGCCTTTCACCCATCGTAATCCCAAATGTAATAATACCCCACGAGACCTTGAAATGTCTCTAAATTTTAATCCGGCTATGATAGGAAATACCTGTAACACGATGAGCCGGTTCATTGTTATGATGAAACGTATCATGGGGCGAGATCGGAACCTTGGATATAACTTGGTTAGGTATCCCACAAATAACCTTGAAGAGGTATATCATGTCAATTACAGAAACGCCTAGTAGAGCTAAAAACTACTTCAGTAAAAGAAAGTTTACTTGAGTAGGAAGATATACATGACTGACAGCTAGGAAGGTCATGAATGATATTGTTAGAATGTATTTAGATTGAGGAATTAGTAACCAAGGACAAATATATCACAGAACAGCAAAATAACCCCGTGTATAATCAAAATTACATTATTGGGAGAGTGTAGTTTGCTACACCTTACTAAACCATCGTTAAACATGAATAGATAATGTATTGGTTAGCTCTAATATGATTATCTTGTGTATTAACTGCCTTAAATTCTGTTGTACTTTATAGTTGCGAACAGAATTTGCTTATTTTGATAAAACCTAGCTGGATAGACTTCTACAATGTGAACCGTACACTTCCACTATTTTAATTGACGAGAATGAAACCAAGTCTTCGAAGTACAGCAAAGGTGCAGTTTAGAACAGTATTTTTCTGTAGGTCGAAGGTTAACTTGGGAATTTATAGTGTGACGTAATGCATGCACGTAAGGCAAGGCGGCTGGGCGGCCGGGTAGCCGCCCTTGCGGAGCTACACACATACACGCATATCGATAAGCTCAGCTGATCGCGATTCGCTAATACCAAAGGATTCAATTAACGTTTGTCTCACCTAACTCTTACTCATTTTAACATTTATTTCAACATTCTTATCGCGAAGCGCCATACCCCCATAGAACGGCGAAGAACTGTTCATCATGGATAATAATAGCGCGACTTCTTCCTCGGCACTTGTTCGAAAGAGAAATGACCTCGAGTTGATGCCTCCTCCACCCCCTCCGAAGCGGATCAAGAGGCCGAAGAAAGTCCTTGACGAGGATAGCTACACGGATGCGCTCTCCCAGATCATCGCCCGGGACTTTTTCCCCGGGCTCTTAGAAAGCGAAACACAACAGGAATACTTGGATGCGATAGAGTCTAAGGATCCAGCATGGATTTCGAGCGCGAGCCGGCGACTCCAGCAAGTCATGACCCCGGGACAACGCAATACAAGGAGAGGAACGTCATTAGCCCCGGGCGCGCAGACCCCCCGAGGGTTTGTAGGTGATACACCGGTATCGGTCGCTACGGAGTCTACCGCATCAAGCTTGAAGGAGAAGGACGAGATCGATACGAATATGAGTTTAGGAGCCTTCCAGGCCAGGTACACGAGCGAGGACAACGAGAGCTTTTACAAACTCTTAGACAAGCAAAATTCGAAGAAGGCAGAGAAGTACGCGTGGTTATGGACGGGGAACAAGTTGCCTTCCAAAATGCAGATAAAACAAAAGGAAGTCGAAGCGAAATTACTGGAGTCGCGAAGTTTGACAGACGATGGATTCAAAAGGGACCGCCTGGCTATCAAGGATCGAGAGGAGAAACCTGCACAACCAGATACGTGGAAGTCGTTGCCAAATAACTCGCTGATGTTTGTCCCCGAGGGCATAGAGGATTCTATGGAGACAAGGGCGCAAAGAGCAGAGAACGAATCGCGAGCTGCCCCGAAGGGTGTCAATTATGAGAATACTAGGCTGCCAGGGCCGAAAGTTGGCGGCGACGAATCTGTGCCATCGTCTCCATCGCTCTCCGCGGTCCGAGACGCTATTGCGGGAAAGCGAAAAACGAGCGAGCTGAATTCGACTGCCGTGGGAAGCGAAACGCCAAGAGTAAATGGATATGCATTTGTGGATGATGAGGAGCCAGTATACGAACAGCCGGCGGCGCTGAAGATCGATCTTGGGCCCGGCGATTCGACACCAAACCCGTTTATCATCAAGGAGCAGAGCAAGCGGGAGGCTCTCCATCATCGCATGGTTGACCGGATCTCACAGTCTAAGCGAACGTCTTCCAAGATGGGCTTAACCGGAAAGGTTGAGAAGACACCCGTTCCGAAATTCCCAAGCAGTCCACGTGTTACAGGTGGGCTGACGCCGGCAGCGCAACGGCTCTGGACGCAGATTGGAGGAAGCGGTGGTGCTACGCCTCGAACGCCCTTCGGCCAAAGCACGCCGATGAGGACGAAAAGCTCTAAGCTGAAGCAGGTGATGAAATAACGCGCATGCGAGCGAGCAAGACACGAGTTATGATAGAATTATGATACCCCAAGTAGAGAATAATACCTTACACACATTAACTATGCGTAATACGCAACATACCTATTGCAAACAATTTCAGTTCGATCTGATTTTCTTCTGAATTTAGGACGAGGAAAATTACGTGAATTTATAACGTTTGGTTTAAATAATTAATAATTGTATAATATACTATGTATTCACAGTTTGATGTCCTCTTTCTCTAAGTTCTATGGGTACCTAAAGGCTAACATAAGTACGGGTGGTTTTTGGGTGGTTTTTTGCGATGGTCTGGAGGGGCCGGGACGCTAATTTAGTTGCAGCAGGTACGTACCGATCCAGCCTTAAAACCCGTTCCCATCAATTAAATTGAATTGAAAGAAGCTTTGATAGCTTCAAAGTCGCGACTTGCATAATTCCCACCATTTCCTTCAGATGACATAACACTCAAAACCGAATAAAATTATAATCTTTGACGATATGCCTAAAAGACAGGCTTCCGAAGCACTAGAAGAGTTTGATGTTGGTTCGCCTGCATCGAAAAGGTCGCGGTTCGACGATGGCCCGGAACTGAATGGCAACAGCGCTTCGCCCTCAGACGGGAGACTCGACGATGCTTCTACCTTTCGTGATGACGGTGATGACGGTTTCGAAGATGAGCCTTCAAAGGCGCCGATACGACAGTCTGCCCCTACGGCAGGGTACGACGACCTCTATCTAGATACCATCGATCGCAACGTACTCGACTTCGACTTCGAGAAGCTATGCTCCATCAGCTTGTCAAATATAAACGTCTACGCATGTCTAGTCTGTGGGAAATACTTCCAGGGTCGAGGTCCCAAATCGCATGCGTATTTCCACTCTCTCGATGTCGGACATCACGTATTCATCAACATGGAGACGCAGAAAGTTTACGTGTTACCAGAAGGTTACGAAGTGAAGAGCAAGTCGCTGGACGATATAAAGTACGTATCCGATCCGAGATACACGAAGCAAGAGGTGATGGAGTTAGATCGTAAGGCTCGGACCGCGTGGACGTTGGATGGGAAAGAATATACGCCTGGGTTTGTAGGGATGAACAACATTAAGGAGAACGACTATCTCAATGTTGTAGTACAGGCATTATCTCACGTCTCGCCCCTGCGAAACTACTTCCTGCTAGAAAATCTATCGTCGCGCACGGAGCTCGTGAAGCGCTGTGGAATTTTATTTCGAAAGATATGGAACCCCAGAGCCTTCAAGAATCACGTATCGCCTCACGAACTGCTGCAGGAGATCTCGCTGAGGTCGAACAAGAAGTTTACATTGACGAACCAGTCGGATCCTGTCGAATTTTTATCATGGTTTCTTAATAATTTGCACCTAGGCTTGGGTGGGAGTAAAACGAAGCCGGGGAGTAGCATTATACAACGGATATTCCAAGGAAAGCTCAAAGTCGAGTCGCAAGCCATCACGGCCAAGGCAGACGCCGGTGATCGCTTGCGATTTGAAGAGGCAGCTGAAGTTAAGACGGATATCAACCGCTTCTTGCTCTTGACCCTCGACCTACCCCCTGCGCCTCTATTCCAAGACGAACTGGAGCGCAACATCATTCCTCAAGTTCCTCTAACGACCATTTTAACGAAATATGATGGCGTGAGGGCGCAAGAACACTTGGCACAAAGGAAACGATACCGACTCATGCACCCGTTACCGCCATATCTTACCTTCCACATTAAACGCTTTTCTACAAACAAATTTGTATCGGAGCGGAACCCAACAATTGTCACGTTCGACGCACGTGTCGGCCTCGACGTATCACCCTACGTAGAACCAAACCCAGTAGATCATCCGCCGGGGGAGCCTATCTGGTACGATCTAGTCGCGAACGTCACACACGAAGCTGTCAAGGCAAAAGAGGACGTAGCGGATTCGGGAGAGGAACGGAAGACGTGGAAGGTCCAGCTCAAGGATAAAGGGAGAGACGAGTGGGTGGTGTGCCAGGATCTTTTCGTGGAAAAGACACAGAAGGAACTGCTGTACCTTGGGGAGTCGTATCTGCAGATATGGGAAAGGCGGCGCGATCCGAAGGGGAAACGTAAAGCGTAAAAGTAGAAGACTAATCAAATCGTGATAGACGATATCAAACAAATATCAAATCTAGCCGGACGGAAAATAATAAATATAATTTCGATGTTTCATGTCTCTTAGTGCTGCCCCTCCTATTTCATAGAGTTTTTTTTTTTTTTTTTGGTGATTGTCTTCAGCCTAGTGAGATTAGCAGAGGAGACTGACCCTTCTGGGATTATTAGATAGGTAGAAGGTATCTATGTACACGGGAACTAGTCCTTGTACCTATCCCAAATGCATCTCATTGCTTTTTCCAAGTCATGATCAATAGACTTCCCTGACACAAGGGGGGGCGAATGCATGAGGCAAAGGGTCGATGAGGCGGTGAAACCTCACCTCAATTCATCTAATCACTGGATCACAGAGCTTAGAATCACACCATACCAGAGGGGTAGGTAGTTGTGCTACCCCTAAGATATATTATACTTACATATAAAAGAAGCTCATAGCAAAAAAGCATCAAGCATTATGAATATTGGTAAATAACCTCGCACCCCCTTTATAAAATCAAGATGACTTAAAAAGAAAACAGACTGGCTCCTCGATCGCGGCCTCCTGCCGCACGCTGTGATCCGGCTCGGCATCCGGCGGCAGCTCGCGCAGCGGCTATCGGAGATATCGTCGTGCTCGCTGGCCGCCGCGTACGAGCGCAAGACGAGGTACGTCGAGCATCTGCGGGCGCGGCCCGTCACCGCCAACGCGCAGCACTACGAGGTCGGCACGGGCGTCCTCGTCGGCATGCTGGGCCCCCGCATGAAGTACTCCAGCAGTCTGTACCTCTCGGGCGGAGAGGAGACGCTCGCCCGGGCCGAGATCGCTATGCTCGAGCTGTATGTCGCGAGGGCGGAGATTCGGGACGGGATGAGGATTCTGGATTTGGGGTAAGTGGTTGATCTTCTCGACTTAGCGAATAGAAAAGACAAGACAAGACAAGACAAGACGGCTGTGCTAATGGGGCAGGATGATAGATGCGGTTGGGGCTCCGGCGCGCTGTATTTCGCGCAGATGTTCCCCAAGTCGGAAATCACCGCGTTCTCGAACTCGCGCACGCAGAAGGAGTATATCGACGGCAAGGCCCGGGAGAAGGGCCTGATGAATCTGACGGTCATTACGGGGGATATCGTGGACTACGAGTTTGAGAAGGAGAGTTTTGACCGGGTGGTTTCGATAGAGGTACATATTTGTCACTGCCACCACCGCCACCATCGTCATCATCATCATCGTTATATCCTCATGAATACGAAAAGCACGCGCTGATATCAAGAGCTTTCAAGTTTTTCGAACACATGAAGAATTACGAGCAGCTCATGGCTAAGATATCGAGGGCTTTGAGACCCCGGGGCAAGCTGTTCGTTCACTTGTTCGCGCATAAGGATACCCCGTATGATTTCGAAGAGGGCTGGATGACTACGCATTTTTTCACTGGCGGAACTAGTACGTGTCCTGAGGCCATATCCGACCCCTAAACTGCTTATCTACCTAGGTACATAAGGGATTCGGAGGGCAACTTAACTGATTTGATCTGTGAATGAGCAGTGCCGTCGGCGGATCTACTGCTGTATTTCCAGAAGGACCTTCACATCGAGAAGCAATGGTGGGTGAACGGGAACAACTACTCCAAGATGTGTGAGGTAAGCGTAACCCCCTCTGACCCACACGCCTTTTTTCTTTTGTCTTCATTAGCGATTCTCATCAAGAGGGACTGGCTGGCTGGCTACTAGGCAAAGAACACGCTGCTGACCTAGGCAACTCGAGCAAAAAAGCATTGGCTCTCCAACATGATAGCGAACAAGGAGCAGATATGGCCGCACCTGGAGGAGACGTACGGGGCGGACAACGCAAACACGTGGTACAACAGGTGGCAGATCTTCTACATGGCTTGCTCGGAATTGTTCGCCTACGAGGCCGGGGATACCTGGGGAGTAGCCCATTATCTGTTCCAGAAGCCGGAATAACTGCGATGCGATGCGTGGATGGTATGGTATGGTAAACACCGTAGTAGGCGATGTGCACAACTGCCAACTGTATACACTGCAATGGGTCCGATTCGATTCTCCTGTTTTTTTTTTTCTATTGAATTTTGAAAACTCTGCCCATGGCTGGTGACTCTCGCGTAGGTATGCAGATATCTGCATTCTTTGTCCCCACGTCTTCCCTCCCCCTCTTCGGTCCTGGTATATGTTCCCCCGCTGCGTAATCCTATATCGCCTTCGATGAATCGCCATAGTCTAGTGGTCCCACGGGTGCTTCCAGCCTAGTAGGACGGGGCCTGGGTTTGGGTAAGTAAGTAAATCATACAATCACTCTATATACCGTTCGGATCTGGGGTGTTCAATTACCATCTTTCCTCGCGCGATACATCAACTATTAGGGAGAAGGAGGTTAGCCGGTATGATTCTCTCTAATAATGAAATTAGACTGGAGGGTCCTTACGAAGAACCACATGCTAGCGCCCAGGGCGGTAGCAGTGTATCTGTAGATGCCGGGGACGTGAGGCTTGATCGGACCGGGGCCAGCCATGGTTTCTCAAGTCTAGCGATTGTCAGTCAATTGCGCTGTGGATATATGTATATAAATGACCGTATGTATTGTGTGTAGGTATGGTTCTGACTTTAGGGAGAGAACGTACGCCTTTCTTATAAGGGTTGGTGTGAGGTCGCAATGGCGAAATGAAAACCGACAGGTCCAACTCGAGTTGGTATATCGTGAAGGTCAATAAAGGAAATAGCTGGATAAAGTGGATAAGAGAGAGAGAGGTACATGCGATCTCCCAAAGAAGCTTGGAGGTTAAGGTAAGCATTTAAAACCGAAGATTCCCCGTGGGTGACGGCAGCCATGTACCTAAGTATACATGTATTATCTTATCCTTGATTACGTACGATTCGTACCTGTCAGTCCACTAAGCCGCCGGGACCATCTGTATTCGTCATAGGTCTTTCCGGATCCCCATCCAACTGCAGGTACCTAGCACATGTACTATGTACCATGTACCATGTACATTACATATGTGCACAAGCGTGCCTTTTTAAAGTGGATCTATGTCTGGGGCGTTTTGAGGCGTCGGTCTTTTTCCTACAAGAAACGCGAACAAACCAAAAGCTGGGTTGATAGCATCAATCAACCACCCCCCCAAAAAACTAACTTGGTTTTTTTTTATTTTCTCTACGAAGCATATTTTAGTAAACAATGCGATCGGACCGGTCATAGCCTGGTATATATCCTCCTCGCGACCTAGGGCTGCGGGTTAAGCTCGTTTTTCGATGCCAACTTGGCAACCGAATTCCTGACTTGGCCAACGGTTCTTTTCTCCATCAACGAATTTCCATCTCCATCTCTCCAATCCCGTATTACGGTTTACTTTAACCTGCGAAACGTTTCGTCTTTTCTTTTTTTTCAACTTCGCCAGCTTCATCCTCGGAAATGGCGCACGGCTATAATGGAAACGAGGCGCCTTCGCCTAGATCTTTTGCGATTCAGCATCAACGGCCCAGGGATAGTTTCGTCGGTTGCTCTAGGATCAGCGACTACGAGCTCCTGGGCAAATTAGGAGAGGGTACTTTTGGGTGAGCATTCTTCAAACTCCCTAATGCTTACTAGCGACGCTAACTTCCTTCAAGTGAGGTTCATAAAGCGAGATCACGAAAGAGCGGAGCCCTGGTTGCTTTGAAGAAGATTATAATGCACAACGAGAAGGACGGGTTCCCTATCACGGCGCTCCGAGAAATCAAGCTTCTGAAGCTATTGTCGCACAAGAATGTCTTGCGCCTGGAGGATATGGCTGTCGAACACCATAGCAAGATGAGTAGGTCTACTCTTCTTATAGCGATCATTTCTCGTAGACTGACCCCCCTCAAGCCGATAAGAGAAAACGACCGATCATGTATATGGTAACGCCATACATGGATCACGATTTATCTGGCCTGCTCGACAACCCATCCGTCCAATTTACGGTACCGCAAATCAAATGCTACCTCCTTCAGCTCCTCGAGGGTTTACGTTACCTACACGACAGCAAGATTCTCCACCGAGATATGAAAGCTGCCAACCTACTCATCAGCAACAAGGGCATACTTCAGATTGCCGACTTTGGTCTTGCGCGACATTACGAAGGACCAGTCCCGGAACGAGGAAAAGGTGGCGGTGAAGGTCGGAGAGAGTACACTAGCCTTGTAGTCACCCGATGGTACCGACCTCCTGAACTCTTGCTACACCTTAAAAAGTACACCACTGCTATTGACATGTGGGGTGTTGGGTAAGTGTCAGGGACCCCCTTTATTATTATATGTTATACTAATATTTTACTTAGTTGTGTCTTCGGTGAGATGTTAGTCGGCAAGCCTATTTTAGCTGGAGAGAGCGATGGGCATCAGCTCGAGATTATCTTTGATTTAGTTGGCACCCCGACAGAGCAGACTATGCCAGGATGGAAGCAGTTACCCGGCGCCGAGGCCCTTAACCCTCGACCACGGCCTGGCTCACTATCACAACGGTTCCGCGAATACGGCACAACCGCCATCTCTCTGCTGAAAGAGCTCCTAACGCTTGATTGGCGCAGTCGTATCAACGCTATCGATGCGTTAGAACACCCTTACTTCAAGACTTCTCCCTTCCCAGCAAAGCCAGAGGATCTCCCTACATTTGAGGACAGCCACGAATTGGACCGTAGGAAATTCCATGATCGAAAAGCTGCTCTACCACCCGCCCCTAAGGGAGGGACCGTCGGTGTTGGCGCGTTTGGAGGTCATAATGCAGAATTCAGTAGTGGTGATGGATATGGTAATAGACGATACCCTAAGCATCATGGTGGATATCGAGGCGGCGAAGAAGGCCGACGACCTGCTTGGGCGCGGGACCAGCCTCATATGGATCATCGATTGCCGCCGCGTCCTCCTCCACCTGAATATCCAGGAAACGGATGGGATAACCCGGCCGAGCATCATGACTCGTTTAGGGATAGGGCACCGAGAAGCCGCGGGGCTAATCGACCCGACGTTGACACCTACATCCCGAATTATCGCGACGGCGACCGACCCCCTAGAGAAGATCGGCCACCGAGAGATGATCGTCGAAGATGGGAGGATCGAGATGGTAGACGACGTGACTGGGATCGCCGCGACGGAGATTACGACGATCGTAGCCGTGCAAGCCAGACACACAGCCGCAGCCGTTCGCCTGTTAGGGACAGAGACAGAGACGTATATCGGCGATAGAATCGCAATAAGCCTCAGTCAAGGAGAAGGCAATATATTCCATTCCCACCACCACCACCCCCTCCTCCTCCGCCGGCCTCTTTCTTCAACCGGCGAAGATTTTCTAGGACTACGAACTATTTCTATCCCCCCTAATTTTTGGTAACTTAACTTATTCCATCAGCGGGTTTGTGAACAAGGTATGCGGTAAACCCAACGGAAAGGCCGTGGCACATAGTGTTTTTTTTTCCCTCTTTTGGCGTTCCGCGTTATGTATGAAGGGATATGAACCCGGGTTGCGCGAGAACATGTTGTTATGTTGGGCTTCATAGCATAGAATCTGATAACAAGGCGAAGGATTAAGTTGAATTCTCCCCACAGTGGTCGTACGAGCACGAGTCAACTGGGAGTTTATATGCTGGAGGGTTTCCCCAAGAATGCTACGAGTTGCCGAATAAGATTCAGAATCAGAATCAGAATTAACAAGTGGTAACTATCATAACAAGACGGAAGATTTCTATCTACGGAGCTCATCTTATTCTAGGTATGGCTCTGATAGCTAGTTGCAGTTAGGAGGAGTTAATAGAGCAAAATAATACATGACTGTGTAAAGCTGTCTCTACTTATGTAACCCAGTGAGTACTACGCCAGAGTTAACTGAACGGTTCTCGGTTTGTTATGTGTTAATGCCTTCACTTATTTCTATGCCATCCGTCTTGGGGAGGCAGGACGCCCCTTCCTGCCGAACTGCGGTGTGCACGCGGGGACGAAAGAGGTACCTTCTCAAGGTCGGCGCCTGCCTTTGTATCTAATTATTACGACTAGGCGTGTTACTTCCTAAGTTAAGACATTGCTGGTTGCTACGTAATTAGGTAGGTGCCTTCTAAGGTCGGCGCCTTCCTTTATCTTATTTTTTTCCGTAGGTGTTGCTTGGTAACTTAGGCTGCTGCCCCGTAACTGCCCTAATGTAGAAGGCACGACGGCCGGCGGTACGTACAAAATTTAAGCAAAAGGAAGTTGCGGTTTGGCAGGTACACAGGTTTGTAAGGAAAGAACGCCTAAGGAACGGAGCATTTCTGAAATCTATATAAACAGGGCGCCGCCCCCAACTTTTCAAACTTGGACTTCTCTCCCAGAAACATCAACCACAACTTATTATTACATACAACCAACCCATCCCCAAGATGGATTATCCAACTCATACCTATTCCACATCAACACTATTGAACAAACAACTCAGTTCAGCATCCTACCCAAAACCCCTTGTCATCCTATTTTTGACTTCACAAATCGCCTCTTCACCTGTTCTAGCCATTTAAGTCTTTTATTATCTTCATTCAAGCATATATTATTAGACAGATGTGTTGCCAGCCAGATGTCTCATTAGTTGGAAGTGTGAAGGTTGCCAGGGACAAAACGTTTTCGGCCGTAACAGGATGTTGGTAATCCCGACGAATCAACAGTACTTCCCATTCAGGCCTACCCATTATTATACCTACAACTATTGTTAACAACATAACACAACACAACACAAGGATGAACTATTTATTACGTCAATGGCTACACCACTGGCAACACAGGAGTGCGGGCTAGCTCGAGAGGAATACAAATTTCCAGCCTCGCTAAAGGAGAAGATATCAAGGTAAGAGCTTATCCTCTACCTAAACACTTATGCTAGTTAACTAACCAAGATCAATATTAGTTATTTACTATTTACACATGTTAACCGCCTTTTGGTTTCTCAGCTAAGGCCAGCCAGCCAATAATGTGCAACCTGGAGAAAGATGTCTTCATAATCAACAGGTCAGCACTTGCATGCATCGACCGTCCAAGAGAAGGGGAAGTGTAACAGAAGGAGGACCAAGCTGTTACAAAACGGCCCGAACACGGGTTGGTGTGTGGCCTCTTCGACAGCGTAACACAACTTTCAATGTGGATGACCCAGCAAGTCTTTACATATACACTTCCAAGAAAATACTGGCCAACACAGAGATGAGGAAATAAAAACCCCTCTCCAACAAAAAAACCGGAATATAAAAATATAGCTCAAGCCGCTGGAGCCATCGACGAAAAGGAAGTTGAAGATCGCTATTTCGCCAATGATTTTGAAGTCGACGATGATATTCTACACTCATTATCGTCACCAGACGATGCAGACGAAGCTATATGGAATCTATTGCAAGAGCGCAAGCCAAGCTTTCGCGACAAGATGGCATCTTTGGGCGCACAGTGACCCGAAAACACACCAGAAATACTCTCCAAAGACGGAGTGAATTGTTGTAATATATCGCCATCATTCATAAGCCAGCCCAAAAGAATCCAGGTCCGATTTGACAAATGGTCTCTCCGGCCACGAAAGCTGACGTTCAATATTAACGACCCTCCGAGTCTATATATACGTCTGCTTCCTAAACAAGGGATGCGCGCCATGGAGATGATGATATCAAGTATCAAGGACCGACTGGACTAGGAAAAGACAGTGAGCTTTTTCTCCGGCCCAAGCGGGTGCGTATACTCAAACGTCCATTACGATTGGACGGAGTGGCGCCCTAAACAAAACATTCTATTCAATATTAATCAAACCTTCCACCTAGAGATCATGACCTACATACGAACTGAGCCCGCGGGAAAAGTTTACCGCAGTTTGCCACCAGCCCCGCATCAAGCAAGCAATAATGCGTTGTCCAAATTTAAAGAGTTCCGAATGTTCAACGAGCCGAAGGGTCCTGACGGGTGCTTTAGCCAGTTTTATCCTGGTCGGAGCTTTGCCGCACCGCACTGTCCCCCCCCTGGCATGAGTTTAGAGGAGGAGGTTAAAAATCAGAAGTTAAAGTATCGAACGATATAACCAGACAATTTTCGGCTAGTTACACGCAATCTTCATTCAGATGCGGAGGCACACGCACCAAAGGCACTTAAGATATAGTTCATCAAGAACTATTTATTTTCCTTGGCATCGAAGGGGTTGAAGACCCAGTCAAGATCTGCAGCAGTATTCTTGACTTTGACACTACACGAAGATATGAAGATACGAAAATACGAGAAGGATTACCTGTTTAAGGTACCTGTCGGCTATGTCCACAAAGCCGGCCAAACGTTTGCTTGTACTTTAACTCTACTTTAACATTTTGTGCCTATTCATAGTGTCGGCTACTTGGCTCTCAACTGTTATTCTACACAACACGCACTTACCTAAGGCGCTTGGGAGGTACCTAGCTTATTATTCTTCCTTAGACTTGAGCATAACAACACAACGCAATACAATACAACATAACACAACACATTGATTAACATCATCATCACATTATAACAACTGTTATTATCTCTAAGTACCTACATAGCTTAATTTTTCTAAACTACGTTTTACTCTTGACTACGTAGGTGACTTAAAAGTACCTGACGGTGTTGAAAATTGTATAAAAATAATATGTTGTCCGATTGGGTAGGCTGGTTGCTGCTGCTTGCTGCTACAGTAGGTACAGTACCTAGTATGTCTAGTCCATGTAGTTATACAATTAGGTTAGGTACCTGTTATAGATGGATACCTAAGTTGATAAGAGACATAACCACGTAGTGCATGCAATGATACTGGACCTAATGAGACACATGTAGTTGAAGAGAGTAATTTTATTTCCTCGGGTTTCGTAGGACATGATTATGTAACATACCTACCTTACAATACCTAGGTTAGGTACAGGTAGTCATCCACCTGGGCCTCTAAAATATACACCATCCACCTTTTCAAGACAGATAAAACATAACCACCTGAGGTATCTTTTCTTTTTTCCTTTCTTTCTTTCTAATCGCCAGGTATCTATCTTCTTTTCCTACCCCTACCCCTACCCCTTCCCCCCTTTTACTTCTCCGCAGCGATCTTACTCTTAACCCACCCCTCGAGCCCGCCGCACGCGATGATCTCCTGGACGTTGGGCGGCATCTCGCCAACCTTCTGCTCCCAGGAGGACCCGTCCTTTTGGGTGACGACGACCTTGGAGCGGCGAACGTCCCAGAGCAGCTTCCAGCCCGTGCGGCGGGTGAGCACCTTCTTCTTCTCCTTGTTGTTCTCGGGGTCGTCCTTGTACGCCTCGCGCAGCCGGTGCACGAGCGTGGGCAGCTCGACGCCCAGCAGCGCGTTGTTGATGCTGTTGCGGCTGAAGATGTTGCCGAAGCTGCCGGCCACCACCAGCGGGATCTGCTTCGCGAGGATGGCCGTTGCGGCTTGTTCTCTCGAGGATCCCTGGGGTTTCAGGGGTTAGTGAATGCATTCTACGGCGAGATTAGGGGGCGTGGATCTTACGCAGCCAAAGTTGAAGCCTGTTACCAAGATATCGCCAGCCTTGGCGATCGTGCGGAACTCGGTGTCGTAGTTCTCCATGCACACCTCGGCCATTTTCTCCTTAGAGATGTTATCCTGGTATGTGTATTTACCTCTACAACATTATTGGTCAGCCGTGCCCGTTTCTTGAAGATTTGATGAATTCGATGTGACGACTCAGGAGTAGAACTTACGGATAGATGCCATCGGTGTTTATGTTATCACCGTCACAGAAGACGATCTCGCCTTCAATCCTCTCGGGAAAGCCAGGCAGGATCTCGGTCACAGCCTCATCCTCAGGCGCGGCGGGGCTGGATGACTGCTCTGTGGCACCCTCGGCGACCTCAGCAGTGGCAATCATGCTATCGACCTCGCCAAGAATCTTGTCGAGAGCATCCTCCACAGACCGAGCCTTATCGACGACATGGTCGCCGCTACCCTCACCGATGATAGCCTTCTCGACACCCTCGGGCTTCTCGTACCAACCGGGACCAGCGATCTTACCCCGAAGAGCGCTGGCTGCGACGGTTTCCGGACTGGCTAGGTAGGCCCTTGCCTTGGTAGATCCCATGCGACCTTTGAAGTTCCGGTTAGATGCACTTATACCGACCTCGCCATCTTCAAGAAGACCAGTACCCTAAGACATGCTCGGTTAGTCACGGGAGTTTTTTTTTTCTTTTTTATAAAATTTGGGAGGGAGTTAACCGACGAGACCGATGCAAGGGCCACACCCAGGGGGAAGAACTTGGGCTCCAGCGTCAACCAAAACTTTCCAATCGCCTGCTTCCTCGGATGCCTCTTGCTCGGGGACGGAGGCCGCAGCGATGTAGAACTTGACACCGGGAGCAATTTTGGCGGGCTGGCCATCCTTAGCCGCCTCGCGGAAGACCTGAGCGGCGGCGGCGAAATCCGAGCTTCGAGCGTTGGTGCAGGAAACGAGATAAGCCTTGTTCACAGGGATATCTTCAGATTCGAGAGTCCGAACAGGGGTAATGACTTTCACAGAGTTCGGTCCTGCAACGAATGGAGAAAGCGTAGATAAGTTACTACAGTAATACGGTTAATAACTGCCTTAAAGTGGGCGTTTTTCTCTTTTTGGATTTTGTCTCCTTATGAGACATATCCCTACAAGAAATAAACAAGCTGTGAGAGAAGACTTACAGGTAAAGCTCCTTAGCATAAGAAGCACCGGGGTCGGCAACTAGTTTGTTTTTGACAAGCTCGTCAATGCGCTCGTGGTTGATACGGTCCTTAAGTGAGGTGTTGAACATGGCCGCGGTGGTGGCCTTGGCGCGGTACCAGGCGATGAGTTTCTCATCAACGGGGAATAATCCTACGTCGTGAGTTAGCACACTTGCTTTTCTGTTTCCTTTCGACATTGAAAGCCTACCACTTAATGCACCCCACTCGGTAGTCATGTTGGCGATCGTCAAGCGGTGATCGATAGGGATGCTTGCCAAAGTCTCTTCGGAACCCGTGAATTCGAGGGCGTGGTTTAAAACTTCATCCTGGTTGAACAAACCACACAAGGCAACGATCACGTCTTTGCCAGTGACGCCGCGGGGGAGGACGCCAGTGAATGTAATCTTGGCAATTGGAGGTATTCTACGTAGCACATTTTCGATTAGCAACGGCCGTCTAGAGAGCGCTTCACAGGTTTGTGAGCAGGGGGCTGGGAAAGTACTTGCTGCCACCAAGTCTTAGATGTACTCCATATGCTAGCGGCGTCGGTTCTTACAACGGGTGTGCCGAGCGCTCCTATGCCGCCATAATGGTTGGAATGGCTGTCACTCGCGACGGTCAGAGTACCTGGCCAGGCGTGTCCTACTTATGTGTTAATATTGCTGCCCGCTGATCGTAAGGACTATAGATAGGTATGTAACTACCTTCTTCGACCATAATTTGATGGCCTATCTAATAGTTAGCAGGCTTGCCATCCTTCGGTACCTTGTCTACTGGTGGTTTTCATGTACCTATTCCTCTTTTGGCCGGGTAACTACGGGTATGTCAGTCAATGACTGCTCAAGATTGCTCTGATTGATCATATCCAGAGAAGAGTTGAGGTGTTGGTCAGCAAGGGCACTTACAACTTAACACCATGCAGGGCAGCAAACTCCTCCACTACAGTTTATTCAGTCAATACGAAAAGGGAAGAAATCAGCCGCGAAGGAAGACTGACCCTGTTTGTACTTTTTAAGATTTGCAGGTGTTTCGTTTTGCACATCGTGATCAAGAGTCTTACAAGGATATGATTAGCCGGCGTTTATTACTCCTCGAGTGGATGGCGGCTATCTATCTAGGCAATTTGAACTACTAGGTATGCCACAGCCAGTTGTAATACTTATAATAGAACTTACCATAATGACCTGGCGGTTGTCATTGATCTTGGAGGCCCCTATTTGCATGAACTTCATGGCCACGGGCCAAGAGTTGTCGTGGGTCATGATCCTCTCGGGCCGTATCGTAACATAGTCGCCTGCCTTTACCTTCTTACCCGGGGGGAGGTCCGTGGCGTATCTCTGGACAATCTTTTCGGTGAGGGTCTGGGGGTTAGCCGGGATGGAGAACGGCTGAGAGGAGCGGAGGGCTGCGGCGTCTAAGGTGTTTTCAAGGTTAGAGTGGGAGGCATATTGTCGTCGAGGCCCGGTGGAAATACGGGCATGGAACTGGGATACGGCGACGGAAAGAGGTCGAGGCTGGGTGATAAAGGTTTGAAGCCGTAGTCGTGTGCCGACGTTGAGAGCAATGGCTCTCCGCTGAAGATATGGCCATGTAAGTCAAGATTTTATAAGAGCGAAAACCAATTGACGGCAGAGGAACTTACAAGTGCAGCAGCCATGAGTGATGTATTTAAGTTATGGCTATATACACAGATTAGCGCGGATCATAGCGAAAAAAGACACGTTCTTAGTTGATGGCGCAAAGAATTTGGTATTGTTAAATATCTTCAGATGCAACTTCACTTCTTTACTTTGCCTGCATTGCGACAAAAAATTTAGTGGGGGCGGGGTGGCTAGTAGTTAGGTACAGGGGTGGTTATTCCACTATGTTGCTAAATAGGATGCCCCTGATTGGCTAGAAGGTCCATTTGCCTACCTAGTTCGAAGTGCCGGCAAAGACGGTGTTGGTATCCGATTTCGGTATCCTTTTAGCTGCTCTAATAGTCTAAGTGTTCCGTTATAGTAACTTGCTATATTGTACTATGTAGGTACATGGCGCAACTAAAGACATATTAGTTATATTAGTTATACTAATCCAACTTGCCGTATTATTACATTGGCAAGGCAGGCAAGCCTATTAAAGGGGCAATTCAGGGGTTATCTATCAACGCTACCAAGAAGTAAAGAGGTATAATTCGTCATTCTGTTTTTTTTTTCTGTATTATTTGGGTACACAATTATGATTTGACATATATGTGCCAGCCTAGACTTGATTATTTTGTTGTAAGCATGTTGAAAGGTATGATGAAAAAAAAAAAAAACCAATATAAAAAACAATAATAGTTAGCATCACCTGCCGGTAGTATCCCCAGTGTAGCTACTAGCTTGTGACGGATAATTTGACACTTGCCGATCATATATGGCCTGAGTTGAGTGTGATATATATTCTGAAGGAACCAACTCGGGTTATTGTTGAGATTTTTACGAATAGTCACTACTGCTCTCCTCGTGAATCGTCTGAGAGAGGAGCCCCCTACGCCGCCTCTTAGGCTTCTCAGAAGACCTTAATAGCTTCCACTGCCTTTCGAATATTACGTGTGTGTCGTCCTTTGCTTGCTGCTTTGATTTTGCACGCCTAGAGGTTGAACTAGCTGCGGAGATCTTGCTAGATCTGTCCCCAGAACGAGTATTAGAGTCTAAGTCATGAGATTCCTGATCTTCGTCATATGGGGGCAGAGCTTTGCCCTTTCCGAAATAATCCGAGTGTTTGTCCTGTGATGCATCAACGCCCAGCGTAACGAAGATGAGGCTGGACGTCCCGTAGAGCACGCAGCCGGCGCAGATACCTATAATAGCCGCGTAGGCGAACTATATTCGATGCTAGGGTCAGTATCATAGTGCTAACCCCCGAGTGTCATGTTATCGCAGATGGGCGTTCTTACGTAAATATAAAGGTACTATCTTACGATTAGCATTCGAGCTTCACTTTTTTACGGGGGAGAAGCTGTGAGGGGGGTGTCACAAAAAACAAGCTATAGGAGAATACCTTGAGCTTAGCTGCCCAACCGGCAACGGCTAGAGTTGTACTCGAGATCGAGTGAAGCATATGCCAGATGGGAGATAAGAGGAACACAAGAGAATTAAAGAGATAGTAGATCGGATAGCGCAGGGGTATCGTGACGATATAACACAGCTTCAATAATAGTTTGAGCGCGGGATAGAGGAACGATGTACCAAAGGTCTGTAAGGGCTCCAGGAGCTTTAGCCAATCCATTGCGGCGGATTGGCCTCGTGGCCTGGATATACTGGAGACAGCGTGACCGATGATCTCTCTCTTGGTGCTATTTCTCTAACTTGGAGAAGCTTGTAACATTCGACCGGCGAAAAACCCTATGTTGCAGAAATGGGTGTTTCGTTTTTTTGGGTGTATAGGTAGGCACAGGTAGTCAATAACAGTAGATAGTATCTCGTTCCCTTGATCGAATATTGTTGTCGTCGAATAAGGTATGACGAAGGTGATGCTTTTGGCCTTGGCAACGCACAACTGCAGATTCAGATGATCTATTTCAGGTACCACAAAACGCGTACCAATCCGTTACCCCGATCTTGTTTGGGGTAAAATTGGAGTCCAGTTGATCGAACCTTGCATACGACTTCCGGGAATGTGTTCAGTCTGGATTTTGGTCGTTATGCAATTGAAAAATCCACGTGCAGCCAAGGGGTTCGATCGGTTTAAGATGCTGTAGGTAGGCAGTACTTAATGTATTACTAGTCCGTGTTCACCGCTGACTGACCTCGACGAGGGATATAAATTTCATAATGCATGTATATAGATTAAATGTCTCTCTTATCTCTTAGCGGTATATACGAACAATTCGCCTTTCTTAGGTATGTACCTAAATTTATTAATGTTATCAGTGAATTCCAATGCCGTCAGATTGTTGTATACGATCGTTGGTCTTAGTATAAGATGGCGTAAATGATGAGATCATGACCTAATACCACTATATAAAAGTAAGGTACCTAGATACTTTTGTTCAGGTACTTGAACTGGACCCTTGCGGTGATATTCGAATGGCCCGTGCGTCATTTTTATGCTGACTTGGTAGACCGGGGGAGATACCTAGCAGACTAAAGGCGGGCGGGGGAGGAGCAAGGGGAGAGAAACAAGGATAATCTAATCAATCGATTGGATTTGCTGTTATCATTGAGAAAAAAGGATAACCTTTTTTTAGCTGCCCGGGGCTGCTTTTAAACAACTTAGAAACTACATGTACCTAACCTATACTTACAAGGTAGCATATGTACCTACTTATTACATGTAGGTACCGACAACCTAAACTTGGATCTGAACCTCGCCCTTCCTCGTTTAGATCTTCCCTTTCCCCAACTACCCAATCGCTCCAATCGCTCCCCTTCCTTTGTTTTTTTGGCTGTCTCATCGCTCCAACTACTCAAAATCGCGAAAACGGTCTCATGACCAATTTTTACTTGACATGATCCACGTTTACTCGTCCTCAGCTTAACTCACACCCGACAAATCCAAGCAATTCCAAGCAAAATCCAGGCAGATCCAAGTAAAATCTAACGAATCCTCTTCCGTCACACCGCTGCTCTCTTTGCGGCACCCGCGCGCAACCGCCCACGGCCCACGACGCACGACGCAAGACGCACCACATCCCGCCCCTCAGCTTCTAACCTTCCCCGCCATTGAATCACTTGAGAGCCCATTGACCGATTTCCCCATTCCTATTACCCATTACCCATTAACCATTACCTATTATCCATTACGCCCTATGCCCTATGCCCGATACCCAATACCCATAGCCCATTACCCGTAGTCCATAACCCCTTTCTAAATTCTCCCATAGGAAGAAGCAAAGCAAGCCTAACCGTCAAAAGGGGGGAAATCCTTTCCTCCCTAGTCCCCCACGCCAAACAATGGGAAACAACACTTCGTCAACCTCGAAGCCGGCTACCCCCACCACTGCCTCGTCTTCGTCGCACGACTCTCCCAGAGCTTCCAAGAACCAACCCAAGAACCTGGTATCGATCCATAATAACCATCACATTAGGTCACCAGCCTCTCCCGAAGCCTCGACCATCCAGGCAACCGGTACTTCGATACTTAACAAGAATTCGAGACCGCTCTCCATACTTAACTCATCCTCACCTTCAGCTAGCTCTTACCACTCTTCCGCTATTCCCCCAAAGGTTGCCGAGCAGAAGCCGAAGCCTGCCGAGATTAAAGATGAACCCTCCAACCCTGTAGCCGTCCCCTTCTCCTCTTCCCATTCGGAACAGGACTCGTCTTACGTCCACGATTTCCAGTACGAGGAAAGCGTGATATCAGGCCCTACATCCAGCAGCATCCCGGATATGTCCTATCATAACCCTCGGCCGCCGCGCCTACCACTCCCGATAGAGGAAGAGATCCATACTCCCGGGTCGCCGATCATTGCGCCAAGTGATGCCGACGTTGAGGACGCCGACGACGTCGCATCGCTCGACGATTCGGCTAGTTTACCTCGCCGTGCATCAGGACTTAGCAATGCGACTGACGAGGATGACACCGAAGAACTTCGAGTCGACAAGACGAGACCCACGATACCAACCCGTATCGAGTGGTCGCGAGGTGGCCAGAAGGTCTACGTTACAGGAACGCCGTTCCAATGGAGTAGGAAACAGCGATTACTTCCATCGTGAGTTTTTGTCTTCTCGCGGTTATGAATTCGGCTTCAAATATCTGGCTACTTGGCAACAACCTTGTATGCCAGGTAACATCGGTTGACCAAGTAAGAATTTTTGATTATAGACTACTGACACTTTTTGAACAACAGTAAGGACAGGGAGGGTGTGCTGGAGACGGTGATACCCGTTTTCCCGGGCACTCACCATATAAAATTCTTAGTCGATGGCAATATGCAGACGTCACCAGACCTGCCTACCACTGTCGATTTTGGAAACAATCTGGTAAACTATATTGAAGTGAGCGGAGACGATAGCGACTCGCGGAACGTCCCGTTAGATGTTGGCGTTCCCAAGTCGAACGAAGCTGCCTTATCTCTCCCTTCCAGGCAGCCCTCGCACGACGACGCTCTTAGGGGCCCCCAGCAGAAGGTCATCGATCCAATTGAGAAGTTCTCCGCGAAGATCCCTCAATACCTAGAGGATTTTGACCAACCCGAAGATTCTTCTTCATATAGACTTTCCTCCTTAGCCCTCGAACGACTCCCACCACCCCCTAGCCTCCCTGGTTTCTTGAGTAAGCCAATTATGAACAATGTCACCCTGATCAAGGATGATAATAGCGTCTTGAATATGCCAAACCATACCGTGCTTAATCACCTGGCTACTTGTAGTATTAAGAACAATGTTCTTGCCGTATCGGCCACTACTAGGTACCAGAATAAGGTATGATATCCCCGGTACCTATCTTTCTCGGGCTCTTAACGCTAACGACTTATAAAGTACGTGACTACAATTATTTACAAGGCCACGAAGAACGAATAAGCTTCTCCCTTGGTCGTGGTAGAAGCATTAGATTGTGTCGGATGTCCCTGGGATACGTCACGTTTCCTATCGTACGGGAGTTTATTTTAATGAAGGCGACATGGCCCCTTTTCATGGGCATACGACTGGGACCGAGAATAAGTCCTAGGAATATGCTATGCTTAGAACACGGCTCCGAATGCTGGAGTGAGGCACACATCGGTGCTAGGTGTTTTGCATTAGCAAGGGGAGAGCGGAGTTAACAGGGTACTTGCGTAAGAATGCATTCATTGCGCAATGATTCAAACCAAAAAAGGGTTGTTATGAGAATAACACGATGTCATGAAACCATAGAAGGATGCGTATGATGTAAAGGTTATAGCTGCGCAGGCAGGGCATGCGGAATCCATTTAGACAACGCTGGTAATAAATTTAAAGAAGTTCGGCATCAGCATGATCACAGTAAGACGCAGATATCGACTGCTCTTAATCTCTCCATTTTACATAAACTTCATCTGTCCTAAATCGTTGCGTACAAGTGCTCTCCTCCAGCGGCGTACGGAAGCCCGTCTCGTATGCCAGCAGGCCAGCGTGAGCGATCATGATGCCGTTGTCAATACAGAAGCGCTCGTCAGTCGCATATACGCTCCCGCCTCTCTCCTTAGCCATCTGTCCCATCATCTCTTGCAGACGCTCGTTGCATCCTACGCCACCCACGATAAGCACCTGGTTGGTGCCTACGTGCGCCATGGCGCGCTCCGTAATCTCGACCAGCATCGCGTAAATCGTCTCCTGGAGACTGTAGCACAGGTCCTCGGGGGTAATCCTCTCCTCTTCCCCGACCTCCCCGCCCGCGGCGATGCGCGCGTCCTGCTCGCGCATCTGCGCGGCCAGCGAATCGGCCGCGGTCAGGATGCCGCTGAAGCTGCAATCCATGCCCTTGACGGCGTAGGGCAGGTCGTGCAGCACGCGGCCCGACGACTTCCGCGCGAGCAGCTCGATGTTGTACCCGGGCGCCGGGTCGTTGCTGATGGCCAGGGTGCGGGCGAAGCGGTCGAGGCAGTTGCCGACGGCGATGTCGAGCGTCTCGCCGAAGATGCGGTACCGCCGCTCCGCGTACGCGATCACCTGGGTGTTGCCGCCGGACACGTACAGGACGACGGGGTCGGAGGCGCCCGTGATCGCGCGCCCCATCTCGATGTGGCCGACGCAGTGGTTCACGCCCACGAGCGGCAGGTCCCAGAGCAGCGCGAGGGTGCGCGCGGCCACGGCCACGGACTGCAGCGGCGCGCCCATCCCCGGGCCCCGCGTGTAGCACACGCAGCGCAGCTTCTCACGCGGGCGCGACACGCCGGCCGCGGCGAGGGCCGCGCGCGCGACACGCGCGAAGAAGGCCCGGTGGTGCCGCGCCGTGTCCTTGGGCAGGAACCCGGTCCCCGGCGGCGACACGAAGGTGTCCCGGATGTTGGCTAGGATGCGCGACTCCCCGCTGACCGGGTCGTGCGATATTATACCTATGCCGAGCTTGTTCGCGCTACCTTCGCAGCCGATGGCTAGGAGGGGGGCGGAGGGGGATTGTTGTTGCTGGTGGTTCGCCATGGCGTAGGGTTGCTGTGTTGTGAGGGGCTATTCTGATATAAGTGCTCCGTTTAATGAGGTCGTAGGTAGTTAGCTGGTTTGGAACCCATGTACCTAGGTATAAGAGGTTTGGTTATAGTAGTGTCATATTCGAATTGCTACCTAATGTTATAAGAAGTTTTGTACAGATAATGTATAAATAATAGACTCGTATAAGAAAGTAGATGTATGTAGCTGTAAGGCTAGGTATCTCGCGGTGGGGTCCTTGTCTATCTCCTACAGGTATGTAGGTACTATGTAAGGGCGGGAACGCAAGGTGCAAATTGAAAAAGACCCCTCCAATGACGAACCAAATCTTTAAGCTGGAAAGACCCTTATCGATATTAGACCTACTTCCCCCATTCACATTCAGCTAGTTACCTATAGGGTATGCAGCTCTGCGGGTGGGCCTCTAAGAGCCTTAAAGTTTAGGTACCAAGTCGAGTTGCGCTAGAGTGGGGGCAACCGCACTTACTCACCTAATGTCCTAATGTCCTCGAACGGGGAATAATAGCCTTCAGTACCAAGGAGAAATATTACCAAATCGTCTTTTACTTTTACCTTGCAACCTCGTTTTTACCCTTCGTCCCACAAACCTTGACAAATTGGCCTCCTCATGATATTTTTCTATCTCGACGATATTTTCGAACGGTTTCTACTCTTCACGTCTTGTTAAATCTATTTCTTCTATCCAACGTACTTTTCTTTTCTCTTTTTTTTAGAAACAAAAAAAATCAGGAGCTTGGAGCGATTCCCCGTTTCTGGTCGGTAATCCGAGACGACCAACCCTTCTTACCCATCATCTGACCATCACCGACCTCTTTTTTCCTCCTTCTTGCAGATAATATAATCCTCAGGGTCCTCAATCTTGTCGAAGTTAGAAATCTCCTGTCCTTCACGACAATGGCCGTGTCTCCTACCTGTTTACCCGCTGCGAGCTTCCATGGGTTCAGCCAAACCCTGCGACGGTGCGAAAACCCAGACTCTCCACCTGATCTAGCTCTATGTCACACACAACCGACCTGAGAGATGTCGGCGCCGTGAGGAGACATATGTCCTCTATATTACCATTATAATACCAGACCTCCTTATCCTATATTGTCGTCGTGGTCCTGCAGCGGGTCACGGCGGCCGGATATATTGGCTTACCCAAGAAGGATTCCCTCAAGGCCATAGCAGTGCGCCGAGGTCGCTGACGTGGACGCAACGCATATCCGATACCAGTTATTTATCTAAGGTTACAATGCGCATATTTTCATGCGTTTCGACCTGCCTCTATCTATTTGGGAAGCTATAGAGAGTTATACGTAAGTGGTTGTCTATCTTTTGGTTGGAGTCGCATTATCCATGTACTACACTTTCTCCGCACGATATCTCCGACGTCAGATGCTGCATCTACTACCTAATAAGGTCTTTGACCTACGGCGTCACTCTTTAATACTTCAAATTAACTTTTTTTATTTTCTCTCTTTACTTGATTATATACTTCCAATTTTATTCAATTTCTTTTATTCTCACTTTTTACTTTGTGCACATAAGCTAAATAAACCGTGACAATACCAGCGAGGCTCTTGACCCCTAATTACAGTTATTAGTCGGAAGAAGTGAGGCACGAAAACATCCCAGGCTGTTTCAACTCGAGGCGAAAGCGAAATTCGTCCAAGTTTTATACTCTGCAACGACTTCTTTCCTGCAAAAATGGAGTTCTTGCTGTTTTGATCTGACTGCATGTCCAGAGAAGCGCGATTTGGCAAAGATTCCTGGGGCGCAAAGCTTTTAGTGACCTGTCATATTACGCGGAGCATCACAACAACACATCGACATCAAATTATTCAGCTCTACTGCTTTCACGCGGATTAATCGGCAGACAAGGACAGACAACATCACCAGAACAGTCAAATCAAAAAAAGAAAGAAAATAGGCACGAGCAGGACAAGAGGTACTTGTATTGATACATTGATGCTCGCTGCTCCTTTCACTCGGAGCCCTAAACATCATGTTTGAGCGCCCCTAACTCCGTTGGCTATGCATATCGCTCTGAGCACTATATATTACACCAAAACAAGAATCGGCCTCGCCTTTCGGTTTACCATCGTCCTTCAGCGCATATGTTCGCAGAAATATGTACAGGATGCTGATGCGAACTTATGAAAACTGGTCGGATAGACGGGTGCATCGGTAACCGTTTGTTTCAACGGGAAAATCCTGCAGAGCATTCTATCTATGCTCACAATATCGCCCAATAAAGTGCGCCTAGGGTCGATACGACTCATGCCTGCCTTCCGTCGCAGGACGGAATAAATGCACTCGCACTTCTCTGGGATACGGTGTACTCTTCTGTATCGAGCAACCACCTGCGCGGAGTATGGCTATTCGTCACTTGGGTTTTTACTGCCCAAGGTTAACCATTCTCCGAGTGCTAAGTTTGGTTCTCACCAATACCTTTAATACTAGAGACTCATCAAGCTCAAGTCTGAGGTGCTCGAGGTTGAGGCTGGGCTGTTGGTGCTTGGGGTTGTGGGAGAGCTTGTCGGTTTACGCTGCTCGCCTGAAAACTAGCAATATCGACCCCCTGTCTTTTAAATAGGAAGGGCGAAGGTGGTATTGTCGACCGGAACTTCATCTGACGAGCGCTGTTGGGGTCCACTTCATACACCGGTTGTTCATCATCATCATCGTCATCCTGGTCATATTTCCAACGGTCACTTTGGCTGAAGTCCATATCGTGTGGAGGACTTTGGTGTCTATTCAACTTAGGTGGCCGACGGTCGATAAATAAGCGATTTAGTCGGCCTATACGACGACGGTATGAAGACATCTCGGGCTCTGTGGCACCTAGGTTGATGATACTGGAACTGATTTGCTGGAAGGATTTGAAAGAATCCAACGGGCTTTCCTCGTCTTGCTCCATGGAATCTGACGCGGATGCCGGTGGAGTCATCAAATAGGTGGTTTTTGCTGGCCTGAAACTTGGCTCTTTCTCCTCCTTGACGGGAGGTAAGGGGTCAGCAGTAAGATCCACATAATTGCTATTCCATCTCCTGTGGTTCTGGATCTTCATCTCGACATCGTTACGCAACTCATTCTCCTTCTCAGCAAGCTTATCGGCCAAGACGGCAAGATCAGCGGGTTCCACAGTCCGTCCTCCGTCGGGACGAACAACCACACGAAGCTGGCCATGAGGACCAGCGCGCGCTTGCTGTTGCGCTTCTGTTCTCTGCCGCTTTTGCGGCCTAGCATTATAAAAGTCTTCGTCGTCACCTTTAATGCCGAGGCGATTTTTAGTCTCCTTGAGGCTATTTCGCTGTTCGAAGACAGATCTATCGCTGCGCAAAATCTCCCGCTTGAATATTTCTCGCTGGTAAGAGAAGACGACGAGCTGCCGCGCATCTTCCAACTCCTTACGCAGCTTCTTTAACTTGTCGCTCACCTGCGCATCGCGTGCCCTCGTCTTTCTTGTCTGCCGAACTTCACGCCTTCGGAAACAGACATAAGGGTCCATGTCATCATGCTCTTGATGAGTTTCGAACTTGAGCGACGGATGCAGACTTCGGTTGCCGCACACCTGCCGTCGAGTCTTCCAGTACTCGTAGACATTCTTAGCATGTGCTTGAATGAGCTTGGCGGGGATTGTGTGGCTCATGGCCTGGGCCATAACTTCAAAGGGCACTACTGTATTGTCAACTGCAGCAAAGGGAGCTTGCTCTGCGGCTGTATCCTCGAATACCTCCATTATCCGTTCGAAGTCGTCCTCCGAAAGCTGTGAATTTCCCGTCCACTTGGCATTGTAGGACTTGAGATATTCCTCATCCTCTGTGGTCATATCATAGAGACAACCGAGCGTCTCCTCAACAGTTTCAGAGAACTTTATGTAATGTTTGGGCTCTACGTATGGTGTGGGATACAGCTCATTATAGTCCGCCTCGCTCTTCTGCGGCGGCGGCACGGGAATCTCATTATCCTTACTCGCACCAACCCCCCTAAGGGCAGCCTGCAGATGGTATTCCTATAGGCACAAGGCATTGCGTTAGCCTTTGGTAAGTAGTAAACGTAGTTTGGTATGTCGATATATGTCGATATATATTGAGAATACCTTGATAATAGCTTGGTATCATGAAATATCATGAGATATCAAAGAGATATCTCTCGATATCAAAAAGGGTAAGACAAGACGGGATTGTGGCACGTGACATATCACGTGACATGCACATTGAAGGTAAGAAATGTATTGATAACTCACATTTTCTTCGGCCTGTTCGACACCGGTCGCGATTTGTGATTCGGTTGTGAGGGATTCGTATTCGTTGGGATCTATTTGGTCTTCACGGAGTACGGGCAGAGGGGTTTTGATGTTAAGCTTCTTGTATCGCACTTTCCGGGTCGACATGGCGGTTGGCGGTGTGGGAGGATAGTAGGGGAAAAATCGACAATAAGGTCGGAAAAACCCCGAAAAAATTCGGGAACCAAAAAGTTTAGGTCATGAGACGATGGAAAATTAATTTTTGGGGAGTTTGAACGGCTATTTTGGGGTTTGTTTTGATGGGTAAAGTGTCGTCTTTGGATGAGGTGACGTTGAATTGTTTGGGGCGCAAATTTTTTGCTTGGACGCCGCAGGCAGCCCGAGCAGTAACAACAAAGTGTGAGAATAGTGATTGTGCAGGTTGTGCAGAGCCCGTGCAGAAGGGCCAGAGTGCCCAGAGTGCCCAGGTTGTGAAAGACACCCCACCGAAGAATAGGACCTTACGCCTTTACGCCTTCTTCCTAGCCCGTAACTAACCTAACTTATCTGTAATCTCGGCTTTTGATTGGCCGCAGCCTGGCGACGCGCAATTTTGGGCAACAACTTTTTGGGGGGGAGGGGTGGAGGGGAAAGGGAAAAGGGGGAACCCGGGGGGTTACGATATGGCGATAACAACCCGCCAAAAGACAAGAGTAGTACTTGCGCTACAGGCGCCTCTTTACTTCTATTCTTTGAACCTAACATGTACTTTCCAGTTGAGGGGGTACAACACAATGGGTACCTATCAGTGAGTACTGAGAAGCAAAAAAAGAAACGAATTTCAAATTTGCAGCTTACTATTCCTTCCTAGATTTGCCCCTTTTCTTTTTTTTTCTTCTCATTCCTTATGCGCGCGCACTCATTACACTGATAACATTAATATTTTTTTATAACTTCAAATATACCTGGCAATTTTACTTTGGGTATAACTGAGGTAAGTACAATAAACCGTACCTCACTACGTATTAGGTACTACTTAGGCAGTGGACATGCCTCATGCAAAGATGAGGAGCCTACCTAGACCTTTTAGTTTAGAATTATGCATCTATTTGGAGACATCGAAAGACACCTTTTTTTTTTTTCTTACAAACAACTACTACTACTATGCGGTATGTAGATAGCATTACGACCGCACTAGCTCAAGCATCATGTCCGACCAACGCATCGTGCATCTTGCTTGAAACTTTTCTTCTCTCTTCTAGCTGTCTCTATTCTTCGCATGCGGCGGTGTAGCTAAGTTGCATGCGACTGTGAAATGGGTTAGATTGTAGTTTTTTGCATCTTCGAAGCTCGTTCTTTGGTTTGCTGGCAGCAAGGAGCATTTTCTCCTGGGAGATACGTACGTGTAAGCCAAAGGTGAATTTGTCCAGCCACAGGAGGTTGTCAGCCACAGGTCATATCTGATAAGATAGATAAGAAGCTTTAGTATCGTGTCTTATTGGTTTTATGCAAGGAAGTACATAGGTACCTTTTCCTCACATAGATATGTACATTTAAGTCTAAACACAATTCCCATTTTTATTTGTCTTTATCAATCCACGATACTGTCCACAAGATTGATAGATCTAGTCTATTGCATATGTGGCTGGCTGCTTGAATTAATTACGTACATACATGTAGTCATGTACATCAGATGAAAGATGAAGATGAAGTACATGTATCTTATGTACTCTAGTGGCTTGCTCCAAGTATCAAATGTGGCCGTGCTTCTCCAATCACGTACACCACATGCAACAGATAAAGGGGGGGATTTTAGCGTAAAGATCTAGTTAAGCCTTAAGGGCCTTCGCCTCGTCACAGCAAAAGGGACACCCCACTTACCCGCATTCCCTCCCAACTTCTCCATCAGCCTCACCACCAAAGCCGAACTTCACAAGCGGGAATAGCTTTGAACAATAATAACATCTTTACATCTTTTCAACTGATTGTTTTTTTTTCTCCTCTTTTTTGTAAAAAAAAAACCAACAACTACGGGGACTCACAAAATAGATATATTCCCAGTTTTCAGCAACCCGAGTCCTAATCTACCAAGCCATATACCTAACGTTAATAACTTTCTCCGTCCCATATATTTTCCATCAACAACAGGCTTCCGCTAAGGGGCCCATCCAAACCCAGCAACAATGGGTAACACAACGAGCGCCGTTCTAGATAACATCGTCCAGGGGTCGAACTGTACGTATTCCGATCAACCGACAGAATTGCCCTCGCACGGGTCGGGTTGTTATTGTTGTTGTTACTACGCTTAACTATTGGAAATATAAGTTCTAACTTGTTGCGCCGCGCAGTCGACAGGGAGGAAGTGGATAGGCTGAGGAAGAGGTTTATGAAGCTCGATAAGGTACGCACCCTTTTCGTTCAGCTTCCTTATGCTAGGGCGGGCGCCTAGAGCTGATACCCGTGGAACTTACCGATAGGATAACTCGGGCACGATCGAACGAGATGAGTTTCTAAGCTTGCCGCAAATATCGTCGAACCCGCTCGCAACGAGGTACATACATACATACATCTCCTAAACTAGGTACCCACGTGTACCTATCTATTATTATTATTGTTATTGTTATCATTATTATCGAAATACTTTCCCACTTATGGATATGCTGTAACAAGAAAAAGAAGAAGAAAAAGAAAAGAAAAAAAGTTCCGAAGGCTAACGTGACGCGCATCCGCGCGCGCGCAACAACAGGATGATCGCGATCTTCGACGAGGACGGGGGCGGGGACGTGGACTTCCAGGAGTTCGTGTCGGGCCTGAGCGCGTTCAGCAGCAAGGGGAACAAGGAGCAAAAGCTGCGGTTCGCCTTCAAGGTGTACGACATCGACCGGGACGGGTACATCAGCAACGGCGAGCTGTTCATCGTCCTCAAGATGATGGTCGGGAGCAACCTGAAGGACCAGCAGCTCCAGCAGATCGTCGACAAGACCATCATGGAGGCCGACCTCGACGGCGACGGGAAGATCAGCTTCGAGGAGTTCACCAAGATGGTCGAGAATACCGACGTTAGCATGAGCATGACTTTAGGTGAGTTTGTTTCCCCCTTCCGTGTCTTTCCTTTCTCTTTTACTCTATTTCCCGGCTATCAGGGTATAATATATTCAATAATATATGTCTATTCCTTATGACGTATATCGTTGACCGTGTTTATTTTGGTTGCTAATAGGATTTTCGATGTAGATCAGTTCTAGATACCTGGGTGGCTTTTTTATTTTACCACCGAACATGTGTGGCCGTAGTAATGAATTATGAAGCCTGGGACAGGATTTTTACTTGCTAAGAGGCAAAATGAACCCATATACTCTGCGTGAAGACTTTGTGATTACCAACATTACTCTCATGAGACGAGATCACCGGAGAAAAAGGCTGCTACTTCAAGTGAGCTCGGACCTAGATGCAGTACTTAGAGAAAGGGGGGAAAGCCTAGCATTGCAGGCCGCGATAACTAATAAGCCTATGGATTAGTTTACAATGATGTTCCCGCTGTCATTATAGGTACCTAGGTAGTCGGCTATTTCCTCGAGGTAGTGTGTAATGGTCAATCTAGGTGGCCTTCATCAGGGGGAAAGATTCAACCTGTCTGGTCATTTAGGTGGCCATAAGGCTTAGGTAGTTTTAGTCCCTCTTTAATATGTCTATTGTCGATCTGAGTTCCTATAGGTTAGGTACAGTTGGGTAGAGGGTTTAAGAGGGGAGGTTCAGAGGTATAATACTCGAGCTAAACTTACCTCTTATAGGTACCCTACTAAACTTCGACAATTCTACGTACCAGAAAACTCGTGTCATCGCAACAATACTTAACGTGCGAACCAAAACTTAAGGGGCTGGAGGGGGGGCTCTACTTAACTATTAACAGCTACTGATCTAGGTCCCTAGGAGGCATAGCTGCTCTCCATATTAACATCCAGATATTTACTTAGCCTACGACACGATCGCCTGCCTATGATCTCTTAAGAGAAACTCCTCAGCGGTAGATTTAGCTCCGTATCCATACGTATGAACTCGAGAGTAGGTTACCTACCTACCTCCTACCTACCTACCCGCGCTCCTAGCAGTGCTTATGCCTTGAAGGAAGCTATTATTAGGTTAGCACAAGGCCTCCTTTTTGTCGAGTGCACTAAACGATAGCGAAGACTTGGCCTACTGGTGACGTTTCCTTTCGGTTGCGGAGAACAGCAGAGAGAAAGGTAGTTAGGAGTTGGAGTAGAGTTATGAGATTCTTTCGGACATCTTGTAACTATCTAGGTACCCTAGGATATTTGTTCGTTTGCGTTGTCGGTTGGGGGAACATGTAGGGCTAGATCCTCTATATATGAGATTCTGAGGAGACCTACTTACCTAGGTTGAAGGAAGAACTTCTCAGAGGGAGCTCGAAGTTATTGATACCTAATTATATCTACCTAACCTAGTAGTTATTCTGGACAGCGTTTAGGCATTTTACCTTAGGTACCTAACCTACCTATATAGGAGTATGATCACGATGTTATTTCAAAGTACTTATTTGCTAGTTATAATATACGTAGGTCCTTGGATAAATAGAACGATACAAAAGCTTACTTACCTACGCGGAGTTTCGATAGGGTAAAATAGACAACATCTTCTAGCCTTAACCTACGGCACATTATGTTTCCTTTGCATATACCTACGTATTTTGTAAGAGTTTAGATGTCAACGTCATATGAATGGCATTAAGATATCAAGTCATGTTTGAGTTTCTGTTTTGAAAAAGGGGGGGTGGACTATCGTATATAGAGTATTAAAATTACAAAAACACAAAAAGTCTATGTAGTTCCGAGCAACATAGCCATAGTATTTGGCTCCGCTTAGTCCGCTTAGCACATTGAATCGAACCCCAAGCCCCGCGAAAAGAACGCGATAGGGTGCTTGGTTTCCCCCCTATCTTTTCAGTTTCGGAGCTCTTGGATCTCGACCAAATCGACCACGATGAGCTTTTGGATAAGGGAGTAGTGGTGGGAGAGGTGTAGGCAAGTAAACTTAAATTAGGTACCTGTTATCATGACCGTGCCTACAGTGTGCAATTGCTCTTCCATTAGAGCCTCGCTGCGTGCTAGACGACCGTATTCTAGTATCTTCCTCATTACCGTTGACGTACGAGTTACAGACGGTAATCTACCTATCATGATTAGGTGTCTCGTTGCTCGCAGTCATGTAGTTTATGAACCTCATCAGCGACCTGAGCATGGGAACTGGGCTTTGCATATTTGAGTTAACATCTACTTGTCAACTCGTTTCGAGCTTTCTGTATTAAACCTCCTGCGTTAATTGTCCTAATAAAAGTGATCTGTTGGTTAAAGCAACCCGAAAGAAGGCTAATTCTTAATCGAAAAGATATATAGGCATGCATTATGGATATGAGTTTTCTTCTATGTGCGCGGTGGCCTAGCTGACGGTCACTGTAAGCTGGTTTTAATATAACTACCGAACCTAGGTAGAGATTACAAACTAGTTAGGAAGAAAGAGAACACCGCTAAGTGGCTGACGGGGCTCCAGCTTTGTAGTAGAGCACCGAGAAACACAGGTAAACGAAACGGTGTTGCTCTTATTAGTAGACGTAGTAGAAACTTGATTGGATGAACACATGATTTTTTGCTCATTTAATCACCGTTACAATGGCGCCAGTCTAAATGTCTCTTATGTAATAAGATGCTCAGAATCTGTTGAAGCCCAAGGGATATTAAAAGCAACTGTGCATTTTCAACAGTATACTAAGTTTCAAGAGGCTGTTAGTGATGGAAGACAAGAGGAATCATAGAGGTAAATATATTATTGGCGATAGGAAAGACGCCATGGTACTACTGGATTGTGTTCGTAAGGTGAATGATAAGGGTACCTGATAGTCCTCGAAGAATTCAAATAGGAGAATATACATACCTACCCCTTTAGGTACTTTGAGATGTTCGAAAGAAGGAATCTTTCTTTGCCACTGCATACACTAATAGAAGACAGCGGCCAGCCGCATAAAGTACGAGGTAAGTAGCACAACCATTTCCCAGACGGGACCTGATTTCCCTTTTCTTACGCATCTTCCTCCCGCCTCCCTTCCCAAACAGGAACGTGTAACTCCCATCGGGGACCCCTTCGGGATAACCTATTCCTTCCACGGACGACGGCTACCTACCTGCAGCGAAGGCTGCCGTTGCAGCAAGATAATGCGCTTACGAGTATTTTTGCACCCGCCACTCCGTAAGCGGAAAGTAGCGCGAAGAGTCGAGAGTGCCAGGTGGGCTTAGGTAGTCGAAACTTGAAAGAACCTTAGCCAAACCAAACAGACCGATGCTACAATTCGCAAGGAGCGACGGCGATCGGACTCCTTTCTCTTCCTTTCTTCTTTCCATTTCCTTAACTAGCGACGCTCCGGTCATGGAGAGGTCTGATCTTCTGCAGGTCCTAGAGCGGGAGCGTCCCGTGAGATGATACATGTGACAAACCTGCGTCTCCTCCCCATTTTGCTGTACCTACGTGCACACACTAATCAATGCATACACATTATGGAGCTTGCATGCATATTGCGCAACCTCGAATCGTAAACTTTACTTAAAGAGGACATAGATAGGTGTTCCTTCAGATGATTTTATCTCACCAGGCCAATGAACGCCTCGTTAGGTTCACTTTGTCTTGGGTCAGGTCTACACCGAGTGGGGTAAATATGATAGGATGAGAAGTCCAGGTAAAGGATTGATAGAATAGCCAAAAATTTTCCGTGCAAAACCAGAGCGGCGGTAGCAGAGTTGGTTGGCTCGAAAGCTTCCCTGCGTTCATGTGGGCTTCATGTGGGCGTTCATGGGGGAGGATTTTGCCATCTAACCGTTACGGCGTTTTGCATATATTCGGGGATAAGCCGTGCGGGTAGCCGCATTGATGGCATTTCTTTTTCTTTATGTAGGCTTTGAACTGGAAGATTTCTGGCGGTTTTCACACATGAGCCATGACCTGTCGGGATCGACGCCGGTGACGAAATCACACTCGACTAGAGATCTTAGCAACGACAGGGGGGCCATACTATGCAACCACAGGTCCAGCCGTTCGAGTTCAGCTGCTGCGACGTGAAGAACATCCTTCAGCCTCGTGTATCCAATAGTCTGGGATAAGGTAGCACTGGAATTCGCAGCAGTCCAGCCCTACATGGATGTTCGTTGGCTCCTCTAGCGTCTTACAACTTTGAAGGCGGCCTCAGCGTCGCCGGGCCCGACTGTCCGATAGGATAGGGTTAGATGACAATGTTGAAGTCGAAGTCGGTTGATGAGACACAATCAGGGGCCCTTGGGCGTCGTACAGATATATTCAAATCCCTAGATCCGAACCCCTTCAATATCTCTAGAAATGAGCAACGCGCAATAAACAAACGGCTTGTTTGCTGAGATTGTTTCAGCGGTTCAGCTGCAAACACCACCAGGGCCCTTCCGTGCCCTTCCCCGTGTTACCCGACCGGATACGGAGGTAAATGGGCAAAAGATAGAATCCCATAGCACAGACGTAGTAGTAATATTAAAATCCAAGGGTGAACTACTACTACTAATAATAATACCTAGTTCATCCGTCCAAGATGTACTATGTATTACCACTCTTGTCGCTTCGATCTGCGCGTATCGTAAATCCTTGTCTAAATCAGAAAGAGGGGGGGGGGGGGGGGGGGGGGGGGCGAGGATAACAAAAAGTCAAACAACAAAAAAAGAAACCACCCCCAAAAGGAGCACGGGCGCAAAACCCATGGTTGTATTAAT